CAAAATCCCTCACGATATCAATTTGTTTTCAAATAATATTGAACCAATCAGATCCTACAATTATTTGAGAAGATAAAGCATTCTTTGGTTAGACCCGCTATGTATCCATCAAGGGGTTGAACAAGGGAAAAAAAATGACCAGACTGGGGCTCGATCCCAGGACCTTATCGGTGTTAACGATACGTGATAACCAACTACACCATCCGGCCAGCTGTATATAAGATACCTGATCTTATGGTTTCATGAGGCTGTAGAAATAACAAGTCCAGAGACGGCTTACTTCAGCCTAAGAAAATAACTAGTTTTCAATCCAACATTATTCGTGATTACTTTAAGGCTCCCCAACTTCTATCCTTGATTAAGTAGCGACTCATTTCCGCTTAACTCTTCCACTACTCCTATAAGAAATTGAGAGTGTTCTACCAGCAAATTCCTAGCAAGCCTCTCAGCCTCGTTATATATAGAGAGAGCTCTCGGCCTATATGTTTCATCTCCACTTATCCTACAGTTACTATAACCTAGATGCGATATATGTCGGCCCGGGTCTACGAAGCCCCTTCACATTTCTCCTGTTGATCCAACAAGTATGAAAGATCAGGACTAATTACTCAGTTACTGTACAATTCGGGCTTTTTAGCTATAAGCACCTTCTCTTGTGCTTCCTCCAGAGCTTTTCGATGCGTCATCTCCGCCTCTTCATAAATTCCTTGCTTGGTGAGCACATTGCTAAGGTTATTCACAATTGTGAGCGTAGAGGTGTTACGAATCTCCAGGAACGAGGGGGCCGCAGCTACTCAGCTACCTCGGCCCTCAAGCGGAGCAACCGTTGATAGAATATGTATTGCGGGTCGCAGACAACGTGACAGAACGAAGGTCGAGTAAGCATTAAGTGCACCAATTTGAAATTCTTAACGTATTTCATAGGCGAGCGGGTCACCCAACCGAGCGAACTACCAAGACACCATACTAAAGGCGAATTCCTAGGTCATTGTATATCAACAACGAGAAGGTATTCTTACTCCAGGCTTGATTGTTGGTAGAGAATGGTTTCTGAGTATTTGAAATAGTAGAGCATAACTAATGTGGTCTGAATCTAAATATTGACACGTAATACCAAAAATACGCTACCACCGACCGATGTAGATATATATATCTACATCATCACATCCTAAAATATTTCCTACATCAACATTGATAATACGTATTATAGTAGATCAAATATCAAGATATCTTAAGACAAGATGATCAGCTGGTTCGAGCGTTGAAATATCAGGTTGTGAAATATTACATTTAGTATGTTGGTTTGGGGTCGCTCGCCTATGAAATACGTCAAGAAGCCTGAATTACTATGAAGCCCCTAGCTGGCATTTTAGTTAGCGTATTTCATAAACGATCCGTACACCCCCGAACACCATAGTAGATGCGATTTCTCAGGCCCTTAGGTATCAACAACGCAAGGTTTATCTTGCTTTATTCTTGATAATATAGATTTCCTTAGCATAAAGAACAGAATGACTTCACTGAAATTTATCATAAATGATTACTTAGAAGCATTACCAAAAATACGCGGGTTCGGAGTCCGCGGGTTTTGATCCAAGACTGTCATGTTCCATACCATTCGCCTTGCCATGTAATCGCTACTACATGCTTGGTAATCTGTCTCCACGAGGCACTCGCTTGCATTATGAAGCAAAACTTTGGATTACAACATATTCTACCCAGGTTTAGTCATAGGTTCCATAGTCAAAGCCGTCATCAGTATGAGAAGGACAATAGTATAATGCGATCATCCATGCGGCACTTCACATATATTTGACTCCTTCTTTTCCATTCCTCCAAAAAAAACCAATTGTCGTTCACAATCTATCATTTACCCTGAGACCCTCTACGATTTTAAGTCTTCATCATGCGCATTGCTGTGGCCGGATCTGGGGCTATGGCCAGATACATCGCCGAAGAATTCCCAAAGCATGGCCACGATGTGGTTATCCTAGCCCGAAGTGAGAAGGAATTCTTCAGGGGCCGTCCAAACATTACACAAATTATCACCGACTACTCCGTCCCCTCGTTGACAGCAGCAATCAATGACTGTGACATACTCATTTCCATGATTTTGTCATATGCCTCGGAATTTATTGATGTACATGTCAATTTGATCAAGGCCTGTCAAGCCAGTCCACGTTGCAAGCGATTTATTCCATCTGAGTACGGTGGCAATCTGGAAGAATATCCTGATCTTCCACTATTCTACTATCAGTCGAGGGAGCCCATTCGAAGGATTCTCAGAGAACAGACTGAACTGGAGTGGACTCTTGTCAGTGTTGGCTGGTTGATTGATTACGTTGTGCCCAAAAACAATCGATACCTCGCGGACATTGGGGAAGCGTTCCCGATCAACCTCACCTCTAAGACTATCATCATTCCTGGAACTGGCAAAGATGTGTTCGATGTCACGGCTGCCCGTGATTTAGCAAAAGCTCTGGCTCTCCTGATCAAAGCACCGTCCTGGGAACAATACACATACATCTCTGGTACCCAAACTTGTTATAATGACCTAGCCCGGTTGGTACAACAACGGTATCCAGAAATGAGTGACATTCAGTATTCTGGTTTGGGCGAAATCCTTAATACAATCCAGTCATCAACGGACGAAGACGAAGTTCTCCTCTCTCACTACAAGCTTGTCGTTCCCCTTGGTGCAGGTTCCTTCGACCCGAAGAAAGTTGAAGCTCACCGTCGGAAATACTTCTCTGGACTGGCATTTCGTACTCCCGAGCAACTGATTGAGGAGGTGGATAGGGATCCCAATGTGACTGTGTGATTCATAGTGCGCATCAAAATCAATAGATGCTGGGAGGCATCTCAACCCGTGATCATACAAGCTGTTGTCCCCGCGGAAGTAGCCTCGGGAATAGGCAGAAAGCACTATTGTTGAATCGATTTCGGGGTATACCTGGGGAGTTGACGAGGAATTGTACAATCACCTAGTACATAGAGACTGGAATTATGCTTGGGGGGGGGGGGGGATCGCAAATGTTCATCTAAAACCAGCATGTTTGTTGCATGCGGATTCGTCCGCTCAAAGCTAGTCTGAGTAGTATGGAACAACTCATGATACAATGTGCAACTGAGCGTACCAAAACAATCTATGGATCATGAATCACGCTTCCTAGGGTAATTGGCACTGGTTAATAATCCCGCCATCGTAGGCTGTGAGTGAGGACCTTTCCCGGCCACATTTTGGAAAGACTTTGGGCTCAGAAGCATGTGGCGGTTGAACGGCGCACATGTGAACCCCTCTAGGCTACCATACTCAGTACTAGGGTATGCATTCGCCCGGCTAGTGAGCTCCTACCGCTTCACTTCATCATATGGTTTTCTGTATGCCCTCATAGCGAAGGTGTATCCGTTTAATTGACCCAGTAAGGCGTGATGTTATCTCCCATTGCTTTGATACGAGGGTAGATATCGGCGACTGTGTAGCCTGTCTCAGGGTCCCCGTCCTCATCATAGCTAATGATCATCTCTTTGCCGTTTCCAATCAATGCGAGGTCGTTCCAACCGTATGTAGGGACAACGGCGATAATAACAGTGCAGAAGAGATTTGGTTTATCGGAGGGTTGGGCGCCCACGAGATCACCTTTGCTTAGGAACGTTGCATCGTTGGCTAAACGATCTGATTTCGCATAGATAATGAGTTCAGTCTAGTTTCAGGGGCTGAGGATAACGTTATAGGGCAGGGTGAGGTATCACTAATGAAGCCGCTTACTCTCAACAGTAGTCTCTTTTGAACCACTGGAGTTCAGGAAGCCCCGTGTCACCTCCATGTGCTACCGGGTGTGGAATCCCATCTTCTTTTTCCACCACCTCCCCTCGCCCCCTCTATCCACAACCATTAACTAACTCAAGGAGTATAGGCTTCCTCTGATGTTTTCGGGATGCCCCATATTGTCCTCCTAGTCTATTCGAAAACATCGATGGCGGGACTTCAGGATCAGATGGTAAAGACGGAGACGACGACAGCAGTTCCACATTAACATCCACAGCCTCCTCCATCACAGAATCCGAAACTGCCACGCAAACAGCCGCAGGCTTCCACATTGACAACGACGGAACTTTCCCTAAATTCGATGACAGCGAATACACTAGCCTCTTCGCCGCCACCTCCGCATTTTTCAATCTATGTACGACAGCAGCATCTTCTCAGCCAGCTCAGCCACCACAACAACCGCCAAATCAACCACGAAATCTGAGGCCTCGGCAACTACAACCACCACCTCGGGAACACCCGCCCCCACTAACGGCGCCAAATATGCCACATTCTTCCTAATGGAACTCTACACAGGCATCTCCTGGATCTCCGAGTGGCAAATCGTCGACAACATTCGCGGGGAAATGTACTATCCCTGCGATACTTCCCCAGACGTCGAAGTCACCGCGGACACGATTACTCCGAATCTGGATTATCCGGATAGCGATATTAGACCGTTCGAATTCTATGGTATCTCCAGGTGCCAGTATATAGCGGGCAAGTATAATACGATTGGGACGATGACTTGTCCAGGCGTGGATACTATTGCTTGTGAGACGGATAGTGATGCGAATGATGAACTTGAGTGTGAAGGGGGTTGCGTTGATGATTTTTGGTGCTTACTTGTTGGTGGTGAGGAGTCCATTATCTTTCGCAAATAGCTCTGCTTGTTATGTCGTTGGCAATTTAGTCATTGGAGTCGTTGCTAGTTGCGAAATATAAATGCCTTCAGTCAAAGGTTAATGGGACAGGCCCCTTAGGAACAACTCCGAGCGTTGCAGGCATGGAATATATCTGCCAGGTTCCTCGGCTGACGTCGACTGGTAATCTCTTATTGTCGATCCTGGTGGCGGATACAATATTCCTGCAAGCTGCTTGGCGACTGTTCCAGCCTGCCACGGACAAGAGCGTCTCGGTTCGCTAATATATTGCTTTGCTGCGCTCCGCAATAATTAGAATACGTAGTTGGGGTAAATATCTCTATCGGTCGAAATTTACAACATAGAGAATACTTACCCGTCTACAGTAAAGAATATCCATGGACAAGAGCGCAAATCCTACTATATATATTTCCGTACGCCTTTAATGATTTGTTTAAGAGCCCTCTATATTTGCGATCCTAGTATTGTAGCAGAATAATAGACGCTAGGAATGGATCTGGCCACCCTGATTACCTATATTCGACTTGACTGCGTTTGGATCGAGAAAAAATCCGAGATTAAGATGAGACGGTACAAACAATGCCACGCTCCTTACACACCCAATACTTCCTTGTTAGCCACAGCCCACTCGTCCAAAGAGGTGACCTGCCCGGCATACTTCTTCAAATTCAAAGATCCCTCCGTATACCTTCCCCCGGCATACTGATTAGAGCCGCTCTTTGCAGCAGCCACGGACTTGACCAAAGGCTCCGCCACAAACTCAGGTACACCATTCTCGATCAGAATCTTGACGCCCTCTTCCTCATTCACCTCCGTCACTTTGACATCTTTACCGATCGCCTTGCCAAAGATACCCATAGCATCCCCTTGCGACACCAACTTCGGTCCGCAAAGAGTGATAAAGTTTCGTTCTTTCGCCCCAGATGTTGCCTGGAATCCCTGGACAAGTAGCGTTCCAGCAACACGGCCGATATCTCCCGGGGAAATCCAATCAAAAGCGCTATTCGGATGCGCAATTTTGACTTCTCCCTCACGAATCATACCCGCCCACCACTTCACATTGGTATTGAAGAATGCTGGTCGAACAGCGACGTAACCATCCGCACCGAAAACCTCTTCCAGGTTAATCTCAACCTGTCCATGCAAATATGCGACGATGTTACTCGGCTCAATACTTCTGAGATCTCCATCAACGGCGAAACTGCTCAAAAACACCACAAATTCAATACCAGAGGCCTTGAGTGCTTCGATAGTACCTCGCATGTGGTCGGGAGTACCGTAGGCAAGGTATAAAAATGCACTTTTGGCTCCGGTTGTGCGAACGGCTGCTTCGATTGTTTCGGGTTTGTTGAGGTCGGCTTGGATCCTTTCGTAGGATCCTGACTTTTCTTGGTCTGCTGTCAGACCTGGGATGGGCTTTTGGGTGTCACGTAAAGCGAGCACCACCTTTGCGCCGAGTTGTGCTGCGGTAATGGCAGCGGCAGAGCCGACGTGGCCAGTAGGTCCGAAGACGATGGTAGTAGCAGAGGACATTCTTTGAGCTGTTGATACTGTCTGTGTGGGATGATTATGTCCTATAGGTGAGTGAATGTTCGAAATGATAACTTGAAGCTCATACTTTTATAGATCCTCGACTGGTCGGCCATCGGTAAGTCGGAGGCCGATGACGACTGTCGGGGTTTACATTTCCGACTTTGCTTGTGAAGGAAGGGAGTCTTTAATGGATACTTCAAGGTTTAAAGTTATCAATGCTCCAATCGGAGTGCAAAACATTCACTCGTATATGTAAACATGGCCGCCACAAGCTGTCAGCTTGCTTTGAAATCAGGGTGGGGTCTTATCCGAAATACGAGCTCAGGAATAGCTTGCCAGTATGGATCCACGAATTGCCGGATGTGGACGGGTGGGTTCTAGCTCCGATTCGGTCCAATATTTTAGAGTGAGCAGCAGCTCACCTATGTATTCTTGGAGCTTATAATGTGTTTCAAATGGGATTGGTCCGTCGGGTAAACTCATAATGCCGAACCAGTTGATATCATCGTAGTATCTTGCAAATTGCTGGACCTTGCGATTTTATGCGAGATTTGTAATCTCATTCAATCGTTTTTTATGGAAAGGTTGTTGAACAGTGAAATGTTGCCATAGGTACTGTTCTTAAATATTTTGTTTCAAGAAATAGAATGTACAGAACTTACATGTGAAGATTAACAAGTGTTAACATTTTCGTAAACATATTCCTGCAGACATCAGCTTGACCAACTGACGAATTCTAATACATACCTAAGACTAGTCCACTCGCTTCATATTCTTCGAACTAGTTATTATCGTTGTCATTCCATCAACTCTTCATCTTTCCATCTTTCTAGCCAGAAACGCAAATGCGGTCTTGTCCAGCATTTGTGTTTAAGTGAAGGGGTTTTAATTCCTTAAGCCAGAAATGGTATGTTTTTGATTTTTTTTTTCCTTTCTGGTCTAAACAAAGATACTTAAAGGAGCTTTGACATTTTGTCTGAGTGGTAGTACGTGACTAGCACGTCATACTGGAAACCCTATCATCATTGGCCATCTACATAGCTGTGGGTACGGAGAATGTTATCCTTGATTTGGTGGCCCGATTTTCCCAGCCCTAACATCCTGGCGTGAGCTTTCTCGGCCAGCATCCTCCAGCTTCTGCAAGATATCTAGGGCGAATATGGTAATTTAGACTGAAGCTTTAGCTCGCGAGATATTATAGGTAGACTGGTATTTTGCAAAGGATTCACACCGCTGTCTATCCCCCAATTCCTTGAAATGATGATGCTCTCCGAGTTGGCCAGCTAGGAGCTTCGAAGATCGCGTTTGTATTTCCAGGTATCAGGTTTGGAGAGAGCTATCGGCCAACCAATTGTGGTAGACCTTTCGTGGTGGTGAATCCAGCCAGATCCAATCCGGGCGTCCTCATGGCGGCTGTGGCAGCCCACGATATTGAACACGCCAAAAGGTACGCCAAGGCATATGGAATTCCTATCGTGCACTCATTCTACCAAGGTTTGGACATGTTATTCTCAATTGACCTTACAGAGTAAAGGTGCCGATTTGGGGGGATAGAAACAGAAATACTAGATGACCCATCGATTGATGCGATCTAGGTGGATCTACCAAATGGCCTGCACTATAAATGGGCCCTACGATCTATTAGGTCCGACTTCGCAGTCCGAGTCCAGCCAAAACGTTTCTTGTAGATAATTTGGTACGCCACACTTAATCAGTAAGCATCCAGCTCGCAGCAGAGGCCGTTGGTGGAGCTCCTATCTGAGCGGGAGAATGTCGAATGACCCAACAGAATTGATTTCATTTGGTCAGGTCAAATCAAGCCAGAGCAGCCTTGGACACGAGTTATTCAATCTCTCCGTCGTTTGCGCCACTATTTTTTGGTCGGTACAGTTGACAAACTTTTAGTGATAGCCCCAGTCGATTAACTGGCCTTGTTGATAAGTGTCAAGCACCGAAAGCCGAACACTACTTCCTGCAAGGTGTGACTGCCTTTCATTATGTTCCAGTTGATGCAAGCGACGTCATTCATGATTTGTTGTATGTTTCCAATCGGTCAGGTCGCACTATTGCGCTAGCCAAAGTGTGCACGCCCCTGATTGCACTGGTTAGCCCCGTTTCAATAAATGCTTATTATCGCGAGTGGATCAACCATCTCGGTGGATGGACAATTAGAAAGCTTTTTTACTAGGAAGAATCCTCATATGCATAGCCCAAAGCAAGTATCCTCCTTGAAGGGGAACCTCCCTCACAGCGAAGCTGTTTCCGGACTATGTTCCCCAGGGTTGCATATCCGAAACATAGGCAAGGACACTCCAGCGATAGCCTCTCTGTCAGAAAACGGGCAAATTGATTAAGCTTATGATTCTGAGCCTGAACAAATGAAAGGTCATCTCCCATCGGGAGATCATGGACCGAGATGGGCGTGGCTGGCCCGCTGGCAGCAGATAACTCTAGTTTCACGATATTCGACGTTACCGATCCTATAGCGCCAAGTCAGTAGCAGGCTTGCGACACATTATATTTGAAGCTAGTTAGCCAGCCCAAGAGGTTGGTGTATATCTTCGGCAAAATGCTCTTGAGTCAACGGAATCAGAGTATCAGATTCATCTCGTTGGTGTTGTTTGGGGGACCAAGGGTGGGTTTTGGTTTCATCCCCGGCCGTCAAAATCAAGATCAGAAGTGTCTTTGTTAAGCCTTACTCATTATAAATGATCATCCGATAGTAAGCGTGATATTCCGAAAACTTTTCTTTAAGAAAAGTGTCATTGCAATGCATTAGTTAGTCTAATGGTGGGGGCCTTCCCACGCCTTGTGAAATCGTCCAAATCGCGTCACTCAACCTTAAGCGAGGAATGAATTTGTGCACAGGTCCTGGATCAATGACCTGTCCTTAGGAAATGTACAGCTTGCACCCTGGAACTATTCAGTGGAGGAGGGGAAGGCCATTACTCGCTGGTATCGATAGGTTGAACAGAAGAATTGGTCAAGAGAAAGACAGGCAGAAGATTACATGTCCTCAAGATATCAGACCGGCATCTACATTTCCTTCAAATGCCGAAATGAAACAATCAGCCGGCGACGATCGACTTCATCCAAAGCTCTAACTACGTGTGGAGTACTAGTCGTTACAATCGACTAACTAAATCGGGCGATTTTCCGGGGCAGGCGTCCGCTCTCCAAGTGGCGCTTACCATTTCGGCAATACTTTGAGTGACTATTGGACAACCTGCCCCTACACTAACAATGTAGGGTCTTTGCACATATTCGTGAAGAAAGCCACTTCAGCCGGCTATAAGCAGGTTCTGATGTCACGGTGAATACCCCGCGGAGGCTTCTTGCAGCGGTGCTCTAATACATACCTGTTCAAAGTCCCTGTATTTAATGAGTTTTGCAGGGATCATTGCTTGATGCTGATGACGAGAACGGGCATAATGGTGTATTAGGAATCTCTTTGAAAGTTTGATGGTTTGATTTGCTGAGAGCACATATCCTTTTCGGATATTATACAAAGTGGAAGTATATCGCTGCCAACCCCCTTTTGCTCTGGCAGATCTCCAACAACGCAGTATGCAATGATAACAGTCATAATGGAAGCGCTGGGTAAATCTGTCTTCGTGGACACCATTACAAAGCTGTTCTACCTTGAAACACACTAGTGTCAAGATCGGCGGTTGACACTCGATTAGGGTCCTGCCTTGCCGAAAGCTACCTGAAGACCGACCGAAACGAGGTGGCGCAGAAACACCTCGGCGCCGACAGTTTGTGAAGAACTCTGAACCCTGATTTAACGAAGTCTGTACTAGTTCCAGGTTGACTATCCTTTAGCCTTTGGTGATCCACACACCCGCCGTCCCCACTTGCGAATGACCCTTTCTGGTTTAAACTGACGACGGTTCTCGTCTCCTGATAACACGCCAAGAGCTTTAGACCCTTTCATTGTTACATGTCAAGGCTAGAGCCTTGAATGGAGTTTCCCAGCAACGCTTGGCACTGTGTTTAGTTTCAGGCTAAAGTCTTTCTTGCCAGCACCTCGGCTAAATAAAGATTGAATATCGTCTGCTAAGGGTCACTCACTAGGGTTTTGGATAGAATGGAGAATGTCCGTTTCTTATCGGTGGGAGGGATGAATGGTGCGACGCCCGTTTTGTATCGGGGAAGGATTGACGACTGGCCAGCATCTAGGCTATGAACCTGTCTTCCTTGAGGAATAGGGACTCCTGTCGTGTATAAGTATCGACTCGAATCCCTCGAATGGTGTATCTATCAAGAAATCATTCTCAGTATCTCAATCCACATAAACACTCAACAAATTTCTCAATATGGTTCAACTCAAGGCAGCAGCTCTAGCTTTCCTTTTCGCTGGCCAAGCGCTTTCCGGACCTGTTGAATCCCGACAGGCCTCCGTCAGCATTGACACGAAATTCAAGGCCCATGGAAAGAAGTATTTTGGAACTATTGGTGACCAGGGCACTCTGACCAAGAATGCGAAGAATCCGGCAATTATCAAGGCTGATTTCGGCCAATTGACCCCGGAGAACAGCATGAAGTGGGATGCTACCGAGCGTGAGTCTATGATTGTCAGTGTAAAAGGATATATCAAAAACTGATTTGCCAAATAGCAAACCGGGGCCAGTTCTCTTTCTCGGGCTCTGATTATCTGGTATGTACCTGGAATGTTTCGCGTGATATGATTATTTGTCTTGTTCTAACAAATCTCAGGTAAACTTTGCCCAAACTAATGGGAAATTGATCCGTGGCCACACTCTCGGTAGGTTCCTGCAAACCTAAAAGTTAAAGTACCACAAATCAATAGACCTAATTCCATCAAGTGTGGCACTCTCAACTCCCGTCATGGGTCTCCTCCATCACGGACAAGAACACCCTCATCAGCGTCATGAAGAACCACATTACCACAGTGATGACCCGTTACAAGGGCAAGATCTACGCCTGGGTAAGACATATCACCAAACTGACCCCAAATAGGTCCATTCACTAACCTACAACAGGATGTCCTGAACGAAATCTTCAACGAGGACGGCTCCCTCCGTAACAGCGTCTTCTACAATGTCATCGGTGAGGACTACGTGCGTATCGCTTTCGAGACTGCTCGCGCTGCAGACCCCAATGCAAAGCTCTACATCAACGATTACAAGTGAGTGGCAGTTCACAATTTGCTCGTTATCTGGTCTGACTATATAAAGCCTCGATTCCGCCTCTTACTCCAAAGTGAACGGCATGGTCAGCCACGTCAAGAAATGGCTTGCTGCTGGTATTCCCATTGACGGAATTGGTAAGAATTTTGTGATCATATTTTCCATAAATACTTACTGACCAATTCCAAGGCTCTCAAACCCACTTGAGCGCTGGTGCCGGTTCTGCAGTTGCTGGATAAGTACCCTCCTCGATCATTGACCGGAAAGAAAACTTATACCCTCTCACAGCTCTGAATGCTCTTGCCGGTGCCGGAACGAATGAAGTCGCAATCACTGAACTCGATATTGCTGGCGCCAGCTCTACGGACTATGTCAACGTGAGTATCATTGCCATGGGAGACTGGTCGAATTGTGCTCGTGACTTAACATCGTTATTACAGGTTGTCAATGCTTGTCTGAACCAGGCAAAGTGTGTCGGAATCACGGTCTGGGGAGTCGCTGACCCGGTAAAAACCCCCTTCTTTTGTGGAAATAAAACGGTCGCATACTAACATGAAATGACTTCTTAGGATTCGTGGCGTGCCAGCTCCTCGCCTCTGCTGTTTGATGGCAACTACAACCCCAAGGCTGCGTATACCGCTATTGCGAATGCCCTCTAGTGGCCTCGTCTTCGATACCTGTCTGGGAGTACGGGGTTTGCGCCTGAACAGTTCTAACTCCAGATCCATTGCAAAGACAGGATCATAAGGTTCCAGAGATCTTGAACCGAGTACTTGTACATGCGTTAGTTGATACTCGTTGGCGATGTTCTTTTGGAAAAGTCACATAGCGTCAACACCATTTTCTTTTGCTACGCAAATTTGACATTATTCTATATCTTCCCATTTGATTTTATCCTAGTGATTTATATAAAATCTGCAATACACTTGCAGTAGCTCAAACAGCTCTATTGTATTCACAGAAATCAAAGTAAATCTATGAACAATGAAATCTCCAAACCACCCACTTCTTCAAAAAATGTATGTCGAGAAAGTAAAATATGATGACTGAAAAATGAAAAGCAGATTTATCCCGTAGAATTTCGGTAAAAATCAGCTTTCCTTCTGCTTACGTTCGCGTAAGGAAAAACCATCCAAGGCCAGAGTGAAATTCAGCGGGTGTTTCTACCCACAGGCTGACACTTGGGGTATTTACGCCGAACTCGACGAGCCTTGCTCCCTGTCATTTCCATCAACCACTGTCTCATGGGTGACAAGGTTGACAGGACGCTCGGGTTCATCGATCGATCCAACACCAAGCTGTCTATCGGGCGAACGTGAGCGAATCACAGAACGACCAACATGGAACAACGGCGGTTGAGGTGATTCACGCTGGTGGCCACGCTTACGAGATCGGTGACTCGGCCCAGAAAGATTGCCCTGAGGTGTCGCGGTACTGTGCGTGTGACGAATGTTTGAAATGGGCACTGGCTCAGGCTCATCAACAGTACTAGTACTAATAGCGCTGGAAATGGTGCGCGGGAGGTTGTAACCGGCTTTTCCGAGCGGGACGGAAAGACCATGGACGACCTAGGCTGTGGTTAGAATTATATCTTTGAGTAGGGACGGGAGTTCGGATACTCACGATACTGCAAATTACGAGGAACCACACTACGACGTTGATGGTATCCATGACTTGCTGAGCGTCCTCGCGGACCTTGCCATCGACTGTGATTTCCCGGAGGAATTCTCTGCTGATGGAGAGGTAGAAGATAGCACCGACGCCGATGGGACCGAAAAATCCAACGAATGCTGCGTGGGATATGTGCTCGATTTGATGGATGTACTTGTGCATCGCGAAGATGATTGGCATCCGGCGAACTAGCAAAATCAGGACTCCCAGGAAAATGAGGCGGTAAATCGGAATGATCTCGTTATTCAGGAAGGACGACCACGGGCAGACTGCGCCAAACCACATGAACACTGCGAGATTGAGAAGCATGTCAATAGTTGGTTGGAGAGAGTCGTCCATGGTTTCGAGTCGGAACCAGTCACTATACCTGTCAGTTCTCTTCCTTCATGGCATCAATATGGATAACTTACTCCTGTGTGAATACATTCCCCGCAATAAAGCACGCGAGAAGGTCATCAGTTCCGATCAGGCCGCAAGTTCCAACAACGAAAAGCTGTTTCCAAATGTCAGCAAGAAATCAAGAATATACACATGATTCGAATATAGAGCAGAACTCACGGCAAGCGCAATGGCAAAGACCAGGAAACTCTCGCGATCAACATAACGCTTCTCCTCCGCCCAGTGGAGAAGCTTTCGCGACAGCCAACCAACCACAATGCCATACACTACACTCAAAACGATAGTATACAGCCAAGTCTCCAGAAACCACTGAGCCATCGCCTTCCCAGCCCATCCAGTATACCCTTCACCATCCATGCCAACATACTTAAGCAAGTAGATGCCAAAGAAAAGGAAAGGATACCCCAGACCATCATTAGCACCAGACTCAGCCACAATGATCCTCTGCAGCGGACGCGGAACATGCTTGTCCGCAAACTTGCCCTTAACAATGGAATTGGACAGGACCGGGTCGGTAGGTGTCACACAGGCGGCAACGATCAGCGCATGGAGAAACTTGAAGTTGGGGACCATAGCCCATATCACCAGGCTACTACACAACCACATCGCAGCCATGCCAGGCCCGAGCAGAAGCGACAAGCTCCGCCATTCGATTTGGAGATAACGTTTGGGGAGCTGGACGCCTGCTAGGACCAACTGCACGCCTAGGACTAGGCGGGTGAAGTGCAAAGTGATTGCCTCGAGGTTCTCCTCGGAGTGCAAGGCATAGTCATCTGGGCGGATGAAATTGGCTGCATGTGGAGAGAATGCGACACCCGCCAGAAGCGAGATTACTATAGCTGGGGGTCAGGGGCCATCGAGCGAAATGAAAGTGAGGTTGATCAATAGAATTACTTACGGGCCTCGGATAGGTAGAATCGCTCCTTGCACAGGTAGGACACCAGGCCAAAGAGTGAGATAAAGCCTCCAAGCGTTGCACAGACGATGTTGAAGTTGATCAAAGCGAGAGTCGGCATCTCGGTCTTGGCTATGGCTTGGCGGCCGAGGTCCCAACGACGTGGTAGCCACTGGTAATGACAAGAAAAATTGAGATCTTAGGGAGTGGAATCAGTGAAAGTATCTCACTCAATTTGAAAATAATATTCACGGCGGATCTAGATTGATCCGCGATTGACCTGCTTCGAACTTCCACAAGCGGAAAAAACGTGACAGCGGGGTTAAAAGCAAATGTTAGGCAATCATAGTCTTGAGATCCTGAATGCGACGCAAGGCGACCATGTGGTAGGTTGAGAAGAGTGAAGACGAAGTTAAAGCCACGGTGGAAACTATGCTCGTTCTTTTCCAGAGTGAGTATTCTGTCGAGCGGGACGCGGAGATGGAGGTTGAGGCGGAGGGTAGAAGGGGAAGCAAACGGAATTTGCGGGTGCGGAAGAAATCCCACCTCTTGGCGATAACGCCCGATCCCAATCTCCGGGCGTCTCGAGCCTAATCTACAAGACAGCGCCATCTTAGCTTCGTTGCCGATCGCTACTATTTATGTACGGCTGGAATTGACATCTACAGCAGCATCGGCGTTTATATGCATACACAAGATCCTTGCATGCATCATCACAAAAACATGGAAATAATCTTGGTTCTATTTCATGAACATCGTGGGGCACTGGGAAACGGAATACCGTAGTTCACATTTTTCAAAAGTCATCCTCAGATACCGCTGCAGGCACCCTGCGACTGACTTCCAATGCCTCTGCCTTTTGTCTTACTCCTTCGTGGGCTCCGTTGACCGCTAAGCGATCGGCCGCCTCGTTGCCAGGGTCGCGGTTATGTCCCTTGATCCACTGAAACAACGTCTTCACCTTGAGCTCATTGCGCTCTTCGATCTTCACCAAGATGGACTCCACCAAGTCACGATTCTCGACCGGTTTGTTGTCTTTGGTCATCCAATTATTGCGCCGCCAATTGACAAACCACACCGTCACACAGTCAATCGCATATCGGCTGTCGGTGAAGATGGTCACATCACGATGACGAGGCGCGATATCAATGGCTCGCAGAATGGCGGTCAGCTCTGCCCGTTGGTTGGTTTGTCGGCTTCCTTTAAGTGGCTCCGAGACGTTCCTGCTAGGACAATCAAGCGTGAGTCAGAATACCTTGGTCATTTTGTTGGTGAAAGAACGGTGATCACAAACCTCGAGTCTCCGGGTCCAAAGTACACCCCGACGCCGGCCGAGGCCAGCTTGGTTCCATTCCGCAGTGAGCTCCCATCTGTGTATATCCGCAACATGCTCGGGATTCCCGCAGCCTGTGTTTTCGTAGCTGCCTTTTTGGCAACCGTCTTGTACACCATCTTTCCCGTGGCCGGGTCTAACAGCACATTTGGATCGAACCCGTCCTCTGCGCCTTGCGGCAGAGGCCCGTCCCCAGCTGCGAACTCGACCCCATTCGCGTCCTTGGGATTCTCCGCGGTCATACCGGGAGCTCCGAATCCAAGCGACGCAAGTGCTCCTTCGTTCCCTGCATTCACGAATTCTTCTGCCTCTTCACGCGTCGAGAACTTCCGGTACCGGGGTCGCGTAAAGCCGCGAATCTGCTCTTGTGCTGTCGTCCAGTCGGTGTAAACACCGGGGACTCGGCCTCGTTGAACTCCATAGAACCGTGTATTTTCGCCGCCGTTGGCGGAGGCGTTGGCGGACGGGACTTTGGCGCCAGCTAGGAAGGCGGTGGCATCTTCGAAAGTGAGGAAGGATTGGACTGTAAACAGCGCGGGGGAAATTAGTATCTAGCGACCAGGCTAGGCGCGTCACGGAGCTTGTCAAGCTCATGAAGATCGCGTGTGGAGAGCTACCAGGTCACGTACAGATAGCTCCTTTGAAGCCAGTGATCTGAGCCAGGCAGTCAGGCCAGCTGTAGTAAATCCCTGGCTTGTTCCCCTTCTTGACCGCGTATAATTTGTTTCCGGTGGTTCTCTTGCGCTTGGTGCCAGCGGTCGGCGAAGGAGAAGGCTTAGAGCGAGGGGAGGCTTTCGGCACGGGCGCCGGACTAGGGGAGGGCGTGGTTTCGTTCATCGGGGTGGGCTGAGACTCGTAGGCGATCGAGTCGAGGGTGTTTGGTGAGAACGAGTGTCTGGTGGGTGTGAGGGTCGCGGAAAACTGTCTTAGAAGTGGAGGGTCGAGATTGAATCGCGGAAGCCCTGGTGAACAAATTCTCCAGCAGTGCGGAGTGGATTGCGGACGGCGCCTCGGAAGCCAAGACCAAGACCCCAGGTTTGGGGCTGTGATGCAGACGCGTCTGCTAATTGTGAACGACCCCGAGCCAAGCAGGGGATTCTTCAAAGGGCGGAGAAAAGGAGGTAGCGTTGTAGAGGAGGGGAGGAGGGAGGAGGAGCTCGTGGTTTCGGCGAGGTAAATTCAAGAAAGAGGGAGGGGGTGGAACTGGGAGGGGGGAATCCTGCCTGATTGGGGCATCCACAGGGACTCCCGATAACCTCGTCAACTCTCCGCGTTTTTGATTTGACGGACTTTTCAGATGTAACCAGGCTGTCAGCATCGAAGGTAATTGCACTCGTTCCTTGAAGGTTGTGCTCAATCTGCTGGTCGTGTTGCGTACTCTTGCTAATCATCAATCCTAATGCTGAGATATAGATTACCCAATGGGTATACACATCTTGTACTCAGCACTCGCTGCTTTCGATGAGAAACAATGAAAAGGGTTCACAGAAATAGTAGGGAAATGCTTCCATCGTCGAGTATGGCGATCAAAAGAGCTCAATAGCTAAATAGCTTCACAGCACTGGCTATGCTAGCTACTGATCTAGATTCTTTCCAAAACCCTTGCAACGGCCAATTTTGTTTCTTGTTGAATACCCTTGATCAACTCCTCAACCGATACAATCTTGTCAATAATTCCAACTCCTGTGCCTCTGTATCATTTGTCAGTACGATTCGTATATAGCACTTCTCTACAGGGCAACAGGACTCACGCCCACACTGTGCGTCTCTGATCATCCCCCTGGTCTCTAGCCTCGTTATACCGTTGGATGATCTCTTCATCACTAGCGCCAGCATGGGACTCGTTATAGCTAATCCCAATTATAGCGCGTCCATCATACTGTCTAGGAAACACGTCAGTAGACTGGAAGACGTCGTGCTTGGTCGTCTTGATGGTTGTGACACCGCCATCAGTAGCAGCTATTATCGACTCTTTCATGGAGAGAGGAGCGGGACATTCGGAGGTAGCCATGAACTATTCTCAGTCAGCATTTTCATTGGGATCACAATATATGCACTTGGCTTACCCTCGTCCCCATAACAATGCCGTCCGCGCCTAGTTAGGTTATTAGCGACCCAATGTCTTATCATTCGAGGTATACGTCACTCACCTAAGCTCAGGGCAGCCAAACATCCTCGTCCGTCCACAATACCGCCAGCAGCCAGGATAACAACATCGTTTGCTCTTGCGCTCTTCGCCACCAGATCTCGTACCTCGGGTAGGAGCGACATCAAACTAGCCCCCTGGGCCCACTGGTGTCCGCCTGCATCGACGCCTTGGACGACTAGGACATCGACTCCCTGCGCCAAAGCCTGTTTAGCAGCTTCGACAGTGCCTACTTGGACAAAAATCTTCACATCCCAATGGCCCTTGCTCTGGACGATGCGAATCGCCTCTATGAGAGGCCGGTGGTCAGCGTCCGATTTGGGGAATGACAACCAGACCGCGGCGACCCTATGCTTTTCGAGAATGGCCACGGCATTTTCTTCAAATCCGGTTGGAGTAAACGTGATAAATCCTATGCCAATAGGGAGCGTCGATGTTGAGGCGGTGATCCCAAGCTCCGCACGCGCTTGTGTTAAGCGCGCATCGAGATTCGCGAGCTGGGTTGACTCGGGTTCGAAGTTAAAGCCGCCCCCAATGAAGCCTGTTGTATTAATACGTCAGTGATATATTTCTCTTCGGCTCGTGTGCAAGCTAGAGTGGGAGAGCCGGCTAGATGCGGTAGATCAACGACGAGGGCGATCGAGGGTCTTTTCGAGGGAATGATCTCAGATGGCGTATACATACCTAACCCACCAGCTTTAGTAACAGCACCAGCCAAGCGGCAGTCAGTAAATCCAAGCATCGGTGCATTCGCGATAAACGGGGTGGTTGTGTGGGGAAACCATTGATTCAGAAGGCGCTCTGGTGAGCTAATTGGGGCCATAGCTTATTGCCTGGAGTGCAGCTGGGAGATTGATTATTTTCGAGAATATAGGCCTGAGATATCACCCGAATGACACGAGTGAATATCAACAACAAGATCCTTACAGCCGAACACAAATGTCATCAAATCGCTGGGGCGTCCCCGCTCCGGGCCGGAACTTATTTTAGTTGGCCAATAGCTTGACTGGAACTTTCCAACATGAGCTCTGTGCCAGATCGTACTCAGTAGCTATCAAATTTCAACGCCAATGGCCATACCGAAACAATGATAATTGAGTATGAATCAAGGCGGATTTTGATAGATAATTGATATCGTTTTTGATCGGTCTACATGCCAACCACTAAGTGTCTGCAGACTCGCTAAGATTCATAGCAAAGGAGAGGCAACCCCATTACTCCTTCTCTCACACCATATAACTTTTTACACATATTCCAGTCCTACTATGGATTTTCAAGGTATTTTGATTCCTTGATCTTCCACAACGCAAGTGAGATTCTGTCCTCGACCCCATTCCCCAAACTAGAGCCGCAGCGACTGTCTCCCACGTGCCTACTGTTGGAAGCCCGGAGTAACCTGCAAATCGCCCCACGGCCATATGCGGTTACTGTTTCAGCTTCATCTTTTCCTCTAATCATATCCCTCGCTTTCTTAACTAAATAAGTCAGTGCAGCGATCGCGCGACGTACCAAGGGTCTTGACAAAGTACCGTACATAAAGGCGCTTGAATTAGTGGGGGCCATGGAAAGCCCGGTCCTATGACTGGTTCAGCAATGACCTGGGCGCTAAGTAGTCGGCGTGTGGCCCCCTGAGATGATTAAAGGATCATCGGGCAGGGCATGTTCAAAAAGGAGTGTCCAAGCCGCGTGCAATTCTTGAAGTGTAAAAAAATACTTACCTTTCTCTCTCGTCGGCATTCGCCGGCGCGACCGTTATCACGTCCCAGTCAATCTTCTATGTCTACGAAGTCTCCTTTCCTGCTTCTGATTTAAAGTGATTTCGTTTTCCTTGAACAGAAAAATGTCCAACCCTGTGCCTCCGTCAGGCCTTGAAGTCGTTCCGTCCCAGGAACCTGAAGCCGTCAGTCGCGCGGCAGCGTACCCTGATCAAGGGCTACAATACGTGGATAATAGCCCACATATTGATGAAAAGAAAGCCCAGTTTGAAAAACCACGAGTTTGCGGTTTGAAAAGAACAACTTTCTGGATATTAGTGGTTGCATCTGTGGTTATAATATTCGCAGCTGCCCTCGGTGGCGGCCTCGGTGGTGGCCTTTCGTCTCGTGGGAAAGAATCAACGACATCCAGCCAGAAAGCCAGTGAACAGTCTCCATCTACTTCATCAAACTCATCAACGAGTGGCACTGCGAGCAACACCGCTTCAGCTACAGTCACCATGTCAGCGGTAGTGGGAACCATCAGTGGAACGACGACGACGCTCTACCGAGACTGCCCCTCCAGTAACGATACGATTTACAACGTCGAATACAATTCATCCACATACCAATTCCGGAAACTCTGCAACATGCAGGCTGTTATTCATGGAGATCATGCGACCTATGTCAACCAAGCAACTAGCAATCTGAATGACTGCATCAATCTGTGCGCGGCATATAATGAGAACAACGTGACAAAGAGCACTGGGTCGAAGGTTTGCTCCTCGGTTTGTTGGCGGAATGGCTTTGTCGATGATGACTGGCCAGGCCAATGTTTTGGATATGCAGGAAATAATGACTCGTACAGTGGGGGGTATAACCTCCAGGCGGATGTTACCTGTGATTCGGCAATTTGGACCAATGAAGCGTGATACTTTTGTGACTATACGTTCTCTTTTTGCTGTGTATGTATATATAGACCCTCGCCGGCTGATCTCAGGGATTGAGTAGGCCCTTGAATGCCTGATCCTATCTTGCTTTCTTGAAGATATCTGTATCGAAGTCGACAGCATGACCTGAATCACAAATGCTTCATGGGCGACCATCTTCGTCTTCGTCATCACGTATTGCAAGGGTAGAAGTATGTCTGGACACTTTGTGCTCAGACAATTACTTCATTCGAGTTGAATCATGGGCATACCGCGGTAACAACAGTGCAATGCTGGTTGGTCATACTGCATCTTCCAAGGCATCAGGCTTGCGAGATCAGCGATGGAGTGTAAAAATTACCCCTTCAAACCAGTCTTCTATAAACCTCCCGCTCCCCATCGAACTTTCAATTGGTGACATCGTTGCTGGTCTTAGTGTAGATATACACATGAAACCTACCATTTATCGGCAGGCTTGTCCTATATATCAATCCCCATTGATGGCTGTGCCAAGGGTTTTACATATGAGGGATGCGCCGTCGCAATGCTTCTAGGTCTTCACGACGCTGGATTTTGCGTCAGAGTCACCTTCGTGAGGTAGACACTAGCCAGGAGTAGAGTAATGGCGACAAAAAAGTCAATGGGAAAGCGATACTTGTGAGATTGACGGACGGAAAGGAGAAAAGGCCTGGGGGCAGTTGAAGCTCTGGCTTTCGAAAGGATTGTAGACCTATTCATCAGGCAATCTACCCCTACGACACTGTACATTCCATTTATCTCGTTCGTCAATCAGATTCAAGGTGGGCTTTCAACCCCACTTGCCCTGCCAAGTAACCTCGTATCCGTTCGCCCGCATTTTGCCTCCTTTTAAAGTTAGCCCAGCCGATCACTCATACAACTCGTATAAGGTGAGGCTAGCGTGAAGAAAGAAGACTATTTTTAGCGGGACCTCCGGAAAATACTTACAACGTCGTGTTCTTCTCACTCATCGAGATTGACGATTTTGCCTGCCCTGCCAAGCAATCTCGTGTTCCCTTCGGCTTCAATTTACCTTATTCTAGATTAGACCCTGCCGATCGCTTGTGCGGCTCGTAAAAAGATACTAATTTTGGCGATTCACAGCTCCTGGCCCCAGATCGTATTTCCTTCAGGCACTTGACATAGGCGATCGTTTTGGCCCCAGAGTAGGATTGATATTCGAAAGCAAATAGCACCAATCTCGTATCGTGAGAAATAGATGCTAAGAAAGCCTAATTACGAGCTCGTCTACACATTCTGGCGCCTCCAGCTTGTATACAATGATCACGTTTCGGGCGAGGTTACATGCCGTCGATGGAGTCGATCGTGTATCTAGTGAGAAGACAACTTCGTGGCTTTCGTACATGAGATTCTCGACGCTAAATTTAGGCAGATTGGCCTCGGGTATGCTCGTGTTAGTCGATACTCAATCCAGCCGTGACAAGCACCCGGTCAAGATCGAGGCACCAGTCAAAGTATAAGTATCCATCTCTGGCCTGGCCGCAAAATCTTATTCCAAGCATCAAGCTCTTCAACCTTTCATCATCACTATCCCATTCAGAGTCCCCTCATCGAACACACTATCGAAAGGAAGTGCATTCATCCAGAAATCGGCACCACTTACCGATAGATCACCAACACACGAACTCTGCCTCTCTACACCAATTCGACATCATGCAGCTCACAAATTTGGCTCTGGCCCTAGCTGCGGCTTTTTCTATGGCCAATGCCTACGCCATCTCTGGTGATGGAGTCAACTGTCGCACCGGTCCCTCCACCAACAATGCGGTTGTCACCTCCTATCCAAAGGGTACCGATGTCAAGATCACTTGCCAGACTCATGGTGAGGACATCAAGGGCAGCACCATTTGGGACAAGACCTCCGACGGCTGCTACGTTACCGACTACTACGTTAAGACGGGCTCCAGCAGCATGGTTACCAAGGACTGCAGTGGTGGCAGCTCTGGCGGCGGAACCTCTTCTTACAACGGCAAGATCAGCCGCAAGGAGATCATCTCCCGCGGCGAGTTCTGGGTCTCACGCCACATCCCATACTCCATGAACGCCGAATATCCGGATCCTCAAGGCCGCAAGTACCGCACCGACTGCTCGGGTTTCGTTAGCATGGCTCTTCACGCAAATTCGCCAGGCTACAACACCGTCAGCCTTCCAGAGATTGCTAAGGCTATCTCTTGGGACGACCTCCAGCCTGGTGACTTTGTTGGTACCCTTGGACCTGGCACTGGTGGTGCTGCTGGCCACGTCACTCTGTTCCATTCGTGGGCTGATAGCTCCAAGAAGGAGTACAACACTCTTGAGTGCCGCGGAACCTACGGCTGTGTTGCGTACAAGCGCGCTGTTGGCTGGAAGGACGGCAGCTTCACGGCCAAGCCCTACCGCTACACCCGTGTTGTGGACTAAGTCCGAATTCCACAGTTGTGAGGTTAAGGAGAAATGCACCAAGTTTTGGGTATATGTACAGTACTTGTGATGGCCGGAGGCTCTTGAGCAAGCGCAGGCATGTGACGTGGTTCGGATAGATTCCTAGGCTGAACAGACAGCGTGTGAATTTAGATTGCCTTCTACCTTTTGTCCCTTTCTTCCTTTCCTCGAGTTCGATATTCTTGCGAATGTTTTAGTCCGCGTTTCTTTTTCTTTGGCCTTCTGCGGAATTCAATTGGAAACTTATCTTAAAATTTACCTTCGGCTGCTGAGAATGGCCACCCACGCTCTATAATCAGTAGTTCTGTTCATCAAACATGTTCGTGTACTACTGCCATAATGGTTACTCGAAGCTCTTCATCCATACCTCGATAAATTTAGCTTTCTCCATCTTAAATTGGAAATTCTTACCCCCTATCATTGCTCTTTTTCTTCAAGAGAGTTTCAGCTTCTTTCCAACCAGATAGTGAAATTCAATCTGGCAAATGAAGAGGGGCCGCGATTGCTCATATCGCTCTCTGTGGTGGGTAATGGTGCTTGAGCTGGCGGCTTAAGCTCTCCAAGTCAGACAAGCTCCGAGCTCGAGTTGCTCAACAGGATTGGCCGTGATTGCAGTTAATGTTTATCATTGTAGACTAGGAATCCGACAGTCTATTCTATATAGAAGTCAGGCATTAGTATGTGGAGTCGTGGTGACACACGATATATGGATATGAGCTTGAACAGCCCTATGACCCAGAAAACCCCGAGAAACACATATTGAACGACTTTCGCCCTCATATCGCGCCTCCGGTGGTGCCGCATAGTCATCTGTGAATAAAAGATCCAAGTTTGTTTTCAACAGCAAGCCCAGCTCAAGGAATAAGGCGAACTGAAACTACGTCGCAAAATATGTGAAAGATCCAGAGGGCTTTTGTGTCTACCAAATTTGAATATCGTGGCAGCACAAGAGGGCATGGGCAGAACGTAACGACCATTGTTGATCAATTAAGGGTCTAGCCACAAAGAGAGACCTGATTGGCACGGGAATTGAGCAGTCTTGGGGCTGTGACATAGCTAGTCCAAGCCGAAATTAGACTCCATTCTGATGTAGTAGGTTAGCCCTATTATGAATGCAGTCCCCTTCACGTCGGCTGTTCCAAGGGGGTCTGAGTGGAGGCTCTTCCGGCCCCCAACTCGCAATCTGCTCGAACTACTGATGCAATCTCACAGTCGTGACCGTTCTGGGTCGACTGTCTTCGCGGATAGCTCTACTTAATGAGTTGCTGTTATGAGCTCCACTCTTTAAGACCCGAAGCAGAAGCTATCTGGAATGTTGTAAAGGTCGAAGGTTCCACTCTTTATGCACTGGATTTCTCTGTAATTCGCCGCGGCCACTGCAAGGCTAATCTCATGTCACATGAGGGGCCTAAGTGGGTCGTTTTAGGTAGTTGAAGGGTTGAAAGAATATGGCACAAGAGGATCAAAATCGTGTAAATCATGTGAACCGTCACTTTGGGGACAGCAAGAAGATATCCTCAGCGTACATTCAAGCAGGACACACTGTGCTCGACCAGAGCGCAAATATTGATTCAATGAAGGTTCATGATGAACCGAACGCCATGCATTGATACTGGTATCACTACCAGAGGTAAAAGGATATGAGAAACACAAAAATAAAAATAAAAAACAAGATTGGCAGATAAGAAAGAATCCGGAAACTCGTGAGAAGAGCCTCCAGAACCCACGTCCGCCACTATTGCACATCAGAAAGACAAGAAAAAAACATGCTCAATCAGTTCGCGAAGAATTATCCATTAACATGAAGAGCTCATCGTCGGGAGGCTCGACAGCAAGTTTGAGGTCGAGTTCCCAATTAGATTATGCACTAGTGAGATCATATTGCATGTCATTGCCGCAATTCACATTCATGTTCATGCCCGTGTCCACATTCCTCCGGGCGTATCATCTCCGTTCGTTCCATGCATAGTTTGTTATGTTTCATGCATCCGATATCGTAGCACATCATGCAGAAAGGCAAAGTTGACTCCGGTGGTGTGTGTGAGAAAACGTAATAGTGAGACGGCTGTAAATAGCACTCGTTCACTAAATGGGTGCAGTGTAGTCACCGTGAATCTTGCGCGTGAACTGAATCATTCGGACAACCCAGTCAATAAGCGCCGGGCTTGCCTTGTTTAGTTGGTTGGTCTCCTGCGTAGCAGTGAGGTAGAAGCCGTGCAGGCGCTGGCCGAGCTTGTTCATGGTGATGGGAACAACTTGGCGCAGGTCCTCGTTCAATATGAGAGATACGCGCATGTTGGCGTTCTAATGGAAAATTCATGTTAGCAACGGATACTGAGGGTGTACTGTGAGACCTACCTGGCGAGATTCGGGATCAACCATGGTGAGAACGGTCTCCAGCCACTTGAGGCGCTTGCTGATGTTGGTGTTCAGGGAGACGGTTACAGCCACGGCGACCGAGAGGTTGAGCATCACATTCAGGTTGAGCATATAGTCCGGGTCAATACGGTTGAAGAGGAGGTCGAAAAGGTCGGCCTGGCGGCTGGATTCGATCCACTGTGAGGAGGATAGCGTTAGACACAAATCTCCTATGCTGAGAGGGGGAAATAAAATACCTTCAGAGTAGCTGCTTCGTATTTACCTTCCTCGAAGAACAGCTGCATGATGGCGTTCATTTCAGGATCACCCGAGGGCTGGGCAGGTGCCTGTTGACCAAGCAGAGTCGCAACCTTGCCTGAGAGTTCCTGCAAGGCAGCGGACAGCTGGTCAATCTTCGCATGATCGCTCTGGCGCTGAGCCTCGTAGTGCTTCGCCTGCGAGCGGAACAGCCGGTCAAGGTCAGCCTCAACCTTCTGAGCGCTGCGAGACGCATTCTCCACCAAAGGCGCGATGGCACCCTGGACGACAACATCAAGGCGCGGCGACAATTTCTGGAAGACAGAGTCCGAGATGGTCTTCATCACAGCAGGCTGCTGCAGGGCAGCGTTGACAGCCTTGGGCAGGGCCTGACGGAGCTCGTCACTGAGTGCACCGCCAAGCTGCTGAGAGACGGCGGCACCGATTTGCTCGCCAACAGCGGCAGAGGTGGCATCGCCGATGGCGGGAACGACATCGGTCTGGATACTGGTCGACACGATGCGGGCCAAATTCTTCTCCACATTGTCCGACAACGTGCTGGAGACGAGGCGGAGCACTTGGTCTTGTTTCGCGGACGAGGCAGCATCCCAGCTGCGGCGGTCCTCATCGAAGCGACGGTAGAGCGACTCAAACTCGCGGCCAAGGCTTTTGTTGAATTCATTGGAGACGCTGCTCTGAAGATTCTCCAGGTGCTTGTTCAGATCCTCGTCGGTGAGGCGGGGGTGGGCCTGGCCAGTGGCGAAGCCAGCCGGGATTGCACGCTCAGTAGCGTCGGTTGCAGTCATGGTGGGAGTTGCGGAGGGAAGGAACTCGTTGTCCTTGGAAGCAGGAAGAGGCTCAACACCAACTGTGGCAGTGGGCTCCTTAGCCTTCACATTCGTCTCAGAAGTGACGGCAGGTGCCTTCTTCTTCTTCTTTTTGTCGGACTTCTCAGCGCTGCCTGACGCCTCGGTCTGATCCTTGGCGGCCTCCTCAGCAACCTTCTTCTTGCCAGCAGCCTTAATAGGCGACGCGTTACGCGATGGGACAACACCAGCAGTCGAATCAACGGTATCCGTCTTCTTGACGGTGGCCTCCTTGGCAGAGCGGGACGGAGTGGATGCAGTGTCACCATTAACAGAGGGCTCATCAGTGACATAGGCAGGGAAGGTCTGCAGATCAGCGATCTCAATAGAACCGGCCTCCAACCCATCAATGGCTCGGGAGACCTTGTTGTCCTCAGTCCATCCCAGATCCTCCTTCTTGATGTTCAGGCAGGTAACACCACGCGAATGCATAACGTACAACTCGAACAAACCAGTCTCCTCAGTGCCACGCTTATCGGCGGCAGACTTGGTAATAGGCAGAAGCTCCAGGCTTCGCAGTTGACCCTTGGAACCAAGAGAGATCTCCCGGATTCCGCTCAGGCAAGCAGTCGAATCGGGCTTGGGGAGAGTGCTGTCCTTGTCGGTAGCAGCCTTGATGAACGCCGCCTGGGACATAACCGGCAGGTTATAGCGGGGTGCAGACAGGTGAACGAAGTAAATCGAGTTGCGCGTGGGGTGGCCAACAACAACAATGCCCGATGCAGGGTGGTACGCGACGCTGCAGATGGCGTCCGACTCATTCTCGTGGGGGAACTTGACCTCCTCCACGGCCTTGCCTAGCCCAATGTCCCAGAGCTGCAAGGTGTGGTTCTGCTTGAGGCCGACCAGAACGTAGCGTAGCGCCATGGCGCGCGAGTAGGGGCGAAGCTTGTCGAGGAACAGCACCGAGGTAGGCCAAGACTTCTCAGCCGGCGAGCCGGTGACAAAAGTGTTGAGAGGCACCCGAACTTCCGTGGGGGCCTGACCTTCGAGGAAAGAGGGGTTATCCAGGATATCACTGATATCCCAGAAACGCAAACGACCGGTCTTGTCGAGGGAGGCAATAACGGTATCATCATCACTGAAGGCAAAGTCCTTTCCAGCCTTCCCAGTCGAGATCTTCAATGCACGCTCCTTGAAGAACTTCTCGGTGTTGACGGTGCGCTGAGAACCAACGACACCGTAGGTGGCAGACATAGCGGCCTGGGGAGAGATCACGTAGATGTTCTTGCCGCGACCAATAGCAAAGAGATCGGGGTGACGAGAGCTTCGCTTGGCCCGCGTTTTCAGCTGGCCGCCAGAAGTGTTCTCATCAGAGGCAGGGAAGGGCGGGAAAATCAAGCTTTCGCTTTCCAGAGCATCCAGCTCGAACAGATCCTTTCCGGCGCGAGAAATCAAAGCCCAGTAGACGGCACCGCTGACACCAATGCCAAGGATGGCCTGAACGTCGGACTGGCCAGTCGTGGCGTGAGTGGTGCAAAGGGCAACATTAAATACACGGTCACGGGTAGCACGGAAGACCTGTCGGTCACTTCCATCGTCCTGACGAATGATTCTGATACCGCCAGTCTTGGCAAGAGCATATACAATGTAGTCCGAGGTCGCTGCGGTGAGCGAACGATCCAGCTGATCAAACTCCTTCTTGAGACGGGCAATGTCCATGATGCCATCGTCACGGAAATCCACGAGCTTAGCAGCAGATGGCTTCACGGTGATGGAGATGAAAGGTCGCAGAGGGAAGTTGTGAACAAATACCACACGTTCCTCGTCCTTCTCCGCGCTATCTTCAGCGCTCTCCCAGCTGTCAGCCAGAGCCTCGGCATTTTCATTGCCGCTCGGGACAACAGGGGTAGGGATGCTATCAGTAACAGTCTCCTTGACAGGCTCGCTATCCGTTTCAGGCTGCTTGTCTTGGTTCTCAACTTCGGCGCGAACATCTTCAACTCTAGTAATCGTCTCCCGCATGTGGTTGCGGATCACCTCGAGAAGCTCTTCGGGCTCCTCAGATTTGGTGGCGGGAACATCAATGTTCAACTCAACCTCACGCTGAGCGGAATCAGGTCCGTTAATGGTGCGTCCAATCTCGCTCACGAGACGGCTGACGACATCATTCATAGCCTCGCGCTGTTCAGGTTCCAGCACAGGGGACTGGTTCCGCTTCGGAGGCCGTGCCACTTGAGAAGCAGTAGGAGGTTCAATAGTAGCAGTGACATTGACCTTCTCCTTCTTAGTAACTTCCACAATTGGAGTCTCGTTATCAGACTTGGGCTGCGGAGACTTGTTACGAGGAGAGATGGCAGCCAATTGGTCGAACGGATTGACATAGGTGAACATGGAGTCCTTGGAGGGAGATGCAACCGTTTCCGGAATCGCAGCCTCCTCAGGATCGGTATCCAGTACTTCCATGACAATGCCGTTGTTGCCCTGCTCAGGTGCAGGCCCACTGGGAGCTTGCTGGGGAGGGGTTGGCTGAGCAGTGGGAACCAAAGCAGGCGCCTCTACTACAGCTGGGACAGGCTGGGCCCGGTTGAGCAGACGGAGCAGCATGTCTTGGGTGTTTTCACTGGGACCCTCAGGCTGAGCAGTGGGCACTGGCGCCGGTGCAACAGCAGGAACTGGCGAGGGTTCGCTAGGGATCGCCTTCTGGCCGAAAAGAGAAGCCACCAAGTCCGACGCGGAAATGTTTCGTCCGTGCGACGGGGTCGGCTCCTGGACGGGAGGAGAACGGGGCTGCTCGGGGACAACGGGAGGGGCTGGCTGGGGAACGGTGCCCGGACCCTGGCTGAATCTCAAGAGATTGAGCAGGCTTGCAGCACTATCCTGGTTGCTTTGCTGGCGAGGCGGCGGCGGCGCGTATGGCTGCTGCTGCCACTCGGCACGGGGGGTCGGCACGTTGGGACTGAGGATGTCCGAGCCATGGTGCGGCGGGGTATTCACAGGGGAAGGGCTATGAATGGCCGAAGCGACCGAAGGATGGTGATAACCGTGCAGCTGGGGATGGGGGAAGCTCTGGCCATCGTATGGCTGCTGCTGCTGGTGTTGCTGGGGGTGAGGAGGGAACATGCCCTGAGGGTAGGGCTGCTGGTAAGGCTGCTGGGCCCGCTGGTAGTGAGAGTTCTCCTGACCAGGAACATTCGATGGCGAAGGCCGCGGGCGAATGCTGGCCAGCAGGGCCTGGAGATCATTCGGGGTGGACATTTCTGCCGCGCGCCGTGGATGACAGGCGACCTCCGCACGAAACCCAAGCTTTACAAGCTCTCAAATAGCTCTCTTTCGAGAGGATCAGAGAAGACTAGCCAGTCAAGATGAATCAGATGAAGGAAGTAACAAAATTGGGTTGGTTGCGAACGGAAAGACGGGGATATTGAGAATGAAAGAAGCGTGAGGCGATGGTTGTGCGCGATGAAAAGGTTGTGACGGTCAAATTGGAGAAGTAAAACGCCGCAATGGCTAGTGCGCTAGTGCCGTGGCTGGTGTGTGTGTGTGTGTGTGTGTGTGTGTTTTACGGTAATTACCGTACGGGTAGGTGTACGATAATCTGGGGCCCGAGTTTCCGTCTGGTTGAGGCCGATCGCCACTGCACCCTCGACTCTGATCAACTTCACAGGATATATCCTCAACCCGTCGTTTGCATCACACATGGCCCGCTGTGAATAACAACTGTCTCGCTTAGAGCATTTCCTCTGTATACGTCCTCATCTCTCAAGTACATCTCCAGTCGGCCCAGCTCCCGCCGTGGGCTGGCGTCATCCACCATGTTCTGTCTCCGCAGGTAAGCACATCTAACTTGACGTTCAAGGTCGAGCAACGACGGGAAATCAATTTCAACTCTAATCATTCTCTCTGGACGTCTCTAGCTGGCTCCCTCTGCTATTCATACCCACGAACGCCTCCCCGCTATTCATCATCTCCTTCATCGCCCTCACCTACATCATCCACCGACCATGCATCTATTGCTCCGCACTCCTCCTCATCCTCTTTGTATCATCCTGCCACTGGTCTGATCGATGCATCTTCGATCTCCGCAGTAACTGGTTCGCCCCGCGCTACAGTTCCGCGCCCGCCGATAGCTTCGTTTCAGGGAACGCCACCATGGAGGCGCCTTTGCCCGGTGACAGCCTTGCTAGCTTCGTCTTTGACACCTTCAACTCAACTGCCAAGGCACTGGCTGGAGCAGCCCTGGAAAGCGCACAGCAAAAGCTTGGTGTGGAATCAAGACCAGAGGAGTGGACTGGCGTGGGTCTGGAATGGCTGCGCAGTTTGCTAGGCCGGCGGGAGTGGACGCTTCCTTGTGTGGATGTGAAGGTGCGGTTATAAATTGATGAGTTGAGAGATATGAATCAGAGCTGGGCTCTGAATCTGCTCGTCATGCAACATTCTCACTTGAGGGCCATCTGCGAAGAAAGCTCATGCCCCCTTGGTGAGAGGTCGTGAATTGGATTCTCTACACACATACGGAACTGGATATTGCGCTTCTTTAACTGACCCTAGTTTCTCGGTTTTGGATTTGTATCGAACTTTGATCATGTGAAATTGGCCCCGTCCTTGGTTGGAACACGCATTGCATTGCATATAAGACATTGGAGGAACCATTACGACTAGACGGCAGAACAAGCAAATTTTCATTCAAAACCATGCGCGAACAATAATCCAATCCCGAATCTTGATATTTAATCCCATAATTAGCAGCAGCAAAGCCCTCATGAAATTTTCACTCAAACCATCATAGTTGGAGTTGCAGTCCCATCACCATCAAGACCTCCATTGCGCAAAACCGCAGCAGAAGTCACAAACGTACTCCAATGGACCGAAGGCGTCACAGTAGTATTCCCACCGGGCCCCGCTAGACATATTCCCAGGGAATTCAATAGGCCAATAACAGCAGGAATGCACGCCGCGCAAGCACAAATCTGTACGAAGTAGAACGAAGCAGATATCAGTATGAGTATTGGGCGAACACTTCGGCGATTTTCACAAGAAAGGCAAATAAGGCAGTGTACATACTCCTTGCAGCCCAGTCGTCAAACACTTTGCCAGTGCCGCGGGGTCTCGGGCTTGTAAAGCAGACGCGATACAGGAGATGGTACCGGTAAGACCGAGGCAGGCGTTTAGATTGCAGGCCGGTGGGAGGAGTTCGACGGTTAGTCGGTTTTGTTCGAGTACTGCCCGTGATGGTGAGGTTAGTCTAAAGCAGCGGTATATCGAGTATGGATTCATGGAATTCTGCCATGTATTGGAATAAAATAAGCGTGCATACAGGATAGAGGTGCTGCATTGCTTCGATCGTGAAGTAGTCGTGAAGAGGTAACTGGAGTAGACGATAATGGCGAAGATGATACTGGCGAAGATGATACTGGCGAAGATGGTGCTCTCGAAGACGAGGCCTCCGTACTAGCAACGCCGGACGTCAAGCCTGCCGCAAGAATGATAGTCGAAATATTCATACGCATATTGGCAGCGTTCACTGTTCAAGGAGTAGTGAGTTGTTGTACACCTCTCGTTCCATAATTTCTCAAGGTAGACACGGCCCTATTTATCTCCTACTACCACAATCAAAGCCTCCTCTTCGCTCTTTAAAGCCCCGTCACACTGTAACCTCCTCTTTAACCATCCAAGCGAAAACCCCCCCTCGGGGCTTTCACATCCTGTCCAATGGTGTCGATACGGATAGCTGCCAGCATATTTAAGGCAAACTTGGTTGATTGAGGTCACACTAGGTCACATCCGGGGGATCGAGCGTTGGGCGGGAGACACTGGGTGTATGCACGCAGCCTTGTCTGCTCAGTGAATTTAAGCCCAAGGGTGTTTTCATCCGCAGCTTAATCTGATTCCATTCTTCTTCATGAGGTGTGTGTTGTACATTGTATACTTTGTTCACCTGCCTTTACTAGAAATTGAGGGTCGTGCTAAGGGCATCGAAACGAAGTCTTGAGAGACTATTATCAAAGGACCTGAAGCGGCAATGGTTACTTCGAGGCGTTTACATACAGTGAGATTGTTGTTGTAGATATCCAAACGTTCTCTGGAATAGGGTCTTATCTTTCCAAATAATCATGGACATAGACAAGAATAAGAATATTCTTGTGCAATCATCTAACACAGAATTTGGAGCAAAAGGTAATCTACCATAATTACCTGACGAAACACAGTATAACACCCTCACCAAGAAGTATGACCTTCCTTTATTATATTGAAAACGAGGCCATTGCCACCCTCTGGATCTCTCGCCTGTATCCCTAAGGCTTTGGATTCCGGACATAATAATATAAAGTGTTCTATCTGGTAGTCACCATACAACCTGCACTACTATATAGTGGAGCTACGGTCAATCCACCAAATCCTTGCCTAAACATCAAAATCATCATGTTGGTCTCCGAAAGATATTGGCCTACTTAGATCGAGAGTAATTATGTGGGCTATGCGGAAAGATATTTCACAAGACTCTTCGAAAGATACTTATACTCATGACAGGCTTAGCATGATTTAGCCCATCAGACAAAAATCCAAGGCCGGGTGCACACGGGAAATCTAGGGGAAGTAGCAGCCTGTCCCAAAAGCAATGAACTATGGAACATGGAATAATGACCTTAATTACATGACGAAAAGGTATCTGACAAAATAAAAAGAAAAGAACAACACTTCCCCAAAACAATGCCCGTAATGGGGGGGGGGAGTACAAAAATTAACGATCCACGTACAGATCACCACCGCCCACCAGGAAAGCATCAGAATTCCCTAGGACAACATAGGATATCGAAGAGAGATTTCAAAAACAAGAACCAGGCATAACACCTGCCCGTAAAGGCACGCAGAGAGTAAGAGAGATAATTAACAAGCAGACGCAAAAATCGTGAAACGTGACCTAGAGGAATGTGTGGTATCACAACGTCAAAAGCTCTGTTCATCGTAGACGGGACCCCCACTAGACCCCCGTCTCATGACTAGGAAAGGAACTCGCAACGCCTCGAAGAGTCTCTGAAGACATAAAATTCCATGTATGTATCGGAAGAACATGTAAAAATGTGAAATGTGGAGGGGGCAAAGAAAGATCAGCACGTAAGAAGACTAAGCTTCAACATCATAAAACTTTGTGGAAAATCGGGGTTTAGTTATAACCACTTCCGACGGGCAGGGGCCAGTCGTCTTCGGTGATACTGCTCCAGAAGCCCCAGACGCCAACGACGGAGAGGAGGGTGAACAGGGTTTCGAATAAAGCGCCGTTGATTTTCCCAGATGTGGCCTGACACAGATGCGTACTGATCACGTACTGGAAAATCTGACCAATGGCAAAGAGCAGGCCGGCGCCGGCAAGATAGACTGTTACATGAATGATTAGTTAAACGGTCTCGACTGGACGGCCACAGAGATGACATACACATTGGACGGAGCTCGCCCAGCACCCGCAACACCAGGACGGTTTCAAGCAAGAAGAACAGAACCAGGCAAATCAGCGGGAAGAGCTGGTACAACACATAAAGGCCGATGTTGCGGTTGTTACCCGTCAAGCTAGAGTCGAAATGACCGGTCCAGGAGAATGCCGTGTCAAGGGCGATATATCCAGTACCAATGAATAAAGCGATTGCAGAGGCAGAAATTAAGCCAATCGAGGCTGGCGTACCATCGTCAATAAGCTGGAAGCCAACAAGCGCGTTCAAGAGAAGGATCCAGGATGTGGCGGTGATCGCCGCGATGTGGACCGCCGAAAACCCCTAGTCGATGCCCCAAAAATTAGAAACTCCTCTCGCTCGAAGCTGGTTTTCAGTTCATGTCAAGGTTGCCCTACCTTTCGCACATTATCGTCAAGTGGAATACCACCGACAGAGAAAATCTCGCAAATCTCGATAACAATGAACCCCAACAAAAATATTTGAATCTCACTATACAGCCCATACAATTAGCCAATCAATTCTCAGTCTCGAGAATCATACTCGCGGAATGTACGTACCGTCGCCCAACGGCGGCATGCTTCCTGTCCGACAGCCATAGCAGTCCGATCGAGACCAGAATCGCAACGAACGCGATGAGAATCGAGCCTGTCTCCGAATTAACCCAACCATTCCCAACGTATCCGACCCCGAATCATTCCATATGACGCAAGCATACCTAGATTAGCGAGGTTCCGACCTCCGCTAAGCCCGATACCTTCCAAAACACATCCACCATAGTGACTTCCGGGCGGTTGGTTCACATTGAAAAGCTGGATGCGACAAACTTCGGTCAGTCTGGGGCGGGTCCGGCACAAGCACAAACAACCAGAAGAAAAACAGGTCTCACGAACATTGCAGACGGGTAATGTCGAGTCGCGACAAAAGTCCTGTAATACCCTCCACGGTCAGCCCACTGAATCATATCCTAATGTCCTGCGTATGTCTTGTCTTTGCTCCCGGTTCCCGACGTGGCTGCCGTGCCCGTGCCTGTGCCTATTCGGTATTGGCAGACCACGCCGATTGGGCGGAGAGCACGCATAGCATTCCATTCCATTCCATTCCAGGTCGAAGATCGCAGGGAACTCACGTGGAAGTTGCCGAATTGCGTCGAGCCCATGGCGAATTGAAGGGCTCACGACGCCGACGACGAGCGGGTGAGGAGCGAAAACAAGCTGTCTCGGTCGGCAGTGCGACTTTTAGTTGTTGGGGGGTGCCTTCGCAATGCGTCCCCTGACCCGTGGGTGGGATAATCGGTCGCGATCGCGTGGTGGTGTAGGGTGGTGCGAATGAGGGATATCTCGAGGTCGAAAGCGAGCGCGACAGAGGTAGCCAGCGAGAGTGGGTGAAGATCGGGGGAGGTCGAGATGGGTGGAGGTGTTGGTGGACTGGTGGACTGACTGGTCGAGGTTGGTGGTGACTAGCGTTGGTCTTAGTCTTAGTGCTGGGACTACGCCTCAGTCCTCAGGCCAACGCAGATTGAGCGGCACTCGAGCAGGGAATCGACCACGCTAATTCACGTTGTCTAGCCTCTTTCGTAGGGACGACCACTCGGCCCTGGAAATTGTGTTTACGACTGGATACGACTGGATACTCATTTCATTTTTTTTTCTTCCTTTCCCCTTTTCTGAGCAGACTTTGCCCCCCCGTAGATTCCCCGGTAGTTGGGAACTGTGGTTAAGAGGAGTGTGAAGCCAGGGACCGGGCAGTTCCATGGGCGAGCCACTGGTAAACGGCGGGCAGTCCGTGGGTGATCCCAGCTTGGGTCCAGCTAAGAATAGAAGACACGAAGTACTCCACGAAGGATGCACTACGATGTGGCTGCAGTCTTTTTCTGAGGTCCTGTGCAGAAATGGTACACACCTATAGTATGGCACGTAGAGAGCTCTAGGTCTGATCGTCATCGTTTACCCACCCTTGATGATCGAATATCACATTGAATAATGGGGGCCATCCACCGATCGTTTCCTTTCCTGTCCCCGCGTGGCCGACCGACCAAAAACCTAGCTGCAAGACTCAAGAACGGGGATAGCTTACACCAGAGTGCTGCTCATCTATCTACGACGTCACTAAACAACTCTAACTGCGGTTTACGATCCAAGATTACTACCGCTACAGTATAATGAGCCATCGATAGTCAAGGAACAAACGGAGCTCTACAAACGCCCCGGCCATCCCATTCCCACGGTCCCGACCAGCCACCCCCGCCCTTGCACGGTGCATCATCAATGATCGATCACGTCGGCCTGGCGACCAGATAACGCAGATAACATCGTACACACACTTGGCTTGTTCGGGTCAAGAAATGATTTCCAGATTTCATACTCCGAGTAGTGTGTGATCTTAGTAACTTCTAAGCTAATCTCCAGAAGAGATACCCTATACGAAAGAGAGTACGTAGGACTTCACACATCGCCTACTTCGGGCCACCCATTGTCCTCCCATCCTTAGCCCAAGTCTCCCTTGAAATTCCCACCAGCCATCTTCACAATCGACCATTGCCGGACCTAGCATACAATCAATTAATCAATCAATAAATCCCCATCAAACACCCGTCCAGGTCATCCCCCCTTTTTCTGTGCGCATTCTGTCCCACCCACCCCCATCCTGGCCCTCGGAACCCCCGCTGAGCCTGGGATGGGATCAGATTGAACCCGCGACGATGTACGTGCACCCACTTAGCAAACATCCTCAATCACCAAGTTTTTTCCATCATGCTCGCCCAGGTCCAACTTCAAGGTGCGTCCGAACAATTCCAGCAGCATCTCGAAGCAGGCCTTGGTGATGGCAGGGTCGTACCGGCCCTTGCTGAGCTCATCTCGGATAAAGGCATCTATGTCATAGTCAGTGAGAATCTATCCAAAAAAAAGAGAAGAAAAACAAAAAATAGGGAGAACAAGTTAGGTAGTATGTGCAGACTCACGTTGTGCCCAGGCGACTTCATAGAAACTGAAGAGAACGCCCTTCTCATGTAGGGTCTTGCGGATCAAGTCCCGGCCCTCTGGCGGGACATGGTTGTCATTTTTGCCGAAGATCTGGGCGGGAAGTATAGCAACGTCAGCCTCGCTAATACCAGCAACCATGGGATATCATCAAAATATGAAAGAAACGATCAGGTAGAGGGTGATTTCATCGCAATGAATGCAATAGGATTTCTCACCATCAACAACTCCCCCTTGATATCCCCCGCCCTTGCAAGACTGTCGTCATTCTTCCCCAGCGCCAGAGTCTTACTATGAATATCGGTCGCAAAGTAACACACCGCCGCCTTGATGCGACTGTCCAACGCACACCGATACGCCAGATGGCCACCCAGACACATACCCGTCGCGCCAACGCGGCCATTGCACGTTGGTAGTGAGAGGAGATAGTCTACCGAGAGACTGGCGTCTTCATCGTAGGCGGATAGTTTCTGTTTAGCCGGATTAGTCGTTTTTTAACTGGTATATAAAACCATGGTGGGATGTAGTCATGTAGATTATGGCGGAGAGATTGGGTATTGGATGGTTATAAAGAGACATCCGTGGGGGTAATGGGAATATCTCCAAAGAAATCAATGGGGAGGAAAGTAGACCGAGATGAGTAACATACCTTTCCAATCTTCCACGCATTCCCCTTATCCGTATCCTCCGCGTCATACTTGAGAGGCTCCGGACCCGTAAACTCATGATAGCTAGAGGGAGCCGCGCAAATGTAGCCCTGACCGGCGATCTGTCGCGCAAAGCGTGCTACGGGGCCCGTCACTATTTACAGCGCAGAAACGTCAGTCAGTTATACCTTGATTCAAACAGTTTGGCCGATCCGTGGATATCACCAGACGGAGGGCATCCCACCTTGGTAGATCTCGCTGAAGACGACCACGCCCGGGAATCGGGCATTGGGGTAGCCTGGGATTGTGGGGTGGTAGATGTAGATTCCTGAGATACAGTCAGTATTGGCTTTTCATGTAAGATGGTGCAATTGCGCGCGGTATCATTGACTACGTCTTGGATCGGTATGGTGGGGGGTAGCTCGTGAGCGAGGCCGTGCACTTACGCATCGTCCCTTGGCCATCGGCCGTGGTGGGGACATCAACGTGAGACTCTTGGATGAGCATGGTGCCAATTCCTGCAATTAGGTAGGTTGAGTGAGTCCTCGAGGATTGAACGTCCAGAATTCAAGGTAGTGGATGATGCAGCTCGTAAAACAGTTTATCGATAAGACCGCGGGGTGCTCCTCAGTCATCTGACCTGATAACGAGAGGTGGGCCTTGTACGCTCGTAGCAGCATACTACGGGTACAATCATTCGGCGATATTTCGGGATCGTTAAGTATAGAGAACACTGATCTAATATTGACGCATTATTCAATGACTGGGAGAATCCGAAAATTTCAAAATATCATAACCCGTAGGTAGATGGAACGCCGAGGAATGATTATATGCAATAAGAACGGTCTTGACAAAAAGTCCAACTTCCCAAAGGGTAGAAACAGCAAAGATTAAAACAAAATCCAGATATAAAACAACATAAGAAGAAAAACTTCATTGAATAATGTACACGAAGCGGAATAATGGACCCGTCACCGGGAGGCACCCTTCAACTAGGATCTCCGCGGCACTGGAACCATGGCAAGCATTATAAGAAAAAATATCTCGAGTCGTTTTCAAAAAGTCCCCAAAAAGTGGGCATGGAAGAAGAAGTTTTGGTGGGCTGCCAGGAAACAGTTTGGCCTCGAAGCCCCTGTACAAATATTATAAAACAAGGGGGTTTATGCAACAGAAGATGGGTGCCCAATTAAGTGGGTAGATTAGAAGACGTACTACGGTAACAGCTGGTCAGTAGTGTTCAAATGTATGACCTTGGGTGATATGACGATACTCACAGGAATGAACAGGTAAGGAACCTGCTTCTCATACTCAGTCCAGGTCTCGCCGTACTTGATACGGCAACGCTGGATGTCACGCAGAGCACGATGGGAAATCATGCAAGCGAAGAAGACGGGGTAGAACCAAGGGAACGGGCTGGAGAAGCCAGTGATCAGACCCCAGTTCAGGGCGAAGTACAGGTCGCAAGTGTAGTGGATCTTGCGAGCCTTGCCGTCTGTTGGAAAGCGTTAGTATCTAAGTCCATAATAGCAGAGTGCTTTGTTGGCATAAACTTACACCACCCATCGACCAGAATCTTGGATCCATCGGGACCGGTCAAAGTCTTGGGGTTCTCCAGAGTCTGCCAGGGCAGCTGGGGGAAAGACTTGCGCTGGACCATAGTACCACGCTCCTGCTGGCGGTAACGGTTCTTCTGGCTATTGGTAGTATCCCAGACCCAGTAGACAAAGAGGTAGGCAATGTACAAGAAAGCGAGGAAGAAACGGTTCCAGCGGTACTCGGAGGGGTCGTGGTTGGCCAGGTAGATAGTGCAATGGCAGTAGCTCAAGGGGACACCAGCCAGGTTCCAGAAGATGAGCATGAAGCCCCACTTCTCGTAGTACATATCCCTGGCCATGAGGTTAGCTAAGTTTTTCTTTGAAATTACTCTGTTGGGCACAGGAACGTACCAGGTAGACACGATGCACTCCTCACCCTTGGAGCAGGCGTTGGCATAGAGGAAGTGAGCCATAACTAGGAACATAACCTCGCCGGACACGTAACCGTAGTTCTCGTACTGACGAGCGGCAGCACCCATAGACAGGCCCAGCAGGATGTACCAAGGCAGACGGACCTCGAAGAACATCTTGAAATCAAGAATGCCAAACATACGGGGGTTGAGCTCCGCACCCATGAAAAAGTCATAGATCGGCGAACCAGTCATGCGGTGCTGCTGGCCACGGAACAGGGCCGAGAAGTAGGCCACGAAGGAAACCAGGAAGCCAGACAGAATCGCAACGCTCAAAAGAGGGCCGAACTCGTCAATGATGGTGTACAGCTTGAAGAGGCCAGTGAAGTGGAGGACCAGCGCCAGAATGATACTAGTGTAGAACGACCACACGCCAGAGCAGTAGTACGGAAGCTGCTTACCACCCAAGTGAGGCAGCGGCCGTCCAGAGACAGAAACACCGGGCAAAAGAACGTAGCAGGCACCCTCGAAGATAAAGAACACCCAGTAGATAGTCCAGGCTTTGAGCGACGGGAACGCGCCGGTGTAGACCAAATTCACCATGTGGGAGAAGAATTCGCCGTAGCTCTGGTCCTCCTCAGGACGAGGGAACTTGCCATCGTAGTAGGTCGCGCCAATCCACATATAGTACATGAGCATGGGAAACCCGATCATCATGGCCAGGACACCAGGAGAGCCACCAAATTCATAGTGTCCACTGTAGTCGATCTTGGGGTCCAAGCCTTCCTCCCAACCGTCGACGATGCGCGACTTGGGCTTGGCCGAGCCATTGGCGGCGTGGCCATTGGTCGCAACCTTTCCTGGAGTCTCAATCTCCTCCTCGTCCTCCGATTTGACCTTGGCGGAAGTGCGACGGCGAGTGGTAGACTTGGACCGGGTCTCGGAGGGAGTGTCGGACACGTCTTTCTCGCTCATGTCGAAGGGAACGCTCTTGCGAGTGGAACGACGACCAGGGGTCTCGATATAACCGGGGCGCTCCATCTTCCTGAAATGATGAGCAGGAACACAAAATTAGCGAAAAGGAGTTTCTATAAGGCAATGCGCAGGAATTGACAGGGGAGGTTTCGTTCTTATAGTAGCCCGCCACCGGGGGGGAAGTGCGCTCGGTGGATCGCAAGACAGATTTCAAGGGAACCACTTACTTGGGGGTTTTCCCCGTTTGAGAGCGGGTCAAAGTCATGATTGCCTAATCGGAAGTCCAATTTCCGACAGCAATTGAGGGCGGATGGAAGGGTAAAGGGGGAGGGGGGGGGGAGGAGGAAGTGGAAGAGAAGGGGTCACGAAGTAGAGGGAAGGAGAAAAACAGCGAGATTGTTTACACGTACGTAGTACCTGGCCTGTACTGCTGGGCCCACGGGAGTTATGTGCGGGTATGGGCCAACTCCTACCGGAATACTTCCACGTTACCAATTGCTCCACGTAATTTTACTTACTGAATACGCCCGGCTCGCGCCTCTTCCGCCCGTCTGTCTCCCCCACACATTCGCCGGCCCGATAACCTGTTACTATGAAATGCACGGCGTATTATGTACAGTCCAAGCCGATAATTACATGGATGGCCTAGCCCGTGGAATAGACTCGTCCCGCGGTTCTGTGCGTCCTACGCTTGGCAGCCGACTCCGTTAGTTGGGCCACAATTGGGACGGGAGTGGGTATCCTCGCTATTGCCTTCCCTGCAGTGACGATCCCAATGCCAAGCTTATCGTTCCATGCGGCTAAAGTGCTGACTGGATGCCGAACCAGGCACAAGGATTTTGTGGCTTTGCGAGAATTACGCAACGGACTGCACTACGAAAGAAATTCTCTGAGCGGAAGATAGGTGGATATTCATGGTCTTATATTGATTGTCATTTATCCTGTATTCTGTGTTCCAAGATCGAGTTGAAATGTTGTATGACTGGAATGTGGGCCCAGAGCCGCGATGCAAAGGGCAGAACGGAACTCAAAACATTCGGTTTAACAAGAAATGATATATGTAATGGTGAGACATGATAATGCAGTGCAGTGCGCGACAAAGAGACGAAAATCAGATACCACTCCGAGTCCCATTCTGCAAGTATAGACCTCCACGCTGTGATAACCATCTGCGCCTGATCCGGCCGATCGTCGGGGTCTATGCTCCTCTATGACTGTTGGTCGACATCAAAGTGATCTTGTTCTTCTTTTTCTTCTTGCCGCCTCCTCCTCCTCCTCCACCACCACCACCACTTCCACTTCCACTTCCACCTTGTAAGGCCGAGGGTCCAGAAGCCTGACTCTCATGAGCAGTCTGTGCAATGATTTCGGACTCCTGTCGGGCCAGTAATTCATCCTCCCAGCCCTGTAGCCAGCCATCATTAGGGATTGTAGGTTGAGCATCCAAAATCGGAGAAAGCGATGGGATCGCGGTCGTTCCCCAGACAGTACGAGCGCCCGGTGGGCTGGAGGAAGGGGAAGCCAATGCGCCAAACTGAGATGGAGTACGAGGGGGCGAGGCGGAAGACATGCCACTGTCAAATTGGGACGGCTCGGCATCGTTGGCCAGTGGTTGAAAGGCGTGAGTAGCGAATGGCGCTTCGCTAGCACTCCCAAAACTGGGTCGTTTGCGACGTGCAGCGGCCCAGCGCTCCTCGTCTTCCTTTTTCTCCGCGCGGATGCGATCTTTCTCTTCGCGGGCTTCTTTTTCCCGGTTACGTTTGCGCCTCTTCTCAGTCTCGGAGCGGAAACGGCTCAAGACTTCCGGCACGACAACATCTCTCCAGTCACATTCAAGGAAATTAACCTCACATCCGTAGGGCAGGTGGCCCAAGTATTTGACACGCTTGCGAAGCTCGTCATCAACCATGTGACCAGTGGAGATATGCTCTACCCGGGGCAGGATCGTAGCAGGGAAATGAGCATAATCGCCAAACGCTGCCTTGAGAATGCGGATGTCAAGAGGAGAGAGATAGAACTGAGGTAGTGCCTGGTAAAAGTAATATGGCTGATCAGACGGATGTGCCTGTGCTTCCTTGCCCCTGCCATTTTGCCGTGACCTGGCAAGGGACTTTTGGTTGATTTGAACGTTGCCCATGGCCTCTGATAGATGCTCCGCTTCATCTGAGGTATTTGGGGCTGATGTTGCGTCCGTTGGGGGTTGTATGATATCAGTGCCAGAGGCAGCGGAAGATCCGTTACCGGATGGATCCATGCTTTCGGATGAACCAGATGCAGATGCATCGGGCTCCGCTGCTGGGTCACGAATTGGCTTATTTGCAGTAGACTGACGAGAAATGTCGGGTGGATTCCCAATCCCCTGTACCTTTTCTTTGGCCTCATTGATAGTACTGATGGCCTTCCGCGTCCAGGTATTCTCATCGCCAAACAAAAGCTCATCTTCAATTTCCTGTCTGCGAAGGTCTTCAATCTCAGCCTCGTACTGAGATATCATATAGTCTTGCCCTCCCTTCATAATTCGAGAGTAATCGGCAACCTCCGCGACATGGAACCATGGAACATCGTCCCCAGCATTGAGGGTCTCGGCACCGTCTCGTGGGAGGGCGAGAGTACTGCCAGGCTCTCGCTTGACTAGTCTCAAGACAACATCCCCGCCCTCAATGGGGAGATCGCCCTCCTGGCCGCGGAACCATCGAACGGGGCGAGTCTCAGACGAGTAGATTGAGTCCCAGCAGATTGGGCATTTCTTCCATCGAGGTTTTTTCTCAGGGGCGTGGTGATTATCGTCATCTGATGCATGCATGTAACGAATGAGACAGGGCAGGCAAAAGATATGGCCACATCGAGCCATTCGTGGTGCAACCGGCGTTGACAGACATATTGGGCAACTGGCAGCCTGTGTTTGAGCGGAGACCAGTACCTGAAGCACTGAAGCCCAGTCAAGATGAACGTCGGCATTTGCGGCCTGGGCATGGTAATTTTGGGTTGGCGAGACAATGAATCGGTAATTGGCATGAACGTAGCGCGCCTTATCCACCGCATGATATCCAGATCCCGCTCCCCATGAAGTATAGCGCCGGGCGTTACGCGGCGGCGGCTGGTACTGCGGACGGGGTGGTAAGGAAAAGTTCATCAAATGGGTGATGGACGTCTGTCCCTTGCGGCTGTTTGTTGATCTCATGACGGCCTGGACATAATGAAGTGGGTTAGTAGACAACTCTCAGGTTCAGTCTAGTATTCTTAGAATACCTACCGATTCACTGTACTCGTCATCATCCAACAATCGGGGTTTCCTCTGTCGCTTATGCTGACTCTTTCGGGCCTGGTTATTCCTTGCTGCGCCTAGATTTCTGGCGGATAGTCCTGCGCCAAGACTTCCAGATCCCCCTGCACGTCGCTGGAAGCTGTTGTCGGTCGGAGCTGAAGAATGGAACGTTGCAGGAGCGGCCGAGGTGTTCGATATATTTACCGCTTTAGAGGCAGTCGGATTTTGTCCCGCATTGGACGACATCTCCGGGCAAAAATTGGTGAAATAGAGACCAAAATCAACCTCGAAACGACCAAGCTGTCCCAGCCGGCCAGGAAGCGGACAAGAGGGGTTTGCTAGATCTAAGTCTCAGCCAGATAAGGCGTCAAATCACCTAGTACCGACAGTATCGAGACCACCACAGCAGCTGAACAAGCAAAGAGCACTTTGAAAAGGATAAGAATAGACGACGCCTCGAGAGGCCATCTAAGAATAGACGAAGCGTCCAGGAATAGGACGCCGATGCTTGCAAGAGTCGTCGAGGAGGGGCGGCGGGCATGACATCGCCAGCACGTGCCGGATGACTCAGCTTTGCTGACTCAGCGCCGGGAATTCCACCTCGCGGCACTTCAGCTTCGCTTCTGAAGAGAGTCGACGAGGGACTATCTGCTTCTTCCCCTGACTTCCCTTTCACTTGTCCAGCTTCTCTAATCTGCTGGCCGTCATAACCAAATTTCTCTCTCTTTGACGTGACTATTAGGTATCAAACGCTCTCTCTTGAAACTGTCCTTTGGCGCATCGTGGTTAATCATTATTTGTTCTGCTCATTCAGCACCTCCATCCCATCCGGCTTCCGCTGTATTCTCTACGCTTCCAACCTCCCTCCCACCTCCGGACGGAGCCAAAATGGCTGCATAAGTTCGCCTGAGGCTTCAGGTTTCGCTCTCAATCACTTGATCCTCTCGATTTTCCCTCTGCGCATGGCTCCCATTGAGGCAACGCGTGTGGCCAAAGCATAAAGGCAACACCTCACTACGAGCCTTATCAAGATGAACCACCATCTGCCCGCGATGCCCCATGGGCAGCCACCCATGCCGCCATCGCGGAGACAGCAAGACTTCTACAACCCCGCTCCTCCTAACATGCGCGCCCCGGCGTACATGGGATATCCTCCACACATGAATGGCCACATGCCTCCTGCGTATTCGCCGCAGCAGTACCTTCCCTGGTATCCTCCCTATGGACATATGCAGCAGATGCCACCTCGTCCTTATCAACCTCCATACGGACCTATGATTGTGTCTTCATATCCTCAAGCACAGCCCATCATGGCCCCGACTCATATCCCGCATCACCCATTGCCTATGCAACCCCGGACATCGACTCCCATGCAACCAGCCATGTCTCCGTCGATTCCGCCGCCGCCACCCCTACAGCACGAGATGCATGATCCCCACGCCATCCTTTCTGTCCAACAACCTCAACCTTATTCAGTCGCGTCTCCCCCTCCTCAATGGGAGCCCAGGCCGATCATGCCCGATCCCGAGCCTGTCTTCACTGCACCAGTAAGTTGATCCCGATAGTTTTCATGCGAGTCAGAACTGAAGACTAATCATTATCACAGGTGCCCTGGCTTTCTGTCCCCGAATTACCCTTCCACGAAGGACCACCATTTAGACGCCGAAACGTTCGTCCCATGCCGGACCGAGTCCAGTTTCCTCCCAAAGACGGACGCTGGATAATTGGAGACCTGAAGGGCAAATTTGTGAAACCCAAGCCTGCTAAGACGGCCGCTCCGATACCATCAGAACCTCAGACACCAACTACTTCCGTACATCCCTCGGATGGTCACTCCACGCAAGCTACCACACCCTCCCCCACTGTCAAGTCTCAGACCCCGAAAAAAGACGCTAAGCCCGCCATCCCCATCGTCCCAGTCGTACCAAACACCCCAGTAGCTTCGCGCCGCGAAGCCAAGGGTAGCTCCAGTGCCGATCCGGAGACACCCAAGTCTTCCACTGTCACTGCCGAGTCAGAGACCGGTTCTACGCCTGCTGTCGACGACACCGCCAAGCCAACTTCACCTGCTCGCTCCGCTCCAAAGTCCTGGGCGGATCTTGTTCGAGCTAAGAATGCTGCCCGTTCTACGAGCGCTCCTACTCCCTCCGACTCAAATACCTTGGCTGTGCAAAAGAGTGAGTCTCTCGCAGACGTCTTGAACAGCCTAGGCGAAGACGTCACTCAGTATAGTGATAAAATTGCATTCCTCGAGCCCCGAGGATTGGTAAACACGGGGAATATGTGCTACATGAACTCGGTCCTGCAGATCCTGGTTTCATGCGTTCCATTCCACCAGTTCCTCGACCACGTTGGTCGACGAGCGGCTCACAGCTTCCACAGCGATATGCCTTTGATTGACGCCATGATTATGTTCATGCGAGAGTTCAACGTCATCGATGCCGCCGCATCGGAGGATCAGCTGAGACTTCGATTGAAGCCAAACGAGCTAGAGCAATATGGGGAAGCCTTTGTTCCGGAATTCGTCTATGAAATGATTCGACAGTTGCCTCGTTTCCGCGACATGCGTCGTGGTCATCAACAAGATGCCCAGGAGTTCCTTGGCTTCCTTCTTGAGGAATTGCATGAGGAATGTGACCGCGCTGCAAAGCATATATCCAAGCCTGGCGGTGCTAACGGTGTCGATGGACATGCCACCACCAATGGAACCTCCGGTGACGGTGAATGGTTGGAGGTTGGCCACAAGCAAAAGGCGGCGGTGACGCAGTCATCCGGTGCCATCGCTACCGAATCCCCCATTTCCAGAATTTTCGGAGGCAAGCTTCGGTCCGAGTTCAAGGTGCCAGGTAACAAGACCTCGGTTACCATGGAACCCTATCAGCCCTTGCAACTCGATATTGGCGCGCCTGATGTCCACAACATCGTTGATGCGCTGAAGGGGTTGACCAAGCCTGAGAGTATCCAAGGCGATTTCAACTCGTCCCGTGGCCCCAACGTGACGGCCACCAAGCAGATGTTTATTGAAACGATGCCTCCCGTGCTGATTCTGCACCTCAAGCGCTTCCACTACGATAGCTTGACTGGTGCTACCCAGAAGATTTGGAAGAAGGTTGGCTACCCGCTTGACTTGGAGATCCCACGTGAGGTTTTCCCGGCCCACCGGCGTAACACCCTGACAGCCCAAGGTGGTCTTCCCAAGTACCGTCTCATGGGTGTCATCTACCACCACGGAAAGAATGCTAGCGGCGGTCACTATACCGTTGACGTGCGACGCCAAGACGGCCGTGAATGGATTCGCATGGACGACACTGTCATTCGCCGCGTTCGCAGCGAGGACGTTGCAGAGGCTGGCGGCGAGGAGGATCCCAAGGTTCTTGCGGCTGCCCTTGAGCAGCACAGGCAGGACAAGATTCCTCGCTCCAACATTTTCGAGAACATTGATCAAGATGACACAGAGTCGGCCGATAGCGACAAGGGCTGGAGCCAAGTAAGCGGTTCCGGTTCCTCCGGGCACTCGAGCAAGAAATCGATGACCGGTGTCACTGCCTCCCCTGGACCCTCGTCTGGCGTGCGTACCCCAATTGGCAGATATGGCTCTCGGGACAACCGTGTTGCCTATCTGTTGTTCTACCAGCGGATTGCTTAGGTGTCTTGTTGCCAGATAAGCACAGATCTACTTGGTCTTCGCTCTGTGCATCCTACTTGTCGTTAGACCTCATCACCGCCTAGGTGCTGCTTCGTCCTCTCATCTTTATCACACATTTTCATGACAGCATCATACCCTCTTCTTATGGCACCCATCGCACCCGGTGCTATCTAACTTCATTACACTCTGCCCTCTTTACGTCATCAACACCTGCCGGGCACACATATCTCCCTGCCTCAGTCGGTTGTACATACCGCTTTCCGGTCGAATTGCGATCATACATTGTGGTCCTACGACCAATATCTGCGCATTTAGGCTTTCATCGACATTCCTAGACAGGACATCGATACGCTTCCGGGCATGGCAGGCCCCCGAGCTTATCGATGCCCTTACAACCGGGCATTGACTTCCAAGCGCCTCATCGCAAAATTCGGGCTAGGGGTCGTCAAACCCGTCTTTCAACACGGGGCGCTCATACACATACCTCACATAGTCTTCACACCGACAAATTCAAATGATGCTCTCTCAATCTGGTTGCTTGCGTTCCCATCATCATCATCACTATGCGCCTCATTTTTGTAGCCAACCTTGCAATCTACACTAGCCTGCGAGTCTTTTTCTTATCAATCTTCGGGGCTGTATCTCATGGGTTGACGAACTTGATTGATACCCTCTATTTCTGTTCCGTTTCTTCTCATGGATACGTACCCGGTCATTTGTTTTTCTGGGCGTGCGTGTTTTACATGGAGGTGATGACTTGTCCTTTCTCTCGACTGATATCTTTTTTTTGATATCACATTCTCTGTTATACCTTTCTTGCATGTACTTTTGCCAAGTCGTTTGACGTATGGCGTGGCTGGGGGATCTGTGACGACGTCATGAATTTCCTTGTCTTGTTTTCTTTTCGTTTTCCTTCCATAGACTGTGGAGGTGGGGGACTGGGGGTGGCGGGGTTGATATTGCTCGGATCTTGAGATCCGACGCTGATGTGTTCTGCCAGCTGCGGTGGTGGAGCTGATACCGTGGCTCTGGCTCTTCGTGGATGGTGTGTTCCGCCGGTTTTGTGAAGGGGGAAGATGGACTGGAGGGTCGGTTCTTTGCAACTGGCTACACCCCGGATGGTGCTTCTGGTTTTAGAAGAGAGGAGAGGAGAGAGGCGAGATAACAAGAGTTGAAGTTTAGGGTTGATGAGGAGGAAGTGGAGTATGGAGGTCAACGGACCTCCGAAAAGCATGTTTTTACAGAAGCCCCAAAAAAATTTCAAAGGAAGTTTCATTAAATATCTTGTCATTGTAGATCGTAGATCTGTAGATGTTTACAATGGAATCATGATTGTAATTGTACATGGTATTTAATCTAACACTGTAATCTAACATCTGTAGGTCACTAGATGAGTGACGCGAATGCACGCTCGCTTATGCATGGAAGACCAGATTCTTGCCATCACTCTCGGGGGCCACGCCGACCTCCCAATCCTTCCCGGCATCCTCAGTCTCCACAAACTCAAATCCGAGAGCGCGCCAGTTCAGTTCCTTGCGCCAGTGCAAGCCGTAGTACTCTCGGTTCTCCTTCTCATCATCCTGTTGATCTTCAACCCCGAAGTCGGAATCCCAGTCTCCAGGGGTAGGACGCACGATGGGCTCTGAGGCGATGCCACCGCTCTGCATACGGCCGGCGCGGGGGAAGATTACTGAGCGGAAGCGCGAGAGGAGCATTCCCATTGAGCAGCACAGACATGGCTCGTGGGAAAGGTAAATGTCCAAGTCTGTGCAGAGGTATCCGCCCTGGGAGCGGGTGCGGATGCGGGAGGTTTCCGGTGGGGATTCATATCCCCACCCTGGGGGCGAAGATACAACACCGCTTACCGGGGTTGAAACGCTAGCATCGGGTATGGCGATGGCTGTAGTGGAAGGTGGGGGAGCTGGGAGAGGAGTGGCGTGTGGGTTGACTGGGTTGGTTGCTTCGAGGTTAACGTCCAGCGAAGCCATGGCGATCTCTGGATTGGGCTCTTCGTGCTTGCGCTTCTTAGGCGACAAGGGAGGAGCGACGGGGTGCTCTTGTTCCGGGGTTGCAGATTCGCCACAAACTTCGTACAGGAAGTACGACTCGAGTGGGCTAAGCTTGGTAGACAGCTGCGGGTCAGTGGCGATGACGGGGAGAAGGGAGTTATCGTATTGAGCGAGGTGGTCACCCTCCTCACGTCGGCGGCGGGCGACGAGCTCCGTCGCGCGCATCAGGGCATGCAAATCCGGACCTCCCTCGAGATCAGGATCATAGCTAGTGCTTGCCGGATTTGGGACCTCGCCAGGATGGAGGTCTGTCTGGGAGGACGCACCGGCTTCGCAGCGTGCATATCGAACATCGCCTCCCACAGAAAGGACGGCGTCCATCCAGCGCTCCGTAGGATCACTGTCGTCCATCCAAGCCTGGCCCTCAAGCCCAACTTCAATGGCAGGGTCAATGATGACAGCACCTACACCCCGACCGCGGCCGGTCTGCTTCGATTCTTCGGCGACCTTGCGCGCCAAAGCGAGGTAGAAACCCGCACGGGGCTTAATAGATTCCTGCACACGAGCGAGAATTTGTGGTGGGGGTGCGACGGTGGAGCGAGGTGCGGCGGGGTTGAAAACCACCGGCCACATCGTCTGGGTCCATTTTTCGCCCTGGGCGGCAGTGAAAGGCGGGTAGATCGGGACCTGGGTCTTGAAGATGCGGATTTTAGGAGGCTGAAGCTCCGGAGAGCCTGGGGTCGAGGTGGGGGAAGACGGAGGGGGGGAGTTGGTGGGGGGTGTAGCGGAGCTGCGACGGCGAGGCAGAGGAGCGAAGGGAGCGAGGAGAGCCTGCAGAGACTGGACGTCTGGCAAGGGAGGTGGGATCACAACAAAGATCGTCTGGCCGTTATTCACGGGGGCGGACTTGTTGGCGTCAATTTCTTGGAGCAGGTGGTCTGGAAGCATGGTCCGTTTCGCAAAGCGGCGCAGATGCCCCATGGAGGGAGAGGCCTCGCGAGGAAAGGCGGAGTCAAGAACTCTGGAAAACTCCGTCAGATACCTTCTATAGAGACTTTTCCCAATCTTATCGTATAAGGTACACTCACTTGATCACTTTGGAAGCGGCTTTGACATTGACTTCCGCAACGTAGGCATCGGCTGTAGATCGGAGTTAGAGATACAGGTCCCAACCGTCAAATCTGGCGGTTCGGTTGCAGTACGAATGACATACCAAAGTCCTCAGGTGGCCGAGTCTCTTGGACAGTTCTGATCGGGACGACCTCTCCCTTCAGAGGCTCGATGGCCTTGACTATCTCTTCGACATTCATCGTAGATAATGCTCTTGGACTGCAGATCTCGGGTTGCTTGAGAGGTTGACGGAGGGGGCAGCTGGGGAGCTGGAGGGGGGAGAAGAACGGAAAGTCTATCGCATGATGGTAGATTTCATAAAGGGATTTCACAACAACACGTCACGTTTGCTTATGATCAACCGCGCGACGCGATGCTGCCGGGCGTGACGTGGTGACGCAAAAGTTGAGGATTTAAGACCGGCCGATGCCCTAGATCCCGCGCCCTAAGCCCTACACACCAAATTAGGATATGTTCTTATCTAGATCGCGGTCGTTGGGGTATAAGCAACCAGCATCTCTTGCGAGTAGTGATGCAGACAGCTCGTTGGAACAGGCGTCTCGTATGTGATGTTATGTCTCTATTAATTATGATCGTGTTCTTCATGTTCCCCAAGGTTCCACCTTTGTCGGTGTATGGATAGGTATTACGCGTTGGACGTTGAATATATATACCACCGAAACTTGTGTCACTTGGTAGCCAGTGCCCTGTACCCAGGAAAATCTAAGAAATGAGGGCTGTATTTTCATAAGCAGTCCTCCTACAGACATAGTCTACAGGTATCCGTGCCAGCCCAATGACTTGTGCAGAGGCATAATTCATGTGCCGACGCCCCTCGGCCCTCTTTCGTACGAAAGACGTCTTCAAAGATTACTTCAATGGATAGACCCCCGAGCCGGTTAACGCCCGATGGATGGGGGTATGTAGGCACTTTTCCACCAAGTCATTAATACAACTTGCTCAAAGAGATCCATATGACTCATGCAACTGCCCGTTAACTAAGATACCATAATTCAGAGAGGACAGGAGTATCAGCATCAAGACGGAAGTAAGCGAAAAACGTTTGACTCCCTACACCGGGCCGCTGTTACAAGTGTCTCAGCTATTTGGAGAGGCTCAAATCCAACGTCAGTGGACAAACATGATATGGATGCAATTCCTTACCTAACTCGGTTGGAAACGGAACATATTCGCCAGTGCTCATCATGGCGGGGATAGAAGTACGTACATAGTCTATTTAGTACCAAGAGTACCTCCGTGGTCATCACGAGCTAGTCTTGCCGCACTTGACTAGTTCCTCCCGTCGACCGAGACCCTACAATGTGCCACGATGGTGGTCCTAAGATGACCATGCATGGGAGCAACCTAAGTTGATAGATCCCTAGGTGCTCCTACCACCAGGAATCTGACTGGAAAGTATTGATTAAAAATTGAAATAGGAAGAAGATAACCATGACAAACAAAACTTAGTTATATTGGTATATATTGGGTTGAAAGTTTGATCTATAAAGATAGAAAGGGAATATTGAGCGGCGAGCTTCCTAATTTAGCTAGCGATTCAAAGGACTCATTGATAGTGCATTCTTGTGCACTTTATCTCAACAAGCAAGGTTGTGTAGTGTAATGGTCATCACTCCAGATTCTGATTCTGGCAATCCCGGTTCGATCCCGGGCACGACCTCGATTTCATTTTTTGGGCTGTCCGGAATGGACAACCGCGACCGCTGAGGAAAATACATCCCATATATAAACATGAAAAGCTTGCATTAATGGAATTTTTAACCTTTGAAAGGTAGTAAGTAAGTAATAAAGTAGGCATGACCAGGGGTCATTCTGATCTTAAATCTGCGAAGGTCGACTCATTGTCGGTTCTAATTCCTATCTGGCTTATGTGATCAAAAAGTGAGCTCGCCGTTCAACAAATCAGGTTGTGTAGTGTAATGGTCATCACTCCAGATTCTGATTCTGGCAATCCCGGTTCGATCCCGGGCACGACCTCGATTTCATTTTTTGGGCTGTCCGGAATGGACAACCGCGACCGCTGAGGAAAATACATCCCATATATAAACATGAAAAGCTTGCATTAATGGAATTTTTAACCTTTGAAAGGTAGTAAGTAAGTAATAAAGTAGGCATGACCAGGGGTCATTCTGATCTTAAATCTGCGAAGGTCGACTCATTGTCGGTTCTAATTCCTATCTGGCTTATGTGATCAAAAAGTGAGCTCGCCGTTCAACAAATCAGGTTGTGTAGTGTAATGGTCATCACTCCAGATTCTGATTCTGGCAATCCCGGTTCGATCCCGGGCACGACCTTTTTTGTCCAGATTTTGCTTCACACGCTAGCGTATCGGTGGCTCATTATCATGAGGACCCATAAAGATTTTTGCCTGGAGCACGGAATGTTCGATAGATGATTAGGGAGGCTAATCGAACGAGTTATCAAGAGAATTATTAGCAGAATCCGAACCTAGATACCATTCCTGTGTATAACCGGCCCCTTGCAATTTCCATTTTTTCGCATGGGTTCACGCAAAGGATGCTCAATTCCAAGGGGTCTTCTATCAGAGAAACCATACAAAAGATACTTGCTATTATATCCAAGTACCTCATCAACCGTAGATAATTAGATCTCCAAGGTAAAGATATGAAGAGAGATATTATAATTAAATATAGTGACAAATTCTAACGGCGAAGTTACAATGAGAGAGAACTGTACCTTCCTACGCCAAGTACTAACTAAATATATCTGAAAAGGAGTCGCGGAAACATACGTCAAAAACCTCATGTAATAATCAGATACCTTAGGAGACTATCCGTGTTCATTTCTAAGAACTCAAAAAGATCATCGTTGTTGAGATTCGCGCATTCTCTCTGAAGTGCCCTTAGTATCGGGTCTCTAATAAAAGATACCTTAGAATTGAGTATTGTCTGGGTGGAGGACACTCGGAAAGAATGGTAATTTTTGCAAGCGGCCGAGGCTCTACTCCGTCCGCATCCATATACCAATCGAATGATTCGAGCTGACTTTTCCGAGACCCACATCATTCGTCCTTGGCTCATGATGGCAAATTGAGCTCCGCTCTTCAACAACTCAAGGTTGTGTAGTGTAATGGTCATCACTCCAGATTCTGATTCTGGCAATCCCGGTTCGATCCCGGGCACGACCTCGTTATCCGTTATCTTTTTGTATTTTTGATGCTTGACCACCATCCCTAGTTACTGCCAGATCAGCTGTGTTTTCTCGTTCCATAAACTCGATTAAGCAGTATTGCTTTTGTGCGATTTTTTAAACCTCCGGAATATCTATCCCAAAGTGATAGACAGGGCTATATCCAAGTACTCTTACTTACGTACTCGAACCCGCATCCATACACGATATCATAATAGAAGATCCTCTTAATTCTCACTCAAATAAAAAATCCCATTAGAGCTACATACCTAGATATTAGCATATATCACCGCATCAAGTGCCTCGTCATACTTGTTGTGACAGAGCTGGTCGAGCCTTACCTTACTCCTACAAGCACGTCTAACGACCTAGATCTCAGCTTCGACCAAAGAGATCCTTAACTATTCTAGTCGTGATGCAACTTCATTAGGCAAACTTCTCAGGCTGATCTTTTGATATCTTCCAACCCTCATGTTCTGAAAAATTTCTCCATTATTTCAAGCTCATTTTTGGTTCCTATGTTCGCCATTGCCTGACAATTTCGAACCCTTACGGTGCCTAGTAGTTTACATTTCAAGATAGGCTGTGATACTGCAAATCATGTAAGTGCCAGGTAGTAACGGATGGCGACCTGTATACTAGCCCGTACTAGTAGTAAGAAATCCTGTCCGGATGTGGAATCGTTCAAGGTTGTATACCGGAAATTTCTTCACAAGCATACTGATCTGGTACGACATACCCAGCAAAAGCCTGGCTCCACTTGTAGAATAAGGATTCTCTCTATTCACGCCTGCCACCGACAGAAAGCCACTTCATTTGTGTATACTCAAGAGATGAAGGGTTGGGAGAGACTGAGAAGCGGTTGAGTGAGCTAATTTCTCCTGAGCGTGTGGAGATGGGGCCGATTCAACATTGTGTGACAGCATTTATTGTAGCAGGATAGATGGCCTGAGGGTTCTGATACGATCCCATTGAGTGATTTTACTTCCGTAAGTAAATTAAGCGTTCAAAGATTGAGAGCCATGGACCGTTTCTCAGTAATACGATTTGATGGGGCATTTCCACTGCTAGTCAAACGGGAGATAGCTACTAGCAGTCCGACACAGCATATGCATCACGCCTAAAATGACGGTATGTGTCAGAGGAGTCGTTTTAAGCCCAAAGTTGCCACACTTTCCATATTCAAACCACTCGATCAACTCATCAACCATATATGCGTGTTATATCTCATTCATAAGGGGACTCTGCGATTACACAAATCTGGCAATCTTGAAGCCCTAATTTTTGGGCAAGAGGGTGAATTGTCTAATGTAGGCTCGTCGAAGTGACAGGATATTTCACCAAATCCCTCAGAAAATTAGCCATCTTTTTTCTATCAGTTTTAGTGACACTAGCCATTCATAAATTTTCTCCTCCCCAGCATGCCCGACATGAGGTATTCAAATCAGATACTTGGTTGATGGCCTCAGTAAATCACTGACGAAGAATTTAGGTGAGGCAATCACATAGATATGAGGAAAAGTAATGTAATCCAGCCTGTGTAAGAAGTCTAGGGGGTGTGGACATGTGAGCTAGACACAAACCCAGCTATTCATTTATGAGAGAGATCGTACGGTGCATCCTGGCGGCCTTCCTCTTGCAGAAGGGTCATGTTTTGCCAGCGAAAAGTCACCATCGACGAGAACTACGCTAGAAATTGCATGACGGCCTAGAAATCTGGACGTTGAGGAGCTATATTTTCGGTTTGATAGCTATGTAGGCTTCTTTCCAAAGCTCGCTAGCTGTCTGTATAGAGGTGGGTTACACAAGAGTGCGCCGGGGTCCGCTCGCCAGACAGGGTCAGACAAGGCATGGAACGCAGCTTGTAGCCAAAGCGGACAGCACAGAGGTTATAAATTTGAACTCAGGATCGGATGGGTATTGTAGCTATCTTCTGACTACTCCGAGTTGACTGCCCAGTGATAATTTCAGTTCTCTTCGGGCGTCGATCTTAGCGGCTATGACAGGCAAGACCTCCTAAGGACCGAATTCTTCGAATTGAGTAAAGGACACCTTCATGTCTACTCATGCAGACTATACAGAACACAATTTCATCAATATTTCTATGGCCCTAGAGTGGGCGTAGAATATAGGGGTATATGCATGCTGGCAGTGGGGAGGGCCAAGCTGCACCTGGCGGGTGATATTTGAGAGAGACAGAGTTTTTATTGTGAAGAAGGATAATAATTCAAAATATCATCAAATACATAGAAACAAAACAGTAGTAACGATCGGCTTAGAACCTCTAGACAAAACCTATGCAACCGGCACAATTAAGACAAACCCCGCGTTCCGTATCTAAAGCGTCGACACATCTCACTCGATGCTGTCGGGGTTGACATTAATCTCCGAATATCCCAACCCGAAGGCGAACGAGATTCTTCAATTAGATCAGAGCACCGAGGGCCACACAGGGCAGTCCGACACCGATAAGATCTCCGCCCTGCATCATGAATTAGTGGCTGAAACAAGACCCAGAACGAAACTTTACTCACAGCGTTGGAGGGAGAGTTCTGGCAGCAGGCAATGTTCTGCTGGCACTGCTTCTTGATCAAGTCCTGGATACCCAAGATTCCGAGAGCAGCGGGAACTATCATGTTGAGTTAGTAACAGAGAGGAAAGGAGTTTCAGTCAAAGACCTACCCTGGAGATCAAGCTGGGAGCACTGATCGAAGAGACCCAGGCCGCTAGCTCCGGAACCGGTGCCGATGAGGTGGCTCAGAGTGCCAGCAAGGATACCCTCGTTGACATCGGTGGTGTCTCCGGCATAGGTGGCGTGGTTGCAGCAAGAGAGCTGAGCCTGGTCGCCACACTTGGCCTGGGCCTGCTTGACAGTCAAGTTGTCAGGGACAGGGAAGCGAACTTGGGTGTTTCCCTTGTTAGCAACGCCGTTAGCGTTGCCAACACCACCGGCAGAGGGGCCCATTGGTGGCAGAGCGGCCACGGTAACAGCGAGGCTGAGGATTGCGGTAAGAGCGAACTGCATTTTGAAGGGTTGTTTAGCGAAGAGATTCGAGAAAACGAGTGAAAATGGTGAGTTGTTGAGTAAAGAATGCTCTGGAGGAGATGCTGATGCAGATGGGAAGCTAATTTTCAAGGTAAGTAACCACTCTTTTATAATCTCTACGGGCATAGTGAGTGGGTCGAAATTTATCAGCCATTTGTTTGTTATGTGTGAAGGTCGAGGAATTCCGCTGTCCTCCCTTAGGAATGTCAGGCGCAGGGGAAGGAGAGGGGCGAATCATGAAACACTTCACGCCCTGGAGTAGCGTGGGCTTAAGAATGCTCCTCATAGAACCCGGTGATGGACCTATAGGGTCAAATTATTCCACTCCTTGTTCGCGATCGAGCTTCCTGGCCAGCCTCTTCAGGCACATCTAGGATTTCTACGAGTATTAAGGCTTAAGGATCTATGTTTTGCCATATTCGGCTTACATATCAGTAGGAGGCAAGATGATACTACCTTGGGAGAGGGACAATTTTCAGGATCGTCATAAAGTAGGGATAATTTCAGGTTATCGGACCTAGTGTTGGTTGCTGCGTAGGCTAATCTCTGAAGATCGAACATACCTTCTTTCCTATTACTTAGCTAGTGAGTGTTCGGAGCATTGTCTCTGAATTGGCCAAAGAGATATCTCCTTATGGTCGTTCGCGCTCGTTTAGTGGGTCTCATCTAAGATTGCGAAGTATCATAGTCAGCAGGAAAGGAGGCTAGGGTAGGATGAGACACCTAGGAGAATAATGTGCAGTTTCTTGCTTACTCGTATGCCTTCTTACCGCGAGGCCCTTGAAAGAGCCATTGATGTTTGACATAATCACATGTTTAACCCTTGCAAGGCACTTTGCCAGATTAGCATCTAACCTATACTAGTAAACGAGGCAGCGCATCCCTGCCCTGTGCTTCTGGCCTCCTGTCAACAAGCCAGGAACAGGGATTGAAAGACACAGACTCAACCCATTGGACTTTCCTAATTTCATTTCTCTAAGGCTGACTCATTCATGTAATACCACGTTATTGTGGCTCGCATAGGGGCTTGTTTAAAGTTGATTAGAAGTTGCGGCACCAGTTGCGCCTTTCTGTAAGTCCAAGTTCACTAAAAAGTCCATCAAAGCCTCGCGATTCTACAAAGTATGTTCATGACGTTGCGCTTTTTGTTGTAAGGCGTACGCTGTGAAATCATGATTTAATGTTTTGCCAAGCTGATGGTACGTAACGCCGGAAGCAATTCATCTCCTCTATAGAGATCGAACTTTCATTTAATCAAGAAAGGTTCAAGAGATGCGCACCAAATCGTAGATTATTTCAACCAAAGGGAAGGAGGACACTCCAACATCAAAACAATGTGAGACAACACCGAAAGTTCTTATTACTTGGCCCTGGCGGTGAAGGTCGCTCAGTGTTACATGGTGGATTGTGTACCTATCTACCACACCGCCCGTACCAAGGCTCTACCGCCCTAGGTCCTGGATCATTATGGCGGCCTAAGTAGAGGAGGAAGCTGCTGAAATTCTGGAAAATTTTTCGCAAATTATTTTTGATAAATATATGGTACAATTACTGAATGATTTTCAGTGGGCGAGTGTTTGAAACGACAGAATATAATATATTATTTAGACGTGGAGCTGGGGATGTTAGGATTGGTGCATAGTCACCGTTGAATTTCTTGCAGTTACGATATATATATGTATTAACATCCTACTAGATTGTGGTTGCCATTCATGAGACACTTGGCTCGCAAACCATTACTCTGCATACCATTTCTTGTCACAGATCAAAGTTCTATTATTATCAATGTGCTGAATTGGCGAGGACACAAGCGGTTCGACATGCAAGAAAATGCCACTTTTAATTAAGATCAATTGATACAATGCCACGGGTATTTAGGTTTTATGTTGGTATTCCGAAGGCGAATTCCACCCAAAGTCCTCTTGACAGGTAAATCGATGGAAAGACAAAGCTGAAATCCACCGGTTTTCAAAGGGACTCAGGGCTCTCAGAGGATGGAGTGCGAATTTACCTTTGAGCTATTATTAACTCTCTTATCTTGATAGTCGACCGAACTCATAAATCAAAAAAAGTGAGAATATAGAAATACCAAGTCAGAATGGCTTGATGGAGCCCCCAGATGTGAAGTGACGGAAAGATCTCTTAATATCTTCCCATTGGCTGTTTCTCAACCCTTGACTGTAGAATAAATTCCGATTCATTCTGCAAACCATGAATTGATTATTTCCAATGTTCGCAGTATCAGGCATTGGGAGAATTTCTCTAGCAGAGACTTTCCATTGAGTAAATTGCCTGGACCCCTTACCTAATTATTTGGCGCATGCAGTAAGGGGTTGTCTTCGATTTTCCTGGAATATTACTCAAAGCGGAAAAGCACGAGGAAGGGGAACACCTGCGCCAGAATATATTAAGCACACTATCATCACCTGCAGGAGGCCTGCGACATAGTTACAATCATTTTATTTTTCCCCACCCGTAATTAAGGATGCGGGATACTATTGCGTGGCGACCGCGCGCTCTGAATCAACTTGGAGGCTTATGAACTTTGTCGAGTATATCTTCAGTCAAGTCGGAACAAATGGGCTCACAACACTGTCATTATCAAGTCTGGTCTTGCGTCACAACGTCCCGAGACTTGTTCAAGATGACTGATCTTTCAATGTCAAGGGGCCATGTCATAGCATTAAGCACTTGTACAATATAACTTCATCTATCCGAACAGTGCATGATCAATTGTACTCAAAACAAGGTTGACACAGTGGGTTTTATCGTCAGAACCAGCACAATTTATACGGTCATCACATTAACATGTCAAAACAACGCACGAGGACGCTGAACCTAGTCACCGCACTGGACCTGTTGGAATAATTACTCCAAGTGTTGTTGGACAGTCGTGATTTCAAACCCCGATGATCAGCGGCAGGTCGAGTGTGCCGAGAAGGACCAGGTCTCGAAGAATTGTAATTACTTATATACGATTCAGATCGACTTCGCGATTTCTGAGTTCGGGGACTACCACGATAGTACACAAGTTGTAGATCACGTCAAGACTTCACATGATACTCAATATCTTCAATTACCTCCATGATTACAATGACCACTAGATTAAAACTTGAAGGAAACTTAGACAGAGCCTGAACTATGAAAATAGGTTATCAGGCTCCGGAGTCAATCAAACAGAAGTTCTTCAAGTGTGTCTTGATCTTTTTTTGCTCGGAAAATAGGATGACGGTGAAACTATGCCCATAGCAATTAACAAACAAAGTGAGAGCAATTTTAATCTGGTACTTCGGAATCTATAGGAAGAATGAACAAAAGACTACTGGAAACGGGAACCATCATGGCCTCGAACAAGATCTCGCCAGGGAAAAGTGCACCAGGAAGGAATCTTTAGCCCTCTGCATCCCATTCCTCATCCCTAGTCAACCTATGCTCCGCAATGGAGCTCAATCGACCTCTCTTGCACCCTTCAGTGACCAAACACCCTGTTACCGGGACAAGTCTCCCGTGGTATAATACCCTACGAAGCTCTAAATAAGCATACAGGGGAATCTTATTGTTAATGGAACAGATAGTGGAGATAGATATATTCATCTCTTAATGGGCTGAATCATGGAAGGATTTGTCGAGTCGTGTAGTATATTAAGCCGCTCAAATGGAGGAGTGATTGGTGTTTCCAAAGTGGGGGGAGGAAAACTGGAATTCCTTGCCCATTTCAGGGTTGTATAGAGCTACTTTATCTTTCCTTTCATGATCTACAAGAATAGCCCTTCTTAGCATTGTTGGTACAATGGCGAGAATGGGAGGATTGGGCGCCGGGCAGGATTAGGGCAAGGAGATGGAGGGAAGTGGTATTTGGCCTCTCGGGAATGTTGATTGACATGCTCGGGACCACCTATATAACGCCCATTCTCTATCCGGGTTGCTTCTACACCAACAACAAAATTTCTCTTCTTGTCTCTCTTTCCATCTTTTCTGAAAGTCATCAATATGCACTTCCTCAGCCTCCCTCTCTTCCTCTTTGCCACCGGAGCCTTTGCGCTCCCCAGCGATGCCGTCGCCAGGGGCCATGGCCAGATTCGCTTCCCTGTCCCCGACAGCCTGACCGTCAAGGAGGCTCAGGCCAAGTGTGGTGACCAGGCGCAGCTCTCTTGCTGTAACCACGCTACCTACGCTGGAGATACCACCGACGTCAGCTCTGGGATCCTTGCGGGTACTCTCAGCCATATTGCCGGGACTGGTTCCGGGGCCGATGGTCTTGGTCTCTTCGATCAGTGCTCGCAGCTTGACGTACAAGGTTAGTACTACAACTCCTTCTAATCTCGATGATATGCTGATCATATGTAGTTCCTATCCTCTTGGGTGCCATTGGCGTCCAAGATTTGATCAAGAAGCACTGTCAGCAAAACATTGCCTGCTGCCAGAACTCGCCCTCTAACGCCGTGAGTCGCAATTCCACCCACATCTTTTTGCATATACTGATAGATAATGCAGGGCGACGACCTGGTCGGACTCGGACTGCCTTGTGTGGCTCTCGGGGCTGTGCTTTAGTTGGATTCAACCCTAATAATTTGTTTTTCTTTTTCGGAAAATGTGGACTTTCTTTCTATCGGTGTAGCCATCTACGACCGCTATTCCCTGTGCTCCTGCGACGTTGGTCTTTTACGGTTACATTTATTCAAGGAACCAAATCCAAACTTAATTATTCATATCTTCTTCCCGGCCCGCCTTCTGAACCTTGACGAACTTCAGAAACATGCTGATCAGGAGACGCTCAAGCAATCCATCAACAACCAGAGCACCGCCTGGAAAACTAACACCGGATTGGGTGACCGTTTTACAAGATGCTGCGGTCAATACGTCCTCTGTGATTCCTTCCTACCTTAAGTAGCATGTGACTATCTTTGAGGTGGATACTGAGAAAGCTGGAAACATAACAATAAGAATAGTAAAAAAGGACCTTCAATGACATTTAGACCTATCTCTGTGATTACCCTAAATTTCAGTGGAAGACTCAAAAGTAGCCCTCGATCGATGCCTTGGCAGATTTCAATTGCTGGAAAACGAGAGAAACCCGCATCTACTCTGCCAGCAAGGTTCTCAGGCGTCCCCTTGGGCCCTCATGTCTTGACAATATTTGTATCTGACGTTTTGAAAGTATTTCGGTTGCTATTTAACTTAGTTCAGATAAATCTCTCTTCATTCCCGTACCAAATTCCTGGAGAAAATTGGGCTTTCGGATTACGTCCATCAATGAATGTGTACATGTAACCTGAAAAGCCATTCCGGGATTTACAACCGATACTCTAGCAAGGGGCGCACCGGGGCTCCGGGTACTATCTCTTGTTTGCAATGCTATCGACACCACAGAGCAGGGAGGGTGCAGAGACAGATGAGGGGTTTTATGAGCGCCAATTCAACATGGCTTATAGACCGAACTGGACCATTGCCAAACTCTACGGCAGACCAACTGGCTCGCGTCAAGCAGGCAGCCGCGAGTGATTGCGGTTTCTTTCCCACCCTCGGCTTACATGTAACATGAAAATCTCGCACTCAAAATCGCAGTGGTCAATATGTACGATAGATTTCGAAACAACTGATATCAACCAATATTGCAGTGTTCTCAAGAAGCCGTCTCATTTGAGCAGGGAGGATAAAAATTTTGACCGGTCGATTCAAGTTTCCGTGATCATCATAGGAGGTTAACCCAACCAAGGCGCCTCAGATCCAAGGTGTTCTCGAGTTTCATGGTAAACTCTCTTTAGAGTCAAAGTTGAACATGTTCACTAACCTAAACTTTGAAATTTCTGGAAATTCTGAAGGAGGCAGCCCAAACTTGATGTAGCCTTCCCAATTATATGTAATTTACGGAAAGCACTCACGGAGTTGTCAAATGGAGATCATAAGTCATAATTAGACCATGGAAATGAATGGCAGGGTTTGTTATCAGATAAACTGTTCAATTTGAGAATCTGCTCAGGCTCTTCTGGATGACCTGGCTCCTGGCCAAACTTGCCGTATCCCAATATTTTCCACTAGTGTTCAACAATTGTTGAGTATCATCGGCCTTAGCTGCGGGCCTACCGCACAGAGTTGAAGGGTTAACGGCAAAGAGGCAAAATGACTACCGTGTTGGCTTAGACAAGACAGTATAGAGAGGGTGAAACAAAATTGTGTCAATTTTCTGGATGTCGGTCGTGAGAACCCTAATCATTTGAAAAACGAACTCCACTTGTATGGTAGTAGGGCCAATCGGTTCGGCAAGTAGGCGGGTTCGGTTGCGGTAGAATTATCATAGATGGACCCGCATCAATATACATAAGATCTTTGTACATCAGGAAACATATCGACCGTCTAAGTTGACTTACGAGATATCCATAAACAACCAAGTTGAATTTCCAATCGATCCTGGTCTAGCGAGAGTGTTGTACATGAATCCTTTGCTCCCTCAAAGAGAAATATTATCCAGGCTCTGAGTCTTAAAGGACTACTAGAACGGTGATTTTTAACCACAATCATTGGATTTTAATAGGACGAACCTGTAAGAGAAGAAAGATCCGATATTATAAGAAAGATGATATTCGTTACCATAATGTGGCACGCTATTTCCAGGTAGACTCAACTTTACAAAGGAAATGACCCAAATAACGCACTGCAACGTTCCGGCTATCTCATGACACGAGTTGTAGGTTATTTACCGCGTACAGCTAGCTCATGGAGGTCATTTAGTCCCACGACTGTAGGTAGTCAACTAACGTGATTCCGGTCGTCCTGAACACCCCGAAACATCATACTATTATATGGTTTTTCAGGCTATCATATCTCAACAACGAGGAGTCTGTTTTGCTTACCATATATAGAGTGTCATATAATTTCTTAGCATAACAAATGATAGAATTTGGCCGAAACAAGTTTTCTGCAGTAATACCCCCAAAAATTCCGCCCTACTTAAACGTGATAGCGTTGTATTTCTACTATATGTTGGTCTAGAATACTTCTGAAGCTGACAAGAATCCTATTATATTATGGTGAATTTTGATGTGTTTTCAGACCATCCACTCAGCCTTGGGTGTTGAAATGGGGAGTTCTTGACATTTGCATTTCGTACGGTGATTTAGGACATACAGGACGGCCGGGGCAGCCCGACTGGGTGGTCACCCTTAACCATGTACAAAATACGATTCTCAAGTTCATGATACATCCACAAGTAGAAGTCATCTTTACTTGGTTCTTGAAAGAAATTTATTTCATGGTATTGGAAACAGTACAGAAATAACTTCAATATTTTGAATATCATCCATTAAATTCTTCAGAATACCAGAAGATGCGCACCCACTGCCTAACGAGGATATATATGTCTACAGATCCCCCTCTGAATGGATAATTGTTGTTTTGTGATTATTTTCATTGTATATTAAGCATATAGATGTCTTAAGACGAGATAGTATTTGAGCATTGAAACATAAGGTACTGCAAAATCGTATTCAGTATGTTGTTTGGGGAGAGGCTCGACCCGGTCCGGTCGGGCGGGAAATACATCAAGTTGATCGACGTAAATCCCGCCAGAGTGAGTGACACCCCAAAACACGTCCTAGATACGATAAAGGACTACTTCCTATCTCAACGCTTATCAACTATTCTTACTTGAACATTGGAATTTAAGCTTCCCTTGGCATGTGAAATAATCCATTTTAGCTTCTAGTAATGAAGATGATTACTCCGATGCTCTACCGGGAGACCCCGCGGAATTTGCTACGCGCGGCACCAATGTTTTATTTATCAATACCTTTATTAATCTTTCTATACTTCGACAATAGGTTAGATATACTGCAAGAATGATTTTCTTCCGATAGCTCATCCTAAAAGCCACGAAGTTGAGATACGAAGTAGTAATCAATTGCATTTGAGTTCTTACTATGCGTTTCGGGGTGTCTCGCTGGCGGCAATTACGTTGCTTTGTTTACCGTGGCGCAATTTCCAATAAGGTTTCAAATTCCTACTCCGTATAAACAAGACTTACGATGTTGAAGAGAACCTGTAGTATTCGCAGTAGGGTCTAGTGAGTCTACAAGATCGGACCCTACACTCGGTCAGGCCCCTTAGGCCCCTTTACCTACGCATGATCCTACATAGATGAGCCCTATGACACTAAATAAGATGAAGATACAGGACATAGACCGCAGATATGTGTCGATCGTAATTATATCAAATTCCACCTAAGGTGATAATTTCCCGGCCGGGAAAAGTAAGAATGATTGGACAGGATAACTAAATTTTGGCTGTACGCTTAGTCATCCACCAACGGAAGTCAGTCCATCTCAATTCCACCGTTCTTAAGCAAAAGGAGGGAACAAGTGAAAAAGAGAGAGAGAGGGAATGAAGGGAGAATTAGAGAAAGGGAATGAAGGGAGTGGAAATGAGGGATGGGAAATGAAGGGCGGGGAGATGATCGGAGAGGAGATGGAAAAGGGAACATGAAGGGGCATAATGGAGGGCGAGAAGAATGAAGGGATAGACAAATAGGGATTTTGCTACCTTGAAATCAAGATCGAATCTTCAAGAGTCATTATTTAAGGCTAAGCTTAATCCGAATCCAGAGAAACATCACACACACTCTTCCCTTTCACAGTCATTCTTTTATCTCCTTTTACTTGAAAATCAACTTTCATTCTCAAGATGCAGTTCACTATCTCCGCACTCATCAGCCTCGCTGCTCTGGCGACTGCTTTGCCCCCAGTTGGCCCCTCTGCCGGCGGCTTTGGCAACGCCAATGGCGTTGACAACAAGGGAAACACCCAGATTCGCTTCCCTGTCCCCGACGACTTGACCATTAAGCAGGCTCAGGCCAAGTGCGGCGACCAGGCACAGCTCTCCTGCTGCAACCACGCTACCTATGCCGGAGATACTACCGATGTGAGCAAGGGTCTCCTCGCTGGAACTCTCGGTCACTTGATTGGCAGTGGCTCTGGCTCCGAAGGTCTTGGTCTCTTTGATCAGTGCTCTCAGCTTGACGTCCAAGGTGAGTTACCTTCAACAATTGATCAACACATATTAACGATTCTTCAGTCCCCATCCTTCTCGGTCTCATTGGTGTCCAAGATCTCGTCAAGAAGAACTGCCAGCAGAACATTGCCTGTTGCCAGAACTCCCCCTCCGGTGCAGTGAGTGTTGCCTCTCCGTGTATCTGGCTTTTATACATTCTAACCATCATCATAGGGCGACGACTTGGTCGGCGCTGGACTTCCTTGCATTGCTCTCGGAGCTCTGCTCTAGTTTTAACATCTGGCATTTTGTGATCTCACTGTTATCATAGCCAACCATTTGTTGCCTACCATTCTTAGACATCATATTTAATTCATCATCGTGTTTTTCATCCTAAACTCTTCGTGCCATACCATATGAACTAAATCTTCGAGGATGCCAGAATCGTCCATAGAATAATTCATCCAGTAGGCGATTGAGTTTGGAGAAACCTCTGTTGACGCAAAAATGTACCACCTAGCTATCATCGTTCTGCCCAACTTTGGGGTTACCTGATACTCTTTCCTCCCGTAGTTGTTTTCTATGTTTCGGAGAGTAGCAGTAGCTCAAGGGCGACTCATTTGTAATAACACAACTTTGTTGCTTTCAACTAGGATAAAGCTGGCAATCAGAGACATTTAAAGCCATGCCTCAGCTTAACGGGCACGACCATGGCTCAGCTCGGTCAACCTTCCGTAAAAGTCACGTCAGAACATCTCATGCTGCCGTGAATAGCCATTGATCACGCAAGGGTAAGAAACTAGCCCGTGCTGAGCGCACGCCAACCCAGACCTCTGGCAACAACCCACCGCCCAGACTCCAATGTATCGCCAAAGGTGCCCAGGCCATCGAGCCGAGGACTTCGATTTGCCATCTTGATCCGTCACAGTTAGTCTGCGGACGTGACTGGGTTTGACTGCCGCTGCCGTCATATGCCTTGTCACAGCCGCTATTGGGTGTCGTCAACTGCGCTGTGCACTGGAGCTTTCCGGCCAGCAGCCAGCTCAGATCCATGAATTTAAAGGCCGCCCACGAGCGAGCAGACAGCAAAAGATATCGATCTTGCTGTTTATGGGATGCAGATGTGACTTTTTCATACCGAGCCAAGCTAGAGCTTCGAAGAAATGGAAGCCGGCGAGGAGCGTCACTTGGGATACGGCGATATCGCTAGACAGTCTAGGCGCGGGCTTTCCATCTTGCGTCTTGCCACGTATAAGCTGAATGACCAGATCTTTGAGCTCCATCCACAAGTCCAACAAGCCCCCATAGGCAATTGATCATTTGCCAATCCTCGACAATTACCAGAATGGTGCGCGCAAGCGTTGCGGCCGGGCAGGAACGAAGACGACGTGTGCATGTAGAATTGATCGAGAATAAAGGAAAGACTGGCCGAGAGAAGCGTCTGGAAACGCCGCCCAGGAAGGCGGCCAACGTTTGGGCAACTTCTCCAAGAAGTAGCAGCACGAGGTTGTGACCTTCACGAGACTCAATTACTCGATTGAGATGGGCGACAGTCCCGGCTATGGTACCATCTTACTCCGGTGCCAGAGATGGCAGGATGCAACGTTGTCCAGATCGGTGTAGGTGTCGCAAATGTAGCCATATTTTCCATCAGAATCTCTTCCTTGCAAGCCTAAGTCGATGTGATGGTAGACCCCCAGTAGTAAATTCAATTCAATGCTATATAGGCTAAATAGGATTTATCCAGCTACGTGACATACAAGGCAGTCTAGCCGGGGACGCTCGATCCTGGTCTAGGTCACATCCCAAAGCAAAGGAACAGCACCATAGGAGCTAAACCACACCCAAAAAAAAAAAAAAAAATCTGTAATGCTCGTCCTACTCTAGTAAGATAGGCCAATTCTCGACTGACATTAGTCCACATTGTCATCTGGCCTCCCATAGTGAAATACTAAAGAGCAAGGAAAATTAGGCAATCAAGCAGCCCATTCCCCTGCTCTTAGTTTTGCGGGGCAGGTGTCGCCAGCCCCGTATAAATTGGGTATCGAGTACTACTACTGACACTGACAATAGATAATCGAGAAAGAATCCACTGTCGAAACCCCGTCTTTAGAGCCTTCTCATGCTCTCCTTCTTGCAAACGGACCAGAGAGCGATGGATGTGTGGTGGCTGGCCTTGCTACTGCTAAAAACGCTCACACTTCATACATGCCTCGGGACCCGGAAGCTCTAGTAGTCCAGGGTTGTTTCAGTGAATTTTAGGAGTGTCGATCGAAATAAAACGGTATTGAAGAAACTCTCAGGTACTGATCTGTAAGCTACATGTACTTTAGTTTGGGTACTCGGCATCAAGGCTATTGCAAATATTTTACTGATGTTCCCCCCTGAGCTTCAGTCATGTAACATAAAAGCGGAACAAAAACCCACGGGCTCTTTGGGGGAGTCTTGTAATGGGTATAGTTGATGACCTTCAGAGCGGTAGGCATGCAGTAAGATATCTGGAAACAGATGAGGGTACCACGCATCCTTTTCCTGGATAAGGTCAGTCATAATCATAGACACTATTCTAAATTGCGCTATGCTGTTCCCTAACTTCAATCAAGACCTGCTTCATAACAGCCCTCTTCTCGGCTGACTAACATCACAGGTTGTGTAGTGTAATGGTCATCACTCCAGATTCTGATTCTGGCAATCCCGGTTCGATCCCGGGCACGACCTTTTTGTTCTAAATGCTCTTATCTCTGTTATTTATGATGCAGGATTGTCTGCGGAATGTTTCCTACGCTTCCTAGGTCAAAAAGTTTCTGCCAGATCTATTGTGTGACACGGTAGCTGTCGGCGGACACTGGAAACTTTTATGAAGAGGACTCACTCAATGCTTTAGCAGCAGCATCTATAATAAATCCTCAAAAAGGGTCTAATCTTGATGAAAGAGTCTACATATTTTTCATTACCTACTTGATACTATGTATGAAAATAATTTGTAAGCTATAAAAGAGACCAATGATTGAATCAAAATACGGCAAGGATAAGTGCTGCATAATAAGATACAACAAGAACCAATGGTCAGAGTAGAGTCCATTTGCAACGTCATTCAAGTATAAGAGAGGCTACGATCCAATTCTAGCTGCTAGTCACTTCCTTCATATATTACATGCCGTTCTACATGAGCGCTGATACTTGCTATCTCCAATTGAAGATGAATAAGGAGATACAAATTTTGTCCGAAGCTCTCACAAAAAAGAAGACAGCGAGGGAAGGTAGGAGAGAAGGGAAGACGTGCACTGTAGCTCGATATATCGCTTACTGACCTCTCTGTAATGCACCTTTAATTCAAGTACATATCTTGAAAGTTCAGTTGATCTCTTATTTATGCCTCCTTCAGGCGACACAATCTGGGGTTTAACCCGAAGATCTACAGTCAGTGCGGCGGGAGGAACCCTGTGTGTGAAACAACCACAGGAACCATCACTAACCAGTGACGGAAGATCAGAACTGCTGATCAGCGGACCCGACTTAAATTGCTTTGGCAAGAACGAAAATAGGATCAGAGCATCAGGATTAATGAAAGATGGTTATCGTCTGCCAAGCTTTGACTACCCTCTATAGTCTGCTAAAGTAATCAGCCTATTTTACTCTCCGAGATAACGATCCACTACTAAGTCATCAAAATCCACCCTCGAATCGAGCCATACAGTATCTCGTGGACACAACAGCTGTGTAACATGATAATCCCAAATTATGGCGCAATCTCCCGACCTAGCCTAGGCTTACAAAACCCCACGGAACAAACAAGCCTCTCCACGAAGCTCTTCTCAACAATTCTAGATCAGAGACCTATGCAGTACACAGTTTTCAAATCCCGGATCAACCCCGGTTCCATTCCACCATGGCTGATCAAACGAGTCCTAGACTTTTATGGAAGGTGGGATGTACAATCAGTATTGGAATCCGAGCAATCCCGTGAGTAAAAGTTAAAATTTTAGTTTCATTAAAAAGTTGATTAAAAATTTTAAGGGGTTGTGCTGTTTTGCATACGGCAGGGAAAACAAAATTTTGATGGAAAAAGGCTGTTCCGATGGATACATCAAAGGAGCCAAACAGGAACGAAAAGAATTCTACAAGGTATTGTAAAGGACTGTAGTATATAGTAGAGAACGGGGTAAATTTTGTGGTGTTTAGCCGTAGATAACGCCTTGTCATCTCATAAAACAATAAAAAACGCCAGAATCATCCGCTTCAAATGAACCGCTGTAAACATGATACAAATCACGTCCCGCCCGTGGGTATGCTAAGATATAACCCCTTCTACTGGTGACCGCGCCATGTAATGCGCGTCTCCTGACTAGCTGGACAGATCACGAGCATGGCGGGTGCGGCTGTTAGAAACAACGCCCTCCCTGGAATGCAACATAATGGGTTCATTAAGATCAGGTCGCAAAAAGCAAATCGGGATAAAGAAGAAGGAGGAGAGGGATGAGGAGAGAAGAAGATGTGGTGGTGGTGAATTGAAGGGCCAGCAGCTCCGGCATCCGGAAGGAACTCGAGACCAGCCCAAGGACCCTAGATGCGGGAGAATGGATAATGGAAGAGATAGAGGAGGTCAGGCTTTTGGTCGGGTATAATATTCCGAACAAGAATCAACCGGAGACCCTTTTATGCTGACGGCGTATTAGCGGCCGTTGTCGTAGACGTCTGTGGAGTGCTGTGATTTGCACTGGTGCGCTCGATTTCGAAGCCATCGCATCGCTCAATGAGGCTCTGGTAGTAGTCCTCCAGCACCTCTGGTTGTGGTACGATTCGCCACTGGACCTTGAACAAAAATTCAAGTTCCAGCATGGCCAATTCGTTCATGGTGATACCCCCGACTCGTGCATACGTTTTGTTCGTCCAGAAACTGTCGCTAAGACCCTTGCTAGCCACCGTGGCACTGACGATCAAGAAACGATGGATAGTCAGACTGGAGACCGTAAAGGCCGGGTACAAGGCGCAGAGGCGATCAATGTAGTAGACCATGCTGAGCAATATTGGGGGCGACAGGGTAGCGTGGGTAGTCAGACGTTGCAGATAATCCAACACGGAGATCCGAGGTGGCGAACGTGAGTGGAAGCGAGTTAAGCGCCCCTGATGCAAGGGGATCTTATCGTTGAAGCGAATCAGCTCCATCAGCATGCTGGAAATCAGCACCACCAAGTCACGAGGATCGACTTCCTCATACTGTGCAGGCAGGACCTTAACGTCCTGCCGGGAGGACCGCCTGCGCTTGAACTGCGGTGGCTCTCCATCCTGAGCAGACCCCGCCGGCACCGTCGCATCTGGCGGGTGATGGTCGCACTGGCTGTTGCGCTTGTTGGAACCCGAACTGTCCGGGGCGGGCATCGAGGGAGTGGTGACCGTGACAGCAGCAGCGGAGGCAGGAGATGCGGCGGTGGGGGGCGGAATATTCACAGGGGCAGTCGCGGCTGCGGGCTCAGTAGGGACGGTGGAAGCAGGAGTGGCGGCGGAAGAACCGGAGGTGAGAGCCAAGGCGGAGCTGGGGGCAAGGTTATCGACGGAGGCGGTGGTGGACGCCGTTGATACGGTTGATACGCGCCGTCTCCAAGATGCAGGAGATTCAGGAGAGGAAGGATCGACGGTATGGCGATTCAAGGCCGAGCGGAGCTCCTCAATGGCCAGGCGCGACGAGCGAGGACTATTGAATTGTGGAGCAGACGAGGGATCATAATGCGCCGCAGCTCCGGCTGGGTGAGGAAGTGGGTGCGGGTGTGGATGGGGGTGAGGGGATCGCAAGGCCGCGGAGGAAGGCGAGGGGGAAGAGGCCAACATGACTGGGGGGGAAAAGGAGAACGCGCGCTTCCAAGCGGGTTCCCGTCGATCAGATAATTGGAGGGGAAAGGAATTTAGTTAGAAGCTTGGAAGATTGGAATGCTGCAATCCAAATATCGACCGCTCAAAGTGCACGATGGCACCACGTGGGCGCACGAGTCAACGGGGCGCTGACGCTGCGGACCTGGATTGGTGCTGGCGCACGGCCTCATCCTCGCGAGGAAAGTGAAGGGTGGAGAGGGAAGGGAGACCAGTCGATGGAAGTCGAATCCGGGGGTCTCACGCTAACTGGGAAAAGATGGGATCACATCGAAAGTTGTAGTTTCTTACGATAGAGAGAGAAAGGAGGAGAGGAAATAGAAGAGGAAAAGTACGATATAATAATACCGGGAACCTCTGAAAACCCTGCTTTGCGATGAGGTAATTAATTACAGCCAATACGTGGCTGTATACGTCTCTGTTGCCTACACACGTACATTCTACACACGACGCAGGTGGATGTGTAGTAGTGTGTATTGTCAATACGAGGGCGGAGTGTAATTATAAATGGTTGCCGATTCTTCCAGAGCCCAGGGCGGGGAAAGTCTGCTGACTGGTTGGGCGCGGCCCGAACTCGTCTAGACTGTCTCGGCGTAATCCAGGGCATGACAATACGGAAACGTTTGTCAGGTGATGGAGGGTTAAAGCAATCGGGGTAACTTTGAACGAAGAAAATTGGCGAAACTTAGACTGGTTCCATGATAGGATATCGAGAATCGGCTTGCTTGGCGGCTGAAATCCACATCGTATGCGGGGATGCCTAAGGGTCTTCAGTCTCACTAGTCACTAGTGAGATAATTAGATCATGATTCGATGTTGGACTAGGACCGAGTGAGTATGCACGTGTTTCACGAACCCCTGAGGTGTCGAGGATCTTGGTGCCTGAAATATTATGGCTGCAGGAGTTGATCGCGAATTGATCGCAGGTTGATGCCTGATTAACCAGACCAATCATCAGGCAACTGTTTCCTTGATGCCTTAGGTGTCACCACTCCCGCCTTCCTTACGTAACGGCGAAGTCATCCCCCGGCCATTGCGGAGGCGGAGGCCATCTAATGATAACGGGGAGCTGGAATACTGACCGTCAACCTTGCAATCAGCGGTGTTAGCTTAGCGACAAGCGCATCGCAATCCTACTTCACCAACTCCAAGCAGGCTATCCATCCCCCGACCCCGGCCCCGTTGTCCAACGCCCCGCCGTGGATTCACGCGACCCCTCTCTCACCAGCTGGCTGAATCCGGACAAGACCCATTCATTCACTGCCATCTCTCCGGCCCTGCAACTCCGACGGCTTGCCACAGCTACCCACGCGACCTTGCGACCCCGAGGCTTATAGAAAAGCAACACCGCTCTCCTCATTTTCTCATTGGGACTGATAATTAAAGCGCGAGAGGATTTGTGAGAGCATCTCCCACTTGGGAGACGGTGGTCTTCGGACGATGACACGAGCTGCTGCTTCGCCGATTCTGTTGCAGCTTCAGAGCTCGGAATCGGCTTCCTCACAGGCGGCTTTGCTGCGAACGCTGAAAAATGAACTGATTGGTCATGACCAGCGCAAAGAGGCCTATGTTGCCGCCGGCATCATCCCAGCTCTGGGGCAGTTGCTTAGCTTGCGAGGTCCGGGCAAAGCTACGGGAGCTGAATCCAACGGGGCCGCCTTGAATCGGGCTTCACTCTATCAGACTTCCGATGAATCTGAAGCATGTCTCCAGGCTATCCTGATTGCTGGCAGCTTGGCCCAAGGTACGTCCAGGGTAACACTACGGGAACGATGATCGCCCGTATAGATCGGAAGCTTATCAAGCCGCATAGGTGGACCAACATTCCTTGCTCCTATCTTCGCCAGCGACATCCTTTCGAGCCTTCTCGGTATCCTGTCCTCCCCAGATTGCCCTCCCTCCTTTACACTTCCGATTCTGCGATTTTTGAATACCATTGCAGACCGATTGCCTCTACTAAGCCAGGATCAATGGCCCCGAGAAACCAGGCTAGCAGACTTGGTCTTCTCAGGCGAGCACATCGGTTCAATCAGACGAATTGTTGCGCAAGATTACGGTTCTGCGCGCAATCGAGCCTGTATTGAGCTAGCAGCTGCATTGATCGGAAAGCTATGTACAGAAGAGATTCACAAGACGGCTTTGGCAGAGGCCGGGGTCCTCGATGCTCTCGCTGTCAAGATTGCCTCCTTTGTCGTGGCGCAAGGCTTTGTCCTTCCCGGCGCTGAAGATAGCCTACAGGACCCTGGTGCCCTTGGGGAATTCCCTGCCCCAGCACCGACATCCGCACGCCTGGCTCCCATACTTCGTGCCGTCACTGTCATCATCGAACAGTCCAAATGGCGGGCAGAACACTTTCTCTCTTCACCGGGTATCATCACAGTCTTTCCCAAACAAGTGCCTGGATTTGCTTCGTCGGATATTAAAAGAGGTCCCTGGGGGTCAACTTACCTATCCGGCTCCGCAGTGCCGCGTAACACCGGTGGCAATCCAGTTGATGCTCTGCTGCCATCAGTGCCTCTGGCACATGGAAGATCATCACCAAACTCGGCCAATTTCCCACCTCTGGGGAACGGTGGCTCTCAGCGTCGCCATAGCCACTCCTTCCCTACGCCGTTCTCGCTGGCCGAGACGCCAACCCAGGAAGAGGAAGAAAACTCCATCGTCCCATGGCTACTATGTATTCTTCGCTCCGAAGAAGGTATGGTGCGATTGATGGCTGCTCGTTTGGTTACGGTACTCTTCCGCCTGGGTCTCTCGAAGAAGCATCGGGTCCCAATGTTCAGTTACTTGTTGGTGCCAATTCTGCTTCGCATGCTCGACAAGGACTTTGAAATTCCAGACAACCATGATCCTTGCGATGATGGCCTGATTACCCCAACGCAGCGCTTGAAGGAGGAGGCACCCGCTGTATTGGCTAACCTGGTTATGGACGATCAAGATCTTCAGAAACACGCCGTAGATGGCAACGCGCTCAAGAGGTTATCTCAACTACTCAAGGAGACTTACAATCCTGTCTCCGAGAGCTTGCGACCAATGTGGTATGCGGAGGGCGATGGCCCAGCACGAGATCCCGAGTCCATGTCTGCAGACTGCCGTCTCGGACCTCCTGGGTACTCTCCCACTCTATGCCATGTCATGCGGTACCGTGAGAGTATTTTGAAGGCCCTGGCGGCACTGGTCCCATTCAAGGACGAGTATCGCAAGGCAGTCTGTGAAAATGGCGTGGTTCCATATATCATCGATTCACTCAAACCTCGGCCTAGCGATGCGCCAGCCGATGCCGCTTCTATGCCTAAAAACTCAGCTTCCGACGGCAATCCCACGCCGACAATCCTAGCCGCATGTGGTGCTGCTAGGATGTTGACCAGATCAGTTAGTGTATTGAGGACCAGTCTCATTGATGCCGGTGTCGCTCAGCCGTTGTTCGTTTTGATCAAGCATCCCGACTTGGAAGTCCAGATTGCGGCCACGGCAGCAATTTGTAACTTGGCGCTGGATTTCAGTCCCATGAAACAGGTTAGTGACCAGTTTACTTCCGCTGAATGGACCTGCACTAACTTAAAGAACCAGGCAATCATATCGTCCGACATTATTCCGATTCTCTGCGAGCATGCTCGCTCGTCTAACACCAAATTGCGAATCGAATCACTCTGGGCACTGAAACATGTGGTTTACGACTCACCAAATGACGTTAGGATGAAAGTCATCGAAGCTCTTACCCCGGGATGGATCCGGCAAATCATCAGCCAAGATCAAGTCAGCGCATTAGCACGACGAGGGTTGGATGAGGAGGAGGCAGATCAAAGCTCCGGAATTGCCATGGGCCGTGCCAACTCGTTCGGTGAACAGGTTGACATTCTAAACCCCATGGAAGACTCCGGCGAGCTGAGCGAGGACTTCAAAATGGCCGACAGCATGCCATCCTCCAAGATGAGCCTGGACATGTTTCTGCCGGATGTTAGGCGTCGACGCAAGCTTGTCCTGCATGGATCGCTGGAACAGTCCACCCAATCTCGTCAGGATGATATCGCAGTTCAGGAGCAAACCTTCGACTTGCTGCGCAACATCATTTGTGGTGAGGGTGCTGCGGAAATGATCGACTTTCTGTTCAGGGAAATCGGACAGGACGAACTCCTTGATGCTCTCGCCAATAACCTTCGCCCACGTACAATCCAGCTCGCTCATCGCCGGGAAGCTGCCAGCCGTCCCCTACATGTTCCTTTGGAGATTCTTAGCTCTGTCAGCGGCCTGCTCATCCATCTCGGCGCGGGTCTCCTGCGCCATCGCCAACTGCTCATGGCGCACCCGGATCTTTTGCGCTCATTGTCAAATTATTTCAACCACTCCAACCGCGAAGTGCGGCTCAATTGTGTGTGGATAGTCATCAACCTCCTCTACGTGGAGGACGCGAGTGACCGTGACGGATGCCGAGAGCGAGCCAGCCAGCTGAAGGCGCTGGGGATTGCTGACCGCCTGGCTAGCCTTCAAGATGATTCGGATCTGGATGTGAAAGAGCGCACGAAGACTGCGGTGCACCTTATGAACTCGTTGACTTAGCCCTAGGTATGACTTTTTGCTTGGATACTGAACTTGAAGAAAGAACTGGATATGTGCGTCTTCGTTTGAGATTTGAATTGTGCATAAGCTCTTTGCGGGTATATTCAGTTCAAAATGTGTTTAGATAGGAATGTTCATGTTGTATAGCACTTGCCTTACCAGCTATGTTCTTCTGCTCTTCTTAATCGTCCAATAGATGGGAGAAAATGGTTATCTTATCTTATCAATTTTCGTGGAGAAACCTACGTCATAGTAATATGGTCCAGCATTCATGTTGACAACTTATCATCCAAGCTCAATGGATATCCAGTGGTCAACTTTCTCCAAACTACCCGATTAATCCACAACAATCGTAAACATGTCCCCTGTCCCACAAGCAATCCTCCAAGCCCTCAACCTCCACACCGACTCCACGACCTGCGCCCTCGACTCCTCCGGCCTAAGCTCCGGGTTCACAAACACAGGCGCCCTCCACGTAAAAATTGCGCACGAAAACGGCACCCAAGCCGAACACAAATACTTCATAAAAACTTCCCAGAACGGTTCTGCAGCAGCAGAGATGTTCCACGGTGAATACGAATCTCTCAACGCAATCGCCCAGATCGTCCCAGGCTTTTGCCCCCGCGCATTAGCCTGGGGTCCCCTTGACAAGAAAAACGGCTACTTCCTCGCGACAGAATTTCTCGATCTAGGTGGCTCCGTGGATCGCGGCTCAGGGGATGAGACGAACCATTCTCGTTTGGCGTACAGATTGGGTGAATTGCATTCGACGCCTGCGCCCGTGGACGCTCAGACTGGTCGGCGACGATATGGGTTCCCTGTACCGACGTTCTGCGGGGATACGAGGCAATCGAATACATTTTACGACAGTTGGGCTGAATTCTACGCAAGGGAGAGGTTATTGACTATTCTTGCGTCGTCGGAGAAACGCAATGGTCGTGATGAGGGGCTACGAGAGCTTGTTGAAAGGACTGCTCATACTGTCGTGCCGCGTTTACTTGGTAATGATCATCTGGGGTATAATTCCCGGGGTGAAGGAGAGGGGATTCAGCCTGTCGTTGTGCATGGGGATCTGTGGAGTGGAAATACTGATCGAGGGAGTATTGTTGGGAATGGCCGGGAGGAGGCAGTGGGGGACGTGGTCTATGACCCGTCGGCGTGCTATGCACATAGTGAATTCGAGTTGGGGATTATGCATATGTTTGGTGGATTTGGAGCAAGGTTTTTTAACGAGTATCATCTGCTGGTGCCGAAGACGGAGCCCGTGGAAGAGTATGATGACCGGGTACTGTTGTATGAACTGTGAGTTTCTGATGACATGCTTGATTGCTTTGAGCTGGTTCTAATTGTTGGGCTTAGGTATCATCATCTGAATCATCATGCTATCTTCGGGGGTGGATATCGATCCGGTGCGATGTCGATTATGCAGAAGCTCCTTCGCAAGTACAGTGACATGCGCTAGGTAAAGCCAGGAAGGATGCTTATCCTTGATGTTGCTCGATTTTGCATAAATTTGGCCCACACCCAAGGCTTTTTGTCACAGATATCGAAACAAGGAATGCTGTCAGCATCTGTGAATTTATCTGTGCAAAACACACATAATACAGAACACGTAAGCTCTTATAGTAATACCCCACAAGCAACAAAATCCCTCCTTCTCCCCAGGGTTGATTCGAGTCCTTGGACACATCATGGGGGATGTGGAGGGTCCACTGCCAAGCCAGGTTGGGCGGAGTCCACGAAATGCCAAGCCCCAAGAATTAATGCTGCCTTGGGAGTCAAAGTTAATAGAATGGTTCTTTTCCTGTGTGAGACTGCAGCCAGTTTAGCTTCAACATTCTCCCCGCTGAAAAGTAGTATTCGACACTAGCAATTATGAACTGCCCTTCGCGAACGGATGACACTCTCGAACATGACGGGTGGAACCAGAACCCACCGCTCCTGGCACCCGACTTGACAACCTGCCAAGACCTCAATGGCATTGTGAACGCCCGCGAGAATCAGGATGATAGAGGGGAATCTTCTGCGTTGTATAGGGGCCCTCAGCGGGTAGAAACTCCATTGGAGCCATTGTCGAAGGAGCGCTATCCGCTCTCGGGGCGCGGGATGTCCTTGACATTGTCAGGTATGAACGACACGTCCAACGGAGGGGATTCCAGAGGTAATTGATTAAGCAGGACATCTCGCTCCATACGAGGTCAGCCTACAGGCTGACCAGAACGACCAATCTCTAAACAAAATCCTCCAGTCATACCAGACTATCAAAAGCTGGACACTATGGCTCTTTTCTGTTCTCTGTGGTTCAGTGCTCATTTCAAATAGCAGACTAAACGAGTATTTTACCTCCCAAAGACAGATCATTATGGAGCAGCCTATCGAAAGCCAACGTGTCGCACCAATGAAACGATCCAAATGCGCTTCTGGAGGCGTCCGTGGCGACGAATACGACCTCCCTTTACACGTCGCAGCACTATTCATCATCCTAGCAACATCAACCATCGCCTGTGCATTTCCAATCTTAGCAACACGATTCCCTCGTCTGCGAATACCTCCCTCATTCTTGTTTTTCGTCAGCCATTTCGGAACTGGGGTTTTGATCGCTACTGCCTTTGTGCATCTACTTCCTACTGCGTTCACTTCGCTTGGAGATCCTTGTTTGTCTAGTTTCTGGACCACGGATTATCCAGCGATGCCGGGTGCTATTGCATTGGGTGGTATATTTATTGTGACTGTCGCGGAAATGGTTTTTAGTCCGGCGCAGCATATTTGTCGCGGAGGGAACTTGAACACTGTCAAGCAGTCGTCTTCGTCCGGTCACCAAGAAGAAGGAGAGTCACCCAGCGGGCTGAATGGTACGAAGAGTGCCATGGAATCTCTAGATCAAAGCTCTTTCCTGCCCACGCTCGATGGAAGGGCTCATCTACGGGATATGGGGCCTCTGATTGGAAGATCATCCAGCATTAGCAGGGCGATGAGCCGTGTTGGGGAAAGGCTCGATGAAATCGTTCGTGTCGCATCAGCACCCGAGATGCAGACTCATCCCGAGAAGGATAATGGGACAATTAAAGGGGATATTGAGAGACATGACCATACTTTCGAGTTAACTCCAGAGCAAAGGCAGAAGAAAGAGACGATGCAGGTTTACCTTCTCGAAATGGGTATCCTCTTTCACAGTGTCTTCATCGGCATGTCACTTAGTGTTTCAACCGGAAACGAATTTGTCATTTTGCTGATTGCCATTGTCTTCCACCGTACGTTTGATTCAATGCATATAAACGTTTTATGAAAGCTGACGATTCTTGTGTTCAGAAACCTTCGAAGGCCTCGCTCTGGGGTCGCGCATTGCTTCGCTTCCCTGGTCTGAACGACAGCTTCAACCCTGGATCATGTCACTTGCATATGGCTGCACGTAAGTTGTTCAACTTTAAGCTTATAGCATGTTGTCCATGATAGAAGTGATCCTTACAAATCTCTAGTACACCCATTGGACAAGCTATCGGCCTGGCTACGCATACACTCTACAGTCCCGACTCGGAAGTGGGCCTGCTTTTGGTCGGTGTCATGAACGCGATTTCGGCTGGACTGTTGATATTTGCATCTCTCGTGGAACTAATGTCTGAGGATTTCCTCAGTGACGAGAGTTGGCGCATTCTGTATGGAAGACGAAGGGTTTACGCTTGCTTACTCGTGTTTCTCGGAGCATTCTGTATGAGCATTGTTGGTGCGTGGGCGTAACATCTCATGCAAACGAGGTAAAATACGCAGTGATGTAGAGTCATACTCTCATCTTGCACGACCGGCCAGCCATCCTCGAGATCGGGTATGGCGTGATGTCACTTTTCAATCACGGCAAGGCTGCGATTCGACGACCCCGCGCATCTCCCCGACGATCTTTTCGATATTCCCTGAATTTCAGTCTCTGGGCGAATGATTTACCGGACTGTTAAACCCAGGCAAAGGTAGCTACCGTCGATTACAAATCCAAGCGCGGGGAACTTTATTTAAAGGAAGACGCGAGGGCTAGCTACAAACTATATTCTTAGCATCTGACCTGATCCATAAAGTCATAATCTGGGCCCTTAGTTCTATTTCTTCTTTAGACTATTTACCATTCATTCTCTACGAAATGCCTGCCCACCCTGATTCCAACCTCCACCCTGAAGCCACTGGCCCCGCAAAAGCGCTAGTTGAGCAGCACCGCGCGGACCAGCAACTGAAGTTATATGCAGGATGGTTCTGTCCGTAAGTAAGAAGACTACCGTTTTCGTGATTATATCGAGCTAATCTTGCTGCAGATTCGGTGTGTTCATCCACTACAGCCACTGATGTCTAATACTGAAACTGATAAATTTCCAGTACAACGAGTTTGGCTGGCTCTGGAGGAGAAACAGATCCCCTACCAGTACATTGAAGTGAATCCTTACAACAAACCCGAGTCACTCCTCTCGCTCAACCCTCGCGGCCTTGTTCCGACTCTCTCGTGTCCGACCGATCCAGAGCCTCGACCACTCTACGAATCAACAGTGATTCTGGAGTATCTGGAAGAAGCATACCCATCACACAAACCACATTTCCTCCCGCAAGATCCCTATGAGCGTGCTCGTGCCAGAATCTGGATCGACTACGTCACATCGCGCATCATTCCCTCCTTCCACCGGTTCTTGCAATACCAGCCTGCAGAAGGCGAAAGTGCACACAGCGATGCAGGCTTGGATAAGGCCCGGCGAGAATTCTTAGATCACCTCAAAGTCTGGACTAGGGAGATGCACTCCAAGGGACCTTACTTCCTAGGTTCGGAGGTAAGCTTGCCCGATCTTGTACTTGCGCCATGGGCGGTACGCCTGTGGGTATTTGATGAGTTCAAGACCGGTGGATTGGGAGTACCCGCTGAAGGGCAGGGGGGATTAGATGAAGCAGTATGGAATAGATGGAGGAAATGGGTTTCTGCTCTCGAGAACCGGAAGAGTATCCAGGAAACGACGAGTGAAAAGGAGTATTACCTGCCGATCTACAAACGGTATGCGGATAATACAGCACAGAGCGAACTGGCCAAGGCCACTAGGGGTGGTCGAGGTGTTCCATAAAACTTTTGATATTAGATTTAGTGTGTTTTTCCCTTAACGAGTCGCTGTGAGTTCGCTCTTTCTTCCAGGAATGACTAGCTTCCTGTATTGTCACGTGACTTTTCATCCATCCCATCTCAAGTTTGCGTACACTTCGTATTAAAGTTAATCCGTGTTTATCTTCACGTGACCTCTATCGGATATGGCTTCTCTCTCCAGCATCCTTCGATCTCTCGGCTTCTTGCTCACTTTGATTCGATTGGGAACCAACAATCATCTTCATCACGAGTGATGACACCAAATAGACGTGATGAAATACCTCGCTCAGGCCCTGCGCCTGAAGCCGAGGCTAAGCCAATCGACCCAAATCCTCCACCCATCCACCCATCGTTCATCCAGATAGCTCGTCCCTACGTCTTTGAGGAGACAATTCAAGGCTGCCTGGATGCGATGGGTGTTAATCGCACTCGCGAGGAGTCTCTGCGCTTGCTGGGTGTGGCATGGATTGACAACGTCCGACGGGCTCTACATCTGTAAGTTGAACAGCTCCAACGACGAGATGCTAAGCTTACGATGTTACAGCCCCGTACGGACTTCCAACACGGCGGTGAAGTATTATCATCGATTCCGCCTAATCCATTCCGACAGTGAATACAATTACATTGTCTGTCTCCTCCGTCTCTTTCATTGTGCTCTGTTCTGACTTTCATCATAGGACGCTGCTGCTGCTGCCCTGTTCACTGCATGCAAGATCGAGGACACGCTAAAGAAGTCCCGGGACATTGTGTGTGCAGCTTATAACCTCAAGTTGCCCCCTTCTGAGCACCTGACTCCCGATGATCCTGTATGCTTTACCTCCCCAAAGACAACTCCTGGCAGTGGAAAGTATACTGACATAGACTGTAGGTATTTGAGTCCAATGCCCGTAGCGTCATTGGTCTCGAGCGGCTCATGCTGGAAGCTTTTGGCTTTGACTTCCGTACACATCACCCCCAGAAGTCCCTGATCAAGCTTGCTCGCCACTACCACTTCACAAAGGAGTCGGAGGTTTTCTACCTAGCTTGGGAAATTTGCATGGATCTGTACCGCACCTTTGCGCCGCTCAAGCAGACCACACAGACCATGGCATACAGTTGTCTGGAGCTAGCAGTCCGGCTCTTGGACCAGCGCTGCGAACCGCTCGAGTCTGGAGTGGACTATGCGAAGTGGAGCACCAGCCGTGAAGCCGTTATGGGTAAGATTGCGTTGGTGATAGTGATGCCTCAATCTTATATGCTGACTTGGCTTCTAGAAACCCTTCTTGATTTACTCGAGCTGTACACGCACAGCCGTACTCAAACTTCCGTTGGCCATAGATTCCCACCGGATCAGTTCCTCAAAGTCCGCATCCCGCTCAATCAAGAGATCAAAGACAAGCAGATCCCACGCTACACCAGTCCCGGGACTACGGGCAATGGGTCTGAGCAATATGATTCCCGTGGAAAACAACCCGACAACCGTCAGCGCCCCTATCATCCACTGACACCAGTTGCCGCCAACGGAGACCGCCGTGGAGAGAGTGAGCGTGGTCGAGATGCGCCGCTGCGATTCATTCTTGACCCTGCGTGGGCGGCGGAGGAGAAGAGACAAGTTGGCGAGTATTTCAAGGTGGAGATGGAGGAATACGAGGTCGAGGAGTGAGGGACGGGGTGTTTGAGCTGTTCGTGCGATCCAAATCGGCGTTTTCAGTACACACCCAGAGCGCTTGACGAAGGATGGCTGGTCTTTTTCCGTGATGACTTTCTATGATACCCCCTAGTTCTGATTTATTATTCTGAATCAATGATACTACTCAGACTTTCTGGGTAAGTAATCGTGCTTTAGCTGCCTTTTGCCTCCGTACAGTTCGATGGATTCCAGTAATGAGCCCCTGGATTATCCCCAGCTTGTAATGGATCAATAGGCCACCCTAGAGACGGAAGAATCGGAGACCTATAAAATCTGACGATGGTGGAAGAGCATCACCAGTCGTCCGTAGTATCTGAGCTCATGCAACGTCTATCAGTACCTTTTTAGGTTCTACTCTGGCTCTAGTGTCTCCCCCGCACCGAGTTGAGTCTTGACAAAGGCAGCTACATTTAGTCGATGAGGCTGAAAAGTAGGGATCAAGAAAGGTCCCCTTACTAGTATAGACCCCAGCATCTGTTTCTCATCCTTCAATCTCTCTCTCTCTCTCTCTCTCTCTCTCTTCATTTGTTCCCACCGGTTGACACTATCACCATGACCGTCAATCTAGACAAGCTCCCAAAATTCGCACAAAAGCCCCGCATTTTCATTTTGACAGACGTCTTGGGTGAGCCTGGTGATTCACAATCTCTCGTTCGATATCTACTATATTCCAATGAGTTCAATACTCGCGGTATATGCGCGACGACATCTACCAAGTTGCGCTCCAGCACTCATCCAGAGGAACTCCGTCGCATCATCACGGCATATGGCGAGGTTGTCGACAACCTGAATAAACACGTGCACCCGAGCTGTCAATACCCATCCGCCGCTTCTCTTCTCTCTCTAGTTACATCGGGACCAAAAGTACGTATTAGCAGAAAGTCGTCATTCTTCATTGAATAGATCTCCAACTCACACTTCTACGCTCAGATCTACGGCAAAAAGGCCCTCAAAGAACCCCATAGCGAAGGCGCACAACGTCTCCTAGCTGCCCTCCAAGAATCGGAGGAATCACTCTACATCTCCGTCTGGGGTGGTGTGAATACACTCGCTCAAGCACTCAAGCACCTCGCCGAGACATCTTCCCCCAACTTGGCTGCCAGAGAGCGGGCAAAGCTCCGCGTCTACTCCAATTCTGATCAAGATGACACCGGTGCATGGATCCGCGCTAAGTATCCTGATGTGTTCTACATTGTGTCTGTGCAAGGTTGGAACCAATATGGCCAGGGTAGCTGGCTAGGCATGAATACCAGTGCTGGCGAAGGGGTGGATTCTACGAAGGTGCTTAACCCATGGTTGAATGAGCATATCCGGGTTGGGAAGTTCGGGTCCAAGACATATCCCGAGGTGGAGTTTGGCATGGAGGGTGATACGCCATCTTTTCTGTGGCTGATTCAGAATGGGCTGAGCTACCGGGATTTTATAGATTGGGGTGGCTGGGGGGGCAGATACGTTCGGCCGCAGGGTGAGGCTGACTGGGAAGATGGCATTGATGGGAATCATTTCCATGATGCCCAGGACTTTGGTGTTATCGGAGTTGATGGGAAAATTTATACGGGTCACAAGGAGACCATTTGGCGATGGAGGGATGCCGTTCAAGACGATTTTGCAGCTCGAATGCTCTGGACTCTTACGGACAACTTCGAAGAGGCCGGCCATCCGCCGGTAGTCGATGTCAATGGAAGCACTGGCACGGATCCTTTGATTCTTGAGGTCAAGCCCGGAGAAACGCAGATTCTCGCCGCGAGTGGCACGTATAGTGCAGACAGTTCCACTGCGGATGAACATCTGGGATACACCTGGATACTCTACGGCGACGTCAACGGCTTCCACTCCTTCGGCATGGGCCCGGAGGTTCAACTTGAAGCCCTTGACGGCGTTGTATCAGACACCAAAGGAGGCGATACTGCAGGATTTCCCACACACACACGAGCACAAAAGGTTAAGGTTATGGTGCCACAGCTTGAGAAACATCCTCAGACGGGTCTTGTCACTCCAGACTTTCATATCTTGTTGGAAGTGACCAACAGGGCAGGCATTTATCCCATTCGGCGATATAAGAGAATCATCTTCTCTTACATCCGAGAAGATAAACCGGCGTCTCTCAAAAAGATACCGGAGAGTGCCAGTGACGCATATCAGATGTATGGGAATATCGATGCCGCGAGGCCGAGGGTGGACTACTCACAACCGCTCAATTACACACCCTGCAATTGGTGGGGAGGGAGGCCAAAGGAGACAAAGAAATAGATCCAAAATGATCCATAGACTACTGGGAAACAAACTCGACATGGAAGTTGCCTTCGGTATGCTGGCAGTGGTACTGAGACTCCCTTAAATTTCGACATCACACTCGCAACTATTACTTCCTCTCGACACCCTCAATACATAATTTCAGCTTTCTGTATACACCCAAGAAATGGGTTTCCTCACACTTTACAAGGTCAATTAGGTAAATCAATTTCTCTAGTCACCCCCCGGCGAGCTCAAACAGCGGGTTTCAACCATCAAAATCCGGTGTTTGTGGTAGTCAGGCCAATCATCGGTGTCAAGCCTATTCACACGTGTCGCCATCGTAATGGTTTCTCGTCTTCTCCGTCACCAGCCTAGACCTAGTATCCTTGCCTTAAGCAATCTCCTAGTCACGCCTTTTGATCCACAATATCGATCCCGTCGTTGAGCTCGTGGGAAATAAGAAAAAAGGCAACGAAGCGGATACCGCAATAGCAATCGATCTTGTACGTTGGCCGCACGGGATTTTCTCCCGTTATCAAGAGCATCTAGGAGAAAAAGGGAGTAATCGAGGGACTGCAGTTTGCATAATACAGAGCCGCTGGCAGATAGTTCATAGATGGTCAAAATCAAAGATCTAATTTCCAAATTTTCGGAAGTAAACCCTCTACAAATTACAGATATAAGGCATCTTCCCCACAAATTTCTCCTCCGTGACCTCATCCAACACCCACACAGCCACACTCGCCCGACTAATCCACATCACATCCTTCCCACTCCCCAAATGCGTGTCTTCGACCGCCGCCTCCTCGCTATTCGTCAACAATCCGACCCGAAACAACGTCCATCGAACACCTTCATCAACTGATAACGAGGACACGTATTCCCCAACGCCAATGATCTCCTTGTATTGACCGGCACTGAACGCTTTCAAGGTCCAATGACTCAGGTGCCATTTGAAGGAGACTTGATCTTCGGGTCCATGGAATGAGGCGGCGCATAGGATGACGATGCGGTTTATATTTTGGGATATCAATTTAGGGATGAGGGATTTGTAGCCTTTGGTCAAGGGCTGGTGAAAGGGTCAGCTGCGTACCTGTCTTCGTGCCACTACTTACTGTTCCCTTGTTTCCAAAGGGTGGCCCAGCAAATGATATGAATGCATCGGCATCACATTGAGCAACTTCTTCCAATGAGGCTTCGTCCTCTAGGGTGCCTTCGATCACGGCTACCAAGTCGTGATCGCGAAGTTGCGCTGGCAGTTTACTCGTGTTTCGCACGAAGACAGTGAGTGTATGGCCTGCCTCGAGAGCCAACTTACAGAATTGGCTCCCTATAGCACCTATTCAAACAATTTTAAAAACAGAATAATCAGCTACTAGCCTCAATCAGCTTTTTGGGACAAACTTAACCGGGGCATACTGTACCTGAAGCGCCGAGCACGAGGAAATGGTTATTCTCCATAGATGTTGCGGAGATGTGTGGTCCAAATATTGCAATGATTCTCCTGCCCTTGTCTTCCAGATAAGACGCAAGCTATTATAGAGGGCAAGATCCTTGGGAATCTCTTCATTTTTCAACAAAGCTGGCTACAGCATAGCATGTATGTCGTCGTCGACGCTGTGGGTTTATTGGCCGCCAGAAGTCTAGGGCTCCACTCGATACCCAATCTCTGGGCCAGAAATGGTAATTTTTACGCCATGAAGAGGGCAATACGGAGTATCTGGTATGCAATAATAACATCATTTTCACAGGCGACCCATGGTTTTCTCATCAACAAGTCGAGTAACTGGGCAAAACAACAGAAGCAGAACATCAGCTCCAAAAAAGGGTTTGATTGAAAGCTATTTACAAATTTTACAGTCCATGGCAACAGGAACACATCCCAGTAGGGAGAAGCACCGGACGACTAGGGAAAAAAAGCAAGTCACATCGTTTCTCCCGAAGTAGGCTTTGTCTTTCGCCTCCTTTTCCTGCTATGCATCAAAAGGACCGTGTATTCCTTCCACGGTCGCGAATTATACCAGCATGCCTTGAGACCCCCAGCTCAAGCATTTAAAACATAATCATCAAGTAGGGCTTGTTCAGAGCCCAGAGCCAGTGGGCAGAAAACGTAGAAATAAAAAGAAAAGAAAAGGAAAGTACTGAGCGAAAATATTTGTGACAGAAAACAAGCACGAAGCGAAGAAAAGACCCACCCCGTGCTCCAAGCGAAGATTATTCGCGGCCGCCGTATTGTTCTCGAGGTGTGGTTGATGTCGGGTTGAAAGGCTGAGATCGGATGTTGATTATCATATGCATGCAAGCGCCTGCAGGTCCCAATAGGGTGACACAACAGTATGCACGTTCATGTACCAGTGAGAAGAGCAAGGAAAAGAAGAGATCGACGTAATTGAGATTCTCTCAAGGAATCGAGGAAGACGCACGGGGTCGGGAACTTTCCCTCGTATTATGAGCAAACGGAAAGGGTGAATAAGAAGTCGTCATTTTTTGGAATTATGAGGGGGTCAGCCGAGTTGGATTCATCGGCGCTTGAGCTCAGTGGCGAGACAGTCCAGGATCTAAGGAAGTCAGTATAATCCAAAAACATTGGCCAGCGCGGATACATACAGTCTCTGAGACGGCACCTTGGTTATACAGGTACTTGGAGAGGCCGCGAACAACATCAAGCTGCTCGTCAACAGTCAAGCCGTTGATGACAGTCTCAATAATGTCGCCCACGCTCGCCTTGTAGATGGCAATGAAGCTGTGATAATACATGAAGGCGAAGAAACCCATGATAAATTGACAGTCCATCCGATCGGTGATACCACCGTGGCCGGGGATAGACTCGCCAAAGTCCTTGATCTTGAAGGTGCGCTTCAGACCAGAAGCAAAGAAGCCACCGAAAGGAGCAATGAGGGATGCAAAAGTAGCGAATGCCAGGATGTGGAATTGCATGGGTGCGATGTAGAGGGTCTTATCAATGCCAAACACTGCCAGAGACCAGGGCTGCGGAACGAAAACGGGGTTAGGTACGCACTCCAAGCCAGTCAGAACGTTGGCACCGAGGTCGTTGACCGGGCAGATGAAATACTTGTACTGCATGAGCAGGTTGGTCATGAAGTACCCGAAAATGATCGTGCAGATCCAAGCTCCAAGGAAACCCTCAACGGTCTTCTTGGGGGACAGCTGGATCAGCTGAGTGCGACCAAAGGTAATTCCGCAGACATAGGCAAAGATGTCATTGGTGATGACCAGAGATGCGGGAAGGAAGAACCAGATCATGCCCTCGAAAATGTTATTCATCACGAAGTGGGCCTGAACCACAATCAGGTACAAGGCCATGTGAGTCCAAGCGAACTGGGTGAACTGGAATCGGTAGTGACCCTTCTGCAATGACCCAACGAAGAACACGAAGCCTGTCAAATTCCGGTTAGTGGATGCGTTCACAATCCAAGTACCGAGGTGCAAAACTAACCCATGACGTAGAGAGTGAAGCTGATAAAACGATGATGCGTCGCCAGGGGAAGAAGCACCTTATCCACCAGTAGGATGTGCTTAAAGTAGTAGATAACGCTCTCTCCGTACAGGAAGTACATGGTCGTTGCGAGGAAATACCAGTTCAGGGACTTGGTGAAGCGGAGGTTCTTCTCCTTGCTGGGGACGTAGGCGATGGCGATAACTTCTTTGAACGAGACAATCTGAATGGCAGTCACAAGGCCGATAATATAAATATGACCAGAGAACAAGGCGACGAAAAAGCCGGCGATCATCACGAAGGTCCATATCGTCCGGGTGATGAAGGTCTGTTTCTTCTTCTCATATTCGGATTGCTGCGGCTTCTGTAAAATTAGGAGAAAAAGCCACGTTAGCCATGCCAAAGACGCCGATATACATAGGTTATTATGTTCTTACCTCCTCGGGTATCGTAGACGGATGCGAGGCGTTGCCATTTTTGCTTGGGCTGGAGGGTTCCGATGGGCCATCGCTGACGTCGGAGGACACGCTCAGCCGCCGCTCACCGTTGGACCGGCGCTGGAACCGAACATTACGGCGGGATTTGGACATGATGCCGAAAGAGGGAAAATAAGGGGGAAGGGGGAGGGGTGAAGAGAGAGTGGAGGGGATTTAAGACGAGATCAGAGAGAAGAAGAAGAGTGGAGTTGGCTGGTTCATGAGCTCATGTGAATCCGAAAGCGGTCAGCTCCGTCAACACGAGCGCGACTTTCTGGGGGGAAAAGGATGTTTTGGAAAAAAAAAAGACAACGACAATAATTTGAACCGTGGAGCTGCGCCTCACCCGCCGAGTCCCTCAATAATTTTAGACCCTTTGCCTCGACCGGCCCTAATCAGCTAAGCCCCAGGATGATCGTTCCCCTGTGAAGCTCAACTTCCCCCCGTCGGCGTCTCCACTTTTCTTCTCCGATTCACCTCTCCCCAGTTTCGTCCTACCAATACGCCGGTAGCACGATTCATGGCGGGGGCATGGAAGACATTGACGATGATTATTTCTCCGACGACCTCGATTCCCTGCCACCGGGTACGCTATACGAGCTCGAGCAGAATGCTTTCCAAGCAACTCAGGGTCCAGCGACACACCAGCAACAGAATGCGCCGCTAGCTCCGAACGCGCCCGCCCATGTGCACACGAGGCAGCCAGCTGCTACATTGAAGCCGCCGCCCCGCCTACATACCGGATTGACGAATGACTATGATACACTCGAGGTGGGAGAGTTGGAGGCAGAGGTTTACGATAATGTGGAGGGTCAACAAGCAATTGCGCAGGCCCCTGCGGCAATGGTCACTGATAACGAATGGCCTGCCAATGGTGGCATGGAAGACATGATGGAGATTGATCATGAGTATGGGCAAGCAAATGCGTACGAGATGAACGCACGCATGGATCAGGTACACTTGGCCTTGATGCTTCACTTTGTCCTACATTGCGATGCTAACATTACTCGACCATAGCTCGAACAAGAAAAAGAACAAATGCGACGAGAGTTGGCCGAAGCTAGAACATTAGCCGAAACAAAAGCTGGAGAGATCGCCATCATCCGGTCAAAACAAGCCCGAATGGCTGAGGAGTATGATCGACAATTAGCTGCCTTACGAAAGGCCATGGCCGACCGGGAAAACACACACAAGGAAGCTGTCGACGCGGCAATGTCAGAAGGCAAAATGCTGGCGACGGAGAACCTCTTCCTCCAGCACGATCTGGCTGAGGAAGTTCATCAACTTCGGAATTATAAAACGAAACATCGTGCCGTAGAGAACGCTGCCCCGGTCACTCCGAAGAAGTCTCGGGTACTTCCCCTTCGTGATGGATTTGACGACGACGAGATCGCCGTGGTGTCACCCAGCAAGTCGGCAGCACGGTCCAAGAGGGGAACACCGACCGTGCCAGGGAAACGGAAACGACAGGCGAGCGTTGACAGCCCAGCTCCTTTACAGCTGAGCCCTGCCGGAGAGCTCAACATGGTGGATGCACCCACCGATACCTCTGGAACAGTGTTTGACGAGGAGCCCAAAACACGCGACTCAGGCACTCATGCGCAACTTATGAAGCGGATTTTGAACCATAGGATGCTCCCTAATCAGCAAACCGATCTTGAAGCATTTGCTAGACTGTACTTTCCCTCTGAGCCGCACAAGCCACTATCAGGTATCCTCATGGACGAGCTGGCTCGGGTAGACATGGGCAATTTCATGTTGGAGTACATGTATACGATTGGACAGCTCTGGCGGCGAGGACTGACGGAGAGGTTCTACGAGCCTGTTCCTCGATTTATGTGCATTGCCAGATACGTCTTGATGATGGACGAGGCTCCCTTGCCGGATCTGATTACCGCTCTAGTCGGTGTGCTCCAAGATTCAGTCGAAGTCAACGCGGTTCCTCGGTTCAAATACTCCCCAGCAGCTCGAGAAAAGGCACGAATTCCGCGCTCAACGCCTCAAGCCGACTTGCATCTCGAGGTTGATTCGACCGAAGCCCTTCGTCTTCTCTACTATATCTCGTGTCAGTTATTACATGTCAAGGGCGCCTTAGACAATTTTTGGGCACATATCCGCTACACATTCATCCTGGTAATGTTACATGGCTCGCAGCCACTCAAGGACATTATGGTTATATTGCCCTTATTGTCAACCAGCATCCGGGCAGACTCGTTTGGCCCCATTATGTCCTCAGAGCAGGATCAAGCAGACGTCCAGAAATGGATTGTCGACCGTCTCTCCTTTATGCTCAGTGAGGCCGCAATGCCAGATGAAGGCTGTGAGCCCTACACAGCCTACGATATCTGTGCCATGCGCCTCGAGGTTCTGCTTCTGCTGGAGTCCTTAGCATTCAACCCATCAGCCCCATCCAAAGACCACGGAAGTGCCATAATCGCAGCGCACCCAACGGCCTTACCACGTCTATTCCGGTCGATGCACGATGAGCTAGATGCGCTTTACTCCTCGCCACCCGAACAAGAACTCCGCGTCGCGATGGTCAACGGGCTGATGCGCCTTATCTTCGGGGTCATGCGCCGTCATGGTCCGTTGATCAACATGCAGGAGAAGCTGGCATCCGTGCCAGGAAGTAAACAAAAGCACCTGGTGGTCCTCACGCGGCTAGCATTCTGCGATGGGTCCGTTCTCGAAGCGGGCATCGATGACGAGACGGTAGATATGGCACACGAGTTGCTGGAGGAGTGGACAAACCCGCAGGAAGCGGAGTCACTGGCCGAGGCGTTCCCCAGTTCTCGGCGAGACTGATCCCAAGGAGGAAATGGCAAGCATGGCGTTTGGCTGACAGAAGGAATGGGCTTTGCATATCTGACATGGCGCTGACGATTTGGGGGTGAATTGCATGCATCTGTCCCTACGAGTTTTACGAATTTGAGATACCAATATTTACATAAATCAGAGCTTTCATCCCATTCATAGTATGTACAGTCAGAGCTTCGTTCGAAAAACCAGACCGGAGGATGTATAATGATGCGGCTTTATACTGAAGGACTGACACCTTAGAAAATAAACAATTCACCCACCATGGCGTTGTTTTTCTCCCTCTCTTCCCATATGCCTTCATCATCCCGCGTCCAGCATTCCCACCACACTTATTTGTTGAAAATCTGACCACCACACTCGACATCAATGCCCCATGTTATCCCCGCTTTAGGGATCAGAACAAATGTGGCCTTGCCACGTAGATGAGGCTGAAAATGGGCTATAAGATTGCGCAAACACGTCAAACAAGAGGGGCTGCACGAGGACGAGATTCTCTCTATTCCTTTCGACCTCTAATGACTATACTTTGGATCTTTCCACTAAATTCGGGCCATAATTCTTTCCTTGATTCCCCGAAACTATGAGTCTTCGCCCTCCAGGTCCTTCGGCTAGCTTTGACAGCGAAACTGCCCCATCTTCTGTGATTTCTGATATAATATGGCAACAAATTCCGTTGAGCGAGGAACCCCTTCGGCGCGTGAGGGAGAGATATGTCGACCACTCAGGAGGGACATTCCTCCACTTTGCCGCAAGGAAATGGGACTGGGCCGGGAGGTCCTGGAGAAATAGACAACGCAGGCATGATTTTGTTGATTGTACGCAGTGGCTAGATATACAAGACGATGCTTGGAAGCAAGTCTTAGAAGATTGTCGCGAAAAATTGGGATCGATTGACCGCGACGGTCGCACTGCCCTTTCAGTAGCGGCAGGGGCTGGCAACATTCTTGCCATAAGGCTTTTGCTTTCTCAAGATCCAAGTCTCTTCTATGACGATATGGATTAAAAACGGAAAACGCCCTTATTCTACCTTCTTGAGCGCCGAAAAAAGATCGCAGAGGAAAGGAAAGACAAAGCGATTCTTCACAGAGACCGCTTTAATTTTATGGACCCTGGAAGCCCAGACGCTCTCGTCGGACATCTTATTTGGAATCTAAGAGAGTTTCCGAAGTTCAGCTTCTCGCACGACACTGAGTATACACCATTACCTCCTTGTTACGTCAGCTCAGAGAAGTTAAGTGAGACTGATGGTGAAGGACGTACACTTCTCTCCCGAGCTGTGGAGTTACAAGACTACAAATTCGTTCGCATTCTCCTGTTAGTTGAAGGAATTGACATCAAACAAGCTGACTTAAATGGAGAAGCACCATTGCTGCGAGCTTTAAGAATGGAAGACTCCAAGATGGCCCATTTGCTCGCTAATAGGGACCCGGAAGCTTTCAACAGTCTAATGCGAACCTCAGACAGGCAAGACGAAGACTCCTTACCCAAGCTGGTGAAAATGGCCTGGAATATCGGAATTTTGGACCGCGAGAGTCAGAGTGCCGCAAATGCTCTGAGATGTGCGGTGGGGCTGAAGGAAATGTCTGTAATCAGTCTGCTTCTAGAATATGGCGTTCCACCTCGGCTTTTCGAACGCAGAAAAGACTGGCTTGACCTGATGAACGACGAGACTGGGATTTTCATCGAGTTGGCAGAGATGAAAAATCCCCAACTAGATCAACGTGGAACAAAGATTTACAAGCTTGGTCCTGTTGATATTGCGGAATCCGATCTTCTACGTTCGATGAGGCAAGTCACTATCTTCCACCTTATAAAACCGAGTACTATGCTGACTTGCGACAGATTTTATCGATCCTGTAAGATCTGGGAGGATCAAGATCCACTAGCGAACAACAAATACGGCAAATCTAAGGTGACTCCTGGTGGTAAGACTGGACAATTGACGTGCGATATTTCGCTGAAGTTCCCTAATCCGGAACCATTCTTCAACACCCAAACATTGGCTTGGCTTGGACGCGACATGATCAGCAATTGCAAAAGCAACGAGCAGTTACGTATTCGATGGACGTGATCTGGACAAGGACAGGTCTTCTATAGCAGCACACTTTCATCTGGCCAAATCCCTAAGAGCGACGATGCTTTTATACTGGAGCTCATTTCGGACATGGATTTTGAATGGTCCCTTATTCTCACCAATGTTGAGGAACGATTTAGCGCATCTGTAAGTCCAGAGCAATATTCCTTCCTCCTTGAGCGATATTAATGCCGCACTGCGTAGTTGGCCACGCAAAACATTAACAGGAGTGACCTGATCAACTACCTTATTTCCGAAGGGAATTTTTTCGCCGCTGTTCGGCAGGCTCTGCATCAGCAAGTGAAAATTATCTTCGAATTCATTGATCAATATCTTGACGAGAGGCGCAACTCCATCCTGATGTCCGACGAAGGGGATCCTGAAAACTGTCATCTAGAGATCAAACCAGCTGCCCGATTATTTGAACAGACTATCGGTGACAAACTGGAAAAGCTAAGGCAAGACCTCAGTGACGCACGCCAAATGGTGAGCGTTGGAAACAAAAGAAAGTTGCCTGTTAACTCATTTATATCAGGACATTATGAAAACATCACTCGAGGAAATAATTTTCTTGAAAAGGATTAGTTTTATCACTGTGGGCAGCCCTTGAGAATATTCCGGCGTCTTGACTGATCACTTTCTCAGTTCATTTACCTACCGTTGATGTTCACCGCGGTATGATTACGGAAGCTTAGCGACGAATTCTGATATAAACTGGCATTCACGCTGACCTCTACAGAGCCTTTTTGGCATGAATGTCGATCTATTACAGAGGAACCCAGACTGGCGGTGGTATATCCTTTTTGGCCTTGTGTCCCTTGCCTTGACATTAGAACTCTGGAAATTTTCTGAGCCGGTAAATTGAATGAGCTGATTATGTGGTGGTCTATTTCGCTAATTGCACTAAGAATTCCAATATCGTTCTACCCCGGCGTTCAAGTTTAAGACCATCAGAAATATTGCGTTGGCATCGGCGTTCGCAGGATGTAGAAAAAGCTTGATCCTCCTTTGGGTACTCCCGACCTGGCCTAACTAGCATACTTTGAGCATGCACATTATCATGAGTCACTCTTAACTTTCCCCATCAACTTTCTCCAACAATATTCTGGACGTAATCTGTTTGCTCGTTAGTCATCGCGTGCCGATGGCGGCCGCCCGCTGGGCTCGGGCCGGAGGAGGATCTATCAGCAGATTTTCCAATCACGCGTAGCCATGGAGTCGGGCACCCAGAACTTTCTGGGTCCCGCTGAGCTGGAACTCGGGAGTGGTCGAATTCCTCCTATGGTTCGTTGTATTGCCTATGTAGTTAAGGGGACACGACTTGACATCGGAAAGGCCACTTAAATACCAGTTCTCGAATACCATTACGCAACTAAGGATGCCTCGACCTGACCTTCTAACCAATAAGTTAACTATCAGCTAACGCAATCCATGGCCGAGCTAACCTCTTTGCACGCTATCACCATTCTTATGCAGCAAAATTTCCAACAAAACAACTTAGCAGATTCGATCTTTTTGCAACTACGCTACACGAGAGCTGGGAGGTACAGTGTGAAGGCCATTCGACGTGGGTTTCATTATGTGTGGAATATGAAGTGAGACCCAAAAGAACCTCAACTAAACATTGAGCAACCGACTTTCAAATGGTAAAACAGTCTATGTTTGTGGCAAGGCTTCATATAGACGCCCTATAAAAATTTGTTAGCTCCACTTTGATTCGAAAAACAGATTCTTATAACTTACTTGCAAGTCTCCATCGCGTACTAAAGTGCAGAAGCATGTCCATAAAGTTTTGTCTCTCTCTGAGTAAGAACGAGTCGCTTCCCAATTTCTCCAGCGATATCATAGCGTCCAATACCTGGAACAGGATTATGATAGGAAAAGGAGAAGGAAAGACTGCAGTTGACGTGTTCAAATCGTGCTGGCTACTCGATATATCCATCAGCAAACCAAGGAGTTCTAAGCTGTCTTTGCGACGTTGTTCAAAACTTTCACCGGCACTTTCTCCTGCCGTTTGTAGCTGGCGGTATGTGTATATACACAGATTCGCACTAGAGATTGAGCGAGCTAATTAGCTACTGCACAGGGCATAAGGTTGCATATGAGGCTTACGCGAAGGCAGTAGCGATGCACCTGTGCCACGAACAGTCATTACGGTGATCCGAAAAGTTAACCTTCAAGCTCTGGAGCTCAATTTCTAGGGCTCCGATATGATTCAATCTCGCATCAGTTGACAAGCTTGGTATATCGGCAGGAGCGCTAGATCCAAGAATTTCTTGAAGGCGAATCAAAATATCACAGCCATCCGCTTCGCACTTGAGGCTATTCACTGTGGGAGGTCAGTTCGGAAAGTTTCGACAATATCAATGATGAGAGAGCCGGACCTGTAACTTTCGAGGGCTCTATAATTTGAGAGTAGTCATAAATATTGTGTTTCATGACAACCCTAGAAGCCATTTTGATATGTCTGTCATAAACCCGTGATATTAGCCAATAAGACCTAAAAGATCAGGACACTAGAACTTGAGTAATACCTATCAAGAATATAAATTCCAAGAAGAATATTCGTCTCTTCCTCTGTACTGTTCCCCAGTTTTGAGGACGAAGAAACACTGGAGGTAGCTGAGAGTAGCCCAATAGCGCCTGCCATTCTGGCGCAAGTGCCAATTGTAAGGTAAGCCTGGCTTCCCATGCATTGAGCATGTTCGTATAGTGCAATCAATACACCAGATTGAATCATCTCGATGCAAGGTTTATTGAACGACATATATAAGGTGTGAATGTGCTTGCAAGTCCGGTATAAGTCCGGAGGAGACGCTGTGTCAGAGGACACAAACTTTTCCACCGGCTCCTCCGTTAGTAGAATAATGCTCAAAATGAATATTAAAAAAGGCGTATTCGGGTCAAGAGCTTCTGACTCTTGAGTTCGCCACTCAAGTCTTTCTTTGGAGATCACCGGTGCATAATTATGTATTACGCTGAGATATTTTTCGCCCATCGCCCGCACCGAGGTGTGTCTATCGTCAAGGATCTTGGACAGATTCATTGCTACAATAAGTTTCAAGTAAGACGGTTGAAGCAGGCTGGGTCTCAGCTGCCAGTCTGATCGGTCGTCTCCCTGTCTTTCAATACTTGGCGGAGTGCATTGATCAGGCGCCGCTGTAGGTCGATCCTCTTCGGACGCGAACACGTGCGACTCGAGCCTCTCTAGCCTGTCAAAGACGGCTTGAAACGTACTCGTGAAATCCCCCGCTCTTGCTTCTGCTGCATCATCATAGGTGCAAATTAGACAGAGCCTAAATACGTAATCAATTCCTATGAGAATCTTTTACTTGAAACAGATGGCGACAAATGTCATACCTGGAACAGCGATTGCACATTGGCAGGGTCTTGTCACACTTCTTCTTGCTCGATTTGCAAGAAACGCATGCTCGTAGTGCAAATTGAGGGGACACATTTTTGTCAAGATCAGAGATAGTGTCCATGGCGACGGTAGTAAGTTCAAAATAAATTCTTGATCAAGTGAAAACGATTTGTAAGGAAGATAGTTTAATCACTCCATTATTGAGGGAGCTGGGGAGTTAGTTTCAAGGCTAGGCAAATTGATTATATAATGCCAGTTAGTTAGTTAACTAACGTATTTCCTGGCCGACCTGTACACCCCAAACACCATAGTAAATACCATACTTTGGATTGTGATATTTCAACCCACGAAGGTTTATGTAAGTTGATATAACACTCTAGTATTAAATATTCTATATTAAGCCGATTCATAAGACTAAAATTCATTATGAAGGAAATTAATACATATGTATTAATATGCATCACCTTATCGGCGTGTATGTTTGGTAATGCACGTAAATAACTACGTGATTAATTTACTAATAAACTCAGACTAATTTATACGTTAACAGGAACTAAAATACTAAAGTTTAAGTAATATTATGTTGGTTTTGTTGATATATGGCCACCTGAAATATCGCGTTAGCTATGGTGGTTAGGGGTGTACAGGACGGCCGGGTGTACAGGTCGGCCGGGAATTACGTTAGTTAGTTAACTAGTTAACGTAACTAACTAGGAATTGCTACAGACATAGCAACAAACTGCTACTGCTGTCTCTGTAGCAATTCCCTACGTAACTATTTAACTTAACTAAGTTGATTTGCTTCTGTCGTCAATAACTAACGAGCGAGACGGGCAGTCACCCCAAAGTACCGTCCATATTTTCATTACATATAGGCGCGCACAGGGCCGACGATACTCCCGACAATTCAAATCAAGCGGCGGCTGGGCGGCCGCCGCCATTTTGAGCCCGCGGCGATAATTATTCATCACCATAAGATTTTAAAATTTACTCCTCCTAAGCACCCAATAAATAGTGTGATTATCAACAGGTTTCCAGTACACTCTACCATTGACCAACATCCCAGTCTTGTCCCACTGATTCTCATGCAAATCCAGTAATTTGATTCTCTCTTTGGCTGGCGTGATAATGTCCGAGCATATACTCGTGTTTGGCGCCACTGGTGAGTAGCCCTCTATCCTCGTATACTCAAAGACTCACGCGTTGACTTCTCGCCCGATCCTCATTTCCAGGCCCATCTGGGATTGAATTTTGCTCCGCTGCATTGCAACAAGGGCACCGATTAAGCCTTTTCGTACGAAACCCACAAAAACTTCCACTAGAGCTTTCCGGAAATGCCAATGTCACAGTGATACAAGGCACTTTCGAGGACGTCGCAAAAATCGAACAAGCTGCAGGGTGTGGGGCACGTGTTTTTGTGTCATTTGCAGGCCCTACATATGGGTCAAAGGGGACGGTAAGCGGTCTGATTTTGACAGTCTGAACTTAGCATTTGCTGATCTTGAGAATAGCCTGTCACCGAGGCAATGAAATTGATCTTTCCTATGCTGGTAGCGAATCATTACAAGCGGGCTATGGTACTTGGCACCTGTTCCTATCCGTCCCCTCAGGATAAAGGCGGTCTTAAATGGAAATTATCCGTCGCATTGATCAAAATTATCGGGGGAAGTGCATATGAAGAATTCCGAGGGTTAGGTGAATTTGTCGCATCTCAGGACCCTACCCAGCTCCCATGGACTTTATTCAGGGTACCTTTCTTGACCAATGGAGCTGGAGCACCAGTAAAAGCCTCATATACGGGACACGGCGACGACGGCTTCTTCCTTTCGCGGAGAAGCATGGCGAGTTGGGTTTTGAAAGAGATGGACAGAGACTCTGTTCAGGTCGGTAAAGCTCCAGTTATCTCAAATTAATTGTATTCGAGCATGGCTTGGCCTTGGCAGACATGTCTACTTTTCTTGTACTGTATTGTGAATCAGGGCCCAATGAAATAGACAACATAATTCCTATGTGGAGCATTTTTCCACATAGGGCTTAATTGATGGTGATCAGTCTTCAACTACATCATTTGCCTAAAATAGAACATTGTCCAGCCATATCAAGAACTGTTTAATTTACTTTGAATGCTGATTCGTCTCATTTTCATAGTTACATGTCTACCTTCGTTATTGACTTGTGGATGATATAGAAATGAGATAATCGTTTGTATAGGCGTCCTCGTCCCATCATACACCTAACCCTGCACTTCGGCGGTACTAGCGGATATGTATTCGTGTGTATCTTACTGGAGCGTCATCATAACTTGCCGTTCAAGTTTCATTTTCTCAATTAACTACACTTCCCTTTCGGTACATGTTTTCGTTTCAGGGCCACAGTTTGCGACAGTGTGCGTCACCAGTAAATATACACTGGGTTAGCGGAGTTCACTATCTGGTGTCTTGAGACACAAAGCTTACTTACAATCATGTTCAAATTATCTAATATGCCTCAAGTCCGTAGCGTAAGAGTTCTACGCAATTGGGGAGGAACGAGATACCACATCTATTGGCCAAGGCTATTTCGAGAATGGCCGTACACTTCCAATCGAGGGAGGGCTACTTGGTTAGGAATCCCAAGGCAACTTACAGGAAGACGAAGTGGTCACATTCATCCTCTACATCTCCCCACGCCGGTACCACAAAAACCGTCGTCACACCTCCACGGGGAGAGGCTATAGCCTCCTGTGGGGATGGACTGCCACCGTCCTTTCTCAGAAGCTCTGAACCCCGACATCAGCACGCTTTTGCTTATGGTTTCACCACATATTGGTTCCCCATTCAGGAGGCAGCGTTGTTGCTCGGAGCATAGGATAGTGTTCATCCCATATATACTGTCTGTATACTCCGTACACTTCGCTCATCAATAGCGGACACTCCCTGTGTATAATGAGAGGTTGAACGAGAGAATATGGGATCTGGCCAGAGAGATAGCCTGACAGCTTGACCAAGGCTATTTGTACATTGTTATTTACGATTGTAGCTAGACGCTGCCAAACATAGGGGTTCGAGGAGACTCATTGTACTAAGCTAGTGTATTTCGAGAGGGTTCGAGATAGAATAAGTGAAGCGGTGAAGATGATTTCAAGCAGCCAAGCACAATACCAGGTATAATTACGATGGGCAGAATGGACAATAAGTCGATAATAAGATAGACGCATATCATGGATTAAGGCGGTCTTGTTTTCCGGGTATCAAGGTAAACTGCCACTCAAGCTAGACAACAGACACATAACACACGGGCTTGAAAAGAAAGTGGGCCTGAAGAATCTCTTCTCCAAGGTCGGGTCGCTGACCCGGAGCTTGATGAAAAGAAGAATATCCACTGGGTGGAAGGTGCCAAAGAATACGCCTGTCAATGACCCGAAGGCCGTTGAACAAACTGTTCCGCCGCGCTGTGCAATGCAGGGACCAATCTGTGGTGGGCCGCCTTCATGATCGCGGCCACCCAAACAAGGTAAGTATGAAGAAGAAAAAAAAAAGGGAAGGAATTTGGGGGGCAAAAGGAGGTATTTAAGCAAAACCATGGGTGACGCTAGTGCTAAGCGAGCCACGCTAGTGACAAGCGAAATGCGCTAGCACTAAAGGAGCTGCATGGTTCCCTACCACGTGACTGAATCAAGCATTGGTCACGTGGGCAGGCGGGAGTAAGACACAAAGGCCACAAGGCAACAAGGCAACTCTCCGGACGAGTCACGTGCTTTGCGGAAGTTTTGGGAGCAGAGCATCCACCAGGGCCCTCTCCGACGAGGATACAGCAACGACCATCCCCCCAGCGTCTTTAATACAGAGTCGCCAATATGAGGAACAGAGCCAGTACCTCCTTATCTAAGGGAGTAAGTTCAATTGCACTTTTTGCTCCTCATCCTGCTACGGCAATACTAACTATTGGCCTCCCCAGAAAATCCGTCAATCATGGAGCAAATATAACCTGTATAATCTGCAACGATTCCGCACCCCAGCCACCGCGAACCGAACCTTTTTCCAACAAAAATGGACTGCCAAGGCAACATCGCGTGCCTACCACGGCGAGCAGGTCCGCGAGGGCCAGTGGAAGCGCATGTTCTCGAAGCGCATCCGTAGCGTCATCCCCATGAACACGACCGATCTGGCCGCCGATGACGGTTCGAAGGAGTCTGCTGGTCGCGGCTCTGGTCTGAGCGAGAGCAGTGGCAGGAACCGGTCCCGTCTTATTCCTTATACACAGATGGCTTTCGCTCCCCTGGAGCGTCGGTTGGATGTTGCTATCTTCCGGTCTTTGTTTGCTAGCAGCACGCGACAAGCGAGGCAATTTGTTATCCACGGCGCAGTTACTGTCAATGGACAAAAGGTAAGACAGACTTTATTCCGAGCTTTGGCTCAACTTGAATGTGTGCTGACATATCCTCCGCCCAGATGAGACATCCCAGCTACCTGCTTAATCCCGGTGACCTCTTCCAAGTCGACCCGGACCGTGTGATGTACGCCACTGGTGCCCCAAAGACAGCCTTCGAGCGACGAGAGACCCGTCAGCTCAAGCAGAAGAGTGATGATGCTGAGGGTGAGGCCGAGGGCGCGGAAGCCGAGGCCAAACCGGAGATCACCGAGAAGGATGAGAAGGAGAGCAACCGAGACTCCCTGCGGGCATTGATGTCCCAAGCCAAGACTATCATGTCAACTGATAAGGACATTCTTCCCGCCAAACGAAAGCAGGAACTGCGCGGGTTCCAGAAGGCCGTACGCCGAGTGCTGTCCCGCTCTGACACCAGCACTGTCCTGACAGATAGCCTGGAGGCCCAGTTCTCCGAGCTGACCCTGCTTCTCAAGGCCAAGCGGGCAGAGAAGAAGCCCGCCAAGGAGTCCAAGAAGGAGGTCAAGGAGGAGGAGGCTGCCACCACTGCCACGAAGTCAGAAGAGACCACCAGCGGCGCTCTCTCCGAGGCCTTCCAGGCTGCCGCCGAGGGCGGCGAAGTCGACACTTCCGAGCTTACCGATGAGGAATTCGACATCCTCAAGCGTGCTCTGACCCAGATGCGCGATAACCCCATCGATCACTCCAAGCCCTACGCTACCCCCTGGCGCCCACGCGACTACATGTCCGCCTTCGCTTTCATCCCGCGCTACCTCGAAGTGAACCAGAACATCTGCGCCGCCGTGTACCTCCGACACCCCGTCGCACGCCCCGGCTCCGCCGAGGTGCCCACTCCCTTCGGCGAGTCGATCAGCACCCCGGCCTACGGCTGGTACCTGAAGAGACGGTGGTAAAGGAAATATACTCATAGTGTTTTCCTGACCCTCCCCCCTCTTCCGTGTCTCTATTATTGTCTACTTCCCCCTTTTCCCACGACTGTATTACTGGGCCTTTCCTGGACCTTTATTTCCTCCCTCTGCTTGCATATTTCCTCTGGTGCTCATAAAGGGACCCCTTTGATGGGATCATGTTGACCATGGTGTTAGTGCCTTATTTTCTCGCTTTTTATTGTCGGGGTGTCTATGCCCCTGTGTATCACCATAGCCATGAATCGATTGTAAATGGATTAAAATACTGCTTTTCCCATAGCCTCCATGTAACAAGCTCCTCGTGCTAGAATGTCTTTTGAATTAAAATAGGAAGTATGATTCCCATCTGATAGGACTTCTACCGTGTTGATTGTCCGCTGAGACGCTGCAGAATGGATTCTTTAGACACCAACTGGCAGTAGTGACCGATGACAGCCACGCTTAGAGTAGAGCACATGTTCATCTTAACAACGTCGCTACGACGAGACTGGCTAAGCCTACCGTTGGGCACCGACAACAACCCCTCCATCTCATCCATCAGCCTCATTCCAACTGACCCCGCCTTCTGCTTACGGGTTTCTTGTGACTTACCTCTTTCTTCAGTGAAGGCAACTCATGACTAACAAGATGAGCCTCGAATTCGGGAAGGGCTCGGTTTCGAGAGATTCTTAGGCCAGTCAAGGACTTGAAGGATCGCTTTGCACAAGCACCAAACCAGTAGAAGGGGAAATACCAGGAGTACTTCCTCTGTCCTCTGTCATTTATATCCTAGTGATACTAATTTCAAGCTACAGGCTTAAGTCCAAATCGATTGTGCTACATCGCATCGAGGACCTTGATGAGGATGACTTTTATGGACAAGTGGAAATGGAGATGCCCTTCCCGGTCGACAGGACCTTCTCGACGAGCTGAATCACAAGTTGGATAAGCTTCAGACTTTGGTAAAGGGCTTGAGTGCAGACTAGAAACAACAAGCTCGACGGGCTTGGGGTATGATCCAATAGGATCGAGAGCAGATTGATAAATATCAATCACGCATCCTCCTCAACATAACTCCGTTCAATATTTTGGTGGTAAGAGTCATTCTATATGATATGCCTATCTTCCTTTCTCACTACATATAGGAGCCGATTCTCCAATAATTCCTGCAACGAAAAGCATCTATCCCTGATGACTTTACCTTCTTATTCTGTGACTATTCAAAACTGCCGGTAAATGACGTTTAGTGATTATATTCCACAAAGTTATCTCATGTTAGGGACCGATATACTTCGCATCAACAGTCGTTGGACCGCCGCGAGATGATCCGAAGGCGGTGAGGGGTCAAGACTACACCAGCTTCACCACCATTCAGTAAACGTCATCGTCACAAAACTCCCGGTATCCATGCCGATACGAGTGAACATCTTCCAAGACGGCGAAGACAGCGCGCTTGGATTCGCGCCAAACCCGCGGGGCATGAAGCGCGCCCACGAGCTCGACGCGGACGACGACGGGGACACCCCACGCAAAGGATGGAAGCGGCTCACAACCAAGGAAGAAGTGACACTCTTTGAGATCTGCAATCGCCATGCAGACAGCTTCGGCCGACGCAGCGATCTGTGCAATTGGTGGAAGACCGTTGCAGACGAGTTCTCCCACGCAAATGGCCGCCCGTATTCCTGGCACTCGGTGCGGAGGAAGGTGGAAATGGTGACGAAGAAGCGCATCAAGTTCCTCGAAGATCAACAGCAGCGACAACGAGATTTATCCGGCACGATTCCGGTTCCCGACGTGATGAATCCGCAGTGGTGCGCTGTGCTTGATCTTTGGATCCCGACTTGGCAACATTGGGAGGAATCCGAGGCGCAACGGATCGCCAAGCGCGACGCGACCTATCGCAAACGCTCCCAGAGTAAACTCGATAGTCTGTGGAAGCCTCCACCTCAAACTGCAGCCCCGGCCTTGGAACCGGTCGACCTGACTTCTCCGGCTAGCCCTGATGATACCGGCATGGATGATGCCAATGATTCCTACGAGGGTCCTATCGTTCTAGTCACGAGGAGTCCCCAACCCACGGCTGTCCCTGCTACGGCAGCGCCTTCGGTCGACAGACTTTCTTCCATTCCACCGTCCATTCCGCTATCTAATGGGGGTGTCAGGCTACCCCCAGGATTCGATACTATGTTTGCAAACAATCATTCCCAGTCCAATCGGTGGCCTGCAACCTTCCCACCGGCGCCCAAAGCAGCGGCAGAGCCATCATCGGATAACCCCGTGTTCAACGCCATGCTCGAGGCTATCGGAAAACTTAATAAACACCTCGACAACGCATCGGACAACAACAAAAACAAAGTTGGTCCAGATGCTCGCGCTTCGCCCGTGATATCAGCTCTTGTTCAATCAGCCACTGAATCTACCCCGCAACACCAAGCTTCACCAGAGGTCTCACGTCGAGCCGCAAGCAGCATCTCCTCCAGAGATTATGAGCGAATGAAAGAAGAACTACGGCAAGAGTTGAAGGATGAATTCCGACGAGAGATGAGGGCCGAACTACGTCGAGAGCGGGCCGCTTTCGAGGAGAAGCTTGATTCTGTTCAAAGAACACAAGATATGATCTTAGAGATGTTGAGGCAAGAGCCGGCCTGACGGGATAGAGTTGGCTTTTTTTGATCTTTCTTGGGACTTGCCTCCCAAGGTTCCCTTGGCGTTTGTCGTTGTTTTGTATGCTTTATGTTGAGATGATACCCACTCGCGCTACTTGAGCTATTATTGCTTTCTCTTTATGATACCTATTCTTCCGAATCATTCATGATCGACCGATCTAAGTTCAAAAGCTGAGCCCTCAAGAAAAGTTGATGACGATTGTTCTACTCTAAAACGGAGGCAGACAGGAAAACGAAACACAAATGGAAAGAGGTAGTAGTCATCGGCTAAATTACAGATAATGGTAGGTAGAGGAACAGACAAAGGAACTGCTCGGGGGATGTCGTTCCCTGACTAGGGGTAAACCAAGGAAAACCCCGAGGCCCCCAGAGACACCAACAAGCTCTCTTTCAAGCTCTTTTCAAGAGACCTCTCGAAATTTTACGTTCGAGACGACCCTGACACCGTCAAACACACTCTAGTAGTAGAAGGTCTCGTCGACGGTACGGCCACGCATCCAGCGGGGCTCGGAACCACGGACGTAGATGTCCTCGAAGAGAATACGGGGAGTGGCATCGGGGACGACCATCTTCTCGGCCTCGGCGACCTCGGCGTCGACGTAGGCGCGAGCAGCCTTGTCGATGCTCTTGAGCTCCTCCTCGGAGGTAACACCCCACTCGAGCATCTTCTGCTTGAGACCGGCAATGGGGTCGTTGGTAGAGCGCATGCGCTGGATCTCCTCACGGCTACGGTAGGTGGTGCCGGGGTCGGACATGGAGTGGCCACCGTAACGGTAGGTGACGTACTCGAAGACGAGAGGGCCCTTGCCGGAGACGGCGTAGTCCTTACCGTACTGGACGGCAGCCTTGGTGGCCAGGACGTCCATGCCGTTGACCTTCAGACCGGGGATGTACTGACCACGCTTGTAGTACTCGGTAAGAGCGGAGGAGCGGGCAGCGGAGGTACCCATACCGTACTTGTTGTTCTCGCAACCGAACAGGACGGGGAGGTTCCACAGCTTGGCCATGTTGAAGGCCTCGAAGACCTGACCCTGGTTGGAGGCACCGTCACCGTACAGGACGATGGAGGTGTTGGGCTGCTCGTTGTACTGCTGGGCGAAAGCGAGACCAGCACCGACGGGGACCTGGGCACCGACGATACCGTTACCACCGTAGAAGTTGGGGGCGAACATGTGCATGGAGCCACCCTTGCCGTAGGCGATACCCTCACGGCGGCCGAGCAGCTCACCAATGATGGACTTGACGGTAGCACCGCGCATCAAAGCGAAACCGTGGCAACGGTAGGCGGTGATAACCTTGTCGTCGCGGTTGATGGCGTGCTCAATACCGACGGCGACAGCTTCCTGGCCGGTGGACAAGTGACAGAAACCACGGATCTTCTTCTCCTTGTAGAGGCGGTCGGCGGCCATCTCCATGCGGCTGTAAGAGAGAAGGTATCAGTTAGGAAGCTGCCTTCAAGAAAAGAGATCCTGGGGGAAGGGGGATAGGCGCATACCGCATAGAGACCATATCGCGGTACATCTGCTTCAGCTCATTCTTGGTGGTCTCCAGAGTGTAAGGAGGCGGGTCGAGCTCGTAGGTCTCGAAGCTCTCGTCGGAGAGACGGACGGTGAACGGCTTGTCATCTTCCTACACAGCGCAAACACCGGTATCAGCATTGAGGTGTTCCGGGGCTCGCGGACCAAATTCCTGTTTTCCGGATGGGTTCTCAACAAACCTGCGGGATGTTCTCGGCGTGCGACGAAGCGGCGTCGGTGGTGACGGAGCGACGGGTCAGAGGAGCGAAGGCCTGGCGACGCAGAGGCGCAGCCTGGCGGGCCGCAGTACGGAAGAGCATTGTGTACGTCGAGGAACCCAATTGAAGATGGGGAGAATTGATGGTTGGAGATAGCGACACTTTTCCGTCAGATGTTGGGAATGCAAACTTTCCCGATTACTTAAGCGCTTCCCGTTCGGGGGCCGCCGGTGTGTCCTCCTGCAAACAGTCCAAACCGCGGAGCTGGCCTACAGCTAACCTTCGACCAGAGCTCGTTATGAAGCTGGTGAAAGTGTTTGAAAGTGCTATCGAACGTGCGTTCCAGGTCAAGGAAGTTTTTCCGGTATTTAGATCAGCACGGATGACCCCCGTTGTGCATCGCTCATCGCTCCGACCGAGTTCGGAAGGGTCTGGATTTGCCCGGCCGCCCATCCCAACAAGACTTATGCTAGAGATAGCTCAGATAAGCTATGCCGGGTGAACTTTGGATGGAATGGAGGGACTTCAAGAACCTGAAAGAGAAGACTATCTAGCTTGGTATATAATCTTTGGCTTTAGAGATATTTAAGAGCATGTAATTTTTGATTCCACAGCTCGACCAGTGGAGCTGCTGAAGCTCTCAACATATATGTGCCTGGAAGCAGTCGAGTTGCGATATATGCAATGACTTTGGGCTGCTTCTTCGCCACTTTATTTCACATTCCACCCAGTTGCTTACTTACCGAATTTAGGTAAAGGTGAAACAACCTCCTCAATGAATATATCGAGCGTGTCACAGTGAATCAGTCCTACCAGCCTAACTAACTGCTCGAGTTCGTATCAATGCGTACAGGCCGTGATCATACTCTTTCAAAGTCGACCCAAAGTACCAGAGAGGACCATGACTTGCCGGCTGATACCTGCTATATCAAAAAAGCCAATGGCGTTTTACGCCACAGAAATGGTATTCCCTTGAACGATCCGTGTCTTGCCTTTGGTAACAAAGATACCATCCAATAAGCGATACGAAGACTGGTTACAGCCACCCCAAGAAGAAGTAAAGATAGCACAAACTCGGCCTTTCTACGGATACGTAGATACCATTCGGCACTATCCCGTATATTCATCAACACGAAATTCTACTTTGGTGAATTGTCTCTGTATCAGCGGGGACGAGCAATCAAGAAAGTTAACGCTAATCTAGCCCACAATGCCGCAAACCCCTGGAGTGGGAGGGCCCGCGGGATACCGATCGAACACACCATAAGCACACCTTATCTGGCAACTATTGACGTGCCGCTGATGCATTAAGCTTGCAGTCAGCCAGTAAGCGGACGCATTTAGCGAACAACCTTGTCGAACTGCAATTCCCTGAGACAAAGCACTGGCCAGTACTTGATCCTTCAATAAATCGATGGTCTATAGAACGGCGCCATTCGCGGTTCTACAATCGGTAGATCTATCCAAAATATCTCAAAACTTGATAATCCGGATTTCCCGAGTCTGTAGCTTACATCGCCCAAGTAAGGAACGTACCTCGTCTTTATCAATGAAAACGCCACGCTCGTGCTTGCCGCTCGTGAGGCGATAAGTCTAATGCTCTTGTTTGTGTCGACCCCGCTGTAGCCGGTCATGCGACAGATCATTCCCTTCAATCTCCCATAATGCCAGAAATGGAATGCGATGTCCTGAATCAGGGGGAACGCTTCAAGGCTAGCCGTTGCGGAAGACATAACCGAGTCCCTAACTTCCACTAGATCACCAACTGCTGGTCTAAGCTGAGACAAAGCACGTCGGTACTTTGATAGCTTGGCCTGCTGTATCCGCGCATGGACTGGAAGTTTTCGTATATGTACTATATAAGGCGGAAGCAAAAAAGGAGAAAATACGATTTAATCATATTGATCACATTTCTAAAGTGTCACTCCCAAGTTGAAAAAAAGGGAGGATCTCGATAAACTTAAAATAGAACTGAAACGCTGGGAGAACGTGATGTGTCGATCGAGGCATCCGTTCTTGCCAGGGTAATTTGACCGGTCAGGCTTACACAGGGAGAGATCTTGCTCATAGGGATTTAGAAGACGGGATCTAATCTTATCCGTTGCTACATGTGATAAACAGTAGATGACAACATGCGAACTATATAGACTGTGTCTTTAGGGATCTATCGGGGGCTGGGAGCTCCGATGACTGAGCAAATTGTTTCAGCACTGGACTATTCCATGGAAGAAGAAGATGCATTCTGGTTCACAGTGGATCTGATTTGGAACAAAATCCACAGAATCAAGGTCCGTTGTATCAGTCGTCAAGCTCGATCTAGCGCTCAATGGCATGATTATCCAACAGCCCCCACCTCCAAGGCTGAGCTATACAAAAGGTTGGAAACGTATCCACATACTGATAGAAGCATAAGTTCCGAAGATCTCTCCTCGACAGTAGAACTACCTGAAACAGGAAATGCACCCGATGACGACGACATGTAGCATGCCTCCCAGAATCATCATTGTCCTCGATCTAAGTACTGTACCCAAGCTCCCAACCCACTTGATGCGTCTACCATCACGATATAGCCAACTGCTTATGCATCTCGACAACCTACACCGTCTCAACGCCCGACGCATACGACCATATGCAAGAATTCTCAATGGTCGTCCTCCAGAAGACAGCCAAACGTGCAGCAACTGCAGCGCTTGGCAAGTGCTGCTAACAACCAATCGGGGCTGGAGTAGACCAGCGCAAGGCGTTCTATGTTTAAACCGTATTCGTAGAAGAACATATGCCAAGCTACTTACAGAACTAGGTTAGTTAGTCTCTGCGGCTACTTATCCTTGTCAGCACTAAAGCCTGCAATCCTGGCAAGTACACCCCGACTAGCCTCGTGGAGACAAACACCTATCTAAACGCCATGTGTGATCAAGAGGTGAGTGATCAATCGATATTAGTTAGCTTACATGACTTAGTAAACTCCTGAAAGAGTGAACTTTGAAAGTTCGTGGTCTGAAACACCGGCTCCGATCCCCCCGAACACGGATGCGCCTCTGGAATTAGAGACTAAACCATAGGAGGAAAACCGGGATTTGCAAAAACTAGGCAAAAGCGGGCCTTGACAATGGAGCCTCTATACTTATCGTACAGTATGTACTCACTTAGTCGCTTCGAAGGGAAAAACTTCGTGAGATGATCTACAACATGACTAGTCAAATACTATACTTGAGTAATGCTGCACGAGTAAGTTTGACTTTCTTTAGACCGGGTAAGGTCGTGCATTGCAGCAACTGGTCAAGTTCCGAGGTGATAGATTACTGTAAATTGTAGTCCCCGCTCAAAAAGCTCCAACGGCGCTGATCACCATGCGGGATTGAATGTGGCGGATCACAATTTTGGGTCTGAAGATCTGCCAAGTTTGGAGGATGAGGGGAACTTTCAGTAATACCGTAGCTACTTTAGTACAAAATAAAGCATGATATGGGCGGACATAGGTTCACTAGTGTATGATTGGTTATGTTAGTTGCTTATCTTATGGAGAGATAGATACGACCACGGCAAGAACGTGTAGCTCATATTTATCAAGCCGTATTATTGTACATTGAAAACGGTCCTCAATTTCAGCAAATCTGCAAGCCTTGATTTCAGGGAAAGAAAATTGAGATTGAGATTATCACCGCTAAGCACGTGTGGGAACGACCGTGCGGCTAGCTCTGCAAATAGTGCTGGTGATCAACGGAAACGCAATGGGGCGATTAATCTGCGCAAGGCCAGTTTGACAGCTACCCTGCTAGAGCTCAGGGGTTCTGCATTTAGACTAGCAAAGTTGCATTGTCACAACATGAGCTTTGCGAGTCATATCTATCATATGTCCTGTCCAGAACAACGCATAGTGTGCAGGATCGTTGTGATCAGTTTACACGTGCGAGTTAATTCTCCGACCTGTCATGCCCAGTGACGGTCGACAGGTCAACTCAATACGAGTCATGGCCGAAGGCCCCCGTTGAAGTTGCATACTCTGTATTCGACAGCGGGGTAATCAGGAAACTATGATGCTGCAACAGCATGACTGCAATTCCCTAAAATTGCCTAGCGCTCGTCTCCGTGAGCTATGAAAGTTACGGTAGGTTGAATATGACAGGGAAAGCCACCACGCGGATCCACCTCGACCCAGTTGCATAGTGCCCATACAGCTACAAGCACTCCTGTGGAGACTGGAGACTGTGTAGGGAGTACACCAAGTACAGAGTACATTGTACTCCATACATCTACAAAATAACAGCGAACGCGGAGAATGATGTGTCTCAAAAAGGAGCACTGCGACGATCAGCGCCTAAAATCTCCGTACAATGATATGTACTATCTCCGTAGGGTAATCTACCTACGCGACCACCGCATCCATCTTCTGGACGTGCACGATGGAGTCAGGATGTGCAGTCATTTCTCCTAGCGCCGCGTGCGGTCCCCAGACTGGCCTGCGTGATTTCCCGGCCGGGCGATTTCACACTAAGGGGTGAGGGAAACTGGGACGAGGGCCCGGTGTGGGGAAGGATTGACATGCCATGGGCAGTTGGGCATTGGCATGGGCGCTGGAGCGCGGCAGATGCTGCCATTCACGCGATGGGCCTAGAAGGGGAGAGGCGAGGAAAGTGGGAACAATCCAGCTTTGGGTCATACAAGACCTGTCAGGATGCGCTTGCTGGGTACGTAGTACTGTACAGCGAGAAAAAGAGTCTGGACCATTCGAGCCAATTTGACAAGACAAGCCCCATCAATTTCCCGGATGGGTGCTCGTTGGTGGTGGCTGCAGAGAACGGGGTTAACTCGTTAGGCGGCTGTGAGTTTTTGACGCCACCGGGTCGAGAGGAGGATCATCACGGGAAAGACTTGGGAGATTACGTCCCTATTCAGGAAAAGACTAGGCTCTGCGGTAGCGAAATGTGAAATCATAGTTCCACGTACGACATTTGCCGACCGATCCAGAGGCCACTGTAGCCACTCCAGTGCAATGCCGAAATTGTAGAAATTGCTGGTTCCCCCTGGCAAGACGGGAAATCTGGCTCGGATCAGAAGCGATTAATTGGCTGTCTTCGCATCAAATCTACCGGCAGGGGCGTCCGTAATTAGAGAAATGTAAAAGAGGAGATGCAAAACCTTATACTGGGGTTGAGCCTGAAAATGCAAAAGCTGACAGGAAAAACCGTTGGAGAGGATCGACGTGCTCGGCAGACGGGAGCCAGTCAGCCAATCATCGATGGCCGTGATCTCGAGCCAATCAGGCAGCTTATGTCAGCATCAGATCGCTGCCGTGTTCCAGGGTTGAGGCCAGAAATAAGAATTAAGAATCGAGTCGAACATACGCTTGGGGTTCGGTAGTTGCGTAGCCGATGAGCTTTAGTTGATTTTGATTGGAGCAGGGGCTTGCTGAAGAGAGGAAGGCTCTGCAGGAATTGGTTTCCACGGATGAAATCTTGGAGTCGCCATGCAAGTTGAACCACCGGGTCGTTCGGAGGCCTCCGTTTGGGCGGAATGATTGGAAAGAATCTACGGAGTAGATATGGGAGAATTTGCTGATGGAGGGACGGAAGGCCGTTGACCCTGGAATCTAATTATATAAAGTGCACTATATGAAGTGTAAAATATGGAGTAGGCGGAGTACGGAGTATATACAGAGGAGTTAATCCTCCGTTGCGCTACAATTAGAGGAAGACGGTCTCAGAGCCCTGGCGATTGACAGCGTCTATAGCGGTAGCCTTTGAATTACTCGTTTCAGTCTTAATTTCAATTATCAATTCATCCTAACTTCTTCGACTTGGTAGTATATCGTTTTAGGCTTTTGACTTATTATTGTATCCATGTGTGTCTCCACCGAACCAGCAAAACCCGGAAAACCCGTTCATGCCCGTGACTGCAGGGCGCATGGCGGTCCGGCTGGAGTCCGATCAGGAGTTCCGATGGTCACCCTCTCCGCGCCGAACCATGGTCCGCAAGACGAGAAACCAATCTTACAGCATACAATTGGGTCAATAAATTCGGAGAAAGAGAATAACCATACCGAACTGAAATTCTCAAATTCAAATCAGAACCACAAAGGGGAAAGCTTACCTCAAATGGAAATGGAACGCGTCTCCCCCGCGGGCCTCCTCAGATTTTGTTTACTCTGGCTGGAGCTTGGGACTAAGAGCCTAAGAAGATTGGAAAGTTAGGGCTCCACATTAGGGTCCATCGAGTCCGTTCAACTTCCCGTTCCACTCGGTTCCAAGGTTTACCCTGTTTACCATTTGAGGTGCTGCACGGAGTACAATCATCCTGTTCGAACACTGCTGGTCTGCTGGAGGGAGCCCGGATATGCAGCTAGATAAAGCCTAGTATGCAGAAAGCATGCAAGCTACTATCGCCAAGCAGCTGACTGGGCGACGTAAGGGGGAAGGGGGAAAGAACAGGACGAACCTGTCTGTCATCCCAGCCACGTTTTTAGGACCATGCAGGATGGAATCTTCTTTTCGTTTTCTACGGCCCAGTAACCATGTGGTGGCCCGTTTGTTCATATTTTACGGTACGAAGTAGGCCATGCTCCATTCTTATATCTGTATCATCGTATTCACCTTACTTCTACTAAAACTGTAGTGTTTAATTGTCATGTATTTGATTCCTCTCATCATCAACCGTAGTTCATACTATACTCTCTGCGTTCCACTAGGGCGAGTTCGCCCTGGCCCAGCTCCATTGCTCCCTCGCTTCATAGTCCCGCAGTTCTGGTTCTGTAGTACTCCACGTAGCCGCCGAGGTCCCTGTTTCTTGTCATCAAGGTGGTCGGAAACTAATGGAACACCACTGTACGAGGCCACGCAGTCCCGCTCTATATATGCTATACCTCCGAAGGTCCAGCCCTACTCGAGTCATTAACCAACTGACTCCCTAAGCTACGTAACTCAAATCGTCCCACTACAAGTACCACTGGTACTGTACAGACTAAATTCTGTGCCTCTCCCTGTTCAGGGGCGACCCACGGTTGTGACCCAAGTACGCCGTGTCCACTTGCCCGGTCCTCCACTCATTTCTCCGATTCCATGGCTCCTTCATTCGCTAGCGCTCCAGTCCAATATGCCCAGTGGACCCGCGATCGCTCTCCGGATACAAGCGTGCCTGGTCCACGATCGTCATTTTTCATTTTCATTTAATTTTGCTTTTTTTTTCTGCTCTTTTTTTCCGACACCAACTAGGGACCGCGCCGGCGTAATTAGCCCAGTCAATCCATCCAATCGTAGTAATCTCCTTCCCTTCCTCCCCCCTCACTCCCCTGTCGCTCTTTTTCCATTCAAACAGGACATTCAAGCATTTCCATACGATTGTCATACTCTACTGGACTGCATGTACGGAGTACTAGCGACCTGCAGTAGTACCGTTCCCCTGCGCCAGTCCCGCGGTATACAATTGCCATTGTTGTACTCTGGACTCTGTGCGAAGTACTCTGCGCCATCTCGACTAGCATACGACACGGTTTCTTCCCAGAAACCTTCCAGTGCTACATCGTATTTCTAGGAGTACTCCATCCCCTTAAGTACTCCATACTTTCGGCGTATTGGCAGTATACTTCTCGTACAGACCTGACACTTGACTATCTCCGCCTTGGAACCCACCACCTTTGCACCTTTTCAACCTTTCCTTCCTAGGCTTGGACTTGGACGTCTGTTGCCTTTGTTGGAACTCGCTCCTTTACACTCTGCCTTACTCTTTAATGATTTTTTTATTTTTTTATTTTTAGACTTTGGGGCGTCTCGCTTTTTTTCTCCCCTAGAGAGTCGCCTCTCGTGCTTTCTTTCTCCTCCTTTCCCTCCCCCCCCCCCACCTTACCATCTCCTCTTTGGCCTTCTGGGAGAACCCTCCCCCCCCATGTGGAAACCTCGACTCTCGCCCAGATCGGAGTCTAAATCTGGGAGCGATTCGAATCATCTTCATCTATCTGAAATTGGGTTCCTAGGGCGATCCAGGAAGAAGAGTCTCGCGCACTCGTCATCGTCCGGTAAGTTCCCCTTCCCTTACCTTGAACCCGTTTCTCCCACGTTCTGCCCCCTCCCATACCAGATCAAGGTCGGCCTGATTCTAGCATCTGAAATCTGAGACCTGAACGACGCCTGGTCCTAGATGCGCTTCTGAGGCGCTAGTCCTGGGTCTCCTTGTCTCCGCTGGGCCGTTTTACCTAAAGCCTTCTGGTCGTGCTCGTCTTCCCTTTTTGCGCTTTCTCTCTTGCAATCCCCTCCAGTCATACACCCTTTCATCCGGCCTTTTCCGTAAATTTTGGAGCCTCAATTCCTTCAAACTTGAACCAGAAAAAAAAGCAGCACCTCTCCTGTTCAATTCTCACATCATCTTGATTCCCTGACCCCCATTGGTGGGCCCTCCCCAACATTCCACCCTCCCAAGCGCGCTGCATCGTTGCATCGTGCATTTCAGCCCGTCATTTTGGCCCCCCGCATGGCTAACGGAAGACCTGGTGACGTCCAGAATTTCAATCGCGGCCAGATACATCCTCCCGCTCCACGTTTCGCTCCTTTCGCTCCTTTCGCAGCAAGTCAGATCGCCCCGAGAGTAGTGCCTCCAACTACACAGACGCCTCCCGCCCAACTACTCGCCCACGAGCCCCCTCAGCTCTAGCCGACTCTATACACTCTGCCCACCCGGAGCCCGCCTGGCAATCGGCGCACGCGAATCGCGTCTCTTTTAATTCTCGCTCGGGCAATTCTTTGGCTGGTGCAATGGAGGTCGATCGTACCCGGACAAGGAGGGAGAGAACCTTCATCGGTAGCGAATGTGCTGTCTGCGAGGAGCCGCTCGAGCATACCCTGCGTGGAGAGCGGGTCCTTCAGTTCTCGTGCAGCCATGTCTCCCACGAGGCCTGCTTCTACGAGTTTATTCGGGAATTTGAGTCGCAATATTGCCCGACATGCAATGCTCCTTTGGGATTGGATACGAGTCGAGGTGGAAACGTATTAGATATCGGTTCGTGGTTTCTCTTCCTGATCGCCAGCCCTCCCCTCCCTCTCGGCTCTAAATGAAAAAAGAGCTACTCAATGGGAATCACATGTCAAACCTTTTCGAGAAAAAAAAACCTGGAAAAGTGGATATACTAACGAGACCCTATTGAACTTACAGAAAAGATCAGCAACATTGTGCGCTCGGTAACTATGAGCGATACGGCCACAACAAGGAGTGGCCTGACCACCCCGACCCCGTGGGAACAATCGTCAAGTCGGCGACCGCCTAGCGATACCGGCAGCCGGCACAACAACGCACAATCCACCTACAGCCGACGGGATAGTCGCGACACCACTGGCCAGCGGGAACGCGTCGAACGGCTAACTGCTGGCGCAGCGTCAGCTATTTCTGACCCCCGTCAGCGTCAACCCCACTCCCGAAATGGCAGTGCGGCCGGCTCCTCGGGCGACTACCACGACGGTCAGCATACGAGCAGCGGGCGACGTCACGACTACGATGTACAGGCTATGGAATCAGACTTAAGTCCTCGCCCCGGTGTCACAAAGAACCCTATTCCGGCACCGATCGTCACCGTGCGGAGCGAGTTCCCTACGATGAATCGATCCCGCCAACAGCAAACCCTGACATGTCTGATTACGGTGGAGGTACCCGAGGGCAATTGGCGCCCAGATGCGGACGACCTTCGATACCCACCCTCGGGCCAATCTCAGCTCGATGAGCCGTATACGGGGCGATTTGGAGGCTCACAAGATGCTCGGTCTATTCAGTACGAGCCGGTGGAGAACCTGGATGAGATTGCCGAGGATTTACGGAATCGGGTCGACAATTGGCATGGCCTTGAGTTCCAACGGTATGTCTTTGGGGAATCACGGGCTGTTGAGTACACTTTCAGAGATAGGTATACTAATTCATTTGCAGGTTTGGCAAGTTGCGGCTGCATGGGCAAATGCGCGTGGGCAAGGACCGGGAATCCTGGCAGGAATTGGAGTGCTATTTGTTCGCTGAGATGCTTATCTGTGTCAAGGAGAAGAAGATTCCTGAGTCTCACCAATATGATGAGAAGCGCAAGCCCACTCGCTGCACCCTCAAGGGTTCTATCCTGATCAAGAAGCACTTGAAGTCCATCGATGCCGGCTCCGATGAACCTATTCTCTCGCTTAACCTTTCAGTCAGCGAACTCCCCTGCTTCTACCTGCGTTTCCACAACCGTCAACAGCTGGAGACATGGCACCGTGCGTTGACGAACTTGAACCCGGCGGAGAACGTGTCTCGACAACATAACGAGTTTGATTACGAGCACTTGGGCGCCGAGGAGGAGGACTATCGGAACGGTCGTATACAACGACAGGCATCTCTCAACTCATCCTATGGTGCAGGAAAATCGAATAACACCGCCATCACCGATTATACCAACCCCGATACGGAGAAACCTTCTATCGGTTCGTTCCACATTCCCCTTGATCTTGTCGTGGTCATTCCAGTCTCTTCGTCGATGCAGGGATTGAAGATTACGCTTCTGCGCGATGCTCTGAAGTTCCTGGTACAGAATCTGGGCTCGCGGGATCGGATGGGCTTGGTTACGTTCGGCTCGAGCGGTGGTGGTGTTCCTCTGGTGGGTATGACCACCAAGTCTTGGAATGGATGGAACAAGGTTTTCGACTCAATTCGTCCTGTCGGCCAAAAGAGCCTGCGCGCGGATGTGGTGGAAGGTGCCAATGTGGCCATGGATTTGCTCATGCAGCGCAAATTCACTAATCCCGTCGCGACGATCCTCCTGATTAGCGACTCGTCTACCTCCGACCCCGAAAGTGTTGACTTTGTTGTCTCTCGCGCCGAGGCTGCCAAGGTCAGCATCCACTCGTTCGGCCTGGGACTGACCCACAAGCCGGATACTATGATCGAGCTCTCAACTCGCACCAAGGGATCATATCTTTACGTTAAGGACTGGATGATGCTTCGGGAGTGTGTCGCGGGATGCTTGGGTGCTATTCAGACCACTTCTCACCAAAATGTCAAGCTGAAGCTTCGTCTACCCGAGGGTTCACCGGCCAAGTTTGTTAAGATCAGTGGGGCTCTTCACACGACGAAACGTGCGACTGGTCGGGACGCCGAGGCTGCATTGGGAGATCTTCGGTTCGGTGACAAGCGTGATGTCTTGGTGCAGCTGGTCATTCAGCCCGACAATGCGACGCAAGACAACATGCCCCAGGACCCATGGGAGAGCTTGGTTTCTGGACTGGAAGCTCTTGGTGGAGGACTCGATGGTGATGAACAGCGTGTGCTGAGCGTCGAGGAGGTTCCCCTGATTCAGGCTGACTTGACGTACGGCGATCTTCTACGCGATGGCCATCTGACCCACTCGCCTCGTCCTTCGCTGCTCGCTATCACTATGCTCCCGCCCAACCCCAAAGCTCGGAACCAACGACCCTCTACCCCGCCTATCCCCCCTCACCCGTCTATCGTGCAGCGTCGTATGGAGCTGCTTACATCCGACATGTTGACTAGGGCGCTTACTCTCGTCTCTCGCGGGCAACACGACCGTGGTCAACACCTGCTGCACGAGACTCGCAGTATCCTCAAGGGTCTGGGCAAGGGCGGCTTACCTCCTCTGCCCCCGGCAGCCTCCCGGCCTTCCGGTACCAGTGACGCGGGCAGCCGAGGCGACACGCCAATTTCGAGCTCCCCCAAGTCCTCTACTTTCGCAGAAAGCCATGCTTCTTCCGCTTCCGAAACTGCTACTATCACGCCATCATCTTCGATCGACGCGCAGACTATGAATGCGCTCAACGCAGATCTGGACTCTGCTCTCGAGTGGATCAACCACCCTGCCGTCTTTGGTCGCGACTCTCGCAAGGCCGTGCTGCAGAGCATCGGTGTGATCTCCTCGCAGCGTGCTTATACATTCCGTACACCTTCGGAAGCACACTGGGCCCAGCGGATCTCTGGTGTGCGCCGTCTGACGGACAAATCCAAGGATTGGCGAGAGATGGGTGATGATGCTCTGACCGAAGAGTGATGGCCTCTTCTTGCAATACTCGAAGTCGACTTGCACCTCCCTCACTTGCCATTCTTATATCTAATTTACTTTTCATGGTTCACACATCATTTTCCTCCCGGAGTCGGCTCATGACATGTTCCTTCTTGATTTCTATGCGTGCCCATTTCCCCGACATCATACCATCATCATTCCTGTTACCAGCCTATCCCATCGTTGACTCTTTTGTTTTATTAGTCTTGTTTGTCCTTGTTCTGCTCTATTGATTTCCCCTATGATACCACTTTGTTCCCACCATGACTGTGCAGCATGATACCAGGGGCTTTGTTTGCGATGTGTTTCCGCTTCCGTCGATCCCGTCTTACGTTTTCTCGTCTGTCTGGATTTATTGGATTCCTGGACTTGTGCCTTTGGTTGGGCGTACATCTGATACATGCTGTGTTTCTCTGCTATTTGCCCCGGAAATGGTCTCGGGTATGGTGTGCGGAAGGAGCGGGGTTTTTTTACTTTGAAAGACTTTTCTGGATTTTCTTTGTTGCTTGAGATCTCTTTCCTGGGTGGAATACTGTGCGCTTTTATTCTGTTGGATTTGGGTTCTAGGTTTTTTTCCCTCCTATTTTGGCATTGGCTGGAAATATTTGATGACCCCTCTTGTCTGGATCTGACTTGATTTTGATTGACCCTATACTGACGTTTTCGGGCTGCACTATGTTGATATAGCCTTTTCCATAATTTTATTTGACCCCCCCTTGTGAATAATGACAATGCATATGTTACATATTGAGAGTTTACTTTCAAAGATAATTCTAATGAATTATAATTCCTATAAGTGTCTATAAATTGATGTCACTGATGTAGTTGCTTCTCGAGTAGCACTATCGCCGATAGCACCTTCTTATCGCCGGCTCGGCCGCAGCCTCGACAACGGCCAACCTTGTCCAACTCATCCTTGACTCACCCCAACATCTCCAGCCCCCTCGAGGCCGCCTTCATACTTCCGTCTATTGTACATACCATGAAAATCGCCAGATAACCATGCTCTGCCAATCTCTTGTCACCATGCGCACCGCACGCCCACCCATCACCGTCCTCCCGCGGCCTCGCACCATCCCACGCGCATTCCACACACGCCCTCACACACCTTCACAACGAACCTCAAATCTACCCCTACGCCCTCTCCTCTCAAAACCCCGCCTTATATCCCCATCTATCCCCATCTCCCGCCGGCCCTTCACAGCAAGCGCCGGCAACAACGCCCGCAACACCTACAACCGCTTCAACTCCTCCTCCGCACGCCCATCCCTCTTCCACACATTAATCAGCCGCTCCAAACCGCACCATTATGTGTTCATAGGCCTCGGCTTGTCCGGTGCATACTTCTACAACACCGAAGTAGTCGAGATGACCGGCCGCCGCCGGTTCAATTGTGTCTCGCATGCGATGGAGTTGAAGATGGGTGCGCAGAGTTATAGGGAGGTTTTGGACCAGTCGAGGGGAAGGGTGTTGCCTGATAATCATCCGTTGGCGCAAATGGTCAATCGGGTTTTGCAGAGGCTCATCCCGCAGGCGCCGATTGAGGGGGCGGATTGGAGGGTGCATGTCATTGTCGATGATGGGAATGCGAATGCTTTCGTTCTTCCTGGGTGAGTTTATTTCTCTTTTCTTGGGGGTTCGGTCTAACTAGGGGCCTGTGCTGACAAAATGTCGGTTGGTGTAGGGGGAAGGTCTTCGTGTATACGGGCATTCTGCCGATTTGTCAAGATGAGGATGGTCTTGCTGCGGTGTTGGGACATGAAATTGCCCATGTTGTTGCGAGACATCCGGCGGAGCGAATGAGTAATAGCTTTTTGACGCTCGGCACGGTGTTCCTGATTTCGTTGCTGTTTGATGTCTCCGGGAACTTGTCGAGTATGCTGGTGAATCTGATGTGGAGTTTGCCGAACTCGAGGACGCAGGAGGTACGTTTGGCGGAATGCGTGTTTTCCTTAATTTGATAGCTGACTATGATGATAGGCTGAGGCAGATAACATCGGACTGAGTATGTTGTTATCGCTTGACGTGCAGGGAGATGTAGCTTGATTTCTGACATTTCTCTCTAGTGATGATGGCCAAGGCATGCTTTAATCCCGAAGCTGCTGTGAGACTGTGAGTTGTCATCTGATTAATCTTGAGTAATGTGTACTAATCCTATACTAGATGGCACCGAATGCAGGAACAAGAGAAATCGGCACCGCCGCAGTTCATGTCTACTCACCCTTCAGTGCGTATTTTACAGCCAAAGATACTCTCGATTTCGTCTAACACTTTCACAGAGTTATAACCGCGAAGAAGCCATTCGAGGATGGTAAGACGCCGCCAAACCCACAAACCCCATGGGGCTGCGAGTACTAACGAAGTTCAGGCTCGAGAAAGCCGAAAATGTCTACCAGGAGAATGGGTGCAGTACTTTTGGAAACTACAGTAAGTCATGGCTTGTCGCCTGGAGTGGCTGTACAATGTGGTTTATTAATACTGACTGTTTGTAATTAGTGCCTAGCTTCAAGAAGGCATACCAGACACAGAGTTCGTATGGTTGGTGAAACCCTTCCCATAGACTCATCCTCATTGTATCAGAGATTAGATAGTGCATCGAATACTCACCTCCTTCTTTCCGCAATTCATGCGGCATACATCCTCGCATACTGTACAACGGCCTGTTACCAACGAGGGTGCGCCCGCGATGGGCTCCTCCCCCCTAGCCTATTAGCACTATTCATAATTGTCATTGATTAATTAATTATCAATTAAATACTGTACTCCATGCCTTCAATTCATTGAAAGATTAAATCATATCCCAGTGTTATACTCTGCTCGACGTGGGCAGTCACCTGCTCGGACCAACTGGCGGGTCCCCCTCGTGCAAACAACGCAAACCCACCGACCCCCGTCGAGCTCCAAAAATTCCCCGGCACAACTAAGAGAAGCCCATCGACTCTCTCCCCGTCAACCTTCATATTCAGTCGTATCCAACTCGGAAGCGACCTCTCACAATGTCGCTATCACTCCCCGGGCCCTCCCAACAGGGTCTCTTCAAAGCCGGGTACCAGAGGTACGTCCAAAGCTGCTCGCAAACCCAAACATAGCGGGCCATCCCACCGCACCGGAGACAACCTCCCACCTCCTTATCTGCTCGCCGCATCGTGAAGCAAGAAAAAAGCCACCCCGTCCCATACTAACAATTTTGTCTTTCGCTACCATTATAGCCACGACGCCGAAGATGGAGCCGTTATTCGTAACATCGAGGCTTGCCAGGCTATCTCCGGAACTGTCCAGACCTCCCTGGGTCCGTACGGCCGCAACAAGATCGTCATCAACCACCTGCAGAAGATGATCTTGACTTCCGATGCTGCGACGATTCTCCGCGAGTTGGATGTTGTGCACCCCGCTGCCAAGCTGCTGGTTATGGCCAGTCAGCAGCAGGATGCTGAGATGGGTGATGGCACTAACTTGGTTATTGTCTTGGCTGGAGAGTTGCTGAAGAAGGCGGAGGAGCTGATTCGTTTGGGATTGAAGACGAGTGATATTGTCTCTGGCTATGAGAAGGCTCAGAACTTTGCTTTGAAGGTTCTTGAAGGTATGATCTCGCGCTGCTCGTTGAAATGCCATTGATTCCGGTGGCATTGTTCAGGGATGGCAATTCTTGGACGGTAGTCCGGGTGGAATTGGTGCTGACTATGGTTGTTTTCCTTTACAGATCTCGAGGTCGATCGTCTGAAGGAGATGCGTTCAATTCCAGAGCTCAGCAAGGCTCTCCGCACAGTCGTCGCCAGTAAGCAGTCTGGTACGGAGGATACCCTGGCCGCTCTGGTCGCTGAGGCTGTGCTCGCTGTGCTGCCCAAGAACCCTCTCAACTTCAACGTGGATAACGTGCGTGTCGTGAAGATCATGGGTGGTAGCTTGGAACAGTCCAAGGTTGTCAAGGGTATGGTCTTTGGCCGTGAGCCGGATGGAATTGTCAAGCAGGCCCGCAAGGCCAAGGTCGGCGTGTTCAGCTGCCCCATTGACATCTCCCAGACCGAGACTAAGGGCACTGTTCTCCTGAAGAATGCCCAGGAGATGGTCGACTTCACCAAGGGTGAGGAGGACCGCCTCGAAACCGCCATCAAGGAGCTGTACGACTCCGGTCTCCGTGTGGTTGTTGCCGGCTCTAGCGTCGGCGACCTGGCCATGCACTACCTCAACCGCTTCAACATCCTGGTGATCAAGATTCTCTCCAAGTTCGAGCTCCGCCGTCTGTGCCGCGTTGTCGGTGCCACCCCCCTCGCCCGCCTGGGTGCCCCTATGCCCGATGAGATGGGTCAGATCGACGTGGTCGAGACGACCGAGATTGGCGGTGACCGTGTCACCGTTTTCCGGCAAGAAGATGCCAACGCCGTGACCCGCACAGCCACGATCGTGCTCCGCGGCGCCACCCAGAACCACCTGGATGACATTGAGCGCGCGATCGACGATGGCGTCAACGTCGTCAAGGCCATCACCAAGGATCCTCGCCTGGTGCCCGGTGCTGGTGCCACCGAGATCCAGCTCGTCGAGCGCATCTCTAGCTTTGCCGACAAGACCCCCGGCCTTCCTCAGTACGCCATTCGCAAGTTCGCCGAGGCATTTGAGGTGATCCCCCGCACTCTCGCCGAGTCCGCCGGTCTCGACGCCACCGAGGTTCTTTCCCGCCTGTACACTGCGCACCACCGCGCCAACGTCGATGAGGAGGAGGGCAGCTCCGAAGAGGAGGAGCCCTACTGGACCACCGGTGTGGATCTGGAAGTCGGTGACTCCGACGGCACTCTCGATGCCGTGGAGGAAGGTATTCTCGACCTCATGGCCTCTAAGAGCTGGGCCATTCGTCTGGCTAGTGAGGCTGCGCGTACCGTGTTGAGTGTGGACCAGATCATCGTTGCCCGGCAAGCGGGTGGGCCGAAGCCTCCTGGTCCCAACCCTAACTGGGATGAGGATTAAAGAATTAATGGTAAACACCTTGAAGTTGATGATTCTTGGGTTTGAAGAGGCTTCGAGACCGGTTGCGCTGATAGATCCGTATGATATCACGAAAAAAAGTCGCCTTGTTGGTGTGTATAGCTGAGTACGATAATACAACACTGAATTCTGGTCAATCATTATGGGACACGTAGAATACTTAGAATTGCTCTCTAATTTAGATATCATTTTTCAGAAGCTTCGTTTGTGATTGGGAAGGGAAGGGCATGGGTGAGATTGATGTCTCGCCAGAGAGATTGAATATCGAATCTCTTTTCCTCTACCACGCTGGGGGGTTTATTGACACTGAATCAAAAATTCCATTACCAGAGATAGTCTCATCAATTCTTCTAGAACAATTAACGAGGCTTATGTCCTGTTGTTCATCTCAACTCGCGGGCCATTGTACACGCTTACATAAGGTAACGCACGTGACACCTAGATTTTCCCCGAAACTCTTGCCATTCTTTTCGCTCGCTATCGCGGTTGAAGCAGTGCTGTCTTTCTCCCTTTCCCCCTCCACGCCGTTCGTCTTCGTTTATTCCACTCGCCAGGCCACCTAATTTCGCCCTCCACAATGTCTTTCCCTATTCAGGCCGCAGCTCGTAGCTGCCGACAGCTCTCCGGCTCCGTCCGCCCATCCTCCCTGCGCATTGCGACTACATACACAGCCCGCACGCCTAGCTACCGGCGATGGGAGTCCACCGAAGCCGCTGCTGCTCCTATCAACCCCAAGATCGCACAGATTGTTGACCAGATCTCCACGTTGACTCTGTTGGAGACTGCCGACCTCGTGTCCAGCTTGAAGGTGAGTGCTCTCTGAGCCATTGATTCGACAATGCACAACTCCGCAATGCGTCAATTGCGTGATACTACGAAGCTTTTGTCCTCTAAATCCAAGTCGAATACGATGACCTAACATACGCCTTCTCCAGACCCGCCTTAACATCCCCGATCTCCCCGTTGGTGGCTTCGCCATGGCCGGCGGTGCCGGTGCTCCTGGCGCCGCCGCTCCCGCCGCTGAGGAGGAGGAAGCCGCTCCCGCTGCCGCCGAGAAGACCCTGTTCAACCTGAAGCTCGAGTCCTTCGAGGCCACCTCCAAGCCCAAGGTCATCAAGGAGGTCAAGAACATGCTCGGCCTGTCTCTGGTGGACAGCAAGAAGTTCGTCGAGTCCGTGCCCAAGATTATGAAGGAGTCCGTGCCCAAGGAGGAGGCCGAGAAGATCATCGAGACTCTCAAGGCTCTGGGTGCCAAGGTCGTCATGGAGTAAATGGAGCTGAATTGCGAACTGGAAAACAAAACTTGGAATACCTGGGCGAAAACGCGGATGGAGCTTTGATTTCCTTTTCCCTCTTTCCCTTCTTGCGCTCTCTCTTTCTCCCCTTCTCTTGTTGTTTTACTTTCATGGCTTGCGCATGTTGTGGAATGGGGGAAATCCGAATCTGGCTTCGAGGGTGTTATACTACTTGTTGAGCGTTGTTGGCCTGGTCGTGTGAGGGCAAATAAATGTACATTATACGCATTGTGTTATGGACCCGTCTGGTACAGAGGGCTCTTTTTGGTTTAATTGATCATTGAGCATATATCATGGGACTCTTTACTTTAAGTAGTTTAACATAAATTATCTCCAACCATATTACGCTCTGTAGAGTGGATGTGTTCTGTGTTGGTGATGGGGGCAATCGTGTTGCCGCCAAAGCGGACACAGCGCCAACCTCCGCTTTCTCCAATTCCTCCGCGATTTTTCGAGCCAAGCTTCCACCCACCCACTTGCTTCGGTCGCTACTTCTCACCCCCGCTCCCATAGCGTCCTTCATGTCGAGGCCATCCGCTGCGCTGCAGCAATGGCTTCACTTCCGCCAAAGCCTCTCCCACACATCCCTCATGCTCAATTTGCGCACGAGCAACCCTCTCGCGCCAGCAACCCGGCTCGCCCTCACCACCGCTCGCAATGGCATTAACAACTCGAGACGACCATTCCATACCACGCAGTACCGCCCTTCCAAGGCCCGTCGTGAATCTGCAAGACCAGCGCCCGCCTTACGGAGGAAGAAGGAAGACTCTGAAGCTGGCAAAGATGCCATCCGCGCGACCGAAGATGGTTTCGGCCTACTAAATACAAAGGGCTTCTATATGGATCCTCTCTCTGTGAAAATTGACAAACTCGTCCCACATTTTCTGCTCGTGTCACGATCTATCTATGACGAAGCAAGTCGCGATGGCCTTCTACCCGGTATCAGTTTCCGTACATTCGAAGATACTGCTATCAAGCTCTTCAAGAGCGTGCGCGGGACACCGAACCCACATATCATTCGGTCGATCTCGACGGGTAAGAGATTTCCAACGACACGGAGGAGGCTATCTTGAAACTAAATCGTTTGCTACCAGACGTTGATGCCGTCTTTCGCATTGGCTTCCCTGCCTCTAGTAGTTATGGCGCAGTTAGAGAATGGATCATCTCCGCGTGTGCGCTGGCAGGGGCACGCCAGCCAATTGTCCTCTCTCTGGCCAGATCGATTACATGGACGAAGACCACCGTACGCACCAAATGGACGGACCTGGTCGAGCAATTCTCGGACGAAGGGTTTCCACCTGCGATGGTCCTCCATGCCAAGATACTCGCTATGCGCGGGGAGTATGAGAAAGCCTTTGAGCTGATGGAAAAGCGAGTCCTACCATTCCTCAGTCCAACACGTCGAAAGCCTAGCCTCTTTAACGATATCACCATGGGCGATCTCTTTGAGTCCCCGTGGCGGGTATACGCGTTGCTTCATGCATCGTACGACGCCCATTTCGATTCCCCGGAGAGTCGGCAGAAATCAGATGATGCAACCCGCATCGCAGCGCTCGAGTATAATGACCCGCAGGCCTTGATTGAGTATGCCTCGCTCAAGATGAATGAGAAGGACTACGAGAAATATGAAGAATGCATGTGCCAAGCCGCCACGACCTGTGAGCCGAATGCTATCTTGTACCTTGCCAACTATTACTACCACACCTTCCATGGCAGATACCCCACGGCCGGGGAGAGAGCCGCGCTCGCCAAAGCCAAAGCCCAGGGCCAGCCAGCTCCTACTATTCCAACGCCTTCTTCTACTTCCGAGACGAAAGCAAATCCCACCATTTTCACGACCGCGTTGAACTGGGTCTCGTCGTTCTTTAATCAATCCATGCCCCGCGAGGACTACCGCAAACTAGCGATGGACTGGTACGCCTTGGGCTTCCACTCTGGTATTCCACAAGCAGCGTTCATGTTAGCCCTGATGGCTCGTGAACAAGGAGACGAACTTGATGGGAGTGTCTTCATGGACCGTGCCAGTGAGGACTTGGAAAAGGATCCCGAGTTTGCGAAGAAGATTCAGGAGTTGAGGGATAATTGGTACGACCCCGAGTACGTGCCTAGATTATCGAGTAAGATGTTGGCCGTTCGGTAGAGGAGGATCCGGTGAGATGTATGAATATCCTGTATAGTCGTCATTGTAATTTATATTCTGTGCACAAAATCAATGGAATCTCCTCCAGGAAGGGAAAGTCCGGGGTTAGGTCTAGACGTCATAGTTCTATTTGGCGTGTCCTAAAGTGTGTGACTTTCCGTGAGTTCAATTGCTGCAATCACTCACAATGGAAATAACCAACCGCACAGAGACTTGGGCTGCACTATCAGATCACGAGAACCCAGTTTGGTGACCGACTGGCCATGTAGATGATACCAAACTCGACCTCTATGCTTTCAAAGCACTGCACCTCGCTATTTAAAACTTTGACAGCACCCCAAACAATAAAGAACATTTCCAGGACAACAATCTTCGTAAAACATTAATCCAGATTTTATTTTTTTTTCTATATGCACCATTCCCCTGTCTACCAATCAATCTGATTTCCTTATCCAAGTCCCAACCCGAGTCCCCGAACCATAACACACCCATAATGAACTCACTGATGCACACGACTTACCAGAAAGGAAGCAAACATGCAATTGACCCCAATTTTGAGAGGAAAAAAAAAGGAAAGAACCCATAAGCCATCGAAAAAGAAGGGAAAACAGAGCGGAAGAATCATTTTCCTTCGTCATTCGTAGCTCATATCACGCGACGAGAGAAAGGAGAGAACCGGACAAAAAAGCACCAACAAACTGCCTGTCAAAAGGAAAGAGCTGTCGTTAAACGGGAATGTCGAAGAAGAGGAAGTAGAAGAGAATCGAAACGCCTCGCCCCGGCTCATCAGCCGTCCCGTTTTTCAAATCGAGAAGCAACGGAAGTTAGGAAAATCCCCCAAAGCTGGAAGTGCAAAACGAATCCAAAGAGACAGATGCATAAATGCAGGGTAACAAATGTCATGAAACCCGGAACTGAACTGGGGAAAACGAAAGCCAAAGCGCATGCGCAAGCGCAAGCGAAGCCCACCAGGACCAACGCCGTGCCCAGCATTTAATTGTCATCCTCTCTTCCTCCCCTTCCCCTTCCCATTGCCCCTGGTCTTCAACTCCACAAACCCAAGCTCCTTCAACCCCTCCGCAAGAATAGACGAGTCCCGCATCCCAGGAAAATCCTTGGCCGCATATACCCGGAACGGATCTGACCAAGCTTCCGCCAGTATAGGCATCGATTGACCCGTGTCCTCGACGGAGCCCCAGTTCATGAGTCGGAATTGGAGTCTGTACAGCCCCGCTGAGCGGATAGATAGGTCTGCAAAAATGAAGAACGTTGCGGGTTGATTGAGTTTTGATGCATTGCGGAGGGATTGCGGGTGACCTTGATAGTGGGTTGGTGGGATCGGGGGACTGTTGAGGGGGTAGAGAGTGTCGTCTGAAGATGGATGGGTGGGTGCGGAGTTTGGATCTGGATCTGCGTCGACGTAGAAGGGGGACATGAAGGCTTTGCCGGAGAGGAGGGGTGTGGAGAAGGAATCATCAGCGCGTGCGACGCCGTCGGCGTCGTGTTCGGCGGATTGGATGGCCTCGGCTTCCGATGAGGGTGTCCAGCTGGCAGATTCTGGGACGGGGAAGAGTAGACAGCCCACTGTGAAACGCGGGTCTTGTAGGATATCGCGGTCGTCTTGAGATTCCGGGTCGAAGTCTGTGAGGAGAATTTGGACAATTGGAGGTGGGTCGACGGGGCGTCTGTCTCTATCGCCGGCGCCGCAAGCTCGCGCGGCAATGGGTTGTTGACGGACATGGAGATGATAGCGGGGTTGTGTGGAGGGGCGTCGTGGCGGGGGATCTGGTGATGATTCGGGTTCGTGATGGAGAAGCTTGTCGAAGCCACGGGGCATGCTATAGCTAGGGTTTCGTGGAGGCTGGCGCGTTTCATGTTGAGCGCTGGTACTGCTGGCGCAGCTTATTGGCGGAGGGCTGCTCACGAAGGTTGCAGGGCTTTTCTCGGAGTGAATGGGGCTAGCCAGAGCTGTGGAGTTACTATGATGACTGAATAAGAGGGTTTTCAAGCGTCAGTATAAACCGTTCAACAGCTTTGTATACGTGACAAGCAGCGAATCCACCTAGCTATGGCGGAGTGAGGTGCTCGGTCATCCAAAGAAAGCACACCGCACGAGGTCGGATGGACTGACAGGTATAAAGACGGGCAATTCAATCGATAGAAATAAGAAAGAAAGGAACTTTACTAGGACTCCACGTCGTATGTCCGCAATCGAGGACGAACAGTTTCGCCGCCATGGCTCAACATGGGACTCGATCGTTCATCGTAAGAGGTAGGGCCGGGATAACCACGTGCATCAGCGACGGGGGGACCATGATGACGATGCTGTTCCTGATGATGTTGTATGCGCGATGGAAGAGCCTGCGGCAATGGCTGACGATTCATGAACCCATGATCGGATGATAGCATATATCTCGGGTCCGCATTTCGTTCAGGTGGGTGTCCCAATGCCGGGAGTCGATGGGAATTTGGTGGAGTGGTCAGCACAGGTCGTTCGTGGCCCAAATCTGGTGGGACGAAGTGTCGAGGCTCATACAGCGGGAATGGCTGATGATATGCTAAAGGGGTTTGCTGGCTTGGATGGTGTGAGCGAGAGACTGAGTCAATACGAGGCCCGTCTCGTGGTGTGGTGTGCCCACATTGCTGCGACGGGGTCCTCGACATCTAGTGACGGAAATCGCGCTGGCGCCAGATGGCGGGCCGTGGCGCAGCTTTTATACAAATGCCGTATCCGGACGCAAGCCTTTTTTTTGTTTTGTTTTTCTCAGCCCTTGTTTTTTATTTTTGTTTTTTCAAGCTGAGGCGTCACGCTCTGGATGCGACCCTCGAAGCGGTCAGGTCAGCCACACCCACACGGGAAAGGGAGCGGGACTCGATGTCTCAGATGTAGATTGTGGGGTTCGTTGCTATATCTCGGTGTTTATATATACTTTGTCACGGTGCAGATGATATCAGTCGGAATATGGTCAATCGGTTCCTCGATGCATATCCTGGATCTGTTTGCGAGCAAGCAAGGCATCTGATCAACCGCATGTGGATCTGCGGCCTGTCAACGGAGCGGCACCATGAGGAGCGGATGAATGATGTCTGATAGTGTTGAATGCGAGAGGATCGAAGGGAAATCCCGCTGATCGTGGATGATGCTCCAGGTATATTTTTGTGTGATTTGGTGGATCGTCAAGTGGTTGGCCCGACTGCAGCAAATGCTTCGGATAGCAGAATTTCAACATCGAATTCAGGATGATAGAAAAACCCGTCGAGGACCATCGGATATTCTCCCAGCCCGGTCCCCCCAAATGGTCCAATCACCTCAAATACCGAAGACAGGGGGGCAAAATGGTCATAGATGGGGGATGAAGCGAGTGGGTTGGGCAGATATTTGGATAATTTTTTTCCGCGAGGAGGACTGCTATTTCAGGGTATTTCACCCCCAGCACTTCTGACTGGCGGAGGGAGAGTTTCAGTTGACGGTGGTCACAGAGTGTGTCAGTTAGGTCCGGCCTAGTTCAAACTAGGGACCCAATTGTGGCTCCGTTCGAGGACCATTGGCCCGGCCCACCACCAAATCACAGCTTACAAGGGAGGAGCCGGGGAACGGGCCGAGCGGGCTTTGCCACGAGCGAAGAAAAGGTGTGTGCGGGTTTTGCAGCAAAGTGGATTGGAGGGATTGGAGGGATTGGAGAAATTGAGGAGATTTTGCGAATCGTATGATATCACTGGAGGAGGGCCCTAGGCCTACCAGGGTGGGACTGGATGCGCTTGGTTGTTGTTGAAAAATAATGTTGAGAGGGGCAAATAGGGTGAGGCTGTTGGCATCTATTCGTGCTTGACGAACTGCTGGATTGGTTCCTGACAGTGATTGTCGCCCGACTCTCAGACTCTCCGTGGTTTGGCGACACAAGAGACGGTCAAGGAAGCAGACTTTGGACTTGGAGCCGTTAGCGCTGCATTGTGAAATGCGGAATCCACCCGTAACGGTTTCCTGGGACTCGATATCCTGGTCTGCAGATGATGATCCAAAGCTTGAGGTACATGCAAGTGTGCGACCAATGAGCCAGCTCAGTTAGCCTTGTGGATGGAGATGTCCGAGTGAAGGGAACGTTGGGTGTTGGAAGGTTGAGAAGAAGGGAGAGCGGTTGACGGGGGACCAAACACTCGGACTGTAGGAGGTATCACGAGAATTGACAAGGCGGGCATTCTCACCACCTCCAACCCTCCGAAACCCTATGAACGCACCCAGCACATTTCTCAAAGCATTTCATACTTTTCTAGTATGCTAAGAAGTTTCCCCGTACCGCACAGGAACAATGGCTGTGGCCAAAAGCTACAGATTACGATGCGATCGGCTGCGCGATACCGGACTAGTGCATGTACTGTACTTTGAACTATGTCGCTATACTTGCCTGGATTGAATTATTTCAACATGGACTTTGTGCGAAGCATTGCGGTAAGAATGATTTCTTCATCCCGTCTTATCCTCTATTATAGAACAGACGAGTAAACAACGGCAGAGTTGCGGGTTCATTGGCCCCAGTCATTGACCCATGGAACGGTGTAAATGGGCACCAAGGTTGTAGAGCCACTCGAAACTCTGGTCTCCGCTTTATAGAGCGAACAATAAACAAAATAACACATACCGGACTGGAGAAGACCACTTAGCCCATTCGGATTCATGAGCCCGTAGAACCTCATTGGAAGAGCGATCGCATTTCCGATCGTCCCAAAGACGTTGAATCAGAACCAGGAATAGGAAGACCCTTGGGCGGCAAAACAGTCCCAGTGGACCAGTGCCATGCGTTCACGTTCGAATCATGGTTATAACTATGGATCGATCCCTGGGGATGATTGGCGTGGAACTAGCGGGGGCTTGATCAATCGTCCCGACTGCGGTCGTCTCGAACCCCACAAGGAAGGATTAGCCCTGCGTCAGTGGCGGTTCACCGTGATAACGGGCTTCAATAGTCGGGTGTAGTTTGGGTTTTCTATGTGTGTGATATGAGGAAGGTGGTGCGTGGATTAGGGGACACGTAGAGTCGTAGGCACGGAGTACGAGTGGTCTCCGCACGAGAGCGGGTTCGTGAGTCGTGACAACGGACGCCTGCGGGAAATCAAATTTAGACCAGCGACGTATCGAAGAAGCAGGGAGATTGCCTGAGTAAACAACCCCCCCTTCCTCCCTTTCCTCCTAAAAGCTAGCGGGAGCTAGCAGACTAAGAACCTGTCGGTAAGTCAGAAACTTACGGTTCCCAGGAATCCGAAGTAAACTAGCTTTTCACGGTAGCGCACTCCGGTCATCCCTCGCATGGCAAGCCCCGGCATGGCACCATCGAGTTGACGCGGACTGGTTCGGCGATGATCGGGCTTGTTGCGCGGTCACACCAGTGTACGCTCTGTGGTCCCAGGAAACCATCAAATATCCGTACCCTGGCGGTCACACCGAAGACCATCCGCTCTTGGGTGCACCACACATCCTCGTTAATAACATAATCCCCGTCATGTACTTTTTGTGTAGCCTCACCATACAAAAGATACTTACGTCATAAAACCAGTCTTTCTTGAATATCCTAGTATATTACACTATCCTTCTTAATCTATTCATCTTCTTAAATAGTATAAATAGCTAAAAGAGATAGGTGATTATACTTAGAGAGGTAGTTAAGAAACAGAATATAAGTTCTTAAATAGTTTTATCTAAAAACGATTTTAGCTGATCATGTACCTTTTGTATGGTGAGGCTATACAAAAGGTACATGACGGGGATTGTGTTATTGACGGGGATGTGTGGCGCACCCAAACGGGAAGCGGTTTGGGTGGGTAGTAAGGCGCGTATACGTGGTACGATCGCTTGTCAGATCTGATCGGCAAAAACGAGGCAGCCATCGTGGGTTTCGAGTGCAAAGCGAACCACAACGTTATGCACTTCTTTTGCATCTGAATGGGTCGGATGGTCCAAGCGCGGAGGCAATGCAGGCATTCCGTATCCTCCCCCAATCCCAATGCGATTAATCCGAAATGTCCTCGAGGCCGTTAAAGGCTATAGAGTAATTCTCGGCAATTGACCACGGTTGATAGCGAGAGATTTTAAATCTAGACTAGAGACGCCGTTAGTGTCCATAGCCCAAAGGCATAGGTATGCTCCGCAGCCACAATATCAAAGCCCGCTAGTGGGGATCTACCCAACGGACTCGTGACGGCTCTCCATATTATCATCTCGTCGGCAGATTTGAGAAGTGTGGAGCCACTCGGTCAAAACTCGGCTGTGAAATTTACCGCTTATGCCCCTGGAGCTCGCGTAGAGGCGTCGAAAACTGACGTCGCGATCGGGTCAATGGGTAGACTCGGCCACAGGGGGGAGAGAGTACAGTACTGCGTGCCTCCACAAAATCTGAGGGACACAGTGGCGTTGAAAATACAAAAGCACGAGGCTCGGACTACCCCTCAAGCACGGACATCTTCGGTGTGCAAGAGGAGAGAGCCTTGCGGACGAGGCATCCAGAGCTGCAGGACTACTGCAAGACGAGAATGGCGGTGGTTCAGTTAAGACTCGGGATTTCACTGGACGCACCGGACGGGTCTCCACGTTGAGAAACAGATGACCTGCCGTTGAATCGATAGTCGAAAGACTTATCGCGATTCATAATCAGGCACAATGGTCAATGGTTCAGCTCACGACGAAAAAGCCCCCCTGCAAACATTTCTGAGTCAGGAAACTTCTCGTACTATCTTTCAGGCGTCAAGTGTCAACTAGCTCATCTTTTTTTTGGGTTGAACCCATGCTGTCGATCCAATCTCTAGCCTTTGCATCAGAGCATGTGGGCAGTCGGGGGGCAAGCCGCGAGGGTTGAGTGGCTTGATGGCGTTGTGATAGGAACAGAGACTAGATGGCGGGACGCTCCAACAATGGCAGCAAGCCATATTGAGAGGCGCACAGAGAACTAAAAGATGCTTGATACCCATCGGGAGATATTGGCGCTGATCAGACCGTCTATCGAATCGACTCGGCGGAAGTGAAGGGAGGGATTGGAAGATGTCACCAGGAATATCCCCGCAGAACGGCGACGTGGCCATCAAAGTAAGGCAGAAACAAGCTTCAAGGCAACTCTTATTGATTGTGACTACAATCGCTTGATTCGAAGTGACATGCGAAGAGATCTGCAACGGAACACTGGACGAGGCTACAAGTTGATCGAAAGCGGGTCGACGGAGAAGGTATTTTCTCTTTGAATTCTCAATCACATTATACATGTGCTTGGCGGATTTACATGTGGGATCGGCGCTCACTAATGCCAGAGACGTCCAACGGCTCTTTCCTGTCTGGACGAGCGAGTGAATTTTCAACAGACGCTATCGTATGCAAGATGAATTGTCGGGATGCCCTAACGAAATCCCAGATCGGGACTCGGATCGAGGTCGAGATAGTACGATCTCGCGGGAATTCGAGAATATCGATCAAAATGCCAACTCTCATCGTGGGGCACATGTACCGGACGGATGTGCACGATAGCTCCAAAGGGGGCGTCCATTGGTGTCGAACCGCGATCAATGACTCCGTATCCTGCGCCTACGTACAGGGCGATCATCTCGCCGTATTGTCGGTCCCAGGCTACAATATACCCTGAGGGTAGCCAAGAGTCCTCCGCACCGAAGCGCATGTCAAGGGACCCCAGCTGTATCAAATGCAGGCATTTGTTGTTATCCTGGGGCACACCGTTGACCGTCGCACGAGCCCGAAGCAGCCCGAGCGTGACGGGCGTGCATTTTGCCGAACGGTCTGATACGGCCGGGAGAGGACTCTCAGAGAATTCGAGGGGTGAGTGCTCTGGGTTCCACTGGAATTCAATGGACGGAAAGTCTGATTGGAAAGATTCCTGCATATCTTGCCCAACAGGCCGAACGGCCACTCTCTGAGGGGTGCCGTCCTGCTCATTCAAAACATCAACGATCCGTAGAAGATTATTCCGAGATTTGGAGCAACCATGGGCTCGAATTTCAGACCACAGTCGAACTGAATCCTCATAGCCAGCGCAATCGCCATCGATGGTGAACAGAGGCTGGTCTTTAAAGATTTTCCACGGCGAGTCTGGCGTAACCCCGATATGAGCCTTGCCTTTGGCTTGCCGTTGGGTCTCTTCCCATCGTATTCCCAGTCTTGATTCCATGTCCAAGAGACGAGTTTCAAGAAGCTCGTCATAGTGGTGGCCCTTGACCAAGTCTGGAAGAGCTTCGCTCACCACCGGGTCATCAAGAAGAGCCTGGGTATTCCGAAGTGTTGCAATGTGAGGCAAGGAATCCTTGCTTCGTTGGGAGATATCTTCTAGAAGGACTGCAGCTTCGTCTGACCGTCTAGATCGGACTAGAGCTAGAATGACATTATAGGCGAGGTGACATGAATCTCGACTACGTCTGTCAAAGTCGGCCATGTATTGTTTCCACGAGTTGATCAGAGCATCCCGACTGTAGAGCCTTGCAAGGACGCAAAGATATGTGGTCCAATTTCGCCTGTCTTTACCAGGGGACTCATGGAGAACATCGTGTAAGGTAGGCCGGTCTCGAGGGGTCCGTTCTCCTTCACCCGTGAGACTAGCGAGGACATAACTGGTATCGTAATTGGGGCGTTCAAACAGCACCGACTCGATTGACTCAAACAGCGCGTTGATAACAGAGCCACCATTGGAAAAGCTCAGTGGGGGGGCATAAAGTTCTTGGCGGTTGTGCAAAAAGTGCTGGAACGCAGGCATCGAAAGATCGAGTGCAGCATAATCAAGGCCACGATCAGTATTAAGACGAGGCAGTTGAAGACGAACGTGTCGAGTTGCGATGTCGCTCAATGCCGAAACAAGCTCCGAATAAGTATTATTCTCTTCACAACGCTGAAGGACCCCAGTAGCAAAAAGATAATGATTCAGTAGCTTCACACCCTGCTGATCTACCACCAGTCTCTCAACAACGGATCTCAGTGATGATATATCATTGACCGAATGTAGACGCTTTGCCTCCTCTTTTCGAGTTGTGGGGTGAACTCCCTTGAGGGCACACCATAAGGCCGGAGGTGGATTGCCTGATATCCATTGGGTGTCGATAAGTGATAGGATTTGTTCTCGCAAAAGAGTATCATTTTCAGTCTCGGTGCTGAGCGGATTTGAACTTGTGAGAGTATATCGGAGTAATTGCGAGGGCGATGGGTCTTCCATTGGCGGATCAGCGTCAAAAGCGACAGAGGCGAGACCACGCCTAGATAACCTCTCAAACGCATGGTATGATAGTCGCCGCCTGAATCCCAAGAGGATTCGTGATGATGGGCTCCCCATCCTGGGCAACGAGTCAATGCGAATGCTCTTGAGGAAATGCGGAGAGGCCACGACCCACGGGTGGAGAAGATAAACAGCGATAGATAAGGGGCCCGTCCGGGGTGGCAGTTTCGGGCGGTACCTCCGGGCGGTGAATTTGATGTCATATCGTCGCCAGACTCTGCGGATGTCCATCCACTCCAACACTTTCAACACACACATCGGCCGTCTCAGCCTTGCTGGGTAAATTTTGGATTCAAATTATCATGCCTCAAACGCAACCGGTATCTACCTCCGCGGAGGACGAGCAAAAGATTGAGCATCCCGAGCAGGTCGAGGCTACCGAGAAAGAAACCTTGAGCTCGTCAGACGCGCCTGAGCAGAGCAAAGAAAATGATGCTGCAGCTAAAGCACGGGAGAGGATGGAAAGGTTCAAGGCTCTCAAGGCCCGAGCTGTAAGTTTATTACCTCTGGCGAATATGACATTTCCAGCTCACAACTCCCCCCTTCTATGAATCACCATACTAACGATCGGCATGAAGAAATCCGGCACGGAGCGCAACCTGAAAGAAACAGTAGCAGAGACACAACGTCTAGCTACCGATCCTGGACTTCTGAACTCGCTCTCCCGCAAACACGCCTTTGCCTCTCATAACCTCCTCAAAGCAGACACCGAAGCGGCCGGTGAAGATTTCGAACGGAAGCGCGCCTGGGACTGGACTGTCGATGAGTCGGAGAAATGGGACCGACGCATGGAGAAAAAACAGCGCCACCGTGATGATGTCGCATTCCAGGACTACACCCAAGATGCCCGCAAGGTGTATAAGCGTCAGTTGCGTGAGCTTGCACCCGATCTCGAAGCATATGAGAAGGAGAAGCTGGCCGCCATTGAAAAGGCCGCTGCTAATGGCGATCTGGAAATTGTCGAGACGGAAGATGGCGAGATGATTGCGATTGACAAGAATGGCAGCTTCTACTCGACAGCGGACAGTGTGGGCTTTACCGACAACAAGCCGAACCGCGCCAATGTGGACAAGCTGGTTAATGATCTCCGGAAGGCGGAGGAGGTCCGCTTGAAGAAGCGCAAGGAGCGTCGTGGAGATGAGGAGGGCGACGTGACCTACATCAACGAGAAGAACAAGCAATTCAACCAGAAGCTTGCTCGGTTCTACAACAAGGTATGCATCGCACTTCTGCCTTATAATTGGCTATTGCCTTTTACTAACTCTTTCTCAGTATACCACCGAGATCCGGGACAGCTTCGAACGTGGTACCATGATCTAATGCGAAATGACAAGAGCAATATAATACATGTGGTGGAGATTGGGGGGTCACGCGGGGTGCACAACAAACTCATTCAGCGAATGAGATCCTCTGCGTTTTCATTCGATCTCTCCGCGCGAGGTGTCTGCCGGGCACGCAAAGGTCAAGGAGGTGCAACCAATGAAGTCAGCGTTTCATGCCCTTATAGCATCGTCTTCCTCCAGGCCTTTGTTGCCAGCTGCTCAATTTGCTTCGTTCCAACAGCTCCTCTTGTCGACTCATCTTCCAACGCCTCGACCACTGCCTCACCTACCACATCAACTTTCAGAGGCTTCTCAGCCATGGCTCCGAGGAATCCAAGTTTGTTTCCGAGGAGGTTATTAAACTCGGAGGCCACAAAGCCACCAAGAGCGATCGGCAAAGTGAACTTTCTGCTTGAATCATACATGAAACCCGGGCGGATAAAGATACTCCGCAGCTCGGGAAGCGAAGATGCAATGGTGGCCTCGGCTTCGCGCTTAGTGGTGATGTATCTAGCCGGAAGGACCGGCGCTCCAGCAGCAGCAGAGATATACACAAAGGTCGGAACATGCTCATTTGATGATTCCTGAGCGAGCGCGATAGCTGTATTAGAAGTTAGCATCAAGATACAAGCAACTTTCCAAATCCCAATGCCGGGTTCCCAATCAGAAGAATTAAACTTACCGGAATCCCTGTTCATCAATTCATAAGTCAATTGTCCGTCCTTCTCCTTTGGCTCGAGAGCTTCGCCCTCCTTTCTTTGTAGCGGATTCTGGCTTCCCAGTTTGGAAGAGCTGAATGCACGCTGTAGACCACCGACAAGTGGTTCACGCCCTTGTACGACGCCCTTGTAGTCGGCCTCTAGCAAAATACCCATCGTATGAACGACAGCTGATGCTCCGGTCAGGAAGGGTTTATAGGTCTCCGGCTTGAGGATATCGGCCTTAGCCCATTCCACCGAGCTGGCCCAACTTGGCCGCTCCTTGGAGCTTGTGACAGTGTCCCAGTGCGGCTCGCCAGATCGACTAACGTGATCTTAGCATATGTTGCGTCTCGAGGAACCTTTGACTCTAGTTCAGAGACTAGAGATAGAGCTGAGAACATACCTAAGCGACGTTACCTCCCAACCCCGTGCAGCAGCAGCTCTGCAAATCCGGGATCCTGGAGCACCGAGTTAGCTCATCCGCGCACATGCATCTCGAGTGATCAAAGTTGCGAACCTAGAAAGCCGCTTCCTCCGGCAACGACAAGTCTTTTAGCTGCCATTGTGTGTGTATGAGTGCGATAAAATCAAATTGAGAAGCAGAATCGCAAGGCAATTCTACCAGCGAGGCAAAGAATCGCGATCGATCGATCGATCAACGCTCCCAAGATTCAAGCTACTTGCAGCTCCGGCATGCCGTCACCGTGTCACGTGCACTGCCCGTCGTTTTTCCACGCGCCATTCGACATTCTTCTGTCCAGCGCGACTTGCAATTCCAAGAACTCTACTACGAATATCTTCAAGCCGTCACCATGCCTTCTGCAACAGGTAACAAGCGTGTCAAGGTCAGTCTCTCCTCCAACTACCTCACCCAGTCTTCACCCAGTCCTTACAATATCTCACAGGGCGTCTCCGTCTTCCGCCCATTCATCTTCGGCAGCGAAGCGCAACCCTTCGACCCCGAGAAACGACCCGCCAACACCCCCGTCGACCACACCCACCAATGGCGCGTCTTTGTAAAGGGCGTCAACGATGAAGACATCTCCTACTGGTTGAAAAAGGTGCAATTCAAGCTCCACGAAACCTACGCGCAAGCCGTACGAACCATCGAAGCACCCCCCTTCGAAGTCGTCGAGACCGGCTGGGGTGAATTCGAAATCCAAATCAAGCTCTACTTCGCCCCAGAATCGGGCGAAAAGCCCCAAACGCTCTGGCATAGTTTGAAACTACACCCCTACGGCCCGGATGCGGAGGGTATGAAGGAGCGGCGGGAGGCGGTTATTAGCCAGAATTATGAGGAGGTCATTTTTAATGAGCCCGTTGAGCCATTTTATGAGCTGCTGACGGGTGCTCAGCCGGCTGGGACGCCGGCGGCGTCGAGGGGGAAGGGAAAGAATGCGAAGCAGCCAGGTCGGACGGCGGAGATTCCGTTGAGTGATTCGCCGAAGAACCCGTATAGTCGGGCGACGGAGGGGAAGGAATTGGATCGCATGTCGGAGGCAATCAAGACGGTCGATCAGATGATCAAGGAGGAGAAGGAGAAGCTGGTTGAGCGGGAGAAGTATTTGGCGGAGCTCAGGGAGAGTGAGGGCGTGCCTGCTGCCACAAAGAAGAGATGATTGTGTCTCATGAGCAGGAACACTTTTCATCATGCCATTCCAGGCTATGATCTCGACTCATACTCCGCTTCCCTGCACACCTTGGACACCTTTCCGACCACCATACAGTACGATCCGGAACGTTGATCCTGTGAGGCTGCTCAACAGCGGCAACTTTTCTCAAGACCCGTTACACATATGGCTCTGGACGATCACCATTTACGAGAGCTCTGGGTGTCCCAGGAGATATTAGATCCTGGTCCAAGTTTGCCTTGCCCAGAGTATCGTTACCAACCATTCCGTCTAGAGACCGGTTTCTCACTCCCCAGATTCTCCCGGCAGAAGGCTGGCATTGCCACGCCAAGATCTCGAGATCGCCCCAGAGTCGTGCGGACTGCTGTATACAAAGCGCGAGAGACAGCAGAATGTATCTGGGTTGGAAATACTAGGCGAACCCTTAGCAACCTAGGACCCACCTACTATTGTCCCTTCAAAATTGAGAATAGCAAAGCTTAACACATCCATCTGTACTCTTTCCCACTCAGAACCGCTCATTTCATCCCGTATTGCATACCTATTGACGACAAGGAAATCACCGCCTACCATATTTCCTATGATCGGTGACATACAGTTCCAACACCTATGTAGAAACCGAGTCCGCAGGGCTCCCTATGACTCAAGATCTCTCCTGGGATTGGCAAATAGAAGCAGAATTGGGCTGCAGGGCACAGTTTGGCCCCTAATTAGCGCCGAGTGCCTGTGCAAATCATTCGCGCCGGGCTGCGGTTTGGCCCCGCGTGCCGAGCCATTCAAGACTCCACACATCACCAGCACAGTCAGACGTTCCAAATGAAATAGCGGTAATGTGATGAGGCGCAGCGCTGCAGATATTCCCTACTCTGTAATCCATCCAGGGTATTCTGCACTCTGTGCATATTCCCCGCATGAAGAGCAACGAACAACGAGTAAACCTTAGTATTGTAGGTGCCCCCGTCGGACTTCCGAACAATAGTAGAGTAGCATTGAATCAATTACCATGCACGATGCCAAGACGCCCGTAGGTCGAACCGCGGGTTCAAGTCTGGCGCTAAGAAGAGCGAGGCTGACTCGCTAGTGAATTGGGCCTGGATTAGCGTGAAGAACAGCCAGGGTCTGCCTCTGCGGCTCAACCCGAAAAAAACCCCCCCGGCTCTATCAAGTCTTCACCTCCGAGTCCATAAAAGAGGCGCCGTTTCCCACGTCTTATTTTTGTGGGAGACATTTTTTTTTGCTGTGCATTGTTCCCACTACACAAGTACAACAGATTGTACCTACGGAATTTTGATCTTCCCATTGTCAAGATACCAATCAACCTTGACTTTCACATCCGCATCCATACCCATATCCATATCTACTACATCCACACATTATCAAAATGCATTTCACAACCACCCTCCTCCCTTTCCTCCTCTCAAGCCTCACACTGGCAACGACCATCACAACCACCACCAGTCCCACCTCCACCAGCGCCGCCACCACCGGCTCATCAACGGTTATCAGCTACTTCGGCGCCAGCTACACCCTCTCCGACATCCCAATCCGCACCTCCACCAGCTACGCCGCCAGCGTAGTCTCCCTCAATGCCCTGGCAACGACCTACGCGATAAACTGTCTCCCCTCCGCCCCAACAACCGACTGCAGCATCGCCTCCCCATTGACTCTCATTGCGGGCCCCAACACCTTCAGCTTCGTGGAGCCCTTCACCCTCTCCGTCGAGGCATACGGCGTCACCGTTACCGAGAAGGGTACCGAGGACATGGCGTGCTCGTTCACGCATTCGTCCGAGTCCGCTACTTGTACTATCAAGTATGATTTGACGGCTTCTGGGGCGGGGAAGACGACATCGACCAGCGGTTCGACTAAGACGGGGATTGCGACTGGGTTGGTGCAGTATCAGGCTTTGACTGTTACGGGGGGCTTGGAGAAGTTTAATGCCCCCTCTGCGACGCAGACTCCCACTGGTAATGCGGCTGGGAAGATGGCCATGGTCACCGGTGTGCCGTTGGGTGCGGCGGCTGTTGCGGTTGCGGTTTTGTTGTAGGGGGGATTCGAGTGTGGTATTTTGATTGGTTTTATGACATATTAATGCTTTGTATCTACGGTTTATCTTCATGTTCCTGTGTATGTGTCTTTGGGAGGATACCCCGCGTTTTGATGTCAAGGAAGCAGCGTCTACATATCCATTGTGTTTTCAATTTGCATTTTCTACATTCATGACAGTATGATGATAGATGGGCCCATGCGAGTAGAACCTGTATATTCCCGAGAATCTAGCATTCCAGCCATGATTGCAACTTGCCTCTACCTCTGTTCAAGTCTATCCGAAAAGTAGTAACGATCGTTCTTCAAGATCACAACGCCAATAACCAAAATCGCACCGCTATGTACCAAAACGAACATACAATTCCGAAGTAAGGAGGAAAGAAAAAAGTCTTGATCTAGCACGTAGCAGACTTGGTCGCATTACGAGTCTGCTTCAAAAACGGAATCAAGCTCGTACCACCAGTCCCATACAATCCCGTAGGATTGGTCTCGCTCAGACCTTTAATCTGGGCACTGGCCGTGGCCAAATTGACCTTTTCCGTGGTACCTGTCTCAACGGGTACGTTGGTGCGGGCTGGCATGATGATATACCGCGAGACAATTTGGATATGAGCGTCGCGGAACGCACTCAGCGTTAGGACAGCGGCATTGTATGCCTCCTTGAGAGGAGACTCGGTCTGCGTGGAGGTCACGTAGGACCGCACGTTGGAGAGCGCGGAGAGAGTCTCCAGGAAACGCTTGTGCGGGGCGGGCATGTAGTTTCTCATATCCTGTGGAACACTTTGTCAGTATTGATAGTTTCTTTTTTTCAGAAAACTCGAGGGTACACAACTTACCTGGATATAACTCGTCCCGGAGGACTTCACACTCGTACCTCCCGTCGCAGAATGGCTCACTCCAAGGAAGATATCAAAAGTTTGAATAAGTGAGCTCTGCGCATTACTGCCCCCACTGTACTGATGCCACTCGCCCTGGCCAGCACCCAGATCATAGAAGACACCATGCGGCAAGCCAGCAGCAGCCATATTCTTACTCCCTGCCAAAAACGGCCGCAACTGGTGGAAGAAGACATGTGGTTTGTTCTTCTCATACATCCGCTTCAACGTGCCAGTCAAATCTTGCAGGCCGTCTGTGAATTGACAGAGCAGCGCCGTCAACCGGGGCTCGTCGTTGGCTGTAGCAGCGGCGATGGCATCGAGCATTAATGGGACTAGCCGCGCACCCTTGGCTTCGATGGCGACGGAGATGACCATGAACCATTCTTCATCCTTAGTCCCGGTGAAGGAGGTTAGGACGGAGAGATGGTCCGGCTCTGTGAGGTCGAGTTCTGGGACGGTGGTGTAGTTCCACAGTGTGAGGGCTGCGTAAGTTGCACAGGGAGGGAGCTCGAGGTGTTTGGCAATCTCGAGGAAGGGCTTCGCAATACAGGTAGGGAGAACCTGGATGAGAAGAATTAGCTTCATTACAGACCGTGGTGGGGAAGATATGATATTCGGTGAATAAGATGTAGGATGCTGTGGAAAACTACTCACATCCTTGGGCTTCTCGCCTCCCCAGATATAGGCATGCGTGAGGAATCCCAGAATTGAGTATGCACGACGCCACTCTGGGTCGGTTTGCAACCATGTCGTGGTGAGAACGGGCAGGGCATCGACCAAACTTCTGATTTGACCGGTCTGAATCAAATCTGGCAGCCGGATGGCAAGCCGCTCCCAGGGAGCGTAGTAGTCATGGGGTAGTTTCTGCAGGGGAAGCCCGCTGGGAAGGAAGCCGTGATCTGGAGAGACGGCGCAATCATCGAGATTGATCTCAGGTGATGGGATCATCGTGGCAATTCTTTTTTGATTTTCACGTTCCAGATGAGAAAGAACGGGGGACAATAGGAAGGGAATTTGGGCAATGATGTGTGGGTGCTGGTTGAAGTTGGAAGGCGTACGTTAGAGAAATGAGAATTTATTGTCAGACACACTTCTACCCTCATATAAGGGGGTGAAATAACCATCGATTAGCATAATACCACGCCATTATAGATCGTGGATACGATCCGGTTTGCATCGGGTCTGCCCAAGTATACTGGCCGGATGACGGGCGGATCGCTATCCGTGTTCCGTCTTTATGATAACGTTGCACTCGTCATACTCCGAGACGGCAATTATGGAGTGATGGATCATTCCAGGAACCAGGAACACTGATGGGAACTATAGAAGGTAGGAAGATAGTGATACGATAGGTTAAATCCAACGAACTATCCTTCACTGTGCGGATGACTTGACAGAAAAAGCAAACCTATCAAGTTTAATGCACTGGCACACTGCATCCCGGTACGATGTGCATTACAATAGGGCTGATCGCCAATCGCATAGTCATAACCGCTTCACCGTGCGGTAGCCCCAGTACATCTTTCCAAATGGGCTGTTTAGAGTTCATAAATGCCATCAATTCTCATCCCTGCTAGCGATTGAGTAACAAAAACACAGAATCTGCAACGGTTATCATGCTAACCAGACTTCTACCCAGCGGAGATCCCCGCCTATCACCGCAAGAATGTGGGGACGGATCACAGAGGCGGATACGGATGCTCTTATCCGGACAGCCACTCTTCCTTCGTCTCCGATTTGATTAGAGCGAGTTATATAATGGACATTAAGTGTGCGCGTCTTATCTGCACTTAGAAACCTTCCCCTCTACTTAATCACTGCCATTAAGCTCGTTTGCGTTGCCAACGTCGCTCCCCCTTCCCGCCCTGTCTACATCTGCATTGACATCTACCTCCACCTTCATATCCACCCTCCTACATCATGACGGGCGCCAACGGTGTCAACGGTGTCAAGGCTCCTAAGCCTACATTCCCCTCGGAGGCTGCCACGAGGGAGTATGCCGCCTCGCTAGACAAGGCAGACCCTCTGCGCGCACTCCGCGATGAATTCATCATTCCTTCCAAGGCCAATCTGGCCAGCAAGAAGCTCGCCAAGCCAGGTATGAGCACCGGAAGCTTCTGAAAATTGCGGGGGTCGCTTGTGGAACGTGTAATTGACTCCCCGAGAACAGGTCTCTCCTCCGAGCCCAGTATTTACTTCTGTGGTAACTCACTGGGCATTCAGCCCAAGGCCACCGCCAAGTATATGGAGGCTCAATTAGATACCTGGGCGTCCATTGGTGTCTGTGGCCATTTCACCAATATTGAAGATTCCCCGCTATCAGAGTGGCAGACGCTCTCCGAACAGGCTTCGGCTTCCATGTGCAAGATTGTTGGCGCTTCGCCGGAGGAGGTTGCCGCCATGGGTACTCTAACGATGAACCTGCACCTGCTACTGGCCAGTTTCTACAAGCCGACGGAAACTAAGAAGAAGATCCTAATGGACTGGAAGGCTTTCCCAAGTGATCACGTCAGTTGGAACAAAACCCTACGATGGAGAGCAAGCCGCTGATCTGATACATAGTACGCTATCGAGTCGCACATTGCCTGGCACGGGTTCGATGCCAAGGAGAACATGGTCCTCATTGGACCCGATGAGGGCACATACGAGATCTCCACAGAGAAGATCCTCTCATACATTGACAAGCACGCCGACGATGCTGCTGTTCTCCTCCTCCCCGGCATCCAGTACTATACCGGCCAGCTCTTCGACATCCCCACCATCACCAAGTATGCACAGGACCGCGGCCTGACCGTGGGCTGGGATCTGGCACACGCTTACGGCAATGTCGAGATCAAGCTTCACGACTGGAACGTCGACTTTGCTGCTTGGTGCACGTACAAGTACGGCAATGCCGGCCCGGGTGCGATGGGCGGTCTATTCGTGCACGAGCGCCACGGCAAAGTCGACTACAGCGAGGGCGAGGACTCGCCCAAGTTCCGTCACCGATTGACGGGCTGGTACGGTGGTGACCGCTCAGTCCGATTCAAGATGGACAACAGTACGTGATCCTTGCAACGCATTAAGAAATGTTCCAGGGATGAAGGATTTAAAACCACTAACACCATCCAGAATTCAAACCCATCCCCGGCGCGAACGGCTATGTCATTTCCAACCCTTCCGTAATCGACCTAACAACCCTCTGCGCTGCCCTCTCCGTCTTTGACAAAACCAGCATGACACAGCTCCGTCAAAAATCATTTAAACTAACCGCCTACCTCGAGTATCTCCTCCTCAAGGACAGCACGGATGCAGACCGCCAGTTCACAATCATCACCCCATCTGACCCGCACGCCCGTGGTGCACAGCTGAGTGTGCTGCTCAAGCCGGGCCTGTTGCATAATGTGGCGCAGAAGCTGCAGGATGCAGGCATCATTTGTGATAAGCGGGAGCCGGATGTTGTTCGGGTGGCGCCGGTGCCGTTGTATAATACTTTTGAGGAGGTGTTTACTTTTGTGGAGGTCTTTAAGAGTGCCTTGTCGCAGTAGGGTGAAGGTGCTGGCTGTTTTGGATGGGGGATGGGTTCATATGAGCTTATTTGGGAGATACCATAGATGAAAATAGCATACTGGCCAGTCTTACATTTGAAGGATTTCTCGGGCAAACTATCCATGAAGTAATTGTACGATTCCATTTCGTTCTACCAGACCAAGCATAGTAAATTCAGGAAGAATCCCGTGATATCTCATTCAGAGACCTCGACTGCCTAAAAATTCCCAATATTAGTCCAAGTATCTCCACCCCTCAAGAACTCCTGCCCCTGCGAGAAAAAGTTGGTCGCCAAAATCGAAAACTCATCATTCGTCAACGTAAGCTGCTGCGGCGAAACCAACGACTGTCCCGAATAATCCGCAAACCCAGTCGCAGCATTAGCCCCAAAGCCACCACCGGGCGACTGGAAACTCGCCGGTTTCTCCTCCCCAATACGTGTTGGCGCAGGTAACGGCGAAGTCTGCGAGACTTCCGGGTTCGCAGTGGACGGTCCCGCATAGAGCGAGTCACCGAAGAGCCGGCGGGCGGAATCTGCGTCGCTGTTTGAAGAGTACTCGAGGATTTCCCAGAATTTGGAGAGGTCGATTAGTAGGCTTTGGTTTTGTGCGTTGGCGTCGGATTGGTAGGTTGCCGAGACGGCGTCTTCGAGGTGCTGGAGGCGTTGGGCGAGGCGGGACATATGAGGCCATCGTTCACCGATTTTTTGGACGAAGTTGACGCATTTGGCGAAGCGGTCGCGCTTTTGGTCGCGGATTGTTGGGTCATCTGTGAAACTGAGTTGGAGTTCGATTGTGGCTACGACGGCGGCGCTGTAGCCTAGGAGAGGGTCGGAGACGAAGAATGATTTCTCTTCGAAGTAGTTGATGAAGTGGATGATCCAGGTGGTGTGGGAGGAGATCAAGTCGGAGGTATGTTGGAGGAAGATCTCGGGGATGGTGCTGCGGAACGTGCGCAGGCTGAGAGATAGTAGGAGTGGATGGTTCAGTAGACAAAGCATGGTGTGGTACATGAACTGGTTTAGAAACCAGGGTCCCCAGTATTCGCGATGAGCTTGTAGCTCCTCCAGGGATCTATCACTGAGATTCGCCGGTTTGAAGCGATGTATGAGAGGCATTTTCGTCTCCAGGTCCATCTGCAGCGCGATGATTTTCGAGTATTCGGAGTGCGGAGACCAAGGGGGCACCTTGCTTGGTCGTCCATGGTGTCTGACATACCGCCCCGTCCGTGCGAAGGGCTCGCTCAGCATAATGACATAGGCTAAAATTCCCTGGTCTTGTATATCACTTCTCCGCGTGTCGGGGGGCAGGGGACCTGGGGAGAGCATCCGTGCAGGTCGTGTCGGACTCTGGGGGTAGAATGGGCCTCCTCCTTCGGGGATATCGATTGAGAACTCGCCACCGTGCAGTCGTTTCAGCAAGCATATGCTCCAAAAACAACGTCTGCGTTCCTCACGATGTATGTTGCTCATTGGTGCGCGAGGCTCTAGGCCGAGATTTGCGCATTGAGCTAGATTCATCGCAAGACTGCTGTGGATGCTGGAACGATGCGTATTGCCATCTGTTGCCATGCGACTCTTAGCAAAGTAGACATCTTGTCAGCTGGTAGAGCACATACTTGTAAAATCAACCAGGCTCAACAGACAAAGACATTGGAGGGTCGAAACCTCGACTGGTCCTTCGGAGACTCGCTTCATAACCAGGCCACGTGCTACTTCAGCGTAGCTATTGACCTGTTCAGACAGGGAACGGGAATCGCGGTGTGAGTTCGAGAAACGCAGACTCAAAGCTAAGATGGCGTAGATGACCTCGATGTCTCTTGTCTGGAGGCTGCTGATGAAGCTACTCGTATGGAACAAAGGGAGGGGCTGTGACTCGCAATACAACACGTATAGCTCGGCTAGAGGAATGATTTCGTCCCAAGGAGGTAGAATCACAGATGTACTTGGGCCAGGCGTGTTCATGCCAGTGGAAAGATGTGCGGCACTCGCCGCTGGCGGTTCTCCTCTGGAGCCGACGCTACGTGAAGTCAGCGAGCCGTATATAATCGTCAACAGAGACGAGAGTTTCGTACCCTAGATGATCAATGACCACTCCTAGCTTTCCTTCCAAACTTCGCAATCGATCCTCCTGGCGCATATGAGTATCAGCACAAGCCATTAATTTCTATTCTCTGAGATACACACCAGGGTCTGTGGAGATGACTGGCCCCCGAGATGGGGCCTTACAGTATCCTCTGGTGCTGGAGGCCGGCGCCTTTCCTCTGCGTAGATGCATTCCTGCCGCAGTCTAGCACACAATGAGCAGACCGGCTGCTCGCCAGGACATTTGGCCTTTTTTCGTCTGCACCATGTTAGCCTCGAGGTTGACGATGAGGGGCATTTTATGCGGCCCTTACCTGCACGGTTCGCAGGCCTGTCTAACCCTTTTAGCTGGCCGTTCGGAATATGCTGCGTCGATGTGATCCATTATGATCGTGATATCGTTCTTGTTTTTATTCAACGGGTAAATGGTTGTAGAATTGGTGGTGGCGCCTCGAGATACGTTCAGTGGGTTGAAAGCGGGAGTTTATATTGCCAAACCAGACGGGTCAAGATTGTTCATATTGAGAATCTGGCGCTCAAAAACCCATGAGTGGTAGGAGATGCACACCACAGCCAGCCTTTGGTATCCGCACGAGCTCCGAACAACCAGGAACAAGCTTGATTTGGGATGTTTGGGTCAAGTATGCCGTGGGACCTGATGTTGCCTGGCCCTTTATAGTGCTGACTCAGCACTTCGAAGGGCTGCCCGCATTCCATGATCTGGTGCGGATGGTCCAATGCGGACATTAAGAAGTATATACGAATCAAAGTACCTACGATAATTGAGATGCAAAATTTGGTACTGTGGGATATATAAATTCGAGGGTAATGTGATAGCATGAGATCCTAATCTGTATGAGGTACCCTTTCCTAATGATGGCCTGCTCAAGTACGGGATAAAGCATAGACCTGGTGGGATGATTCACGAGAGGTTGTGCTTCCTGATACTACGGTTTCAAATATTGAACCTGGAAGATCAAATGAGGATGGGCAGCTATGCGTTTCCCATGAAGCTTCTGGCAGGGGCAAGTATAGAGCGCTTCGTGAGATAGGTTGAACACTCATGTCCCAGAATATGCCATTCGACCGAACTGACCGGAATCAGAAGAATATGAGCTTGAAGAAAGTTGTGAAGTGGCAACGGTACTTTGATTGGTGCTTCGTTTTATGTACAGCCCCAAATCTTCAGTGTGCCCCGCAAAGTCCATCTAATCCACCACCGGTATAGAAATACACCGCCAATATTGTGTCAATCCCATCATTGCATCTTCAACTACAAGCAACCAAATCGAAAGGAGATTTGGTGTCATTTATTTGTCACCGAACCAGGTCTTCTTGCCCTATTCATCAAGTCAGTATGTGTCACGAAATCACCGAGCATTGGCTGCCGTGCTCGCGTGGACGAGAGAGGCTGGGGCTTGGGGCAAACTAACGAAGACCATGCGGCACATGGCGTAGGTGGTGGCTATCATCGAGTTAGCTTATAATCTGTAGTGTTTCTTCGATTCCAGAGAGATTCCACTAACCAGCACCGAGGCCGTAGACGGAGATGAGGTAGGGGTACATGATGTAACCGCTACGGGAGGTCTGGGCCCAAATATTCTTGTCAGAAAATTGCCGATTGCTAGCATCGAAGACATCATATTCGGATCAAACTGACCTTCCACCATTGACGCTTGCCGTCGTGGTTCTGGAACAGACGCTGGTAGTAGGGGACACGGTTCTCGCGGAACACGAAACTATGGATGGCCGATGCTTGTTAGCATAAGTTCTCAATGCAGTCATGACAGGCAATGTGTGTAGCGGTATCAATTGCAATGGCAATTGACGCAATCGCGCAGAGCACCCCCGAGGGACTTTCGAAACGAATTTCGGCCGGTCTCGGGCGCAGCCATGAGGGGTTGAGAGGAGCTGAAAAGCATTGGAGTCGACATACCCGGCCATGCGAGGCGCAGTGCGGAACATTTTGGCGGTTGGAAGCACGAAGCGAGGTTTGGATGGGAGGGGAGAGTGGTTATGGCACGATGTCGTGAGGTTCGGGAGAGCTGCAATTGAGAGTCATGTGACTTCCCTCTTTCTTCCGCCCACTCAGAAGGTGCGCTTAGTAAGGAAAAGGCTGCTGAGTCAGGATCCTCAAAAGGGGAAAGCGTCATCGGCGGGCTTTTGGCACGGAAGAAGCAAGCTTGGACTGTTTGGTCCGCGCTGGTCTTGAATTCTCATCGTTAAAATAGAAGGATGGTGGACAGGTATTTTCGTTGCCATCCTTCCTTGCACGACCAATGCGACCGGCTCTTCTTCGACTCCTGAAGAGGCCGTCTGCCATCTCGGTTCTCGACTCCCTCGCAGCAACACCGACCGGAATCGAGCAGTTGGAGTCAAGATACGCGCGCCTACGATGTCAATCTCGATGTGCTCATCAAGAGGCACTGGACGATAACGTGGGAAATGACTCTGCAGTGCAGGGAGTCGAAACTCGACAGCAGACCGTAGGCGAGAGGCGGCCCTTCAATTTTCCTATCTATGAGATCGAACCCTCGGAGCCAGATCGACGTCCAATCTCCTCGACCCTTACGAACCAAACGAGCGAGAATCCCGATTCGAAATACGCGATTAAGTCATTACGCCTACATCCGGAGAGACTGGAATTTGAGTCGGACGTTGGCCACTGCGATGATATTGGGACACGCCTGGTCGACCGTGCGGAGAACAAAGATGATTTTGAGCTTTGGGAGGAACTTTTGAAGTATCGCCAGCGACATTATGGTGACAAGGGAACACAAGATATCTGGGAAGGACTGACAGTCCGTCTCCGCGGAGTCTGGCTACCGGTAAATGGAGAACGGGCCGACTTCTTCTGGCAGAGCTTCGTAAAACTGGGGTTAAGACGAGATCTTTTCCTCATTGATGTGATGAAATATGCGATGGATTTACACAGACGAGAAGGCAAATCTTGGCCACGGCTCTACGAAAGTGTCGTGGGTGGCCTTCTCAACCGGGGTTTGACGAAGCGAGCTTTACGATGGAACAAAAATTTTCAAGCATCCGGCCTGGCCTCCCCGGACGATGTCCTGCAAGTTCTCCTACCAATTATTCGTCCGACATCGCTTGTGGAAAGTGCGCGCGACTGGTATCATGTGAAGGCTGTCAGACCTTCCTTGCTTCTGCGGACCTTTCGACTTTTGTGTCGCTCGGCCGAAGGCCACCAGATTTATGGGCGGGTTATGTCGACATTGATTGACCAAGGCTACGGCGAGGGCGCAATCTCAATACACCCGTTTTTGGTCGCGCGCAATGATCACCCAAAATCGCGCAACGAAATACAACCGTTGTTGGATTATGCCCGAATGTACGGGTTCTGGGACGAAAACCAAAAACTCCAGGACTATGCCAAAAAACAGTTCGAGTCCAAACCCACAGATCCGTCCGGTGACATTTCCGAGAGGACCAAGGAGCATGCGCCCGATGGGACGCCTTTCAAAGATGATATTGGAGCTCGATTGCTCGCCACTCGCGCCCTAAACTTTGACATGGTGCTCGGTGGTCTGAAGATGCTTGGCGTATCAGCAATCGGCCCACGGAGCTTACGTGAGTTAGCCATCAGAGCGCATGGGAGCCAGGATATCCTGGAGAAAATCAAGACACTCCGGCAGGCCGGCATCTCCATTGGAGATTCTATCTTTGCTCGATTGGTCCAAAGATTGGCATCACAAAATCGCGACATCCTCCTTTCCGACCTGCTAATGAGTGACCAGCACCCTGATGTGCTCGAAGACAAGGCCATGCAGGAATCACTGCTCATCTCCTACTACATTGCTCGTGATATGCAGCAGTACAACATGGCACTTACGGTACTTGCAGAGCTGCACCCAGAAGACCCAGACCTGTTGGATATCCATTTCCGCAAGCACATAACTGCCAACGATCTGGGAGCGGCGTCCAAGATTGTCGACGAGCTGACGCTGCGCGGGAAGCCTCTCAGTGAGGACAGCCTGGATTTCATGGCCGAGAAGGTTTTAACGCCTCGCCGACCTAATCATCGCCCAAACTCACCGCCCGGGCAGCCACTGGACACCAAGCGTGAAGTCATGTTCATCTTCCGGGCTCTGCAGCGCTCCGTTCCGTTGGGTGGTTATGTCAATCCATTCTTCTGGAAGGAGATGCTCAAACGCCTCGGCATGGAAGGTCATTGGGCCGAGCTTCGAGAATGTTGCTTATGGCTGGCTCGTCAATATGGGACCCGAAACAGTGATTTCTGGGGAACTACGCCCGCTGGAACACCAAAGGGACAGGATGACCGGATGCTGAAGCTCATTTTTAGCCCGCCAATGCAAACCGCGCTCGTGGCTTGGGGGTTCAAGTCGCAAGTGACTAGCGCAACTGCAGTCAAGGCCATCTGTTTCCATCCCACTACCAATGAACCTCTCATTCCATGGGTTCGTGGACTTCTCCTTCTACGAGAACTGGAACAAGCCGGTCTCGTCCTCCAGAAGCGTGTCATCATCGAGGCCACTCGGCAGCGCCTGGCCACTTTGTTTGGTCGATTCAGTCTTTCTCATTCTCGCTTGAACCGGGTGCTGCGACGACAGAATCCGTACCGGTGGCAGCGCGTGGTGGGAGATATCTTACGTGCGTGGGGTGATCCGTCTTTCTTCGGTGGATTGGAGAAAATCGAGCCAACCAAATTGATGAATCCCGGTCGAACCCCGTCCTCGCTGCGACGTTCCGCTCAGACGGTTTGGCCGAGGAAACGGAGTCGATGATGTATAACTAGCAATCTTTCATTCTGTTCATAGAGTAGTATACCCCCGTGATCTATGTCAACCACACTTGTATAATATGATGTACCTCCCAGTGACCCCCGTCTCATACACTTTATCCCGCATTTTAGAAGTAAATCGGAAACCCCAGTTTCAGAATTATCGCCACGGCGCGGCGGAAACCTGTCAGTCCCTTACGTCCATCGGAATGAACAGCCACTGGAAATTCCCACAAACGAATACGTTCAGGCTAAGCCACGCAGGACGTCAGTGTCTCCCGCAGCCTGTCAATCAATCTACAACTGGAGCCTAGAACCTTGGCTACTTGGCGCGATGGCAACGAAACGATTAGAAAATCCATTCACAGCCCTCGCTATGCGCGTGACTCTGTCCAATCAGCCGGATTGCGTGGCGGATGAAGATCCACCATCTAAGAATAGTTGAGACGGCAACGCGGCCTGGACCCGCAATGGATCGTCACTCTAAACATTGCATTCCATGACAGCCGACCCTTCTTATTCTCCTTCTCCTCTATCTGTTTCGACAATTGAGAGGATTTATTGTCGCTATTGACTACTTACTCCAGTTTTGCCAATTCTTCGATATTATCAACGACCGGTTGCATTTTACAGCATGCGATTGTTCAACTATTTACCGCTGGTGCCCGCGGTTCTGGCAAACCCGCTCAATGTGCGGTCCACCGCCTGCAACAATTCCCCCGACCTCTGCGACAAGTCCTACGGCGAGATTACGCATCTGGGTGCCCATGACAGTCCCTTTGTGCGCAGTTCGGATAGTGTTCTGGCTGGTGATCAGTATGTTGTGCCCCAATTCTGCGAGAGATCGAGTCCAGTACCCCGGTTGGTGATCGCGAAATCAGCTCTAACATGGTTGACCTTTTGTACAGATACTACGATACCCCTACCCAGCTGAGTGCCGGTGTTCGCCTCGTAACGGCCCAAGTACACAAGGAGAACAGCGAATGGCGTCTGTGCCATTCCTACTGCTCACTGCTGGACGCCGGCCTGTTGAGTGACTGGCTGGCTAAGATCAAGTCATGGCTGGATGATCATCCCAATGAAGGTACGTGACCTGCTTCATTCGCAAGTCAGTTCAACAAGGGACCCACCGAACTAACCCCGCTCTCCGATGCAGTCGTCACAATTCTCCTGGTCAACTCCGACAGCGCCTCAGCCTCTGAACTCGGCGCCGAATTCAAGACCGCCAACATCACCGACTATGCCTACCAGCCCGACTCACTTACCACCGCACCCTCTTCCTGGCCAACCCTCCAAACTATGATCAACTCTGGCAAACGGCTCGTCGTCTTCGCCACGCCGCTGACCACCAGCACGGATTACCCCTACCTCATGTCGGAATTTGACTTTGTATGGGAGAACAACTACGACGTGACATCGCCCTCGAACTTCACCTGCGAACCCGACCGACCAACCTCCCTCTCAGGCTCCATTTCTACCGCCCTATCCTCCAACCGCCTCCCCATGATGAATCACTTCCTATACTCCACCGATCTGGCGATTCTAGACATTGAGTACGCCAACGCCAGCTACGTGTCGACCACGAACGCGCCCTCCGGCGGCACCGGTAACCTCGGCAGCACTGCAACTAAGTGCAAGACCGCCTACGGTGGTCGTCAACCTACTTTTATTCTGGTGGATTTCTTCAATAAGGGACCTGCGTTGGATACGGTGGATAGTCTGAACAATGTGACCAATGCGGTGGGACGGACGTCGGTTTCTTCGTCCTCGACCTCCTCGAGTGATGGGTCTACTATCAATAACGTGTTCTCGGGACTAGTTGAGCTGGCCAGCTCGGCCAAATCCGGCGCTAGCACGAGTATGGGGGATTGGATCTGGGCTGGAGGGAACTGGAATAGTATTCTGGGTGGGGGGATTTCCTTCTAAGCTCAGGGGGGAGTTCCCCTTTTGTTCCCCTTCCCCCTTTTTCCCGCCGATTCTTTTATTGAATCTTGGCGTCATGTTTTCTTTTTTGACTCTTTCAATTATTGTGCAGCGTTTTGTTGTTCTCGGACATTTTGGAGGGTTTACCCCTGATTGATTCCACTTCTTACGAACGTGGATCTGGCCTGGTTAGGCCCGTTACATAGAGCATGGATATGGGTGGGACAGGCTTGTCGATTACTATCTTGTTTTTTTTTTTTGTGCTTTGGGATCCTTGGGCAAGGTGCTGGCGCATTGCATTGCAGATGGCATATCGCACCCAAGCAAAAAAGGGATACGGCGTTTTGGGGGATCAGTTGAATATCTTGGTTGAGAAACGACTGAAATGACTTTCTTTTTGAGCAAGATACTGGAAGACCTGATTCCCATCAAGCCATGTGCCGGTCTTGGTGCTAGAACGAATTGAAATAACACTTTTAAGAAGACTACAAACCATCACTACTAGAGATGTCCATTTTCAAGACTAGAAGATTGATCGCTAAATGCCCACTCAAGACTCTCTCTACTGCTTATCCTGAGCCAGTAACTGCCGCACCTTATTCACCTTATCCTCGGCAGTCTGCTCCTTATCGGTCCTGTAGTCAATTTGACCAGGCATTAGTTCAAATGTTCATCTTGCGTTACAGATCCCCCGCTACCTGGCAATGAGATTGAGGGGGGTAGTAGTAGCGATGAGAGAGGGCATACCTTGATCCAACACGAATATCGGTTTGAATGCGGACAATACCCTGCTGGTGCAGGAGCGTATGTGCCTGGCCGATGACTTGGTGGACTTTGTCCCAGGATCCCTCTAGAACAGTCGAGGAAAGAGCATGTTAGAATCGCCATGCTAGAACGAGCACGGAAGAAACATAGATGTCTACCTAGGGTCGTGCCTGCAGAATGCATGACATATTTCACGCCGGATTGCTCGATTAGTCGTTGGACGTCGGCCACTTGGGCGGAAACGGAGGCTGATGCCGTCCCGATCTGGAGATGGCGTGAGTAGATATCCTTCTAGAGGGGAAAAATGATCCTACTTACGGGGATCAGGCAAAAGTCCGCTAGGCAGTGCTCCGGGGTGGGCAGGGTTGTGGTGTCCATTTCGAGGGTTGTTGGTGAAGCGGATGGAGAGGGCAGTGGTGGGGAAGTGGGCGTCGGGCTGACTAACGGCAGCTTATTTAGTTAACAAGTTAACTAGTTAGTAGGCTGTCCTACAGTTAGTACGAGGGCCTGAATGGTGCGGTATTATTACTCGAGAGGTAATGGAGCTACAAAGCTATGAACCTAGATATCCATGTCCTATATCATCTGCTAACTACAGTTGATTTAATCGTTCGTCCATCGGCGTCAATTCTTCCGCTTTTTGTTGACCCCGCGGTGTTTTTCGCTGACCGCCGCTATTCCTGGGACTCTCCTTCCCTCATTCCTACTCTTTCGACTTTACATTCTCTTCATTGGGCCATGCAATGCCCTGGAATCTCGTATAATGCTATCAATCGTCTTTGAAACCGCCGACCATCGACTTAATTTGCCAATCGCCTGCCAAATCGAGTTATCGGCCTAGCGCCACAGATGCCGAGCTGGAAACCCCACCACGCGAACTAACCCCTGCACGACATCGGGGCGCCCCCCAAGTTTGCGGCTGGTTGGTCTATGGTCTCAACGCCGTTTCTTTTCTTTTTCCCGTTTGCTTGTTTGCTTGCGAACTTCGCCGTGACTTGACGGTCATAAAATCGACTGGTCTCGTGCCCCAACGTCTGCTTACTCGCCGTGCGCATTCAGCTTGTTTTTTTTTTTTCAATCTTTCTCACCCCTATTCGTGTGAGGCTCGCACTCGGTCATGCCCAGAACAGATCAGCAACCAAGACCATAAGTTCCCGACCCAGCAGTTCACCGCTACGAGCTAGTTGTTTAAACCCCATTCTGGATCCGCTTTAGCCCCGGACTCGAATGCATCGACGTTCGACCTAGTGGCTTCTATCGACCAATCGAGTATTCCCTCCCAGGACTACCTCCTCCACCGCTCTTCGAAAAACCCCATCGACGACTTGGAGGATTTTGTCAAGAAGGCTGACTAGTTGCCTTTGATTGTATTTATTTGATCGTTCCGAGCGAGTCATGCTCCTTGTGACCTCTGTGTTCCTTTTCCTCGTCATTTGCCAATAATGACCAACCCTAGTCTGCTGGAGCTTCTACCGGGAGTTCAGCTCGTATATCTAGCCGAAGGCGGTGCGAATGTCGTCTATCGCTTCGTGTCGGCGGTGGAATCTCCCCTCGGAGCTGAAAGAGATCCCCGGAAGCCTTTACCCTCCGTTGCTCGTGAAGGAACGGAACGGTTCGCGGGAAAACTACTTCGTCTCCACAAAGACACCGCCGCTAATGTCTCGTACAAAGAGATTGTGCAGAGCTTCGATACCCTTGTGCGCCCGCTCTTCGAGCCCGACGAGCTGGTCGACCAGACGCTTATCCGGCTACCAGAAGGTCTGATTCACCGATGCAATGAGCAGCTTCGTCTTGCCGAAGCAAATGGTGGCAGGCCCAAGAAACGACATGGCGGCTACCTGAGTCTGACGGAGCCATTTGGACTCCTTGTCATGGATATGACCACGTTTGACGAACCGGGCTCAACTTTAGCAGAGCTGAAACCAAAGTGGCTCGTGCAATCTCCCTCGGCACCGGCGACAGCACACCGATGTCGAACGTGTGCATTAAGAGAAATGAAGAATCAGGATGCACGGCCCACGGGCCAGAAAGAGCAGCGATCATTTTGCCCTCTGGATCTCGTATCCGGCACATTCGACGACGTCCTCCGAGCCACCGAGTTCGTCAAAGGGTGCAGCGACCGAACACGGCTGGCTCACATCTTATACCGCAATCCCACGCTTCAGAAACTGCTTTCTCATCAGAAGGCCTACCACAAAGTTGGCCTACATGGACCTCCTGCACAGTCCCAGGAGACGTCCCTTGATATGACACTTCGAGACTGCACAATGTATATCAAGGTGGGTACCTACTCTGATACCCTCTCCAAAGATAGATTGGTGGCTGACGCCAGGCAACAGATCCCTTCGGACGAGGAACATCCCGTTGAAATTCGCCTCGGAGATCTTGACCTTAAATCTGCTGCTGGCGGTAAAGCCGAGTACTGGCGAGACATCGAGATTCAACTGATCGAAGGAGGCTGGTATGATGGGCTCAACAGCAACCAGGGAATCAGTGAATGCGCCCTGCACCACTCGTCCGCTGTTCAGCATCCGGTAGCCTGAGAGTCTGTCCTATTGATCCAATAAGGCTTTTTCTTCTCGGCGTGTCTCTACTTCATTGAATTTGGATAGACTCACAGGGCCGATAGATCTTTACTATTTTCGCTTGGGTGGGCGGTTGTTTACTTTTGTTTGTCCTCGGGGTCTGTATTTTTCTGGGTGTATAGGAACCTTGTTGCGATTCACATCGCTTATCATTCGTGGGATTGGGACGGCTATTTGATATTCCAGCAACTACAACGACAGCTCAGCTATAGAAATCGAATCTTTGATTTATCTTCTTTGCAGTAAGGGAATCTTCTACTTGGCCTCGCCACGATGACCAGTACCACAATATAATATCTTTAAAATTAATTCTGTCAACATATATGACAACAATATTACATGGAATAGAAGTATAATCAACCCCGAAAATACATCCCCGCTGTCCCTCTTCCCATAGTATCTGACAAAACCCCAATATGTCCATCAAAGCACTCTCTTCTCTGCCCCTGACCATACTACTTCCGAGACATATCCAACAAATCGTCCAAAAGATCCACGGCCCCCGATCCTCTAGCCGCGGGAATCGCAGAGGTAGTAAACCCGGAAGGCGAAGCCGGAGTCGAGGCACGATGCCACCAAGGAGCAGCAGTAGATGAGCCGGTTAACGGAGAAATTGTTGGAGAACCCGTGGGCCTGGCAGCTCGAGCCAGAGGCCGCCTCGCAGGGACGGAAGGAATTGCTGATGGAGCTGGGGACTGTGTTGGCCTTGGGTGTATGGTGGATTGGCTTTGGGCCGTGACCGTGCCGCTGAGGAGGGCTACGGAGAGGGTTGCGATAATGATTTTGAATTGCATTTTGGAGGTATATCCGGAGTCAAGAGTACTGAGTATTGAGTAACTTTTTTTGTCGGATAGGTGAGGAATTAACTTGAGAGTTCGGATAGCTGAGATTAAGAACAAAAGTAGAAGCTGAGTTGAATAAAGATTTCTTGTAACTGCGATATTCCCAGAGTAAATAAGCATTTGGTGCTAGAATCTCGCTATCGCGCCCCTGAGGCCCCTTGCATGATAGTATATATTGATCTACGGGCGCGATGCAAGGTCGGCGGCAGATGATATCATTCTATCGATAGTGACAGGAGCTTGATGCACGGTCGGTTTCATCTATCAAATGGACAGTGTTGGTGAATTATCGGTAATCTCAATTAATCATGCAACAGGATGGGGAATACATATTGTGCATTGCACAGCATGCGTTTCTTAAGGAAGTGATAGACGCAGACAGGACTCAGCTCGCAGGATACGAGAATATGAGATTTCTCTAGTAGCGGTCAGAAAAAGCACGATTGAATGTGGCGTTGGAATTGCTTCTTTGGTGTGTAAGATTTGAATTGTGATGCTATCCATGATCGCTAGTGCTGATAACGAAGAAAAAGGAGGATGTCGGGCGTGAGATACGACTCTAGAATTCGAATAGATTCTCATCCTCCTTATACCCTATCTCTTGCAATGCTGGAAGTACAGCTTTCTGAATTATTGTTGGAGGACTGCAGAGTAGCGCCACAGTCTTCTTAATAGTACGGAAAACATCTTTCTCCAGATTCTCCTTCGACACATGGCCCTTTTCTCTTTCCAGTCATCCCTGGGATGGGGCGGCATGATCTGAAATTGATCTGGATGTTTGTTGACCAACTAGTCCAAATCGCCTCTCAATAAAATATCTTCCCATCGATCAGGAATTTGCCTTGACGACCAGGTCGAATGTTACAGTCTCTTCCCGTTCAAAGACTGGTTGCGTGAGTTTGTATTGACGAATGACGAGTCGGTTGGTGAAGTGGAAGCCCCGATGGAGATGTTGACAGGTTCAAGGGCCAAGCTTTTCTGCATTCAGTGGTAGAGAAAAGGTACACTGATTTGTATCTTAAAGGGCCTTCTTCTCGGCGAAACAGATAGCCTCGATTTAAGACGGTTTTCTATATTCTTCTTTGAGGGCTTGGCTTTTTCTCTGACTGCATCTTCGGCTTGGCCCTTGTTGAATGCTATTGCCTTCTAGGTGACTATGCCCAGCATGCATCCTGTTACAAACCCGTCAATCCCGTCAATCCCGAAAAAAGAGCATCAAACAGAGCCGAGACGCTATCTAGGTACTCAATTTATGCTCCGCATAATCGTCATAATGCTCTGAAACCCGTCAGTGGTATCAACATGCACTTTGCCCGCATGTGCCATTGATCGGTGCCGTGCCACCAGGATGCCCATCAAAATATACCAAACGAAAAGCTTCGATCATCGTTCCCATCATTGATGTCAATATGCTTGAGGCATGCTGTTGATCATAAAGACTTGACTGAAGAATAAGAATTTCTCGAAACTAGGTCCCTTTGATTCTTTGCTAAAGTCTTTGAAGTTCATTTATGTCTACTTTGAAATAGTTTTATTTCTAATATTCCAAACATGAATGGTGAACTACTTACTAGCGCAAACATAGGGCTGAAAAGCTCTACGGGAGAAGAATATACCCTAGTCGCTTTCTTCCAGAATTGGTGGGCCAATGTAAACTGAATAGAGTAAGCAAAACGTGCCTTGAATGTTTCCACAAAGACGTACCTTTTCTTGCGTGAATAACATACCACACAGAAGCCATCACGGTGAGCCCTACAAAGACGACGGACGCGTAGTTCATGGACACTGGCGTAACTGGCAGGACAGACGGCATGCTGAAAAGCACAAGCTGAAACGCTATCCATGCCAGGGAAATAATATTCACCGTTGTACCGAGAGCTCGACCACAATGCCACGGCGCCTTGTGCACCTCAGCTCGCCGATCCACGAATAAGGAAAGGCTGATTGGGATCGCATATGTGACGGCGAGTGCGAAGACACTCACAGAAACAAATGCAGTAAACGCGCTGGTGCTGCCTAGGTTGATCAATCCCAGCAACATCTGTACGACTGTCACTAGACCCAGTGCCCAAATTGGGACGCGGAAGCGTTCGTCAACATGGGAAAATAGCCGCGACAAAGGGATAGCCTTGTCCCGGGCGAGAGCCCAGGTTGTGCGAGATGCAGCATTGGTAATACTAATTGAGCAGAAAAAGCCAGTCACGATGATGAGAGAGACTAGCCCGGCTGCACCCTCGCGGGTCCCAGTAACGCGGTGGAAGATGTATGGTATGGGTTGACCGTTTGGTGCATTGAGGATATCGGTCAAATCTGGCAGAGTGAAGCACAGAGGCATCACAAAGAAAAGGCCGGTGATACCACCAACGGGCACGCATAATGCCAGAGCCTGTGGTACCTTTGTGGCAGGAGAGCGCACCTCTTCGGACATCGAGGTAATCATTCCTATTGCACAGAAAATAAAGGCTGGGGGCAATAGACCGATGAAGAAGGAGAATTTCCCCCAACCCGACAGTGAGCTGTCATAGTAGCCCAGTGCAGTAGCCGCATCATGCCTTCCAGCCTTAGCTGGAATACAAATAACGATCATGATCACAATCATTGACATGATAGTCCACCCGGCACAAATCGTGTCCACCATGGGTAGAAAGCGGTTGCCAAAACCACAAATCACAAAGGCCAAAATGCAAATTGCGTAGAAGACAAGGAGTAGTTGCCAGTCATTAGCTTCCCAATTAGAGTAAATTGACACTGTAGCAACTAGCAATCCCGCGAATGCGAAGTTCACAGAAAGTGTCACGGTCCAGTTTCCGATCAACCAGATCCATGCTGTGACGAAGGACAAGAGCTTGGAATGTTTCCCTGACAATTGAAAAGACCAATAGTATGGACCAGCAGAGGTTGGGTATCGATAAGCAAGTTCAGCGAGGGACATGGCCATACACTGATCTAGAAGACAAACCATGATCCAGCCGACGAAGATCGAGAGTTGACCTCCACCGTAGATTACTTGCATAAAGAGCGTGCTTTCTCCGAAAGGAACCGCGGCGATGGCCAGCGACTGGAAAAGAAGAGTAAACATTGAGCGATTACGGCGAAGCTCCGAGGTATATCCCATAGAACCGAGGGCTTGGTCAGGGTCATCTTGCTGATCAGCCTTTTCGGCTTTTGAGAGGGATTTTTCATAAGTTTGATCAATGTCAGTCATTTTGAGGAGGGAATGGTAGTTCAGATCAGCATGGGATTTGGAGATGGGTCGGCAAGATATATCCAAGTGCTCTGCATCATTGAATCAAGTTATTTCCTGTCCACACAATACCAAATTCCAAGTATATAACACGCGGAAACTATCATTCTCGGGGGAATCAAGGCTGAAAGTGCGACGAAACGCGGGGAAGCTCGGTTTATCATCATCTTCCCCGCCAACAGGGCAATTAGAGATACGATAGACGGACGCGTATCCAATCGCAGCTCCTAGAAGATGAGCTGGCTATGACGGATGGTGGTCGGTAGCTGTACTCTCCATAGCTGGATAGCAGAGCAACATCTGATCTGATTCAGTTAGCGTGCGGGGTGGGGGGCGGATCTTTAAGTTGAAGCCTTCCTAATCCTTACCTGATCAGGTAATTCTAGCCTTTTACCGTATCAGATTGCCTCTTGCAGTTGTGCTCCGCACTTTCGGACATCTTTCCGACCCTCAAACGTCTAGACGCTCTGTGAAAACACGTATCTGTGCCTTGAATTTCTTGTAACACTTCTCTAGCATACTGCGACATTTCATCCAGCCTCAAAAGGTCGATACAGTCGGGGAAGCTTTACGTCCTTAGGGTTGGTCTTTGGACTCGTCGTCTAATTGTTCTGATGCAGCGTCTTCTCAAGGCTGCATCGAATCAATGGAGGGGGACTTGATTGCATGTATGCCAAATTCAAGGACACGAATCCTTACATCCAGTGCACTGACGGACTAGCCTTTGGTGTAAAGTGCAGATTTGGCGCTTTTTATCCTTGTGGTCAGCTGGAAGAAAGATCTCTTATGTTGTTTCTACGGTACCGCGATGGCCATAGGATGGAGTGCTGGCAAAGGAGGAATGCTAGTTCTTGTTAACAAAGCTACACGATTACCAGCTAGCAGGCGATGCAATGACAGTGAGAATTGCTGGCTTAGCATAGTAGAAACTCTTGACAAAGTATAAGTCCCTGTCTTAATATAGTCATGAATCATATCAGTAGAAGTGGACAGTTGTAGGACCATCAGGTTCTGAGACCAGCATTTAATTCACCGTAACAGCCCTGTTATCCGCAGTCTAGCCACAGACTGTCGATCCAATAGGTAGTAAAGCTCACAATACTAAGCGGGTGATTCGTAACAGGGACTCTCCTATATATATTTCAAAGCTTGTGCAAAAATGCCTGGTAAATTTCCTTGCCATAACGGTGACCCCGTTGCGGGTATCAATGAGCAAGTCGAGCATTTTTGATACGTGTTACCATCTTGAATGAGTATCTTCGAGTATCACTGGTCTATGAAGTTCTGACTCTCCGTTTCCCTATTTTCTATCGCGATGCGTAGACCGTGCCTTATGATACCCTGACAAGAGCTCCATTATACACGGAAATCCGGTCTCTGCTCAATCAGGCTCAGCAGAGGCAGGAATAACTCTTTCCCAGTAGGGTTTGGCCCAGATTTCAGCTGGGATTCGCCCTCGGCTCTGAGTTCATCCCACGAAGCCCACTCCCATGCCGTGCACTTCTCGGGCTCCATGATCTGGATATTCGGTCAGTCTGGCAAAGTCAAGGGCCTTGATAAGTAAGATATAACGGACTATCACTTACCTGCGGCTGATCGGAATCATTGCTGACAACGGCACCCATGAAGATAGTAACGTAGTGTTTGCCTTCGGCTTCAAAGACGCTGTTCGTGGCAGTCAGAAACCGGATATCCCGAATTTGGATGCCTGTTTCTTCTAGGATTTCGCGTTCTGCGCAGGACTCGAAGGACTCGCCGAACTCGAGATGTCCACCTGGCAATGCCCAGGTATCTAAAAGTAATGGAACGAGTTAGTAATTTGGTGAATTGCTTCAACTCATACTTGATCCAGATGTCTGATGCAGGGAAACTGCGTGGCGGGGAAAAGAAGGGGATAGTGCCGGGTGGTGGGTTGACTCACTGGCGCCATGACTGCCCTTTCGCTTTCCAAGGATAAATTTGCCCTCGGGGTTCATGACAAAGACGCCAACGCCGATTCTGGGTTCCTTGGCGGAAGTCATGATGAATTTGTCTTTGTGTCAAGTGCCTGTGTTTTTTTGATCTACGATGACGAGTTTTGAGCTGCAAGGGACGTAGAGTGGGGCACGGCGAGTGAAGCGGGGTACCACGGCGGGATCGAAGGATGAGAAAGATTCCAGGGAAGCAGGAAAAGAGTATGAAGCTTTATTTTTGCATAAGGTTGGACTGGTTTTATGTTACAGAACAGTGGCTGTGCACGAGGCAGCAGCACGACCCCAAAGGTCTGACTCCATTGACCAAAGGCTGAATCACGGAATGGATACTAACGCAGCCACGAGACACCCATCTACGCCTTCACCTCCAAGGCACATTTACAATAGGAGCTAGCTGCGCATCACCTAAGCTACACCGACTTGTGATTAAGAATCTGTCGTTCATAAGAATATAAATATTTTCGATTGTTCGACAACGAAGCTGTACAAATCAGACTGTGGAAAGACCGCTATAAATTGTGAATCCTAGTGAATCATACAAGGTTCGCGGTCCTTTCAAAAGCGTAAGAGAGCATGTTGTGATCTTCCGGGGTCAAGTGCCTAGCATTTCTTTTCCAAACTGTTGGAAAACAGAGGCACCCAGAAGACCTGCCTGACGGCTTGCCGTGCTGCATTGATCGCTAACAGGAAAAGATATCCACGAAAGGGAAGCATCAATGATCAGTGAGTCGCAAGAGTCCAAAACCATATTGATCCGTACCCCACTGATATAGAAGGAGAGATGATTGGAAGAAGAGTGGAGATAACAAACGCAAGACGCTCCCTTTCCCCCCATATACTTTGAGTTTACTCCGCCCCATAAGTCCATTCAAACATGATCATCGCAATTGCAGCTACCTACGGTCAACGGTCAGAATGGGAAACTCCGCCCACAAAGGTGATCAATAAAACTCACCAAGGAAGAATCAACACCAGCCACGATCACCACATCCATAGCAGGTCGAAGGCTCTTTCGCCGTGACTTGGGCAGCAGAGCCAATGTGTCGTTATGGTGAATGCTCTCATAAACCCCAGCGATCCTCCTATCTCCATCGATAATATCATATCGTGCCATAATATCACCACACGGCGATATCAGCAGGGTCATGTCCTTATCACTGTCGCGCTTTGTATCATTCGGGGCCATATTCCGAAATGAGAACTTCATACTCTTTTTATTGTTCCCCCATCGCGGCTCTCCCTCGGCGATCTTGATATCACCACCGCCCGGCATTGTGATAAACCACGAATACGGTCTTCCAAGTGTGGTCTTCGTATGGAGCTCGAACAAGGGTAAGCCCGAGGCGTCGTGGAATTCGCGACAGACGCGATCACCATATTTGCGACCGGACACCGTGTAGACGGGCTCTTCTTCTTCTTCCGTAGTGATGATGTAGGCTGCGACGGACTGGGCGTTTCCATTTGGTTTGAGCACGAGAGTGGTCTTGGCAGGAACGATGGACTCCGTTCGAAGGGCGACTTGGCGCTCGGGTGGGCGCATCGATTTGCGAGGTTTGGGTTTGAAGCCCGGGGAATGCAGCGACATTCGCGCCTCCGAGTATGAAGTGTAGGACATGATGACGTAGGTAGTTATGAGAGGTTCCTACGCCGCCGTGTCGCTCGATAGGCCTGGATAAACGATCTTTTATAGCTATTATATCAGTACGGACGTTAAATGCCGCACGGGATGAGGTTGAGTAGGATTGAGGTATTTCTATGGTTTGCGCCCCATGACTACATCGTTGGTTCCGGGGGCCGTTTTGATTCGTGCCCTCCTCCGTCCAGATCGGGGCGGAGAAACAGGGATATGGTAGATCGCTCGGAAGCATCCTTTGTCGGGGCAGTGCTTATCTGTCTGTCACAGTCGGATTATTACTGAACCTATGCGGATGAACCGGAAGAACGTGGTGAGTGGAGAAAGGCTTGGATATTGCCAAGAATAGCTTCAATATGGGATGCTACGATTGATTCAGCATCAAAATATCCTATCGAAAGTGGCGAATGCTAACAATCATCAGCTAGCTGACTATTCTTACTGATTAGAATCGGTTCCACAACTTGAATGGTTTTCTCGGAATAGAGATACACATCTCTAGTTCCACCGATCTAGGTGGTCCGTCTCTTTCTAACGGGAATACTGTGTCTAACAAAGAGCATAATAGCATATAGCCGATCTTCGGGTACTGATCGTCGAGGAAAATGGGCGGCTCAACGGGCCGATGAGTAATGCGCCATCTTTCAGCCCCGCGACCACCATCACTGCTTTTCATTTCCTCGCAGCTGGCCAAATCTACATATCTATCATCTCCAATGGCAGCTAAATTTGCCGTCAAGTCCTTAGACCACCTGGTTCTCACTGTCCGGTCCATCCCCCAGACGGTAGCCTTTTACACTACCCATCTGGGTATGCGGCACGAAGTATTCAATTCTCCCGCAAACCCCGCTGTCCAAAGGTCAATATGGTCATGAACATCAATCAACAGATCAAAACTAACTTTGATCAGAAATGCTCTCATTTTCGGAACTCAAAAGATCAATCTTCATCAGTCGGGAAAGGAGTTCGAGCCAAAGGCCCAGAATGTTCAGCCTGGAAGTGCGGATTTGTGCTTCTTGACGGATGAGAATGTCGAGAACGTCTTGCAAGCTTTTCAGGATGCGAAGATTGAGGTATCGCTATCAGAATTGACTGAATCATCTCTCCATACTAATATCTTGGAGGTCTTGGAGGGTGCCAAGATTGTAGACAGGACCGGGGCCGTGGGCAAAATCCGGAGCGTTTATGTTAGGGATCCCGATGGCAATCTAATCGAGTATGTGGTTTCCCATTCCCCTGCCTCTGATTACCAGGCTAACCTCACTGATAGGATTTCCAATTATGCCTGAGTGGGTTCCAGATCACACTACTGTCTAAAGACAAACTCGATAAATCCTCGACCATAGATGCATCGATGAACGCGATCATGAAATGAATGACCAGTATTTGTGGCAGACGAACACATCAAGCCTTCTTAGTCCAGTTTCATGTGCATTTGTCGTAGCTCTGGTATCCCACACCATCAACAAGATATTCTCTATGGGGCTGTGAGTTGCTTCCTGTGTTGCATCATCGTCTGGCTGTCGCATATGCTGTAAAGACGATCAGGTGTGGGGGCTAAGATCTGACCAAAAAATGTTGAATACTTCAGGGTGATATACCAAAGGCATGATTTTGATCAACATCGCCAGTAATGAGTATTCAGCATCAAGAGGATGAAATTGAAATATGCATGGGCAAATTGGTGTTCCATTATCTTGCCCTCGACCAGAATGATGCACTGCGAGAGAAAAACTAAATCCGCTCATCGAATGGGGGTTAAGACACACTTCCAGTTCCAAAAGTCAACCCTCCTCCGCCAGTGACCTAGCGGCACGAATGAGCTGCAGTTGCTGCAGTTGCTACTTCTAAAGTGGTGGACGGCTGTTAACATCGAGTGATGAAGCTTGTGTGGAGCTTGTGCTGGCAGCGGTGGGGAGGGTTGGGTGGGTGGGATGCCAGGGTCCGATCCCCTGGCGGGTAACTTTTTTTTATTATTTTAGATAACACTTTACTTATATCAATATAATCAGCCATAGTTGCAGAGTATATTGATTTTATTTTGGAAGCTTTTCAAAAGGGTAGGTGGTTGTAGTCGTGTGATTTGTTAGATGTGGCATCAGGTAGAAGCTTTCGAGCATTGCGGGCTGAACGTGGAGCATCGTTGGAGCATCGATGGGAGTTTGTATGGGAGGGCGAGGGCGAGGGTTCGAGTCATGGGAGTAGCATCTTTATTTTGGTACATCTGCATTTTTGGCACTTGTCGCTCTTAGATGGCCGTTGTACCTGCTTGAAAATCAGCTATCTCGGCATCTATGTAGGAGTCTAGTTCCCGCCGAGGACAAGCGCTCCCGGGGCCGGTAAACTGGTTCCACCCGATACTCCGAAGCCAAGCGACACCACAAACGGGAAGGAATTGGCGAGTCAACCGACCGATGAGTTTGACTCGCGCCGAACTAGAGTCTTGAATTCATGTTGACGAATGACCAGATTGAATTTGACATTTTGGTGGTTGACAACTTTCTATATGTATTTGCCATCTAGTAGTCTCCGTCAATGTAGAGCTATAACTTTGCTTGGCAACCCATGGCTCCCTCGTATTGCCATGTGCCATGTCCCTCCAGACTAGCGGACCCCCAAGCTTCCGCATCCATGGATGCAACACCTCTCTCATTCTGGAGCCACTCATCTCACACTCTATATAAGTCTTGATTATAGCCCACCCTGTACATATCTCTACCCTCATATCATCCATCCGCAATGGAGACAGCGCGTCTAAGGCTCGAGCCAATCGATCTCGCCCACCTGGAGGCCTTCCACCGTATCTGGTCAGACCCCGATACCACGCAATGGAGGTGAGTCACGACATCAATTCCTTGAACCTACGCTCCATGCCCATGCAATCTCTAACTCCAACCCAGTTCCCGTGGTGTCTGCAAAACCATCGAAGAAACCAAGGGCAGAATAATCGGGATTGTCCATGACAAAACCCGCCCGGGCATCGACAATTACGGCGTCTTCATTCGCACTCCGCCTAGCACGGAGGACGCAGACGTATCCCAAGTCATCGGCATCGTAGGCGTCCACAAAGACGATCCCGTCCCAGAACTGGGATACATTTTCCATCCCTCCTCTTGGGGAAAGGGATACGCCACGGAGGCTGTATCTACTTTTGTTCAGCACTATTTCACTCTTAGGCCCGACGCGCCTTATATTGAGGCGAAGGTGGATGCGAAGAATCAGCCTTCGATCCGGGTGCTGCAGAAGTGCGGGTTTGACGAGATTGAGACGTTGGTTGGTGGGGCGGAATCGGCGTGGATGGATCCTCCTGTACGGGACTTGGTTGTGTTCCGGGCGATGAGGAAATAGAGCAGCGAGCCATATCAGGTTACATACAGTACTTAGTATGAATCAGCCACGAGATTTCTAACTCTTCCTCTCGTATATCCCATGATCTATCTCTTCACGGGTCAAGTAGGGTCTCCTTTTCTCTTTTGAAAGGTCTACATTGTAATCACAAAAGCTGAATACTAGGGGGAGACTGATCAAAAATTAAGAAAATTGCTTGTATGTGGGTATAGCCGTATATACATTATCTCCACATCATATTAACAGAGCCACTCTCGAACGACAAACCCCCTACAGAGCCAAAGCAAGGCCCAGGATACCAGCCGCACCAGCCATGCTCAAAGCAACACCACCGGTGGCAACGGAGGCACCACCGGTAGAAGTAGCGGAAGCATGAGCAGACGAAGCCGAAGCAGCCTTTGAGCTAGCGGCAGACGTGGCCGAAGAAATAGCGCTGCTCACAGCAGCGCTGGAAGAATCGGCCGAACCGGTGGTAGAACCACTGGAACCAGCCGAGTCAGTAGCAGTCGCAACGCTGACAGCAGTACCGGTAGCAGCGTCGGTGCCGGTCACAGCAGTAGCAGAGGCATCAACGAGAAAGGCGCTGGTAGCCCAGGCCTTGACACTGCTAGGCAGGCTGTTGTACCAGGCGGGGAGGGTACCGGCCGCGATCTCGGACATCATGGAGGAGCGAGAGACTGGGTCCATGTATTCGCTCAGCCAGGTAGCCGGGACGGCGGTCGCGATGACGGTCAGGATAGAGTTGGGGACCGAGTCGAGGAGGTCAGACTCGTCGGACGAGGACGAGGAGGTGCCCGTGGCCTGGGGAGCAGCCAGGGCCGTGGCGGAGAAGAGGAGGGCGGCAAGGATCTTGAACTGCATGTTGGAGGTGGGTATCAAACGAATGGTAGGACTTGAAAAATAAGTGTCCAAATAGGATAAAAGAGTGACTGTATTCAAATGAAGAGTTGAGCTTGAGAAGACTAAGGAAAAAAAAATAAACTAGAAGGGTCGTCCAGGGTTCCAGGGTCCAAGGCTTATGTAGGAACTAGGCCACCGGCCAGACCCCCAGTTGAGCCTCTCTTTGCCTCCACGGGCAGAAAGTCGGGGTCTATTGATTCACCTTCTCCCGTCAGCGGAGAAGTCTGGGTGAACTGGTTGGCTAAGAGAGGATGTTCCTGCAAACTATACGTCTCTTTCAGGATATTCTGACCGAGCAGAACACACTGAAAAGGACTCTAAAACACGGCCATAACCGTTAGCGCCGGTGCCTGTCCGGGTCTAGGCCAATGGGAGAAGTTCTCGCCGAATCTTCGCCTCGATTTGCCCTGTATTTGCTCCAAAGTTTCTTCCCGATGAAGGTTCGAAGTCAGCAGCCACGTCTGGGTTTGAGACCCCGTTTACCAAATCACGCCCGTGAGACAAGTCGGAGTATCGGTGTTTCCCCCTTTTTTGTGATGTGTGGCGAAATTGTGCCGGGTTCGGGTAACATGCGAGTCCGATAAGCTCTATTCTTGGCTCTGCGTGCCAAGATTTCGTTAGATTCACAAAGCACATGGGTGCAGCCCCCCCGTGACAGGGCGATGTATGATATTTAATTAATATCCTTATTTTGGGGACCGATGTCACTGCAAATCATAAATGAAGCGATCGACAAGTCTAAAGAATCCCACCTTGGAGTGGGTGCCTCGTTGGTATGCCAGCGATTGGTGCCCGCAGATATTCTTTGTCCATGTGAAGTTCGGAGTCCAGGACAATGCAGGCACAGTACAGGTACCGATCTGTCGATCAAAGCTTAGCCATTCTTCGCAAAGGTAGAAGAGGATGGATCGACTCGATTATAAAAGGGTTCAAAAGTAGCCTTGATTTGTTATTGATTACCTCTAGCACCCATTCCGTCATCAGATTCGCGGTGTTTGTCAATGCTGATTAAAAACAAGACCCTCTCGGATTAATCAGCGGGTACACCCGTAATTCCGCCATTGCTTTACTGCCCAGCACGCAAGCCGGAATTAACTGGATTTCGAGTCTCCGCTATACTTCTCGCTATTTAAAACTATCACCTAAAAATTTCAAACACTTCGTCATCAATTACTCCGTCCTTAGCCAAGCACGCGCGGACCTTCGAACAGAAATGATCTGAAACTGACAACGCTAGCCAACCAACACCACCTGGCATATAAAAATCTCGCCATCCTACCTATTCATCACCATATTCAACCAGATACAATGGCTGCTCGCGCATTTCGATCCGCTTCCAATCTCCACTCCATCTGCCGCACGATCGGCTCCACTACGTGCACTCGACGAGTGGTATCTGGCCCAACCCTGCCGTCACAGATAAAAGGACAACTGCCCCTCCAACGACGATCTTTCACCTTGTCACTCCCCAATTCCTTCTCCTCGTCCTCTCCAACATCCTCCGCAGCAACCATGTCCACCACCGACGCCCTCGTCCAAGCGGCCCAGTCCCGCCGCACCATCTACAAGCTCGGCAAGAACAGCCCCGTCGCCGACTCCAAGATCGAAGAGCTCGTCAATGCTGCCATCTTGAACGTCCCTAGCTCGTTCAACACCCAGTCCACTCGCCTGGTTGTCCTGCTCCGCGAGGAGCACGATAACCTGTGGGATCTCACCATTGAGACTTTCAAGGGTCTTGTCGCTTCCGGCACCGTCCCCGAGGAGGTCTTCCAGAAGCAGACTCTCCCCAAGCTGCAGGGTTTCAAGGCTGCCTACGGCACTGTACGTTTCCTGCAATTCTTTATCAGTCTCGTTTCGACCCAAACGGAAACCAATTGCAAACGCGGGGGCATACGTACTAACCATCAACCTTGCACATATAGATCCTCTTCTACGAAGATCCCGCCCACATCAAGCCCTTCCAGGAGAAGTTCGCCACTTACAAGGCTCACTTCGAGCCCTGGGCTGAGCACTCCAACGCCATGCACCAGTACTTCCGTAAGAACCCACGATCCGCCCCCCCCCCTCCCTTCTCCTTCACCATCAACATGTTCCAAAACCAAACTAACAAACACCTCCGCCAGTCTGGACTGCCCTCGAAACCCTCGGCTTCGGCGCAAACCTGCAACACTACAACCCCCTCATCGACACCCCCGTCGCCCAAAAGTGGAACATCCCCACTGAATGGCGCCTGATTTCCCAGCTCGTCTTCGGTAGTCCCGAGGCCGCAGCCGGTGAGAAGGTGCAGAAGCCCATCGAGGAGCGTGTCAAGATCTTTGGCAAGCAGTAAGCGGGCCTCCCCCTCCCTTTCTTCGGCTTCTGTGTGGCATTATAGCGAGCTGCATGGTTTCTGTCTCTTTTCTCTCATGTTTTGGATGAATTTCCTTTTTGTTGATTTGATGCATTTTTCTTGGCGGTTAGACGTTTATCTGGGATAGAAGCTAGAATATAGATTATGGTATTTGGTCTATGCATTCAAATTGCTGGGATCAGGTCTGAGGACTGCGTCAATTTAGACTTTGAGATTTTATAAACAGAAAGCTTACTGGTTTATTCTGGTGGCACTATGATTGTTAAGTGTACTACTACCCCTGGCTAACGGGATGACCGGTGGGAAATGTATGTTCACCACCCTCCCGGCTCGTGGCTGGCATCAACACTGCCCAACTAGCTCAACGATTTCCAGAAGACAAAACACGGAGTTGTAAGAAGATTCTTGAGCTTTGCGCAGAAGTTGCCATGGATTGAGTCTGTTAGAGAAGAAGACGTGAACAAAATTAAGGTTATTATCCTGCGTGACGTAACCCAAGGTGCGCCACCTGGTCCAGCCTATAGATGAGCCTGATGAAACAACCTCCCATTTGATCTGTAAGAATAGCTCGGTATAAGAATGCATACCCGTCATAATCCCCAGTGAAACCCCCACTCCGACATCATCTGATCTACCCTGATCTATACCAATACTCCGACGGATGTCCCAAACAATCTCCAACAGTAACAGCTAGCGCCCCCAAAAGGTCAGCACCAAACATATCAACCCATCAAAAACAGTCCAAACCAGTCTCAAAAAGAACAGACTCACCCTTCAACCCCCTCCTCTGAACCTCTCCAATCATACCCCCCACCAATCTCTTCGCCGTATTCTCTTGCGAATCATGCGCAAGCACGATACTCCCGCGATGCTCCAACCCCTCCTTGAACAACTCAAAGCTGCGCCAACTCCGACTCGGATGGTCATTGGTCTTGTCATCTGTCACGATACTCGCACCGATAACGTGGTACCGTAGCTCTGACATCGCGGAGAGCACGAGCTCGTTCACGTGCAGCCAGGGTGTGCGGGTATATGTGGGTGTGAAGCCGAGGATGTGGTGGAAGGCTGATTCGAGGGTGAGCATCTCCGTGAGGATCGTGGAGTAGGGGATGGTTGTTAGGTTCAGGTGGCTCCATCTGTAGAATGGTGGACGAGGTAGTTGTCGTCAGTTCAGAGGATGAAGTAGCTGGAAACAGAAGGATGAGAAGAAGGGCAGACGTACGAGTGAGATCCTATCTGATGCCCCTCTGCAAGTGTACGCCTCACGATGTGTGATAGCTCGTAGATATTGCCTTTCCAGTCACCATTGAAGAAGAACGTTGCGTGTATGCTGGCATTGGCGAGGATATCGAGGACTTGTTCTGTGTAGATGTAGGGTCCGTCATCGAAGGCGATTGCGATTGTCTTTGGGACGGTACAGTGGTTTATGACTGTTCCGTAGGGCAGTTGAGTTGAATTGTCATTGTGGGTGGTTTGAGTTGGCAGGATTCGTGCTGAGGCTGCGGATGGAAGGATTGCTGCTGCAGAGGATAGGGCTGTTGTGGAGAGAAGGGCAGTGACTAGGAGATTGAGTTGATGCATAGCTGACAGCAAGGAATGATTTTGTAGGATGAATACAATGAGTGAGATTTAGTTCGTAGATTGAGTTGAATAGAGGATATCTTGAGGCTTCAGGGCTACGGGGTAGATGATCAGGCAGGCACGGGCTTGCCGTTGTCTGCCAGGAAGGTCCATTTCAAAGATTTGGGGAAGAAAGAATTGAAATTAGAAGAAAATCTTATTGAAAATCAACGATTCCACCCGCCGTTGCCAAACATGACAACCAACTACCGGATCTGTCGACAAATAGTATCAAATATGAATACATCCTGGGGAGCACAAAGGTATCAAAAGGTAAGGCAGAGTAAGACAATTCCGCTCGCTTTTGTCGTCTTCTGTCCAGACGAGCGGGAAGAAAGAAGGTGAAGGATTCCCCAGATCCCCGTCTCCATCTCTATCACATCTCCCAGCTCCTCTCGCTCCAGCCGAGTCAAGAGGGCCCAATCCCTCGGTCGTAACAAGTTTAACCCTTACGGGTGCTCTTCTTCATCGACTTGCGCTGGCCCTTCTGGCTCTCACGCTCAAGGTACTTGCGCTGCTCCTCGGCGGTCATACCACGGAGCAGACGCTCGCGCTCCTCCTTCTTCAGCTTCTCGGCGGCGATCTTGCGCTCCTCGGCCTTCTCCTCCTCATCGGCGCGGCGCAGCTTCTTGATCTCCTCATCACGGACATTGCGGACCTTGCGCATCACCTCAGGACGCCAGTGAGCGACGGAAACGAGCTTATCAGCGAAGCGGAGGAACTGGTTGAACAGGGGGAGGGTCGAGGAGTAGCCGGACGAGAGGTTGACAGAGAGCTGGATGCGCTTCTTGGGGACGGTCTCGTCGATCCTGATTGACATTCCTTGTTAGTGAAGGGACTACGGAATCATTGGCAGGTAGATGCTTACTTGGTGGGCTTGTCAATGGGTTGGTCGGTCACAATCAAGAACTCAAAGTCATTTCCAGCCTGCTCAATAGCCTGGATAAGCTCCGGGGTAAGCAGAGTATCAGTGATCTCAGCGCTCTCGCTCATCACGGTAACCCAGGATGGGAGCTTGGGGTGATCCTTGGAGAAAGTAATGGAAGCGTCATAACGGTCAGTGCGGAACTTGCGCATGTGGCTCTTGTGCACAACGGCCCAGATGAAGCCATCATAGGTCGAGTTGGGAACCTTGACAGACGAAGTATCCTTGGCGAGAACGGGGACCAGATCCTTCTCCTTGCCATCGAAAGCGTACATCAGAGCCTCGTACTTCTCAGCGGGAGTCTCCCAGCTCTCAAAGAAGAAGCTGAAGACGTACTCCATGATATAGGTAATAGGGTTGTAGCGCTTAGGCATGGTGAGAGCGATATCCAGGAAAGCCACATTCTGACGACCAGTCGCATAGGCGGCGAACTCGTGCGCCGACTTCTCCTTCAGCAGCTTCTCCGGGCTGGCCAGCTCGACGGTGACCTCCTCGGGACCCGAGCGGGAGATACCATCGAAGCCGACGACGGCAAACTCCTTCTGCAAGGCCGGGATGTGGGCCTTGGCCCAGTCACGCGCCTTGCGGCGGTTCTTGCGCGTGCCCCAGAGATGGAAGAGGACGACCACCAGGATGAAAGGCATGATCATCGCCTCCTGCATGAAGTCGCTAGGCGAGGTGCGCTCCCAGATCCGATACCATTTCGTATATGGGACGGTACCCTGCGTGCTGAAGGCCGGGATAGTGGTCGTATCGGCGACGAGCGATACAGGAGATGGGTTCGGGGCCTCGACGAAGTCCGCGAAGTCTATGCCAGGTGGTAAGTTATGGGGATTGCCATTGCGATTGAAGAGAGGGCGAATTGCGCCTAGAGAGACCTACCATCGTCTGGGTTAGCCGCTCTCGAGGGCTGAGAGCCGAACACGTTCTTGAACACGCCCGCCATGGTGAGGAATAGAGGATGGTGGGTGGAAGGGAAAGGAGGCGGAAAGAAGCGAAGTGCGGAGCTAGAGCTGGGCTGGCTGTTAGCGGCCCCACGAATTCTCCGGGGGGCAGTTTTAGGCGGTGCTCGCTGCTTACGAACTTTACGAATCGGCGATAAGACCCAGTGGATGCCAAGGTTTGGGTCGACTGGCAGCTGTCAGTCATTACTCAAACGTTACGAAGTAACTTGAAAGAATGATACTGTGGATGTGATAGAAGTGCAAGTTCCCATGTTCCATTCCAATACCTGTATAGCCCAACCTGTATCCCGAATCCAACGATTGTACAAAAGTACTGGTGGTATCCCGCGAAAAAGCATCAAAAAAGGAGAAAAAAGAGAATCGACGCCAAAAGTTTCGCAAGATCCAAATTTTTGTACAATCCCGCTCCCAAGCAACGCAAGAAGAAGAAAATGAAAAGAAAACTGATTAACAAATAAAAGTCGTAGCGGTCATTAGAAGGTCAAGTCTTGCTCGAGAAGGAGAAGAGAGGGAACCAAAAAAAAGGTAAGGAGCGTGGCAATGCGTGGCGCATCTAATTTAGTGGCCATAGGCCGGGGGAGGAGCATCGTCCTGGGCACGAGACCAGAAGTTGCTGCAGGCGTTGTTCGCCATGAGTTTCTCATCACGAATGCGACGAGCAATCTCGCCAGCTAGTCGTTCGACCAGAAAAGGATCGACAGAGTCATTGGTTGAGTTGCCTTCCTGGGTGAACGGAAGAATGGTAGCAGGCAATGATGGCCGGGCGGTGCCCGAGGAGGGACCCGCCTCGGCCTTTTCGTTTTGATAGCCTCCAAGGACAGTGGCACGAGGGGTTGCCTCCACATCCTCGACTTTAGAAGGACGAATGGTCTCAATCGAGTAGGATGGATCGTTGTGGTCGCGAGTCAAAGTAGTGCGCCGAAGGGTCGGTCGAGAAAGACTAGTCCGATATCGCTCCGGAATCATCGGGAGGTGCGAGTCGGTATCGGGGGACAAAGGAGGAGTTACGGGGTCGTCGGATTGTTCGTTCAGGGCCGGTAAGGGTGCAGAGTAGATGGATGGAGGGCTCGAAGATTCTGTCAAGGCACTGTCGTCGCTCACGCTCATGGCGTCATCGGTCGTCTTGGGTCGACGCAGGTCCACGACACGCTTCTTTCGTCTGCGGGAGTGAGCCTTGGAATGGCGCCCGGTTCCCAGATTCAACCCATAGCTGCTGAATGAGTGCGCGGATGCCAAAGACGGGCGGCTGTACGAAGAGGTGACGCTAGCGGTCTCGTGAATCGAAGAGGCCATACTGCCGATTTGCGAATGCGTTCGGGAAAGCGTCGGGCTGAGAGGGGAAACGATACTGGCGGCGGCTTCGCTGGGGTCGACAGGCGATGTCCATGCGCGATACACGACTTCTTGGATGGAGGGGGTGAAGAGAGACAGCGTTCGCTGGGAGTCAGTCAGGGCGGCGAGACGGAGGAGGTTCTTCTGCGAGAACAGCGAATGGGTCTCGACGGAGGAGTCCAGGGAGAGGGATGCGATCTCAGATTCATTCAAGACATTGCCCATCGCATCGACCGGGTCTTGCGGGGGGCTTGCCAATGGATCTTGGCCGGGGCCATCACTTGTGGACTCGGTATTGTCGTCCTGAGCCTTGACATCCTCTCCGGCGCGATATTCGGGAACCCATAAGCGAAGCGACAATCGGTGAATGATGGCGGGTAGCTCATCCATGAACAAGATGCGGAGCTGAGCTTCGATTTCTTTCTGTAGGAAGTCGCGCACGAACGGGATTGAATCGAACGTCGACGAGACCTTGAGGGATTCGAGGGGATCATTGCGGAAGACCACAGTGATACCCTTTTGTTTGGAGAAGACGAGGATCACAAAGCCGGAGAGCTTAAAGTCGGAGAGAGTAATTTGGAGAGGGATGGTGAGTGGAGTTCTATAGATGATTGCCAGTTAGCAAATGGCAAGAAAAGATGCGACCGTAGCACAAACGTAGATTAAACACTTACGCAGCAGCTAGAGGCTTCGGCGATGCAAACGCAGGCCTTGTGAGGAGATATGTATTGAGTGGGTTGGCTTGAACGCGGGTCTTGAGGGTCAAGAAAGCGTCGCCGGAATAGGACATCTTAAAAATGCCGCGAAAGCGATCCTCGGCCAAGTCACCGATTTCCAGTATCTCCAAGTTCGGGGGCATAGAGCCCAGGTTGAGCTCGGTCACGATAATATCATCGACGATGATGGGCGGTTTGGGGGATTTATTGAGCGCGGCAGTCAGCAGATCTTGGGCGCGAGTGTAAAAGCCCGCGTCCGCCATCAACGGCGACCAGTTGAAGTTGAACGCCATGCCCGCGCATTGAGAAAGGGGCAAGCAAGTAAACCAAGTCCAGTAAACAGAGCGCAAGAGAAAGGAACAAAAATGAGTATTGAAAGGGGAGAGGGGAAGGAGGAGGTTTGGGGAGTGGAGGCGAAGGCGAAAGCAAAGGAGAAAAGTGAATGTGAAAAAAGCGCAGAAAGCTTCCCGAGGGTCACGGTTTCGGTCACAGGCCCTCGCGTGCCCCGACCACACTTCTTCTATTCCGTCTTCTCGGGACTCACGAAACCCGCGTTTTCCCTTGTCCTTTGTGTGAACAAGGTTAATTTGAGCTTGATTCTGAGATCTCCTTTCAAATCCAAATGACCTATGAATATAAGACTAACGGAATACAGGTTTGTCTATGGAGACTTCATCTACCGTATCCTGGTTGCGCCCGGATCGCCATTGAGTGTACGTCACTTCGCTCGAGACTTGCTAGGGCCCACACTTTCCGACCAGCCCCGAAGGCATTCCCACTTGGGAGTCTTCCCAGGACCATTCATGTCCCACCCCCCGGCTTCTGTTGCATAAGTGCTTCCACTGGTCGCTTCAAGTCTTTGACTGGGTCCCGCATATTCGCAGATCGGGGGAAAGGGGGGCGGTCATATTCCGTCTAATAGAACATTAACTCCGTTTTGTGTACTCCGTACAATAACTCGACGCGACGCAAAACAAAAGGCCCCGACCAGCCTGCCCTACGCGGTCAAACGCGGGCCAGAAAGGGTCAAGTGCCGTGCCCATCGGGTCTATGGGGTACACAAGCTGAACTCCGGAAAATCCAGAGCCCAGCCCACGGGCGGATGGATCATCTTTCTAGGCCAGCGAATGATTGCCGGAGTGGAGCGTAAGGGGGGCCCCAAGAGGATCCCGTTATGCACGTCTTAACGCTCTCCTATTCTCGTGCAAATCGTCCCTCGTTGTGCCTGCAGCTCTATAGAGTAGTAATTGCATACTGCCCTGCCATAATCAAGACTGTATATAAATTTCAGAGCAAAGGGAACATCGAAGCCTCATATCAAACTTTTGTTTTTACCTTTCCTTGTATTATGGACCGAGCAGGGCTCGGTTCAATAGAGCATAGTTCCTATCGTGGACATACTTCGTGGGTAGGGACCAATCTTTAGTCTCTATCACTAGATCCTAGAATTAATTGGGGTTGAGGACTCGGCTAGGGCATATGCTCCAAGAACTTCGAGGAATAAGCTGTAGTGTTTGATAAGATCTGCCGAAGTTGATTGTTTCACTGTTGTTACCTAGTATTGAGAGCCGGAGCTTGGCGCGTGAAAAGCAAGGCCCGGATCATGATTTCTAGAGAAAGCAAGTGACTATCAATCTTGTTCAAACTCTACGGTCGGAACTGTTCGAAATCAGCAACCTGACACTGGCAAACTCCTCAAACCTTTCCGAATCGTGAACTGACAAAGCTCGTGGCAACTCCAAATGACGCAAATATGGCAAGCACAGTATACTCCGGACTTACCAGGGCCACCCCCGTGATTGGTCACATGCCGACCGTGGTCTTACCACGGCAACAATCCGCTAGACTACTTTTGGCTAAACGTCAATACGGCCGGAATCGTCTGAATCTATCGAAGATCGTCTTGTTTGACCCCATCTTCTCTTCAATTCCTACAACAACTACTCGGCAAGCTCAGCCCCCTAAACATACCAGCTCGCAGGGTCTTCATTCACCCCCGGGACCATGTCGACCCGAACTTCGTCGTCCCTGACAGGTCACGCGACTCCAATGGAGCCCCGAAAATCCACCACCAGGACGGTCGCGCAAAGAAAGGTCTACGGCAAAAGACGAACCAACGCACCAAGAGCTGTCTTTGATCAGAACAGCCCAGCAAAGACGAAACAAACATCCACCGATATGGGCAATACCGTCGAGGCTCTTCAGACAAAGCTGGCCAAAGTGTCAATCAAGGACGAACCAGTCCCTGAGCAGCAGGATTCCGACACCACGGCCCAGAGATATGACGTTGAGCAGGAAGTAACTATTGAGGATGTATCTTTGGCCGAGGAAACATCAAGCACAGCAATCACACCGGAGGCCATCGACACCTCCTGCGAAAAGTCATCGCCTGAAGCGCCACCGCTTACACAAAAATCTTACGAGACAATGGTGGAGGTTCGAATCAGCAATCAGCATGGGAAAAAGACGTCTTCAAATACCCAGAAACAGCAGGACGATATTCCAGCTACCGAAACGAGAACACCGAGGAAGAAAAGCACCAATCCCACCCGGCGAAGATCGTCCGGCTTCGTCCACGACACCAAAGCAAACGCCTACGTCCGCCCTATCCTTAAAGAGGCGCTATCCTCCATCGCATCCCAGGGTATCCAAAAATTCAGTGCATGGGCCTCCCGCTCCGCAACAATGTTCCAGGTTGTCAAACTTGCCGAAGGCTCCTACGGTGAAGTTTACAAACTCCACCTCCGCGACGAAGCTTCCCGACCACCAGTATCCAATTCTAAGCTGGCTAGACTCCGTGCCTACGGAGACGGAGTCTTCAAGGTAGTCCCGCTCTGTGCCCAACGTGGGCCGCGCTCGAAGAAGTTCACATCCGTTGCAGAAATTGTCTCCGAGGTCAAACTGCTGAAATACTTGGATCCGATTCCTGGGTTTGCGCGGTTCAGGGAGATTCACGTTGTGCAGGGTCGTTTTCCCGAATCTTTCCAGAGTGCATGGGACTATTATAAAGAGACCAAGGATGATTGCTGGAATCCTGATCCCTCTAGTAAGAAGGCGTATCCGGATACTCAGCTGTGGGCTATTATTGAGATGGATGATGCGGGGTGCGAATTGGAGAAGTTCTGTTGGTCCTCTATCTTCCAAATTTATGATATCTTTTGGGGCGTGGCGATGGCTCTGGCGCGGGCTGAAGAATATGCGATGTTTGAGGTGAGTCTTATCAAACTTAAAACGAGCTCGACACGATGGTCTGATAGTTGGCTAGCATCGCGATCTTCACTTGGGCAATGTGTGTATTCGCTCTACCCGACCAGATGGCAGCATGGATCCACCGAAAGAGCTCGACATTGCACGTCAATCTTCACCAAGCGGCTTTGGCTATAGTGGTCTCGAGACTACGATCATCGACTACTCGCTCTCGCGCGCTGATCTGCGTCTAGCTGATCGACCTGATGATCCCGAAGGCGCCATAGAGATCGCGTCATCTGACCTAGACAAAAGGCAAATTTTCGATGCAATCGGCCAAGATGAGGACGAGGCTCTGCTGAGAGACACATACCGCTATATGCGAGCAACACTATACACCGGTATCCCCACCGAAACAGAAAAAACCCCAGATTTACCGGGCATCTGGGCCGAGTACGCGCCGCGAACGAATCTCGTCTGGCTTCTCTTCCTGCTCAAGAATCTCTTGAGAAACCGCAAAGCCGAGCCTACACAACCTACTTCCAAACCAGAGCGAAAGGCTCTTGCGGGCTGCTCGACCAACCGAGCATTGATGAGCCCACAGTCAAATGGCAAGGCGCTCAAGGCGAAAGATATCAACTCGGAAGGTGACCTTCTCCGGAAGCGACAAGCTAAGGACATCCAGTCCCGAATCTTCCATCTCAAGCAAACGCTCGAGGATAGACTACAGTGCGTTGTTGATCTTTTGGATCTCGAGAACGGTCATGAGGATATGTGTTGCGCAGCGGATCTGGTTGCTTACGCGATAGACTCCCAGTGGTTGGCTGAGCAAGACTTTTTCTGAAACCTGTGATGGGTAGGCCATCTTGTAGCAATATTTTGCATTTTGTGGAGTCATGTCTAGGCGCTCTTTGACTTGTTATACCTGAGTATATTTGAGGGGAATTCTGGCGCATTCACTACGGAGTTGGTAACATTCTTTTACATTGCATATAGAGTTTGCCTGTGCAAATCGATATCAATCTGACATTTATCTGGCATAACCAGCTATTTCTGAAATACGAAATTCTATCGTTCAAGTTTCTCGAATATAAACGAATTAGCTGCGCTCTAACGTGCTTAGCGGCTTCTCTGAAGCCCCGACAACGCTATCCAATCGGTAAGAAACACCCCATGTAAACAGTCTCGGTCTTGGGCGCTTGGACACCCCGCTCAAGTCCATCAGCTCCCCGGTTTTCGAGATCGTTCTGAGCAAATATTCGTCGATGTGATCAAAATCACGGATGCAAAGTCAATATGAGCTTTGGCTTTAGTATTGGTGACTTTTTGACGGTCTTCGAGCATGCCAATAAGCTTCGAAAACGGTTTATTAATGCGCCGGCGCAATTCGATGCGCTATCCGAGCAGTACGCTTCTAAGTTTCTCTTTCAAATCAGTCCATAACCTTTGTGGAAGTGTTTATATTTACTGACCATACGAAAGAGTTCGAAACCTCTCCATTGTGGTTCATGACGAAGATCTTGCCTTAACGAATGCGGTCCTCGACAACCAGCTAAAGGCGGACGTGAGAAAGATAACAACTAGCTGTGGAGACGTCCTCGCAGAAATTGAAAGAACACTTCAGCGATATGACGAGTTAGAGACCGGCCATGGTGTCAAGAAGGCTTGGAAACGGTTGAGATGGGATCAGGATGAAATTCGTGAACTTCAGGATCGAGTTTGCTGCAACATCAACCTCATCAAGGGGATAAACGGCCGCCTCACTCGCGACAACGTTGTGGAACTGCTGGAACACCAGAAAGACGAGCAGCATCAGGCTTGCCTGGACTGGTTGTCGTCTACGGGTTACGCAGAAGTGCAAAGTGAGTATGTGAGTCAACGGCAACCCGGGACTGGCGAGTGGCTTCTTGAGTCTTCCAACTTTCAGGACTGGGTATCAAAGCCTGGAGCGACTTTATTCTGTCCAGGAATTCCTGGGGCCGGCAAATCGATTCTGGCTTCCGTCGTCATTGAAGAGCTGAACACTCGCTACGAGTTTGATTCGACCGTTGGGATTGCCTATTTCTTCTGCAGCTTCCAGACTAATGATGATCAGAGCCAAAAGATAGAGAGTCTACTCGCTTGTTTTCTCCGTCAGATAGCCCAGAGTCTGCCACAAATACCTGAAAGTCTCAAAGTCCTGTTCCAGAAGCACAGGGGCCGAGGGTCGCGACCGTCACTGGATGAATATTTTTCAAGCTTAAGGTCTACTCTGAAGCATTTATCGCGGACTTTCATCGTCATCGATGCACTGGATGAATGCCACTTTTCAACGATAGCGCGTCTCTTGGATATGATATTAGAGCTTCAGGCTCCGGGCAACCTCAACCTTCTGGCAACTTCGAGATTGATTCCTGAGATAACTGCCAGGTTCAAGAATAAGCCAACCTGTGAAATTCGTGCTGCAACACCGGATGTCATGGAATACCTCTGGGGTAATTTGGGCATGCTGCCTTCGTTTGTATCACGGGATCCGCAATTGCAAGAAGATATTGTTCGCAAGATCACCGATGCCGCTGATGGAATGTGAGCATATACTCAGACTCTCGAATATTTTATGTAGCGCTCACGATCCACTAGGTTCCTCCTCGCACGGTTGATGCTAGAATCCTTACAACACAAGTCCTCACCTAGAAAGATGAAACAAGAACTCAACGGCTTGACAAGTGTTGCCAGTCACTATGATATTGCCTACGACACTGCGTACGATAAGGCCATGGAGCGAATTCAGGGCCAGGTCCGTGACCAGCGAAAGCTAGCCGAAGAGGCGTTATCTTGGATAGCCTGTGCAAAAAGACCCCTCACAGCCCTGGAGTTGCAAACCGCTCTAGCTGTGGAGCTTGGGGAGTCAATGTTCTACGAGGACAATGTACCTGATCTGGAAGACATTATATCTGCATGTGCGGGTCTGGTCACGACTGTAGCACGTGCTTCGGGCGACGTGATCAGGTTGGTTCACGCCACAGCAAAGGAGTATTTCGAGAGGAAATGGACAGTTTGGTTTCCAGATGCACACTGCAGAATTTCCACGACATGCGTCACATATCTGTCTTTTGATGTCTTTGAGGAAGGCATCTGTTCTAACCAGACCGATTTCGAAGCACGGCTCCACAAATACCCTCTGTACGCATATGCTAGTATGAATTGGGGGCACCATGCTCGCAGTCAACCGATAGATGAGAGTCTGATGATTGAGTTTCTGAGCAACAGACTCAAAGTCGATGCTAGTGTCCAGGTGCTCTTTTATCTTGGGGGGTACTTCACGCATAGTGGGTACAACCGCAACGAGCCTCCGGGGTTCACGGGATTACATCTAGCTGCATACTTTGGGCTACTGAGTGTGGTTAGCTGTCTACTCACAAGAAGCCCCGATCTTGTGTCAACCAGGGACTCGATGGGCCGGGTCCCCCAAGCTTGGGCAGCTTACAACGGCCATACCAAATTGATGGAGGTTTTCATGAATTACGGGCTTGATGCAAAACTCAAAGATGGGGCTGGTCGGACACTAATGTCCCTGGCAGCTTCGATGGGCCATTCTGATGTTGTGAACTACTTTTTGGAGCAGCAAGTCGACCCAAACATTAGAGACGCCGATAACCGAACTCCTCTCTCGTGGGCAGCTTACCGAGGTCACCTTGAAATTGTCAAATCCTTGCTTGAGAAGGGAGCAGATCCTGAGGCCAGAGATGAGTATGGCAGAACGCCTCTTCTATGGGCGAGCTATGAAGGCTGGGTCGAGGTAGTCAAGCTCCTCCGGGAAAAAGACGTGGACATCGAGGCCAGTGACAGACTTGGTCGAACTGCGCTCTCCTGGGCCTCAGAAAACGGACATGTAGTCGTGGTGAAGCTGCTGCTGGAAAAAGGAGCCCGACTTGACTCGAAAAACGCAGAAGGCCGTACGCCTCTGTCCTGGGCTATACAAAGCCAGCAAGAACCAATCTGTTCGCTTCTCACACCATCGCAGCAGACTAGAGATGCAGCTTCTCAGTCTTTCAATCTCGATACAAATGCTTCAGGTCAAGTACCTCCCGATATCTCTGGCTCACTGGGCGCAAAAATCAATCAAGTCCCAGCCGCAAAGCCCACCGAGGTCGATCAACCCAATTTTGATGATGGACGATGCTTTCAGTGTCCATTGTGTAACCGCTCTTCCCTGACGTCAAACAAGCATGTTCTCCAAAGACATGTGAGGGATCTACACTTTCCTCGATTCAGATTGGTCTGTCCAGAGCCCAATTGCCCCAGATCATTCCAAAGGAAAGATAAATTCCTGATTCATATGAAGGATCAACACCAGAAAGATATCCAGGCAGAGGAAATAAATGCATGTCAAAGAGAGGAGCCACTTCCGGAGGGCTGCGTTATCTGCGAAAAGCAGGTTACTTCCTGGGAAATTTTCTATACGTGTATTGAGACACATATTCAGGCACACTTTGTCACTTAAGAAAGTCCATAGAAGGATTATTGGACATAAATTTGATACCGGGACATTGCGTGGTGAGCCTCTAGCAAACGATCTGACATTGTTACTCGGGTCGATTTTCCATGAGTTTGTATAAGCTTGTAGTGGTCGAAGCCTGTCCTTTCGATGCGTTTTGCTCCCGTTCATATTTACGAAGTTGATTGCGTTTACTCGAACCTGATATCGTATTCAATGTATTTACTTTCAAATATTCCGCCATATTGAAACCAAAGGCGCCCCTGTATAACTGCGATCTCCATATACTCACAAGCCCCACTGTGTTTGTCCCGTTTGCATCATGCTATCAGACCCGCCTCCGAGGAAGATCCAGGGCACTTCTCTTGTCAATTCTCAACTCCAATAGCACGACTTTACGATTGTATAATATAACCCGCCAGGTGCGTCTGTAACCTCTGCTCTTCTAAGACGTATTACTGACCAAATGCTAGAATTCAATCGGCCTCGTCATATTAGCAGCCTAAACAAGGCAGCTGAAGAAAGCGGTTGCCCTCACTTACGTTCGGGCTTCAGCTCCAAGGCATTCATTGACTGTGCCCAAACTTATTCGGCATATCTGGTTCAAGGGCCTCAATCCATATTGAGGACTGCCGGAACTCCCCTGCATACCAGGACCTCTCTCACCATTCAACTCATACTCTTCTGGCCAATCTCCAATCATCAACCCCTCTCCAAATATCTCATCTAAAGCCATCAGCTCTCTCCAAAATGCCAATCACAGGGTAAAACCCATCTCTATATCCAACATTACCTCCCTAAAACCCCAACTCTAACATCCATTCCAGCGTCTATTTCATCCCCACCACCCCAAACGCAACAACAACCCTCACAACTCTAACAGAGCGCCTCCGCGCCTCCTTCACAGATGAAGACCTCGCCCCTATCGGCCGGTGGTTCCTAGACCACAAACTCATGCGCGACACCCCAGGTCTCCTCCCAGCATCATCCACCCAGGGCCAACGCCCCACGAAACCACGCTACATGCAACTCCTCTCATTAAGCCACTACCCAACCCACGGCTTCATCTACACCTCCGAGCCAACCGAGAAGCCCGTCCACCCGCCCAGCACGGGTTTGCCCGCATCAGCGGCCTCGCCAATTACTAGCGCCGCGTCTCCAGGCCAAGGCTCCGATGTATCACAGGGCGCGAGTACGGCTGAAACGCCGATGGTTATGACTACCGTGCCGCCGCCGGCGTATAAGACGCTCTTCCAGCATTTCACGTACGCGTGCCAGCCATTCTGGTGCCACCGGTTGACGGTCACGGTGCCCAACGGGGTAGTCTACGACGTAGGTGATTTCCGGGTGCGAATGGGTGATGTACGGCAGACGGTCCCGACTGTGCGGGCGCGCGGGACGATCGTCGAGATTGAATGGAGGGGCCCTTCGGTGGTGGATTCGCTTTCTGGCGTGCAGGACCGGCGAACGATGCCCGGAACTGGTGAGGATGCGGACTCGGGCATTGATGTGTCGTTTTGTGCGCTTGAGGAGGCGGATGTTGATGCCGAGTATGTGGCGACTGCGTCTTTGATTCGGGAATTTTGGGGCCGGTTGGGGATTGCGGGGGCTAAGGAGGCCATTCTTGTTCCTGGTGTTGGGAAGGAAATTAAGGAGAAGTTAGGAAAAGCGAGGAAAGAGAAGAAAGATGGTGAAGGCAAGGCTAAGAATGAGCTTGGAATCTTGGCTGGATTTGGGAGTATGCCGTTTGAGGATGATGTTGATCCTACGGCCGGAACGGATGCTGCCAGGCAGTATATGGAGGTTTTGAGGTTTAATCGGTAGAGCAGAGTAGGGGCATAGATACTTTATTAGCCTGCTTTTAGATGATTAGAGGGACTTGCCGAGACCAGCAATACATTCCCTTGATTGGCTGCCGCCGCCCCTTGGCCTAGTATGCTAGACTTCAAGATTGCTTTTAGAATCAACTCCCTGGTTTTTGGCTGTATTTAGATTGATTCAAGTATTAGCTAATTTACCTATTCACCGCCATTGTCCCACTTGGCACGTTTTTCCACTAGTAGTTGTGCCGGCGTCTTGCCCGCCATATTTGGCAGGTCTATCGAGGCGCCGGCATCTTGCAATATCGAAATGATCTTGTCATGCGCCTGAATCTTCTCCGAAAGAGTCGGCCATTCAAGTGACCCATCTTCCTTTTCCTTCCTATTAAGCCTTCCAGTCATTGCTTCGTGAAGAGGCGTGTTTCCCTTGTTGTTGACTGCACTGACATCGGCGCCTCGACTGACCAGCAAACGAGACGCATTGACTTGCCGCAAGTTTCTAGCCATGTAGTGTAACGGTGTCCAACCGTTCACGTCGGCCTGGTTGATATCGACGAATGGAATGAGAAGTTCGAGCAGAAGCGAGGGTATATCTCCGTTGTATGTTGCACTAGACGCCAACTTGTGTAACACAGTCTGATTTTTGTTATCGTAGAGGCTCCTATCGGCTCCGTGCGAAAGGAGAAGATCAAACAGTGGCATAAAATACGCCTGTTGACTCAAGATAGGGCCCTCGTGGGATGCTATGAAGCGAAGTAGAGCAGTTGCACCCGACTGGTCTCGGGTATTTAATGTGCTAGGGTGTGGATTGGTGTCTAGAAGAAGCCTCACAAAAGCTAGCTTGTCAGCACCATCAATCAGGCCACTTATAGCGAAATTGAAGGCCGCTCCACTCTTGCCTCGGATATTGATGGTATCTGGATTGGCTTCAAGTAAAAGCCTCACGATATCGAGCCTCTCGGAGATCGTTTGCTGCCCTGATTGTCGTTAAGAGGACCGAAGGCCAGACAGCGCCCAGTGGAGTGGTAACCGTCCTTCACTGTCAGCTATAGTGACTGCCTCAGAAAGTTGACCATCGCCATAATGTTCAACCAGTGCTTTGATAAACCCCAAATTCCAGGACCCGCTGGCTATGTGCAGGGCAGTGACTTTGTCAACGTCGCCTCCCCAATTCTCATGCCATATTTGCTGGGCGTGAATATTGGCTCCCTCGGCGATGAGGCGAGAGGCTAGTTCATAGCTTCCATGGGAAGCGGCCATTCCAAGCACAGTCTCATGAACGACTGGATGACCGACTTGATCCTCGCTGGAGCAATAACTGTTGGCCTGAGGTACTGAAGCACCCCTATCGAGGAGCCGACAGACGAAGTTTTCAACCTCGGTATTATCAACTTCGCCCCGCCTGGAATTATCTCCGGTTCCGAGGGCTTTTACCGCGGACAGAAGAGGCGAATCGGTGGAATATTGATCATTCAAATGTGCCTGTATGGGAGGACCGCAGCTCAGTAGAAAATCCGCCATCTCGAATCGGGAATAGAAGCAGGCGATGTTCAGCAGTCGAATGTTCTTGCGTCTCAGTCGAGCTTGAATAGACTCCTTTTGACTGGTGTCAGATTGATAAATTTCCACAAGCGCGGCGAGCGCATCGACACTGCCGTTTTTTGCAGCCATCTCAAAAGGGTCCCACCGGTAAGGGTCATACTCGTGCACCTCTATTGTAGGACCGAAGAAACGCGTGCCATGGGTATCAACGTAACGACGCAAATTCGCGACATCATCAACTGCAATGAGAAATTTCACAAGACTAGACCAGCCATCATCATACAGAGAACTTCCATCTAGAGCCGAAATGATAGGTGGAATTTCCGGAAATTCTTCGAGAGGCTTCGAAAAGTGATTGTATGACAGACGATCTTGCAACCTACGATCCATTCAAGAATCTGAAAGGCACCTAAGGCAAAGGTAGTTCAGACACGAAGAAAAGGCGAAGGAAAGAAAGTGAGGCAATCTCAACCCTTCTGTCCGGACCTCATGTAAATACCGGATATTCAAATGTAGAGTAGTAAAAAGAAAAAAGAGTTGCAATCATTGGAAGTTTGAAGGTCGAAAGACCAGCCCCGGTCACGTGGCTTATATAGACCAGCAATACATTCCCTGAAGAATCACTACATGGAATTGGAGACCAGTTCGAAGCACAATAATCTAAGTTTAAAGGCAGGATGGGATATAATCAAGTCCATAGTTGTACACTATGGAAACGCAATCCAGAGCGCTGTCCCAATCAATTCACCGCATCCAAATCGTGTTATCTGCATTTCAACAAGCACGCTTGATCATGATTCATCCAAGCCATAGTTTAGAGCCGGTACCGACTATAGACTACAGAGACGGGCATCGGAAAAGGAGAAAAGTAGACATGGAAGTGAAAAAAAAACATCCTCATTGGTGGGTAAACACGGCGAGTTCAACTAAATTTGGAGAAACAGGGCGAAAGAGGGTCGTTTATTTTTGCATCATGAGCTGGATGAACTCGTTGTCTGTGAGAGGGTGATGGTTAGTATACTCAATAGACACTCGGACACAATCTAGATCCCGTGGAATAGAGAATATCGGGGGTAAAACGTACAGTCAATGCGACCATCGCCGTCCTGGTCCGCCTCGCGGATCATCTCGTCCACCTCGTCGTCAGTCAGCTTCTCGCCGATGGAGGTCATCACGTGGCGCAGCTCGGCGGCGGAGATGAAGCCGTTGTTGTCGCGGTCAAACACCTTGAACGCCTCGCGGATCTCCTCCTCTGAGTCAGTGTCCTTCATCTTACGGGCCATCATGGTGAGGAACTCTGTGGGCGCAGAAAAAGCAATTAGTCTTGGACTAGATCAGGAGTAGAAAAGAATATCATAGGACGTGAATGGCGTACCGGGGAAGTCGATGGTGCCGTTGTTGTCGGCATCGACCTCGTTGATCATATCCTGCAGCTCGGACTCGGAGGGGTTCTGGCCGAGCGAGCGCATGACAGTGCCGAGCTCCTTGGTGGTGATTTGTCCTAATGAAAGGCAATGGATTAGCGATATTGTTTCAAAATTCTCAGGAGATCCAATGGCTCAAAGCGTCCTTCCTGGGATAGAGCGCCCGAGCTATTGGAGAAGACTGTACTCACCATCGCCATCCTTGTCCTGTTCACAAGCGGGAAAACCGGCCCTGGTCAGTCTACTGTATTTTCCCCGATCGGACCAATCAATGGACGCGTTGGAGAGCACTCACAAACAGGGAGAAGGCCTCCTTGTACTCGGAGACTTGCTCTTCGGTAAGAGAATCGGCCTATATGCAGATGCAAGGATACTTGTCAGTCAACAAGTCCCAAATACCAGAATAGCTGCCCCGCTTTGCGGGGACGTTCGAGTCCGACACAGTCTTGCAGATAAGGGGGAGGGGGCGTCAAAGCGGCATCGAGGTAAGGGGGTGGTCGTACCATGGTGAAAGTGAGATGTGGTTGAAGAGAGGGGAGGAATAGGATGGGGAGATGAGAATGAGGGGAGTGGGATTGTGATGGTGGGGAGCGAAGTTAAGGGGAAAGCCGCTGGAGCCAGCCTTACACTTCTTGGCCTTACTGCCTTACCGCGTACACAGTCTTAGTTTACACCGTGACTGGCCCCCATACGAGGAGTTACCGCACATGACGAGTGTGCCTGCATGATACAGCCAATGATCTGATAGCAAATTAAAGGCGGTCAGTACACTCCAAGGAAAACAGGAGGCAACCAAAGGCCAAAAAGGATTGGCGACGAGGAGAGCGGTAAATACGGTACCAGATTGTTGCACTTCTGCTTAGCCAGCAGGGCTGAATCCGAACTCTGCACTTCTCAGCTGAAAAGGTGGGACCTTGACAGCTGCAGGCGCATCCAATTTAACACCTGGGTTCACGAATCTCTTTGCCTGCCACTTTGCTGCTCTTTCTGCATGCTAGACTCTCTATTTGTGCAGCAGGCTCTAACCTAGCTCTCGGTTACTGGCTACTGATGACGCCGGGCGGAGTGCAAAAAGCTTGGTATCGTGGTCCTTCCAGTCGTTGAAACTTCACGTAGCTAAGCTACTCGAGTCAAGATACTTGAGATTCCCCCAATGCCTTGACATGGTGTCATTTGACCCCGCGTCTGACGGCGCTAGCTCTCAGTATTCCGAGGTTCATGCATGCCCTCTCTACCCAACCAAGCTAGGAAACGCTCGAAGGGTCGTGTGTTGGGCAGAATCAAAAGTAGCCTCAACCTACTAAAGCTAGTTAGTGTCTTTGAAGCAGCACTACGTCCCGAGGTTATACTTGTCTAGACAGCGCTGTCTTTGGAATTGCCGAAACGATATTTGTACGTGGCGAGGAAACCAAGTGGGATCTAATTAGAGTAATGGAAAAGAACTAACTCAACCCACAGTCTTTTGCTTATTATCTGTGAGGTAATACAGAGTACCTCTGTTTGTACAAGTCGGCATGGAATTATGCTACTAGCTTTTTGTCCACGTCACCTGCCTTGAGACTCTCTCTGGCCCTTTAGCATTTTATTTCTACTTCCCTACTACGAGGCTCTTTCTAATTGCAAATACAGAGGTTTGGCTAAAAACCATACTTTCTGATTACAGAGAAATATTTCAAATGGCAGTTTTTCAGTCTCGGCCGCATCTTTGCTTTCAAATTTTTGGGAGATCCTTCCAGTAAAAGGGCTTCGGATTCGGGTGACATTGTTATGCCCTTCTGGTAATCCCTTGATGAGTACCTCCTTGCTTCTCCTAGTTACTAGGTATGCTTCTGGTTAGTCACACTATATCATGCCTGTCGGTTGCTGCAAAAAAAAAATAGATCGCTCAAAAGCTGCATTATCTTCGATATGATAACGTGGTATTACGAGGGTGAAGACACAGTGTGTCGGCGTCAGAACGGCCTTGCCACTGGAGCAAGATGTATCAATACCTATCACATAACCCATGATGCTAAACTATAACCAATATGTATAGTCACTCCGGTGTCTAGTGCCATATTGCTCAGTGGCCACGAGGAGTCGCGGGGAGTCCGGGGAAGCATAATTACCGGGTGAATACCGTACCTTTCGGGACCCCTGCGTAGTGGAGAGCTTCCCGGGTGATTCAACTCCGCTGACATCGGCTTCATCATTCAACCCGTCGTCCCCAACTTCTCTCAAGCGATCCTCCCTCACGCCTCTCTCGTCGGTCGATCATGAAAGTCGCATATACCACGCCTCTCCTCCGATAAATCTCCCACACATCCCCTCCCGCTCTCCCTAGCCACGATGTGGCGGGATCGCACCAACCTGTACGACTTCCCCAAGTAGCTCTCAGCGGCCCTGCGCCAGCCCTCAAAGAAGAAACTGATGCTAACTCAATTGCGTCCGTTTCCAGCTACATATCCTATCGCCAATCCTTCACCCACCACCCCGCAAAGAAGCCACGTTTCGGCACCTCCAATGGCTTCGACGCACCCTCTCAACCGGAAGAAAGCCGGCGCCTTATCTCCGAGACGGGCGGCTTCGAAGAAGATGGCGACATGGTGATCGAGATGGATCTGCTGCCGCCGCGCTGGGTAGACGTACAAGACGAAGTTTCGGAGCTGTTGGCAGATATTGCGCAAAAGTCGGCGGAGCTGGATAAGCTGCACCAGAAACACCTGCTTCCCGGATTCGGCGATGAGGATCTCAGAAGACAGGATGAAGGAGTTATTGAAGGCTTGACGCAGGATATCACGCGCAGCTTTCATAAATGCCAGAACTCAATTAAACGCATTGATTTGATGGTGCGCGAGTCGAAGCAGCAGGGCGGAGTGACTAGCGGGGAGGAAACTATGGCGAAGAATATACAGATCTCCCTCGCGTCTAGGGTGCAGGAGTCCAGTGCTCGTTTCCGAAAGAAGCAGAGTACTTATCTCAAGAGTAAGTCTTGCGCTTTTGGTCTTTCGGTTGTCGGCGAACAAGCCCACATGCCCTTGCGGGGTTGGGCCCATCGAGTTCCAAGCTAACTGGTGATGCGTCCTTAGAACTACGAGATCTGGAAGGTCTATCAACACCGTTCGACCGCTCACCAACTCCCGTGCAAAATCCATTCACGGATCCTTCCTTGATGGAATCGGAAGTGGACAAGTCCTTCTCTCAGACAATGTTGATGCAGACACAACAACGGGCCACGGGACAAAACGATGCAGTCATCGCGCAACGAGAACGTGAAATCAATGACATTGCAAAGGGCATCATTGAGCTCTCCGACATCTTCCGTGAGCTACAAACCATGATCATCGATCAAGGGACGATGCTGGATCGCATTGACTATAATGTGGAGCGGATGGGTACCGAGGTCAAGGCGGCAGAAAAGGAACTCAAAGTGGTAGGTTTTTCCCTCCTCCTTTCCTCCAACACCGGATGGTCAAATTTTGGAAAGAGTACTGACATTGAGCTCTAGGCTACGAACTACCAACGACGTAGTACGAAGCGCAAGGTCATGCTTCTGTTAGCTCTTGTGGTGATAGGTTTGATCGTTGTTCTGGTGGTGAAACCGAAGAAACACAGTGCCCCATCCCCGTCCCCGGAACCTGAAGAGGAGTCGTCGAACAATATCAGGTCTGTCCTGGTCTCGCTTGACAGAGTGAGCAGACATCCGACTTCCAGGCGATTCGCTCGAGATCGCTGGATAGATCCGGATATATTTCGATGATTCTTTTGTTCAGCGTACACGTCTACAATTACTTAATATACCAATGGGAGAATGATTCCTATGCCCAGCTACTATTCCACGTGGCTACATGATACAACTAGATCTCGCACAGTAAATACAGTGTTTGTTACATCAACATGGATTTAGTCAATACCTAACACAACTTGGATATCTTGAAATTGACTCATTCAAAAATTGAACAGCCCTCCCACGCACAACAATGAATAGCAGACAGAGCCCGGAAGACGGAGGGCAAACGCTCCATGATTACAAACGGTGCGAGTTCGACCAGATCACCAGATGAAAACAACCTCTAGATCACTGGTTTCCTTCCTGTGCAATCATAGCCGCCACATCGGCATCCAAGTCTCCACCCGCAAACTCTGCATAGTCCTCCTCGTGCGCCACCTTGCGTCTCTTGGCAGCCGATCCAGTCGCAGCGAGGTCGAAGTCGTTCTCACCACCGGGAGAGATATTGGATGGATCGAATGACATATCATTGTCCGTTTCAAGGCTGAGGCCATGTGGAAGGCTTATTGGTGCCTCCTCCGTGAATGGGCCATGGCTGGCCTGTGGCTGCTCGGGCTTCGGTGATCCAACGGGTGTGATAGCCTCGACTGGGGGAGGAGTCAGAGCTTCAATTTCAGGGCGAGGAGGCTCCGCGTTGCCGTTACCCTGCCCGGTAGCAGTAAGGGAATCGTCATCTTGATAGCCACGCATAATCAGATCCTCGACCTCACGTCGCTTTGTGTCCGTCTCGGCCTTTTTCTCTCCAAACTGTGCCACGAGAGACTCCTCCTTTTCAAGCTCGGAGCGGTTTGTTGCGAGGATTTTCTCGAGCCCGTCGATCAGAGCGCGGCGCGATTTGATGACCTCTGAAACGGAATTCTCGGCATGCGCGAGAGCCTTCAGAAGAGTTCCCAGGCGTGCAGCGAGCACCGGAGGGGTCACCTTTGGACCTTGTGGGTCGTTCAATTTGATATACTCGGTGCTGGCAGTGGTGGCAGAGGTGTTGGAAGTCATAGCCGCTTTGGTGACAGCGACTTGCAGGGGGACCAAAGGTTGGAGTTCGGACGGAGTAGCTCCCGCAGAGGAATCCTTGAAGAATGAGCCACCGAGAGGTTGTTTCTTGGTAGTTAGGCGGTTCTTGTCAATATCTATTAAGCCGATAAAGTTAGTCGTGTGATGCAAGAGGTATGTTCATGAAGACAAAGGCATGTTGATCTTACCGTTCACGCGCGCCTCCACAGCATCCAAAATCGGGACTTCGAATACATGGCGCTGTCTCCATACGTCCACGACTCGGCGGATCTTCTGTTGAATATCATTCGACGAGCCTTTGTATGCCGCCGCCGTGGCCTCCGCAACGATCTAATCCGGTATCAGTTATGCGCCTGGCGCGTTGAGTGGCATTGTAATGACCGACCGGCGAGAATGCAATGAGGAAATCTTCCTTTCCACGAGCTTTCGACTGCTGTGCAACCTCTGTGGCCAAGTCAGCTGATGTGGCGCGAAGCTTCTCAGGGCGTGTTTACCTACCATTTGCTAGGTAGACGAGATTCAGTCGCTTAGGGGGTGGCGAGTCACGAATCTTCTGGAGCCAAATTTGAGCAGTCTTTTCGGCATGACGCCTAATCAAGGAGAGCACAATACTTCATTAGCGCGTTTGCTTAAATATCAATGCCATTATTTGGGCATACCTATGAAACATGACCCATTGCGCGACGGTGACAATGCTCTCCTGGGTCTCGTTCAGAGCTGAGAGCTTTGCTTTCACAGCATCGTCTGTGTAAGCCATGATTGGAGAAGGTTGAAGCAGTTCAATGGCAATCTCTGAGGGAGAAGGAGCGAATTAAGGGCGAACGGGGAGAGTTGATGTTCGAGTGACGTCCCAGAGGAATTCGTAGTAGCGATTGAGGCCTGATGGTAAATCGAGAATCAGATATGAGGCTATCTGGGGACACTGAGTTCTGAGTTACGCAAATTAATGCGCCTGCAAAAAGATCAAGCCAAAACAATCCCCGCTCAGCAACCGTTGTTTGTTCGAAGTGAAGCTGTCCTCCCATCAGTTGAAACACCAAGCTATCCACCGCCTTCTCCACCGCCTCGCCTACCGCCTCATTCCCGCATCCGCCAAATGTAACTTCATGCACCTTCTCGCCGGCAGATTGCACATACGCTCACCGCCTACTCCCCTATCCCCAAAGCTACTCACCGCCTTACAACAATGGCAGTAGACAGGACACTCAGGGCCTCGCCGGCACCATCTGTCAACAACCTACAACCACATCAAGCTCTCCCCACCTCTTCCTCCCACCTTCCTCCTTCCTCCAACCTTCAAATCGCACTCCGGATTGATAAAAGAGAAAGCCAGTCATCACACATATCCACCATGTCTGATCGCTTCCCCTCCTTGGAGGACTTCTCTGAGGGTACGCTCCACTCACTTACACGCCTACCGCCCTCATCCGCGCAACCACCACTAACGCAACGTTTCTAGGCCAGACTGATATCGTTGAGAGCAAGGGCGATTCTGAGGATGACTTCCTGGCCCGCGAGCGTGCCGCTCTTGGAGAAGATGCCGACCAATTCGCTACCCCTCTGGACCACGTTGCGGCTGTAAGCGGCGACGACGACCTTTTGGGTGGAGGTGACGATACCCCCGCAGAGGAGCTTGGTCAATTCGAGTCCTCCTTCCCTTCAGTTGAGACCCAGGCACAGAATGAGGTACGAACTGGCTTTTGGATTCTTTGGAGAAGCAAAGTACGCTGACTTGGCGGTATCGTTGCACAGAGAGTTGCCCCTGGCGGTACAATCACCGGTTCCGGTTCTCCCTTCCCTGCCACTGGATACAGCTCTCAGCCAGCCGAGGAGGAAGAGCCTGAGCCTATTCGGTAAGTGACATACTTTGAACCATCCTCATGATACGGGCGCATGACGTCGGCCGCTCATCGGGGTAGCCCCTCTTGTTGCCAACATCTTACTGACAATTGTGCTCAATTGACATAGTCTATGGCGTGAGAAGCGGGACGCCGAGCTCGCTCGCCGCGCACAGATTTCCCAGGAGAAGAAGGAAGCCACCCTAAAGAAGGCCCAGCAGGACATCGACGACTTCTACGTAGCCTACAACAACAAGATCGACAAGACAAAGGCTCAGGCCCGCGCTGAGGCTGAACAGTTCCTGGCCAACCGCGAGAACACCTCTGCTGGTGGTACTTCTTGGGGACGCATTGCCAAGCTGGTTGATGTTTCAGGTGTGGGCTCCGCTGGCGGCGCCAGTGGCTCGGGCAAAGAGCGGTTCCGCAAGCTGCTGATCGACCTGCAGAAGGACGAGGAGGCTCCCGGTGCTACCGGTATCTAACTTAAAGCGTTCAAGACATCTGGAAACTCAGGGGCCTGAGAAAGCCGGGCTTGCAGGAAGCTCCTGATTATCACCAGCGTGCGGACTCGGGGCCATTTCACGTTCTTGTTCTTCATTTTCAAGAGCCATCCATCAGCCGCAGATCTCCTCAAAAGGCTCATCTTTGTTTTCCCCCCATTCACCTATTTTATCCACGATTTTGCTTCCCTTCATCTACCCCTTTCACCCATGATTTTCTTTCACTCCATGCCTTTCACTCCATGCAGCGAACTAGCCCAGGAGATCTGTGTAAATTAAATATTTCAGACTGACGGCAACGTTAATACCAAGAATTCCCATATCTCAATCATGTCAACGCCATTAATGGTAGACGTTATAGAATTTCTGTAATCAGCCTGGATTGAGTATGAAAAGTATGCAGAGCATTTAATAGATACAAAGACGTAGTACTTCATGCATGATGCTTCATTCGTTGCTCGTCGCAATATGTCTCATGATTTTGTTAGGGGGTATTCTCGTTTTAGTCCAATTCGGTTACATCACCACCTGGCTCGCCAACGTCCTGCTTAGCCTCTGCCTCAATTTCGGCGAGCTTCTTTTGGCCTTCTTCTGTGGTTCCATCGATGATGCCCTCCTCCAGGCTGAGCATACCACCATTGCCCAGCTGCTCAACAACAACCTCCGCTTCCTCAACGGACATCTTGCCAAGAACCTTGTTGACCTCGTCCAGCGACTCGGATGCTAATGCCTTTTGGAGCTCGGCCGAGAAAGACTCGAAAATCTTACGGGCCTCAATCTCAGTAGGATCCTCGCTGTTTGCGGCGGGAATGTTGATGGTAATCTTGGTGTTGGGGTCCACGGCATGCAATTGGATCTGCTCAACGCCAGCCGGGTCATTGGATGCAGAGTTCTCCTTGCTAAGCTCAGCCGCACGGGTCTTGATACGGTTGTAGGTGTCGTTCACATCATTGGTGAACAGGGTCGCAGCGCGATGCTCCTTGGTCGTGATGCTGCGATAGAATACGTTAGCTAGGTTCTATAAAAGCCATAATGGCGAGCGACATACCGGCCGAAGAAAAGCTTGATGCCGTCAGGGCCGAGGGAACGACAGTACTGCAGAAGCAGACCCTGGTGCACACACTGGCGAGCGTACGCATCCTCGCCCTTGAGCTGGCTGTTGAAGGCCTCGACCAGCAGGCCATCTGTCTCCTTCTCGGCAACGATTTCAGGGTGCTCGGTAATGAAGCGCTGGTATGCCAGGTAGTCATTGGGCTTGAGCTTAGCAAATCGCTTGGCCAGCGGGCTAATCTCAATGTTCGCCGGGTCATCGTCATCGTCCTCATCCTCAGCCTGTGCGGCCGAAGATGGTCCAGCACCGGGGTTCAGGAGCTCCACTTCAGCTTTCTTGGCTGGCGCAGTAGATTTAGCCTTTGGATCAGCCTTGGACACATGTGAAGTGTTGAATCCATCGTGCAAGCCTTCGCTGGTGATCTTGCTCTTCTCCTCCTTCTCCAACTGGGCCAATCTCGTCAACAGCTCCTTCTGCAAGCCCTGCACCTTGTCCTTGTGTCCTTGCACACCCGTGATATAAGCCTTGAACATGTTTTCCGGTTTGGAATCTCCAAACTCCTTCTTGACCTGGTCTATCAACGCACTCATCATCGCCGAGTACTTGGGTTGTTCCTTCTCGTGAGTGTGAACACCCTCTGGGGGTGGCGGGGCTTGGTCTTCGGTAGGGTTGCTGGCGAATTCCATGATGGTCTGGAAGATGAATTGCTCAGGGGACGCCGAGGAGTCTTCATGTTGCTTGAGAGAATCAAGGAGCTTGTCGATGCGCGAAAGTAGGCCATCATTGATAATGCGCTCATACTTTAGGGTCTTGATATCGTGACGGCGCTGTTCACGCTGCTGATGAATCTGAGCCTGCTTGGCCCGGATGAAAGACCGCTTATCGACATTTGGGTGCACCTCAATATCTGAGTCATCAGATAGCTCCAGTGCATCCCACTTGCTGTAGTCAAGCACCATGTTGCAGGTGGGGAGTAAATGTAGTGGGGTTATTGGAGGAGGCGGGGTATCAGCGAAGAAAAATATTTAAAGGAATCAGTGAGAAGGTGGTATTTCAATGACCAAAGCATCCAACAAGAGAGTTCAGAGGAGGTCTTCACCGTCGAGATAAGATTTCAACCGCAGGAAGTGGCTCTGGGAGGAGGCTCAAAACAAGCGCATCGAAAGCTCTCGAATAGCTTCCATGGGCGGTGGCCATTGGCAGAATCGGAATCCGGTCCGCTGACGGGGAACGGGGGCGTGCGATCTCGCATCTCACATCTCCACATGCTTCGGGGAGCTGACCTGACGACTGTGGAACATGCGATTTCGCTAATTCTTACTACATATGATAATGGCTTTCTCTGAAATCTCTCGGTGATATCATTTATCTCCTCCCATCCACTATCCCCTTGAATTCCGAAAGATGCGCGGTGTCCGGCTACCGGCCTGGGCTCCGGGCGTCAGCCCTAGGTCGGTCTTGAGGCCGCAGAGCGCTGTGCTTCGTGACATCTTTCCTTTAGCAAGCCGAACTTCTTCTCGACTTTTCGAATCCAATGGCGCCAATCGACTTTACACCAGTGCCTCAGGAGCGCTCCGCGACAAAGCCGGTAGTTCTGTCCGACCGGCCGAGGTTCCACTTCTGCTTCGCCGACACAACTCCAAAAATACCCCGTATACATCTCGCATTGTTTCTCAAATACGGTTTCTGAATTCATCGTCGCATCTCTATCAAGCGAAACCCCCATTGTCTCCCTCGCCAGCCTCGAATAACTCCGACGCCAATGGTCGCTCGGTTCCGGAAAAGGACGGCGAAGACGCTGAAGATAAAGGGTTCGAACTATCGGAGAGAGCCGCTCAAGCTGCGCAGGTCAATCTCCGGGCTAAGCTGGCCAAGGATGGCGCTTCGGGCAAAAAGTCTGGCTTCGCGGAAATCTGGCGACTGTTCAAGATTGCGCGACCCGAGGCGAAGGCGCTCGGATTTGCATTCTTCTTCTTGCTTATCTCTTCTTCTATCACGATGTCGATTCCCTTCTCAATTGGTAAGATCATGGACGGGGCCACAAAGAGTGAAGAAGAAGGTGGTGGTCAGCTGTTTGGCCTGAGCATTCCCATGTTCTACACTGCCCTAGGTGGTATTCTGCTCGTGGGTGCCGCTGCCAACTACGGCCGGATCATTATCCTCCGTATCGTTGGTGAGCGAATTGTTGCGAGACTGCGCTCCAAGCTTTTCCGCCAGACTTTCGTCCAAGATGCCGAATTCTTTGATGCCAACCGGGTCGGTGATTTAATTTCTCGCCTGAGCTCGGATACCATCATTGTTGGCAAGAGCATCACGCAAAACTTGTCTGATGGTCTCCGTGCTGGTGTTAGCGGTGTGGCTGGATTCACTTTGATGGCCTATACCAGTCTCAAGCTCTCCAGTATCCTAGTTCTGCTGCTGCCCCCAATTGGTCTAGGTGCGCTCTTCTACGGACGGGCTATTCGCAATCTCAGTCGCAAAATCCAGAAGAACCTGGGTACACTTACCAAGATTGCCGAGGAGCGCTTGGGTAACGTGAAGACTAGTCAGTCATTCGCGGGTGAGATTCTTGAAGTCAACCGATACAACACCCAAGTGCGCAAGATCTTTGACCTTGGTAAGAAGGAGTCCTTGATCAGTGCGACTTTCTTCAGCTCGGTACGTCATTTACCTCCTTAGGCCACAAATTCATTCTAATGAATCTACAGACCGGATTGATGGGAAACATGACCATTTTGTCTTTGCTTTATGTCGGAGGTGGTATGGTCCAAACAGGGGCCATCAGCATCGGAGAATTGACATCATTCCTTATGTACACTGCATATGCTGGTTCCAGCATGTTTGGCCTCTCAAGTTTCTATTCCGAGCTCATGAAGGGTGTCGGTGCTGCAAGCCGATTGTTCGAGCTGCAGGATCGCCAGCCGACTATCCATCCGACCAAGGGTCTCAAAGTTGAGTCTGCACGGGGACCTATCCGATTTGAGAATGTCTCCTTCAGCTACCCAACCCGACCTGCTGTGACAATTTTCAAGGACTTAAACTTTGAGATTCCACAAGGAACCAACGTGGCTATTGTCGGTCCTTCGGGGGGTGGCAAGTCCACGATTGGCTCCATCCTGCTTCGATTCTACAGCCCTACTGGAGGCAGGGTCCTCATCAACGGCCAGGATATCAAGGATATGAATGCCAAGTCTCTCCGACGGAAGATCGGTGTGGTCGCTCAGGAGCCCGTTCTTTTCTCCGGTACCATCGCCGAGAACATTTCCTACGGTCGGCCTCATGCCACGCGATCTGAGATTGTTGCTGCAGCTCGCAAGGCAAACTGTCAATTTATCAGTGACTTCGTAAGTCAGCCCATCGTCCCATCTTGTTTCTAATGCTTACGCCTCATCCAGCCCGATGGACTCGATACCCCCGTAGGAGCTCGCGGCGCGCAGCTGTCTGGCGGACAGAAGCAGCGCATTGCCATTGCCCGTGCCCTGATCAAGGAGCCTGATATTCTAATCCTCGACGAAGCCACCTCTGCCCTTGATGCTGAATCGGAGACATTGGTCAACAGTGCGTTGGCCGCTCTTCTACGCGGCAACAATACTACCATCAGCATCGCTCATCGCCTTTCTACCATTAAGCGGTCTGACACGATCATTGTGCTTGGCCCTGATGGCACTGTCGCCGAACAAGGCTCTTACGAGGAACTCAGCAATCGCCCTGACGGAGCTTTCACCAAGCTCATGGAGTGGCAGATGAGCGGCGGAGACCAAGTCCCTTCTCCGACGCCGGCAGTCCCGCCTGAAGAACTCTACACGCTTGAAAAAGCCACAGAGCAGGAGTTTGAAGAAGACGAGGAGGTGGAGGAAATCAAGCCCCTGAAAAAAGAATAGACTCGGGGCTTAATGTTGACATATTGGTATACCCCGGCACCAGACTCCGTAAAATAGGGGAAATGCTTTGGGAGTCTCATACATTTACTTCACCACTCCTCTCACGGAGACCAATCCCTTCTCGTACACCTTTTGCAAACTTTGTTGGAATTTTGGGCTATAGAGTTTAAATGGAGCAATGAAGATCTTGTATAAATAGTCAATAAGACACGTCTGAGATCTAACCTCCGATATCTCCTGATGGTCCATCCATGTCTTGCTCCTCTTTTTAGAGTCCGCATTCTCCGCACTTAGTCACGGGGGCCCGCCCGGGTTCCGATCTCCGCTGATTCATCCAAGCTGCATTGAACCTCAGCTCTCAGGAAGAGCTTGTATTCCTCATCATTCACGTCCTGCTACAAAAAGTAGGGACTGATACCAATCACTAGCTTGACAACATGAATCGAGTCCGGGCACTTTTCACGGACGGTGTGGCCTACGAGCCGCTGGACGGTTCCGGGGAGGTGGATGCTGGAGAACATGTACACGACCAGGAAAGAGCGCCGCCTCGCTTTTCGCGGCTGGAATACAGCGTCTTCTTTCTCTTGGGAGTGTCGATGCTATGGGCATGGTGAGTGTCCCCAGCAGCAGATTTCCCATACTGGGGGATAAGTCCTCAATGTACTATGTCTCTGTGAATCTAACCGTGAGTGCTCCTTTAGGAACATGTTCTTGGCTGCCTCAGCTTACTTTTACAGTCGCTTCGAGTCAAATGAGTGGACTGCGACACATTCCCAATCTTCGATCCTTACGGTCTCTACCCTCACAAACCTTGGGACTGTCTACGCTTTTGCGAGAATTCAGAAGCGCGTATCATATCCGTGGCGTATCACGCTCTCGCTGCTGGTCAACTGTTTCGTCTTCACCCTGCTAGCGTTCTCGACCATTGTTCTGAAGGATATCTCGGCGCGCGCGTACTTTGGGTTCTTGATGGTCATGGTCTTTGGCGCCAGCTTCGCCGCCGGGCTGAATCAGAACGGAGTCTTCGCGTACGTCTCCGGGTATGGCAGAGAGGAGTATACGCAAGCCATCATGGGCGGACAGGGCGTTGCAGGTGTGCTTCCCTGCATTGCCCAAATAATCTCCGTACTGGTGGTGCCGAAGGTGAGCAGCGACGGGCAAGGCCGAGACGGCATACAGGATTCGTCGTTAAAGTCGGCATTCATCTACTTCTTCACGGCAACCGGCGTGTCGGTCTTGACGCTACTCGCTTTCCTCTACCTTCTTAGGAACCGGCCAGTTCCCAAGCAAAAGGCAACGGACGAGGATGAAGATACTCCTCTTGCTGGCCGTACCGATGATAAATCGGTCAGCTTGTGGACGCTGTTCAAGAAACTGCGTTATCTGTCGCTCGCTGTCTTTGTTTGCCTCCAGGTCACGATGATGTTCTTCCCAGTGTATACCTCCAGGATCTTGTCGGTCAACGACCCAGAATCGTCGCGGATGTATGACGCAACCGTCTTCATTCCCCTGGCATTCCTGTTTTGGAACATTGGCGATCTCGGAGGAAGATTGGCCGTTGCTTACCCTGGGTTCTCTCTGGCACATCGTCCTCGGTTAGCCTTCATTCTGACCGTGTCGCGTGTCATTTTCATCCCTCTGTACCTGCTTTGCAACATCAATGGCAACGGAGCTGTCGTGAAGAGTGATTTCTTCTATCTCTTCATCGTGCAAGTGTTGTTCGGTGCCACCAACGGGTATCTGGCTTCGAGTTGCATGATGGGAGCCAGCGTTTGGGTATCAGCTGATGAACGAGAAGCTGCCGGAGGATTCATGAGCATGATGCTCATTGCAGGACTGGCTGCCGGTAGCTTCTTGAGCTTCATCGTGGCTAGCTAAGTATTCCGACCATGAGATGCTTTATTCATGCTATACATTGTGTATATATGAGTGATGACTTAATGAATCCCGGTTTTCCTAAACTCGATATAAACTTACATATACAATTGAACGTTCCACTTGGGGTTTGATTGATATATGGACTGCCCACATCCTGTAGAAACCTACTATACACCAGTAGTCGTACTTAAAGCAACGCCGAAAGGATAATAGCAGGCTTGATCCGGTAATCTTTCGCGTATAACTTTGTTCCTGAAGGCGGTATATAAGATTGCTTGTAGCCACGAGATATTCTCACTTGAGTAGGCCTCGTAACGCGAAGGAGCAGCTCATTCTCTCATCCTTTTCCTTTTCTCTTTCCTTCTTGTCTCTTCCCTCCCTCCCCCATTCTCACTCTCTTTAGAGTGGAACGTTCCTCCAACTCGAATTCCTCCAACTCGAAACTTGCTCTGGTACGACATCGTCCCCTGCCTCCACCCGCTTGTATAGTCTGACACTTTGTTCTTCTCGCCAGGATTACACTCATTTGGTGAATTGTGAATCGCTAACCAATCTACCGGGAGTAAAGAGTTTGGAAATGAACTTAAGCCCCGTAGCCATGGATCCGAATGGCCCCCAGGCTTTCAATTATGAGGCGTTGCTTCATGGTATCCTGCTACTGGTGAGCACAAACGCTCCAATCCTCCTGGAAAATGTGAATACAAGAATTGAAGCTCATCCTTGCCAAAGCCATTTCTCTATTTTGCAGGATGGTCCGTCTACAGCCTCTACTTCCACCCTCTGAGCCGCTACCCCGGTCCCAAACTTGCTGCAATCTCCCCTATGGTCCACATCCTGTGGGACATTCGAGGCAAGCAGCATTCGGTAGTAAAACGACTACATGATCAGTACGGCAGCGTTGTCCGCATTGCACCGAATGCACTCGTCTACAATTCGGCGGCCGCTTGGAAAGATATCTACGGCCACCGCAAGAAGGGCCAGAAGCTCTTCGTCAAGGATCCCGCCTTGTACTCGCCGACTCCAAATGGGACCAATGCCATCATCACTGCAAATGATGAGCAGCACAGCCGAATGCGTCGTCTGCTTACACATGCATTCTCGAATAAGGCTCTCCAGGAACAGGAACACATTCTCCATGTCTACGCTGATATGCTGATTGACAAGCTGGCAGGCATTCTGCACGAAAGCCAGCGAGCTGTCGTTGACATGAATCGCTGGTACAACTTTACCACCTTTGATTTGATTGGGGACCTTGCATTTGGTGAACCTTTCGGCTGCCTCTCTGAGAATCAGTACCATTGGTGGGTGATGGTCATTTTGGATGCCGTCAAGGCCAGTGCATACCTCAAGGTCTTTTGGTTTTATTCGATTCTACTCCCATTGTTCATTATTCTAGTCCCGAGGCATCTGTTAAAGAACCGCAAGGCAAGCTTCAAACTGACCGTTGAAAAGGTCCGTCGACGTCTGGCACGCCAGACTACCCGGCCCGATTTCATTTCATACATTATCAAACATGGTCATGGAGGGCGTGGCTTGTCTCTTCCAGAGATTGATGCTAATGCGGGTGTATTTGTACTGGCTGGAAGTGAAACGACCGCTGCTCTTCTTACCGGTTGCACGTATTATCTTCTCAGGCATCAGGAGAAATATATTCGGCTGGTTCGTGAGATCCGCGGTGCCTTTGCGCAAGTATCTGAAATCAAACTTTCGGCCCTTGTAGCGCTTCCTTATCTTAATGCGGTCTTGACTGAGACCCTACGAATCTATCCTCCTATTCCTTCTATGCTTCCGCGTCTTGTGCCCCAGGGTGGAGCGATTATTGATGGTCAATATGTTCCCGCCGGAGTAAGTTCCCAGTCTAGTCGACGATGGACTGTATCTTTTATGCGCAGAGTCGAGTTCCTCGAGGCGTTTGCTTTAATAAGAACTAATTGTCTCTAGGTCTCTGTTTCGATCTCGTTGTACTCGGCTTTTCATTCGAACGCCAACTTCAAGGACCCTGACCGCTTCATCCCCGAGCGTTGGCTTCCCGGTCCCGAGTCTTCTAGGTTTGTTTCTGATCAAAAGGATGCGTTTCAACCTTTCTCATATGGCCCACGTAACTGCCTCGGTCAACAGTAAGGCAACTCCTTATCGGTCACGTTGTTGACTTTCTTCTCATCCAACCATTGACTAACTCATACCCTTCCGGCCCGAAGCCTAGCCAATGCCGAGATGCGTCTCATTCTTGCCAAGTTCCTCTGGCACTTTGACCTGGAGCTCCAGTCCGAGTCCCAGCACTGGTCTGTCCAGAACTCCTTTGCCCTTTGGAGTCGGCCTGCGCTCTGGGTGAAGCTTTGCCACCCTGGAATCGCCCTGTGAACTGCTTCCCCGTCGCCGTTCCCTTTGTTGAACATTAATCTCTAATTTCTTTTTCACTTTATTGGGTGATCGTCTGCTCCTTTCGGGATGTGGTAACTGCGAGCTTGGAGGAATCTTGGAACAATGTCTAATACGGTGCTTGACACACTGTTGCATATTCTGTCAACATTGCATCTGCGATAGACGGTAGACTGTTTATGTCTGGCTCAACCATGAGCCCCCCAAAAGTTCATTTGCTTTTTTTGTGTTTAATGTCCCCCCCTTGGCGATTATCCTAATGTCAAAGTCGATTATTCTTCCTGGAGAGTCTGATTTAATGCCTAATCTTCTAGACTCCATCCCTCAGATCATGTCTCGATTTCCTTCGATCAGCCTCTTACACATTTGTTTCAACTTGTAACGACAGCCATTGTCCACCTACTTTTCAATTTACCAGGGCCTAGGCCAAGGGTCGGCTGGAGACCCTTCTGGACCCATATTGGCCCTAGGCAACAAGAAATCACCTGAATACTCCACCGTCATAAGACTGCGACTGCTTCCAGCGCCGTGACGAGGAGATCTTTAATAACATCAGCCGAGCATGTAGATATTGCTTCATGTGCACCCATGACTACGAATCAATACGATATGGCAAAGGGTCAAGCTTTGAGGAATCAGAAAACCGGAAAACAATTAAGACCCGCATCAAGGCGCTCCGCCACGAAATTAATTATGAAAATGGATATTCGGGAGCGATCGTCTGGTGTATCTAGCTGGATTAAGGCAAGATCAGGGGATTGGTGGAGCACTGGAACCGTGTGGCTCTGACAGGGCGGGTGGTACTGGGTACATGCCCCGCCATGTTGTTTCGCCCGTAACCAAGGGTTCCCGATACAACCCCAGACCTCCTTCGAACTTTGTACTTCATCCTCGCGGGTCTAGAACCACAGCTAAGAATACCTGCTTGGACCCTGAACGCCATCGCCCTTACTTCAACCGGTAAAAATTCAATTTTCTTGTTCGTCGGGGAGCCACATTGCGGCCCCCTTTGCATGCCAGATTTCTCCAATCATGGCCTGCTCAATCCAGCTGTCCCCCATGGACGCGTGTCAGAGCTTTTATCAGAGGTCCGTCCGATTGATGATGATCGGGGGCCTTGCACTTGCTGTTGATCAGTTGACGGGAAAGTAGCGGATTTGACGTGCTTGTCTCACATGGTTTTACCTCTTTCTCTCTCCAGTGATGATCCCTGAGCTCTTGACGACACTCCCTCCCTTGAAACCCTGCCCCTGCTGTAGGAAAACCATCATCCATGAGGTCCGATAGCTCGTCGACCTCCCCCATCCCTCCTTGACAATCGTTTGTCCATCTTTGCACACTTTCCAAGCTATCAATGGCTTAGTTTTTCCTTAATCGCAATCTTCATTCCTTCTATGAGCGTCACTCCTTCACCAAACTTTAATATCTTGTCTGCCCTGTTTGGAACGGGTCTCTTTTTCGCAGGCACACCCGCATTATGATCGCCAATCGCAAAGGTCGCTCCCTAACAACAACAATTGTTCTCCTTCTCGGTGCATATCTCTTCCTAGTCTGGTTACCACTCAGTCGACTTCATGCCTGGCAGCATAAACACCCAAGACCAACTCCTATACAAAACACTTTAATCTTGCAAGACACGATCCATTTACATACAGCGACCGAGCGATACCCCATCACCTCATACATTCGTTTACCAACATCTCCATCTTCAATTCCCAAAATTCAACATGACTTTCCACGCGAGTCCAGACCCGAGCGCAAGGCAAGAGTCAAGAAACAAAAGGCTATAAAGGAGGCTTTCATGCACTCATGGAACGGCTATAAAGATCATGCCTGGATGCGAGATGAGGTCTCACCCCAGACTGGTGGATATCAGGACTCATTCAGTGGGTGGGGTGCTACCCTTGTGGATTCACTAGACGCGCTGATCATCATGGGCCTGGATGATGAACTCGATTTGGCCCTGGAGGCTTTGAATGAGATTGATTTCACAACCACCCGCAGCGCCGAAGTGAATGTCTTTGAGATTATTATCAGATATATGGGTGGCTTCCTAGCTGCTCATGATCTGAGCAACGGCAAGCATCCAATTCTCCTTAAGAAAGCCGAGGAGCTGGGTGAGATGATCTTCAATGCATTTGACACGCATAATCGCATGCCCCAGATGCGCTGGGACTGGTCCAAGTAGGTCAATATTCAAACGGGTATCCGCTGGATATCACGGAATACCATGCATAGTAACTCACCACTCCCCTGCAGATCTGCCCAAGGCGAAGAAATTGAGCCATCAGAGCGCACAAGTTTGGCAGAACTGGGCTCTTTGACCGTGGAATTCACTCGCTTGTCTCAACTAACCGGCAATCCTAAATACTATGATGCCGTCCAGCGCATCACAAACGAGCTAGAACGGGGCCAATCAAAAAGCCGAATTCCCGGGCTGTGGCCAATATACGTGAACGCCAAGGATCTGAAATTCGACTGGTCCCAGTTTTCCCTCGGTGGCTCTGCTGATTCAATGTATGAGTATCTGCCCAAGGAGCATATTCTGCTGGGCGCCCAGACGGACCAGTACCGCAATATGTACGAGGATGCTATCGAGGCGATCAAGAAGAAGCTTCTTTTCCGTGCGATGACCAAGGACGAGGACAAACAGATTCTTTTTACTTCGAATGTGCGTGGGCTGAAGGGAGGAGCTCTTCACGGCGTGCAGTACGTCCAAGATCACCTCAAGTGCTTCTTGGGTGGGACTGTTGGCTTAGCATCGAAGATTTTCAACCGAACGGAAGATCTCTCCATTGCTCGCGGTCTCACTGACGGTTGTATCTGGGCGTATGACTCGATGCCTACGGGAATCATGCCCGAAACGCTGGAAGTCAGCCCCTGTAAGGAAATTGAGAAATGTCCGTGGGATGAGGGTAAATGGTACGAAGACGTTCTCGGTCAACCAATTCACTCGAGAGAGCATCTCGAGAGAGCGCAGCAAGAAGTTGAGCTTGAAGGGTTCCCGCCCGGTATCGTCGGCATTCCTGATCCGACATATAAGCTTCGGTATGTTCTTCATTCTGCATTCTTGACCTACTCAGATGTTCAGATATGCTAACTGCTATGCTTAGACCTGAGGCTGTCGAGTCTATCTTCATCATGTATCGCATCACCGGCGACAAATCGCTTCAAGATGCGGCGTGGCGTATGTTCCAAAGCATTGATAAGGTGACACGCACCAAATATGGTCACTCCGCTATTGAGGACGTGCGCAATCCTCTGCCGAAGATGAGCGATAAAATGGAAAGCTTTTGGCTTGCTGAGACGCTCAAGTATCTGTACCTGATCTTTTCTGAGCCTAGCCTTGTCAGCTTGGATGAGTACGTTCTGTAAGTGGTTCCTGAATCTGAGATATGTCAGTTCTGTGCTTATTCTTTCCGTAGGAGTACCGAGGCACATCCGTTTAAGCGACCATCTTGAACGGCACATAGAAAATTCTGCTTTCGTTTCTTTCATTGCTCGTGCCTTTAGCGTTTGGGTAGGCTGTGGTGCGGAATCTTTCATGGATCGGCGTTGACATCTTTCCCAAAACCTTCATTCAAATTTTTGCTCATATACATGGAATGGGTTCTTGCATGGCAAACTGTAAAATCATTGGAGTTTCGTTTTTTATTAGCTAACAGAACCTTGCCGTTGGTGGCTAATTATGCGCCCGTCACGCTAGCTCAGTTATTGTGTTTCAATATATATTTGAGGCATGGTCAGTCCCTGTACAGGTATCTGCCACTACAATTTTAGCACAGGAAGGTCCCAGTGCTGACCAAATGTCTTGTGTAAATCCAATGGAAGCCAATTCTGCGCATGCTTTACAGCTTCAAGTAAATGGGGCACAATGATAGTGAAGTCCAAGACCACTCATCAACCATCTATACGATCGGTCGATCGGCTTGAAAGTGAAAGGAGTATAATATTTCTACACCACATCACCGAACAATTGCCTCCTAAGAAGGAAATATTATGCATAACATCATTACTGGGCGGAGAGTGATCATGAAATCCAGCCAGCGTAGCGCATGTTAAAGAGGAGCCAACTGAATTTGGCGAATCCGTTGTATGAGAAGACGTCCGAGCCTCAAGCGAAAAACGACCAGCACGCCCACCATGAGATCAGTGTGAGATTGAGAGAAATGGGGTCTAAGCCACCTGTCGAATATCTCTTCACGCCAGTGGTACCGAGAGCATTACGACAAGCTCTCTTCATTCGGCAGAGATATAGAGAACTAGTACAACGAAAGATGTCAGATAACCCGAAGTACTCCCAAGGACCTTATATCATGAACGCACCATTGTTTCCTCGCACAAAGGCGTCACCGTAGCTGCGACGGTGCTTGCCGTTCACGTATTCCTCGGTCTTCTCGAGGGCAATGTTCATGTAGCCGTCAACCGATTGCAGCTCACCTGTGAATCATTAGTGAGGCTGCTCATGACTAAAGGTTCCAGTAGGACCATACCCTTGTACACAACACCGGAATTTAGCTTCACGATCACCGGGGCGCCGATGATCTCGCTGAGGAAGGCCGAGGGGTCTTTTCCCTCTGAGGATGCGCCGTTCTCCATCGTGAGTTCTGGTCTACCGTCGGGGGAGATAGGACCTTCGTTTCTGGAGGTTCAGAGCCAATCAGTAAGGATCGCTCGTATATGGACACTGGGAGAACATACCTGGTGGAGCTTAGAGAAGGAGCGGGGGATGTTCGAGGTCGCTGGACCGTGAAGCAGATAAGATTCCGAAGGCGGTAAAGCACCTACGAACGCGACAAAGCGGGCTGGAAGCACGGCCGTGATCATTATTCGCAAACACCCATTCTCTCGTTTTATCTTCAACCATCCCTCGATCGCTGTACGAACGGGCGACTCCGAGCTCCTATTTACTGCGATGCGATCCTTTTTCAATAAGCCCGCCTGGGCAACCAAGACGGATGACTCGGGCGCCGAATTCTATCGCCGATCTGGGCAAACATACTCCGACATTATCGCCGCAAACCGCGAAGCGCACAGAAAGCAGAAGCTCGCGTCTCAGTTTGCGGAAAGTTCGCCCTCCGCGACTACCGAAGAGAGCCATAAATCCAAACGGCCACGAAAGTCTGACGAACATGAGGAGAAACCGGAGACGGAGGATGAGAACCCCGTCGCTACGAGCACACCCAAGTCGGATAAAGAACGAGAGCCCGAAGAATATCGCAGGAGTTCTCCTTCGTCTCCCAGTGAGGAGCGCGACCAATCTAAGAGTCTTGAAGCCAATGAAGATGAACCTGAGCCCACGACTGTTCCAAGCCCTATCTATCTTGACTCCACGGCGAGTCCCTCTTCAGATCACTCACAAACCTCCTCCTCGCACCTGACCCCGGATGATCGCCTCAAAAAAGCTCAGCAAACAACGGATTCATATTCCAGGGATACGCCCAGCAATCTACCTTCAAGATACTTGGCCACCGGATCTCATTATCAACCCGTGCAACCGACGCCCACTCCTCCACCAGCAGAGGACCCAAGGGTGCACATTCTTATAACATCCGAGATCCCAAACACCAAGCCATTGATTGTCCAGCGCAGAATTTCCCAGCCCTTGAAGGACGCTCGCCTAGCGTGGTGTGAGCGACAGGGCTTCACTGAAAAAGAATCATCATCTATCGAACTCTATTGGAATGGCGTCAGGCTGTTTGACGTGTCAACATGCAGGAGATTTGACACAAGGAAAGAGAAGAAGAGCTTGTTGGATATAGAAGATGAACCCGATGCGGAACAGCTTGAGCTGAAAATCCACTTGGAGGCAGTCAGCACGGACCCGCTCTTGATGAATCGTCGTGGTCCCTCTCCAGATGTTGGCGCTGCATCGCCCGCCCCGCCCACTCCGGAACATGATCCGGAGAACGAGCCGATGAAGTTGCTTTTGAAAAGTCCCGGACTGAATGACTTTAAGATCAAGGCTAGACCTAAGACCTTGGTGTCGAAGGTTATAGCGGCTTTTCGAGAAAAGCAGAATATACCCGAGGATAAATCGGTGCACCTTGTCTTTGATGGTGATCGACTTGAACCTGATACTTGCCTGGGTGATCATGATATTGCAGACCTCGACATGCTGGAGGTTCTTATTAAATAATACTCCTGAAAAGGCACGGAGAAGATATGGGAGCTAGTGGCCCTCAAAAGCCCGGTTTGTCTCCCCTCGTCTGCTATCCATCGTCCTTGCGCTTTCTTACAAGCAAGGTTCGAAACTCTAATATATGCTCCGTGTTCAATCAGCAGATGACTTTCATTCCAGGTAATCTACGTGTAACACTAATCATATGATCTACCAGTAATTTTCAGACGATCAGAAGGTCGCGTTTACTCATTAACCTGATTTCCACGCTTATCTTACCTGGAGAATCTTTCCTTTAGCATGAAATGCAATCAGTATAGCGACCAAAAATTCTGGATATGAATTGAAAGAAAATAAAGAAAGACTACCCCCTGGTATTCATACAAGTAGTTCCAAATTGCCGATAAAAATGTACATACTCTGCATGGTGGCTGTATAGTTCACCTACGTTATCGATAAGGGATCACATGACGTGGGGCTCCGCGGGTTTTTTTCTCGACTCGAACACTTGAATTAATTCACATCAATACGCAAACAGACCAATTCTCTTGCCTAGACGCACTACAGCGGTTCACAAGAATCAAAACGAGAAATAGTCCGACCGGCTATTCAAATTCCGAAAAAACTACCGCTCAAGCCCATACCGCAGCAGTACACACTCCCTCCACCTATACGGTCTACACTCAGTACCACCCACCACCATCACCCACCATGAAAGTCATCACAGCCAATTTCGTCACCTGCGCCGTCAAGGAATGCAAGACCTCCGCCGCCTCCTTCCCTCTCCACTTCCACGACGCCGAGCTCGAACAACAGGAACTAGACTTCCAGCCTGAATTCATCCGCAACGTCCTCCCCCGCATTGACTGGGAAAGTCTACGGGTTACTGCCAACGAGGTACGACATGTCACCGACACTACGACCAACACCAATGCCCCTTCCAAAAAAATACCATTGAATTGTTTTCTCGAGAGTACGTGCGGCTGACAATGCGATTCTAGCTCGGATTCCCCACTCTCCCAGAGACGAAACCGGAAGGCGACGCACTGAACGAGGAACAGACGCTGAAGGATCTACACCGGCTATTGCTGGAGACACAGGTTGTCGAGGGGAAACTGGTTTGTGGGAATTGTGGACATCAGTATGTGATTAAGGAGGGGATTGCTAATTTCTTGCTTCCGAGTCATTTGGGTATGTTTTCCTCTATACTGGGTGTTGATGATCTTGAGTGTTCGAGTGTGAATGAGGCTGATACTAACTTTTATACGTAGTCTGAGAGGATATGTTTGATTTGATCGGGCCGGTTCTTTCTAGATTTTGATTTATACCTTTTCTATACGCTATTTTCAATTAAATACCCATTCAGTGCCATCGGTCATACTCACATCACTATCCGAACGAATATGCAAAATTAAAAGCCTACCCGAGCTCCCCATCGAACTGTACCATAATGAAGACGCGAGCAGGGCAGGGGCTAGCCCTAGACACGGCTACCACGATGTGTTTCACAACACCTCGTGGCTACGGATAAAAGGGCGGGCACCGAAGCAGACAAAAACATTGTAGGATTCTACATATTGTACATGAGGGCTGTAGCGCTTGAAAATCACGATTCCCAACCATACAGGCCTTTGATGCTCCCACCCTCCGAAACGCCCAACCAGGTTTTTAACGCCGTCCAGGGAAAGTGAAAGTAAAGAGAATGATAGTAGAGATGAAGATGAAGATGAATGTGAGGATGTGCGAGAGGCGGCAGGCAGATAGAAAGGTGGTAGCAATAGTGGCAGTGGCAAAGGCAGTGGCAGTGCCTTAATTGAGGAAACCTTTGCAGCCGGTTGAGCCGCAAAGACATGGGATGCGGTCGTCGCTGTCCCATTCACGTTCGAATTTGTAGTCGTACGTGAGTTCCTCGTCTGAAAAGTGAATACTGGTTAGCCAAATATTTCTGTAGGGAGAATGCCCAGAGTCACGAGAGCGTTGCATCTCGACTCGGATGTCAATACGTACCTCGTTCGATGTCCCGGAGCGCGTAAATCACAATACGCTTACTGCCATCGACCTTGATGATCTTGGCAGTACAATTGGGCGTGCAGCTGTGATTGATGAACCGCGCAATTCCACCTTTTTTGGTCGCATCGATGACCGTATTCTCGTCGATGCGGAAGAGATAGCTACTACCGATCCCGCTCTTAAGATACCGGCGTTCACGCATATCTGCCACTTGCTGGCGCACTTTCTCGCCGACATATTCAATGATCATGTCATTGGCAGTGATGTTCTCCTCGGCATACAGTCCCCAATTATGAATTGCGGAGCGAGCAAATCGCACAGGCTTCTTCCGCTTTTTAAGCTGGTTGAAACGTAGAACGTCGCCCTCGCCACTACTAGTGGGGAGAGCTTGTTTCTGGGCATTGATGTCGGCAACGAGTCGACGATTGTTGACACGGTTTGACCGAGACGAAGATTTGGAGATGACCTTAGCTGCTGCGATTCTGGCCGCCTCGGCGGCTGCAGCTTGGGGATCTGCCTTGGCCAAGGCTTCACGCTCCTCTCGGGCTTTTTGGACCTTGATACGATGTGGAAGGTACTTGGACTTCTCGGCCTCCATGATTCTCTTTCGGCCTTCTGTCCGAGCGGAACCAGTAGAGTTAGGAACGTAATAGCCGCGGATGCCAATAGCTTCGCTAGTAGGACCCTTGGCTTCCGATTGATTGAGAGCCTTGATCTCCTTCTGTCGCCATGCCCAGGCGTTGAGGTCACCAAGATTGGAAGCAGGCTGATCGGACAATACCTCCCGGAGGAACTGGAGGTCTTCATCATCCTTGATAAGTTGTTGCCATCCATCTAGATCCAGGATGATATTTTCATCATCTTCGACGGTAGCACGCGGCTCGTGGTGAGACACGCCCCATTCAATCTCAGCCCTTGGCTTTTCAATTTCTTCAGTCTCCCATGGCTTCACAACCGGAAGGTCGTCCGGCCTGGGACCCTTGCCGGAGACAATTTCAGAGTATTGATCTGCTGGCAGCTTGTCAGGTAGAGGTATTTCATCGTGATCGTCAACCGTCTCTTCTTTGCTTTCAACAAGGTCGGCCTCAACGCCGGTCGGGGTCTTTGGATGTTCATCTTCCACGGTCCCTTCAGATGGCCCGATACTAAAGAGCTCATCGTCCTGTCGTTGCCGTTTGCGAGCATCCAGATCTCCGGTCAACCGCTTCCTCTTTCGCGAGGGTGAGAGAGCTGCTTCATCCAGGTAGGCGTCCTCTGCGGTTGCAGCCCCGCCTTCATCGAAGGATTCAAGTATGTCTGATTGATACTCCTCATCCTGCTCCGACGCAGATGAGACAGAGGTTGCACGGCTGGGCGGGCGACTGCTTCTCTCCTCGGTATCTCTCGCGAGAGGAGTCCGCTGATCATCATCCGAGTCCTCGTCATCATGCAATTGCTGCAACCGGTGATACAATGGGCGGATCTCTCTCGGCCGCAGGGGCTGCCGACGCCGCTCATCCACAAAGGCCGCACCTCCACGGTCAAGACCATGGGCCTTCCGAATACGCGGAAGCGCGAGAACGTTCAGATTCGTGGATCGGAGCGGGTCTCGCTGCTGGGATAGGTCGGGTCGAGAGTCTGGAGTGCCACCAGAGCTATCCACACCGATTCGGAAAGCTGGCCGCTTGGTGCCTTCCGGGCTTGGGATTCCCAACTTTTCCCGTCTGGCCGCATGCCGACTGGGGTCGAGGTAGTCGTACAGAGTCGGTGCCGCAATGCGGGACTTGACGTCTTCGAGCAGCTTGTCTCGTAAATCTCGAATGATGACCGCCAGAACCTCCCGACAAGGGTCCAGATCCAATGCACGCTGTTTCTTCTCTTCCTCCAAATCCAGCTCTGCCTCCTTTTTGATTCTTTCCTGCTCGGCCTTTTCTTTTTGTCCCGCTCGGAGGCGTTCGGGACTCGGACTGCGCACGTAATTGGGGTTTCCGTAGGGCTGACTTTCCATGTTCATAATGTAAGTGAATAGGGGCTCCATGTGGCATAGCCGGAAGCATCTCTCGGTTTCTTGCTCGCCGGCGCGGGAATTGTGGAAAATAACGTAATAACCGGTCTTGTCGCAACGGATAGACTTGTAGTCAAAGGTCTTCAGTCGTTTCTTCAAGTGGGGGACGGTGGTGCTGAGAACTGGGACATAGCAATGAGCAATGAAAATGTATGGTTCGCGCTTGATTTGACTGAGGATCGGAGTTTCTTCGACTAGTGATTGTACAGACGGAGGCCGGAGACCCGCACGAGGTCCTTCCGGGATGACAAGCCCAGGTCGCATGGCGGATCGACCAGAGGGGCCTTTCGGTGCAGTTGGTGGAGGCTCATTCTTCTTGGCCAGAAGCTCGGCTGATTTGGACTCTGCAGCAGGGGCAGCGGCCGGTGCGGGTTGGATGGTCATAAATTGCGACTCGATCAGTTTTGAGGCCATGCGCTCTGACAAAACCCCATCTCGATCTAACTCGACCCGAATTCGACGAGTGCCAATCCGTTGCTCCTTCTTGCACTCCATGTATGCGCGCCTCGCCGCGCTTGAAGCGGAGAGAGGACCACTTCCGCGAAACGAGACGCTGTCTTTGTATTTGATCGAACAAATTCCCAGAAACCGGCCAGTAATCGGATCCGTTCGATTGTTGATCTCGGCGATTTCACCAAAGCTGGAGAAAAGTGCACTAATGGGAGCAATGGGAGTGAGCGGGTCAAAGCCAGTCACGACGACCTGTACTGGAGGACCGGGTCCAATGCTTGTCGCGGGGTCGTACGGCCATTGCTTCAAGGTATATGGCGTCGGCCGATACTTGGTCTTTTGCTTGCAACCGGAGCCACGCGTGTAGTTGGAGATTGCCAGGCGCGGGTCAGGAGTGTCCTGGCCATTTGCAACGATGTCGACGTATTCGACCTTGCGACGCTTCTCCTTGGACGGCCGCTTGTCTAATTCGGGGTCATAAACGATTTTGCTGCCTTTGACCACGATCTCCTGGCGTGGTTGCGATTGGGGAGTTGGCGGGGTGTGAACAGGGGTCATGGACGACTTGATAGGTTCGGCCTTTGAGTGGAGGGCCGTGGCTGGAGAGTGTTTGGCCGCGACCTTGGGAGAGCTGGTAGCTTTGCGAGGTGGAGAGGATTCTGTGATGGTGAGGGGTGTGAGGGTGTCGACGTGAGAGGGGGGATGAGAGGCGACGATTTTTGGTAGCAGGGACCCATTGAGCTCTGTATCATTCTGTGCCGTTGCTGGATCCCCTACGGCCGTTCCGGTTGAGGATTGAGTGATATCTCCTTCCGCAGCAGGGTCCTTTGATACCCCACCCGTCGCGGATGCGTTGAGCGCGGTGGACGTTCGGGGATCGGTTGATTGTGTCTCGCCATCGCAACTTTGGCGTCGCCGATCCTTGACCTTCACGCGCTTCTGCGACAAAACCGAAGGCGCGGTGGGAAAAAAGTCCGCAAACCCGGCCGAGGCGCGTGACATGGTGTCAGATGTGGCTACACGCCCAAGACGGCCTTGCGACGACCAAGCAGCATCCTTGACCCCGGGGGTTTTTGGTTTTTTCAACAAGCTCAGAGGTTTCCCAGCCCAGATTGATGACGGCGAGGTCGAGGAAAGGGAGGAAGGGGGGAGAGGAGGGACACGGCTGGGAGGAGGAGATGGACTTTTGCCCATAATTCAACGCGAACGTGAGTTTTGCAGGGGACCGATTGAACGAAAAGGGTAGGCGGTGAGAGCCAAGAAGGGAGGGCGGTCAAGGAGGGTGGAGACGCGGCTTTTTGATCAACTTACCAGTCATGTGACACCAAGTATGGCAGCCTAATTCCTCAGGCTCGAAGGGACAGCTAACCACTTTTGTTAGCAGCATCATCAAGTCTGTTGGCACTCATTCTATTTTCTTGTGGGGTAACAAGCAATATACTCCAGGTTTTACCATGAATTAGTCAATAGCTATTATCACTCTTGAGACTTCTATCTTTGCGTTGACCGGACCAATCCAGTGGACGTCCAAATCATCTCGTCCGTCATGCTTTCAAAGACCAAATCAAGAGATCCTGCCTGGGCTATCCACGTTCGGAACCTAAAATCTATCGAAAAAGAGATTGAGGCGTGCATGGCTAAATCTTTTCCAACCTTTCCTCCTATCTCTGGTCTTGAAAGCTCGGGCTGCTCCTGCACGTATAGGTTCTCTACAAGCACTATTCGTATTCCATGAACCAAAGGAAGTTAAGCATAATCCAGATGCGAATTGAGTGCATCCGCAGCAGGTACCAGGTGACGGCTGCATGATTCTGTACGAAGGGCTTGTGGTACCGACCCTACGAAGTACGCTTGCCAAAGGGGTCAACCCACTGCCACTCCAGGAGTTCGATAGAGAGGTATTTCCAATGCAGCGAATTGATTGACCCAGGACAGGGGGGGGCAAAGAACCCATCAAGATCTTCCGTAGAGGTCCAAGTAAGGCTGAAGCATGCGTATGTAATGCCGAACGGAAGCTACAAAAGTACATAGGGGAACCCCAACGGCATGAGTGCTGTGGCTGAGCAGGAGCCGAGAAGAGCCAATGTGGTCAAAAATAGCATCCGAGAGTCGATAGTTTGGCACTCAAATTGTGAGACCCCGGTGGGAACGGGAACGGGTCGGCGCCGGAGAATGCCCACGGTAAAAATAAACATCTCTGGCCCTAAAATCTGCTAGTCGGCCAAGCACGCCTCTAGCTTCCAAGCGAGTTGGCTTCCTACGACTTTTCGGGGAAGAAGAGACGAGGCATGTGTGTTCAGTTGCCCCCCCAAGACTGGAAGAAAAGGTTGACAGCACGGAGGGAGGAGTAACTGATGCGGGACGACCGAGACTCCACCACAGTAGCTTCCTGCAGGGATCTCTCTGGACCTCTGGTTCGTCGCCACCAGCTTCCCTCGCGCGGAGCCACCACTTTGTAGGGACTAAACGCTATATGCTCGAGGTAAGAAATGGCGATAGCTGGTAGAGAGGGGACTGGTTCGTCTGCTCGTTTGACCATAGTCCGGGAAAGGGGCAGTATTATGTCATGATGGGTTTCAAAGAGGAGCGGAGCTATGAGGAAATCTGGGTTCATTAGTACACTCCTAGTCCACACGTTAATCCATCAGTCGGTCAGGTAATGCGAGCTGAAGAGGCGAGATATTTTCTTTCCATATGATGGCAATAATTGTCGGATTGAGTTCTAATGCGAAAGACATTGTACGGGGGACGGTATACTCCGTCTGACGAGGATAGCATTGTCCTCATCGCCATGGGCTATGATGAATACTTTACCTGTCAGAATGAGCCGATTGTTATGATTATCCTTCTCATTCTTCTTATTATGATGTGGAAAGATTATTTTTAATCCTGGCAACCCAGAGAAAAGTGGGTATCCGAGGCCATCGGCGCTGCTATTGGCTCGGGCCCTGCACCAAAGGCCCCTCTTCTTCGAATCTGTAGCCATGGAAAGGACGAAGAGGTGAGACATGATCGGTGACGGGGCTGACGCATTGGCCCGGCAGCTGGGAGAGTGAAAAACTTGGGAGAGACTTTGCATAGAACCTAGGTTCTGACTGACAGGGGAAAATAATAGAAAAACAAAAAAAAAAAAACAAAGACCACATGGAGAACATTGAAAAATTTGGGACCACAACAAGAGCTAAGAATAAACATTAGACTGGTTCGAAACAAAAAGCTATGACAATTCAATGGGCCCAAAAAAGGAATAATCAGTCAATGTTTGGTTAGGACGATCTATTCTTATGAAGGAATAACAGGGCGGTGGGCAATTTAGATCATTTCCGATCCACAACCCCTCCCCTTCCTCCAGCTTGCCTTCCCCTCTATAAATACGATTCAGCCTCTCGCCGTTTCTTGCATCTTCCCTTCCCTCCTCTCTCCTCTCCTCCAAATATCCCTCCCCCCCCCCCCCTCCTCTTCCAAAACACAAAACCACTCTCTTCCACTTCTACTATTCTACCACTCTTCTTCCAACTACTTCAATCGCTTGCATCCGCCTATTCGTTTTAATACTTGCCCATCATGTGGTACGTGGCGCCTTCCCCCCTCCTCTCCCCTCCTTCCCACCTTGGTAATCGAATGGACGCTTACATCTTTGCTCTGTTTTTAGTGGAATCTTTGGCTACATCAACTACCTGGTCGAGCGGGACCGCCAGTTCATCATTGACACTCTGCTCAATGGTATGTTTCAAGGCCGGTTTTCTCTTTGCGTGAAAGTGGGGAACCGCTGCTAATCTGAAACAACACCACATTAGGCCTTTCCAGACTGGAGTACCGCGGTTACGATTCGGCCGGTATGGCTGTTGATGGCGACAAGAAGAACGAGGTGCAGGCCTTCAAGGAAGTCGGCAAGGTCGCTAAGCTCCGTGAGCTCATTGCCGAGACCAAGCCCGACATGACCAAGACCTTCGAGTCTCACGCTGGTATTTCTCACACCCGTTGGGCCACCCACGGCACCCCCTCCCGTCAGAACTGCCACCCCCACCGGTAAGTCCATTTCCTCACAATGAACACACCCTCCACTTCAATCGCTCGATGGCAACTGCACAAGACCAGATTAACGAAGGGGCAAACATGAAGAGTGCCAAGCTAATGCATCCGTCTTGTTCACAGATCCGACCCCTCTTGGGAGTTCGCCGTGGTCCACAATGGTATCATCACCAACTACAAGGAATTGAAGGCTCTGCTGGAGACCAAGGGCTTCCGCTTCGAGACTGAGACCGATACCGAGTGCATTGCCAAGCTGGCCAAGTACCTCTACGACCAGCACCCCGACATTGAGTTCACTGTCCTCGCCAAGGCCGTTATCAAGGAGCTGGAGGGTGCCTTCGGTCTGCTGCTCAAGTCTGTCCACTACCCCCACGAGGTTATTGCCGCCCGTAAGGGTTCTCCTCTGGTCATCGGTGTGCGGACCTCCAAGAAGATGAAGGTTGACTTTGTCGATGTCGAATTCTCGGAAGACGGTGCTCTTCCCGCGGAGCAGGCCTCCCAGAATGTCGCCCTCAAGAAGTCTGCCACCAGCCTGTTGGCCCCCCCCGACAAGTCGCTGCTGCACCGTTCCCAGTCGCGCGCCTTCTTGTCCGACGACGGCATCCCCCAGCCCGCCGAGTTCTTCCTCTCCTCCGACCCCTCGGCCATCGTCGAGCACACCAAGAAGGTTCTCTATCTCGAGGACGACGACATTGCTCACATTCACGAGGGTCAGCTGAACATCCACCGTCTGACCAAGGATGACGGTACCTCCAACGTCCGTGCTATCCAGACCATCGAGCTGGAGCTCCAGGAGATCATGAAGGGCAAGTTCGATCACTTCATGCAGAAGGAGATCTTCGAGCAGCCCGAGTCGGTCGTCAACACCATGCGTGGTCGTCTCGACGCCGTGAACAAGAAGGTCACCCTGGGTGGTCTTCGTCAATATATCTCTACCATTCGCCGGTGCCGCCGTCTCATCTTCATTGCCTGCGGTACCAGTTACCACTCCTGCATGGCCGTGCGCGGTGTCTTCGAGGAGCTGACCGAGATCCCCATTGCCGTGGAGCTGGCCTCCGATTTCCTGGATCGTCAGGCTCCCGTCTTCCGTGACGACACCTGCGTGTTCGTTTCCCAGTCTGGTGAGACCGCCGACTCTCTCATGGCTCTCCGCTACTGTCTGGAGCGTGGTGCTCTGACCGTTGGTATCGTCAACGTTGTCGGTTCCTCCATCTCTCTGCTCACCCACTGCGGTGTTCACATTAACGCCGGCCCCGAGATTGGTGTTGCCTCCACCAAGGCCTACACCTCCCAGTTCGTTGCCATGGTCATGTTCGCTCTGTCTCTGAGTGAGGATCGTGCCTCGAAGCAGAAGCGTCGTGAGGAGATTGTCGAGGGTCTCGGCAAGGTCTCCGATCAGTTCCGCCAGATCCTGAAGCTCAACGAGCCCATCAAGGAGATGTGCGCCAAGTTCTTCAAGGATCAGAAGAGTCTGCTCCTGCTGGGTCGTGGTGCTCAGTTCCCCACTGCTCTTGAGGGTGAGACATTTCCCCCCCCCCCCCTTGCCATGACAATTGTCCGATGAGTCGCTAATTGATGTTTTCTATAGGTGCCCTGAAGATCAAGGAGATTTCGTACCTCCACTGTGAGGCCGTCATGTCCGGTGAGCTGAAGCACGGTGTTCTGGCTCTCGTCGACGAGAACCTGCCTATCATCATGATCCTCACCCGTGACAACCTGTTCACCAAGTCCCTGAACGCCTACCAGCAGGGTGAGTTGCCTACCCCTAACAATATTAATTCTCTCGTTCATCCGCTAACACATTTTCCAGTTATTGCCCGTGGCGGTCGCCCCATTGTCATCTGCAACGAGGATGATCCCGAGTTCTCCTCTGCCCTGACCGAGAAGATCGTCGTTCCCAAGACCGTGGACTGCCTCCAGGGTCTGTTGAACGTCATTCCTCTGCAGCTGATCTCCTACTGGTTGGCTGTTGGCGAGGGCTTGAACGTCGACTTCCCTCGTAACCTGGCCAAGTCCGTCACGGTCGAGTAAAAAAAGGGAAGAGGCGCTTCAAAGAAAGTATTAAAGTAGACGACTGCAATGATCTCCTGTTCCTTTACCTTTAGGTTTTAATGCCTGTGTTTCGTTCAGCTTATTCCCAAGAATGGAATCCTTTATTTTTGTCACATTGTTCCATCGTAGTGAAGCATTCGGATAACAGCTATCGCGTCAAAAGACAATTGACATTCTGGGTCGATATGAACTATTCCATAGTTATCATAGCAAAGCAATGGACCGATCAATCATGTTCGTGCAGCTCCCCGCGCAAAAGCAGAGCTTCGATATGATTTTGCCGTATTCGGCGATGACAATCCATCCCGCCCGCCCCGCCTCGGGACAGCCACTCTCGAATGCGGGACCACCTCCCCTCGATGCTTCCGTCCTCCTCACCCATCAATCCCACTTTCCTTTAAGCATAATCCTTTCCAACACTTACCAATTCCTCCCCCCATCTCTCCCAAATCGCCACCCCGCAAAAATGACCACTATCAAAGGCCCCGGAGCTGCGGAGACATTCGACGGTACGAATCCACCCCGCGCCATGAACCCCGGTACCTCTCGGAGATGGCCAATCCCTACACATGGACCAAAAAAGCATCTTGATACTAATTGAAGGTGTTGAGTATGGTTAGGCTCGGGTCTGCGCATTGCCATTGTCCACGCTCGCTGGAACACGGCTATCATCGAGAACCTTGTCGCCGGTGCGAAAAAGAGCTTGTTCGCCGCTGGTGTGAAGGAGGAGAATATTACTATCCAGACCGTTCCTGGTAGCTACGAGTTGCCTATCGGTGTGCAGCGGTACGTTTGAAAAAAAAACCCCCCCGCCCTTCCATCGATATCTGGATTCAGTGGTCGTGTCGTATACACCAAGTTCCTACTGCCCAGCTCTGGCTCCTTTCCCCCACAATATCCGCTCTCAAACTAAACGCATACCAGCCTCTATGCCGCCTCCCAAGTCCAAGCCAGCAACACCGGTGAAGGCATCAGCGCAACGGATCTCCTCTCCTCCTCAACCACGGACCTCAGCAAGTCTACAACCGCGACCTCCCCCAAGAGGCCCTTCGACGCGATCATCGCCATCGGCGTGCTGATCAAGGGCGCGACCATGCACTTCGAGTACATTGCCGACGCAGTCAGCCACGGACTGATGCGTGTGCAGCTTGACACGGGCGTTCCCGTCATTTTCGGTCTCTTGACTGTCCTGACAGAGGAGCAGGGTCTTGAGAGAGCCGGTCTTGGAACCAGTGGGATGCATAACCATGGAGAGGATTGGGGTAGTGCGGCTGTTGAGTTGGGTGTTAAGAGGCAGGATTGGTTGGAGGGGAAGATTCTGTAAAAAAAAATCGGGAGAAAACCTAACATTTGGTGAATTAAACTCTTCTGTTCGCTCCCCTTATGAAAATGCCATTGCCAGCGTGAAGTGTCTCTATCCGAGTGCTTATGCCCAAATCTGAAGCGAGCTCGAAAAGAGCTATTGCCTGGGCAGTCAGAAGCTTGACCGAAGCTTGACTGAAGCTTAGTTGCCCTATGAGAGTGTTCGACAAGTAACTAGTGTAGATCGGTGAGGAAGTAAGCGGACAGAGGTGCTGTATCAAGAATATACTTATGTTTGTGTCTCCTGATGCTCAAATTAGACTTCTTGTACACAGTACCATATAGTACTACCCGTTCCCCAATACACTAGGTCGTGGATATTTATTAAACTGTATGAATAGAAAGAGAATGAATATCAACCAATGGATAAGCCTTCAAGAACGCTACGCAGAATCACTCTCTGTCGTAGCTTTCAATAGCCTAAAATACATCACCGCCACCATAGTCGTAGCCTCGTGCCTAACACTTTCCCAAACAGGTCAGGGCAAACAATCTCCAAACCGGATAGAGGACGAGGTAAATATTGGAGCTACTTTGAAGAGAAGATACTTACTGGGTGGAGAGGGACTACATGCAATCAGAGAGAGCGTCAGGTGAGGCTCTTATGTGGGCCTGTGTTGACTGGCACCTCACGCTAGCCCCATATTGGGCGGTAGATAGCTGATATACTGGCAGTGGCAGCCGTAAACTGCTTCTTACCGGTTCGATTAATGAAGAGTCTGTCTTCATAAGTAACGAGTGCCTGTGTTACAAGGCCGACTTGAGGGAAGAGCGGGGGATAGCTCTAGGAGTTGAGTTGTCTTTGGGGCTAAGAGCCAGGAAGCAATAATCAACTCGTCCCGTAAACATGGCCCGTTCCTGTCAGGTTTCCAATCATATAGCCACTTGAAAGTTGCTAATCTAGCTCTATAAAGGTGGCGTCCGAAATTCATTTCGGAGGAGTGTAGACGTGATGATAAGAGGAAGCACAAACATCTCGGGAGAGTTATGAGCCCTAGCAGGCTCAAATTTTGACCGTAATACACGAACGCAGAACCAGAGGTGGTCGATGCCGATCTAAGAGGCGACTACCTGGTACCGTGATGAATCAAGCGTCCCTCATTTCTACTTACATAGTGTCCCGGAAAGACATGCTTCAACAAAAATAGTCTTTACTTCAGGCAATATGATATTGACCGGAGGAAATCGGAGTAGGATTGAAGATGGAAATTCGTTCGTTGCGGGGGTTCTATTACTCGGGGGTTTCTAGGCTCGTTCACTCTTCCATCTGCTCCCCAGCATTCTTATCCTCCTCCTCTTCATCTTCGTCGAGCGCCCGTCGAGCGGCCTTCTCGGCCTCTTCCAGGATATCCTTGGGTACCTCCTCATGTCGGCCCTTGGTAGGACCGTCCAGAGAGCTGATCCACGACATCTCCAACTCAAACTCCTTGTCCTTGCTATCCTCGTGCGCGACGTAGATAATGCGAGCGGCCTCCTTCACACCCTCCAGCAGAGACAATTTCTCCGAACTGAGGTCCAGCTTCTCCAATTCGGCCTTGGCGGCCTGCCGTCCCTTACCGGTGGCAGCACCGTAATATCCCTGTATGAGTACCCGTTAGCATACCCCCGATACAGTAATTGCTACGCAAAGGTTGGAGCCTTTGCTGTACTTACCCAGTACAATCCACTGGGCTCGATCATGTATAGAGCAGGTCCGCCAGCTTTAGCACCCTCAATCTTTCCACCGGCACCGGACTTGGGGCCGGAGCCAACCTGGCCATCAACAGCCAGCTCGGCCTCGCTATCCCATCCACCAACAATGGAGGTCACGCCGAATGGCCGTACGCTAGAATAAAGGGTGTATGCTTGTACGTAGCCGCCGAGACGGTTGGCGAGTGCAGAGGTAGGGATGGGACCCTTGTATGTGGCTCTCCACGAGGAAGCTTCGTCGCGAGCTCGGGAAACGAAATGACGACCATCAGGAACGAGACCAGCCGATACCTAGAAACCCAGCGGGTGGGGATAGGGTTAGCCTTTGGTAACGATCGGATCTATCACGACATGGGATCAAGGGAGTAAGCAGCACGGTGGTTGCGCTTATGGTAAGGCTGGAGGAAGGGCGGAGGTGGGTTCATCTCTCACAATGCCGACGTGGCGATCAACGGTCGCAATTCTCTTATTCGCCCCGGGCTTGAGGAGCTTGCTGGTGATGATTTTCTCCACGGCCAAGACGACACCGTCCTTGCATCGAATACCGATAGCTGTGCCGCCGTTCTCAACTGCCTTTACGGCATACTCGACCTAAAGGCGGGAAGGAGGGTCAGCTGCATCGAAGCTTGTATAGAGCCCATGGTAGAGCTCCGATAGTCGAGGGGGTTTGATCGTACCTGGAAATTCCGGCCATCTGGCGAAAAGACCGAGTTGGAAAGATCGTAGCCCGTGCCGATTGACGTCTGGCCGCGGTGTGATTAGCTAGCTGTACCTCATCGGGAGGGCAGGGAAGACAATGCGTCGGGGGAGGTACCATGATGAAGTTATTGTGTGATATCAAGGGAAGTCTTCCTGAATCCGAGACGTCAAACGGGTGGGAAGAATGAAGCTGTTGAGAGAAGCAGACGCGATGGAGAGAGCTTCCAGTTCGAGCTGAAGCTGCGTCACGGGGGCTGCCTGGGTCAGGTGACTAGCGTCAACATGGGCGGAGTTGGCTGACAGTTAAGTGACAAAGTGGACAAAGTTAGTAAACTTATTGGGAGCCCCAAGTATGACTGAAACAAAGTATAATTGACAAAGTACGGAGTACTTTACGAGGTACTCGATTTAGGACTTTATCAGTTCCCCAACTGACTATATCTGGTCTTACATCATACTTCTACTTTAGGTCAATCTTGATGCTAAATTCCTACCCTTTTTTTACTTTCTTGTTTTCTTCTAATACATTCTATTTCATACATACTATTCGTGTTCAGTCTACTTGGTACCGATCTCTCCCAGAACTAACTAAATTATAGGTTCCCTGACTAATGGAGTTCGCGGTGCGGCCCAACTCCTGAATTTCCTGCTTGGGCATCGCGGGGTCAGGCGGGGGATATTCTTCCTTCGTCACGATTTCTTTTCTTTACTATTCACTATATACCATATTCTTTTCTCCTTGCTAAGCTATCTTCCACTTGCTCAGCAGGACTCCATCAAATTTCCAACGTACAGCATTTCACTACGATCCCATCCTAGAGGCCCCTTTTCCAGCATACTGATATCCAAGAACCGTCTTGATATTGACCATCTTTCCCAATACTCTACCCTCTACACTTTCCAGCTTTCATATTTACTGTTCTTTCACTTCTCTACATTCATCTCATTTACCACCATGTCATCCTCCATCCTACACCAGTGCCCCTTCTGCAGCCACATCTCCGACATCTCTCTCTCCCTCGCCTCGTTCATCGAGAACCCCCACTGCGCACAGGTATAGTCCACGCCTAATCCTCCTCAAAACAATAGGACAGTAATATAACCAGGACTCCGTATAGTGTGGTCTCTCCGTCTCCGAAAGCAACACCAAGCTCCAAGATGAACTATCAGCCCTATTCGACCGACAAATGACCATGAACCAACATACCCCTCCACAGCCCCAAACCCAGCCCATCAATTCTACTCCTACACCTACCACCTCGCAACAACCCATTTCCTACAGCATCACCCAGCACTACCACCACTCCGCCCACGTAGCCCCTCCAACTCAACCTACACCCACAGACCAAGCCCAAACCCAAGCCCTAAACACCCTCCTCCTCCAACACGGAATAAACCCGTCCACCCTCTCCGACTCCCAACTCGACCTCATCAAACACGCCGACTCCCAGCAACAGCAACGTCTCCTCCAGACATGGCAAGTCTACGCTTCCTACGGCATGACGCCTCAGTCCCAATCCAACGATACCGAAATGGACGACTCCATGGACGAGGACAAAGGTCCCGATGCGGAGCCGTATATGGTATCTGGCTATGAGTCTGCGTCTACGGCGTTACCAAGGGAACCGTCTACTGGCGAGCCGTACGCTGCGTCTACGGATCCAGTGTACAGGAGTCAGCAGTGGTGGGAGGTTGCCCCTGGTTCGGTGGAGTCGCAGTACGGATTGTTCGAGGAGAGACAGAGGTATTCCAGGATGCACGGTTGTGCGGGTGTGCAGACGCCGCAGTGGTTGTGTCCGAATTAGCGGGTGTTTGTGGTTACGATGGCAGGCGTTTTCAATTTATGATGTCTTGATGTATTTTCTCGGTTCTTTTTCATACTCAGTTTTATGGGGTATATAGTATCTGAGTCCCTAACTGGGTATCTCCACTCATGACGCATTCTTAATGGAATTTTTAGAAATTTACCTGAAGTTTTATCCTAAATTATGCGTTAGCACATTTGTGCCATGCCAAATATAATGCTTCGTTGGTAAATTTCACTGCGCTTTTGTCATATCAAGCTGTCCGGACCTGGGTGAGGTATGGTCTTTTCTGGATATTCCCCAGTGTCTTCCTTATTTCCAACGGAGTGTTTGTCCTCGGTGTTGTGTAGACCTAACACACTGGTGATGTAGGAACAGCAACTGCGAGCTATCGTTGTAGCCAAAGCCTAACAAACCTTCTCGCTATGGAACTAATGAGACGACCACAATAGCAGGCCCTTTTATATCATAACACCAATCACATCGACAAGAGAAAAGGTGCAAAAACTCTGAAAACAAGAAAATGTCTATTGCTATAACTTGCCAGGGACATCGCGAGCTAAATAGAAAGAAAGATAATACATAATTGGGAATCATTCCAACCGAGTCAGATGCTGCAGGATCCACCGCAGGTGAGCCGATCGGGGTAGTCCCCAGTCGTAGCAGTAGGGAGGGACATGGAAGGTGACGGGTTTCAGATTTACAGAGACGACTCCATCTTGTCCAGAACGGCCCGGGTGAACTCGTGGGTGGTAGCCTGACCACCCATGTCACGAGTGCGGGTCTTGCTATAGTCATGGTCAGTAAACGGACACACACTTCATAGATGGATGCCCTATCTGAACTGGGAACAAACTTACCCCTCACCGATCACATCGTAAACAGCCTTGGAGATGCGGTTGGCGTGGTCATCCAGACCAAGGTGACGGAGCAGCATAGAACCGGACAGGATCAGAGCGCTGGGGTTGGCCTGGTCCTTGCCCTTGATGTCGAGACCGACGTGACGGCAGCCGGGCTCGAAGACGGCGACGTCACGGCCCATGTTGCAGCCGGGGACGACACCCGGGCCACCGACAAGAGCGGCAGCGATGTTGGAGAGGATACCACCGTACAGGTTAGGCATGACCATAACGTCGAATTGCTGGGGGCGGGAGACAGCCTGCATGGAGGCGTTGTCGACGATCATGTCATTGACCTCCAGGGTAGGGTAGTCCTCGGCGACCTTGTGGAAGGTGCTGCGGAAGAGACCGTCGGCCAGCTTCATGATGTTGGCCTTGTGAATGCAGGTGATCTTCTTGCGGTTGTTGGCGAGAGCGAAGCTGAAGGCGAACTTGGCGATGCGCTCGGACTTGGCGCGGGTGATGATCTTGAGGGACTCGACGACACCCTGGACGGACTGGTGCTCGAGACCAGAGTACTCACCCTCGGTGTTCTCACGGATGATGCACAGGTCGACATTCTTGTGGCGGGTCTCGTAGCCGGGGATGTTCTTGATCAGGGAGATGGAGGCGTAGATATCCAGCTCCTGACGGAGAGCGACGTTGAAGGACTGGTGGCCCGATCGCTCGACGGGGGTGTGCAGGATTCCCTTCAGACCGAGCTTGTTGCGCTTGAGGGAAGCCAGCGACTCCCGGAAGAGCTCCTCCGAGTGCTTGTTGCCAGTGTCCACACCGCTAACGTCGACCTGCTCCCACTCAATGGGGACGTTGTCGGCCTTGAAGATGGTCTTGACCGACTCCGCGACCTCAGCACCGATACCGTCACCTAGCGTCCGAATCAGTATTCCCAGTTCTTTGTAGCGCGCGCACCAACGGGAAAGATACGCGACCATCCGAAGAGATCTGCGACGAGAGCATACCGGGGATCAGGGTGACCGTGTACTTGCCACCATACTTGGTAGGCTTGAAGATGTCCGACTGCACGGTAGCGAAAGCTATTCGCGAAAAGAAAAAAAAAAAACCAGGATCAGCTATGCATTGCACCAATTTGAAACCGACGAGCACGTTCTCGAAGGGCTGATGGACGTACTTCGTGCGGGAATGGAGCAACCGAAAGAGGGAGCCACGGAGGCGCTGCGAAGCAGAGTCTGAACTCGGTTAGCCAAGGAAATGCGCCCACGAGGAAGTTAGGACAGGAATTGGGCAACGTACCCGGGCAGGCTGGGCCGTGCGAGAGAACATCTTTGAGCAACAAATTCTTTGACCCTAAAAAAGAGGGGGAATAGAATTGGGGGTGCGTGGGTGCGTGGGAGGTTGGACGAGGCCAGGGAAAATGAGAGGGGGAAAGGATGAGACTAGAGAAGGATGCTAAGGAACGGAAAAAAGGGTCCCCGGATGGGCTCGGCATCGGACACGCGCGACTTGGGAACTTTTCTTGCGGCCTGTGACGGCCCGATCTTATCGGTCCGCTTGGATCGACTTGCTTCTTATCAAACAATGAAATCTCCCAACTTTACCAAGTCACCCGCTTCTATTCAAACCCCGTTGAGGAAATCCTCCTCTGCTGATCCTCCACAATTGGCTTTGTGGCGCTTCCTATTCATCTACACTTTAGGAATGAGCTGATGCCTCGAAATAGTATGGGAGAGAGGGCAAACAAAGATTCTTGACCATCGAGCTCAACACCTGCCTCCGCCTGATTGGCTCCTGCTCAACTATGTCTCCTCCACGCCAAACGCTTCCAAGAATTCTTGCCCTCTGTCAACCTCCCCGATGATGCATCTAGGCAAGATATTTGCAGAACCTGACAGTTCTTCTCTGGCCTTTTGACTCAGTCACAAAGAACGTCAACCGAATCGTGGCGGCCTCGAATAATGAGATTCGGATAGCCAAATTTCCTAATCGGGGTGTCAATAGGAATGATGGGCCTTCATCATTTGATCCAGACAGCAACATGGATGACTATGGACGAGCAGGCAGGATACCCTGCCAGTCCCAGATCCAGGTATAAAGCTATCCTCCTTCGCCATGTCTGCTTCTACTTCACGATCATCAACCCATCGATCTTCGTCTTGCAATCGTCAATCCAATCCCAAAAACACACTCTCTCCAACTCGGCCAATCCTTCTTCAAACCCACTCATTTTCCAATCCGTCAACATGAAGTTCCTCTCTATCGCCCTTGCCCTCATGGCAGCCACCGCTGCTACCGCTGCTCCTGGTCGTACCGCGCAGAAGTGGTGTGGTCACCCCGGCCAGGGCTGCGCCAAGCGCTCTGCTGAGCCTGAGGCTATGCCCGAGGCTGAGCCTGTTGCTCAGAAGTGGTGCGCCCACCCCGGCCAGGGCTGCTACATGATGAAGCGCACTGCCGATGTCACCACCGAGGTTAAGCGTTCCGCCGATGCCCTCGCCGAGGCCATGGCTGAGGCTCACCCTGCCGCTCTTCAGAAGTGGTGTGCTCACCCCGGCCAGGGCTGCGCCAAGGTCAAGCGCACCGCCGAGGCTGTTGAGGAAGTTAAGCGCTCTGCTGATGCCCTTGCTGAGGCTATTGCTTCCATCAATGACGAGGAGTAAAAGGTAAGCAACAACATATTCCTTCCTGCGAATAACGGATCATTCAAGTTACTAATTGGAGGTATACAGAGTTCTCCACGTTTTTGGACACTCTTGAAGTCCGGTGGTATCACAGCCATGTCAAGTCCTGTGTTGATACCCCGTTCTATTTCGACTCGTGAACACCACTGGAGGGATGCTAAGTGAGGATTGGAAACCTGTCTATGGCGAACGCTCCTTTTTCAATTGGCCATAATGACTTGTGCTGTCTGCTTTCGTTTTTGAAAACCCCCAAAGATATGATCAGAAATGGCTACTGGTAGCCTACATCGAACAAATGCATTATTATTAGCTCATTCCCCCAAGAACATCCCTGAGAAAAGTTGTAAAACCCCATGTATTGTAAGGAAACTGCAAGACCTCTCGTCCGCAGAATGAAACGCACTCATGTGTAGCTGTATGAGCGTGAGTAGGCTGCAGCTAAGGCACCTCGTTAGCTACAGTGGTCCGTTAGGGCAAGAAGATTCCCCCCCCGAGAGCCTTAGCAATTCCTTCCAAATACTTTATTGAACCTTTCAGAATTGACAGACTCAGGCGTACGTTAGCAAATATGAGGTCATGGGGGGATGTTGATGATCAGATTGTGGGCATACACCCTATCACCCACATGTAATCCAACGTCCTAAGTCTTCGAAGTATAAGGGGCAGGATCACCCACTTTCAAGCAGAGGTCTGCCGGGTAGGCCTGAGCGAAGGTGTCCGAGGATGTATTTTGTTTTCTTTCTTTGGTCTGTCATAAAAAACTCGAAGGAGGTCTTGCCAAGTATGTGTTGGTAGTGTGAATCGAACCTCGAGCTCTATACCTGGCATTACATAGTGTAGTGGTGATGACGGTCTACAAATTCGCTCTGCTGATTCGGACGACGGTCTTCACAAATGAATGGAGCTTTTGTCCATTGTTCAAAATTTGATAAAGCTAACGCAACCAACATAATCCATATTCCATTATAAGTACTCAGCTTCTTCCTTCAAGCCTATTGCCTACCTCGAGACTTCTATCATTCAGATACTGCTTCCAGAACAACTCAACGATTCATCAAATAATTGTATTTCTCTAGAAAGTTTAGGCATAGGCATGACTTGGTACATAATAGCACCAACACGAGAAACTTTTGAGTAGACAGGAACCAAGCACACAATGGCCGACTTTGGCCGAGGCGAGAGTATACGTCCAATGATCACGGGTCACGGTTCACGGTATGTGAATCTCTAAAGGAAGAACCAGGTCAAGGAGTATTTCTGGAATGCTCCATGACGTGACTGTCAGTTCCCTTGCCTCATTGTCGACATGTGGAGGGTATCGTTATCGGCTGGAAAGAAAAGGGTATCACAGGACATTTTGAATGGCCACGCGCTCCTAGGAAGGCATAGCCAGCCGGGTGATCGAGATGACCACCCGGGGAGAGGGGAAAGGGTTTCAAAGGCGGACAAGAGCAATCAGAAGGCGATGCGTCGCTTGCGACCAGTATACTTGGAGTTGGCCTTGACGACCTTGCCCTTCTTCTGCATCTGCTCCTTCTTCCTCATGATCCAAGCCTTATCACCCTTCCTAGCCGGACCCCGCGCACCATTCACCTCCATAGCCTTCCTCCGCGCATCAAGCACGTTCACATCATCCATACCGTTAACAACGCCAGTAATATCACCCTGCAGACCACCACCACCGACAGTCAAAACCAAGTAGAGCTTGCTGTTCTTAGTGCCGGGGTCATCCTCCAGCATACCGGCGCCAAAGCCAGCCTTGATAGCCGCACCACTAATCATGCTCCGCTGAATATCATTCTTAGGATAGAACTGGCACACAGCACGTCCACCACGGCGCAGACTCGCGTAGAGACCTTCGAAAAAGCGCTTCAGACGGCCCTCGGGACTGACGTCGCTCGTTTCCGCATTGCACAGCCACTGGATCGCACTGATACTAATGGCCGCGTCGAAGGTACCGGGTCGGAAGGGGACACCCTGTCCAATGTCCGCGAGGAAGAGGTCGCCCTCAACTTCGCGCTGCAGGGCTACGTCCAGCATGCTGGGGGCAATGTCCATGCCCACCCAGGTGTGTGGACCGCCGTCTTCGGGGGCAACTTCGGACAACATCTCGCCTGATAGGCCGGAGCCGCAGCCGACATCGAGGATCAGGGAGGGAGATTTCAGGTCGAGTAGCTCGAGAGCGCGGTGGGTCATGTCGGCCTGGATATTCCGGATACGCGACGAGGTTGTATACTTGCGGGACTCATTGTCGTTGTAGAACAGATCAGGCGGGCTGTGGAAGTCAAGTTAGTGACAAGCGGGACACCGAGATTATCGGATCAAGTGTCAACATACAGAATATCTTCGGGGCGCGACATGGTGGGCGGCGAATGGACAAGGTCCCAAAAATTCCAGATAAGAAATGAAAGCGGATGGATTCGAGATAATTAAATTTTTGGGAGCGGGGTGGACACCTGATTGATAAGGCACTAGCCTGCACTAGTCTCCGGAAGCGTCATTGCTTATTCGCGACACCTTTCGCTTTCTTTCCCAGCTCCGCGCAGCTCTCTGCTCTCTTCCACATCCACCACGGCTATTTCGCGAGCATAATTTTTCATCATGTGGATTCTACCTTTGGTAGGATACTTGGGGGTGGTCGTCGGCTTTGCCTTCCTCACCCTAGCCATCGGTACGTTAGCCCGTGAGCTCCGAATCAACCAGCTCACGAGACCGCGGAGCCCGATCAAGATCGAAACTAACACCACTCCAGCATCGGGGCTGTACTATCTCTCCGAGCTCGTAGAGGAACACACCGTCCTCGCCCGCCGATTACTGGGCCGTCTTATATACACCATCATCGGCATCCAAGTCCTGCTCGTGCTTTTCGATCGATTCCCCATCTCGCTCTCCCTCCTCAGCATCGGCTCGCACCTAGTTTACGCCAGCAACCTGCGCCGCTTCCCAATTGTCAAATTGACCGATCCACTCTTCGTTCTTTCTTGCGTGCTGGTCCTTCTCAACCATTGGCTCTGGTTCCGCCACTTTTCGAAGCCGTTCCCCGCCTCCCGGCGCAATGAGGGTAACTGGCGCCAGCCGTATCAGGTTGATTACGAAGCTATGCCCTCGTTCTCCGAGGTGGCCTCATATTTTGGGCTGTGCGTCTGGCTGGTTCCCTTCGCGCTATTCGTCAGTCTAAGCGCAGGCGAGAATGTTCTGCCCAGCATGGGCTCGGAATATGCTACTGGAGAGCATACCTCATCCGGGCTCGGTCACAGCAGTGCCGATGGTAAGGCGAAGAATAAGGGTATGGCCAAGGCCTTGGTGGACAATGTGCGGGACTGGGCTCGGGAAAATGGCGAGCTCATGGGTTTCTGGCGGGGCGAGCGCACAAGGCGGTTTTAAGAAGCTGTCGGTGATAAGGATGTGAATAGCATTTTACGGTATATAACGAACTGAATTTAGATCTTGTGTGTTTCTGCTTCTGGGGAATATGACTGGGCAATTTGGAAGTAAATTATGATAAAAGACGTATACTATATCAAGAATTATGACGCACAATCACGCTGTGTGGCTGAAAGAACATCGGACAGTCGCTGGGATTCAAACCGTCGGGTAAATCAAGAAGAAGGGCTTCTCAAAAAGAGAGTCAATGTAAGAAGGGCAAAAACGAAGGTTTTAAAAAGGTATAAGAAGAGAGCAAAGAGTAAAGAAGGGGTATAACGGTAGATCAATACAACGACAGATCACACATGAAAGAAAAGAAAGAGAAAAGTCGTCAATGGAGTTGAGAGATGGTTCCGAGGCATAGGGGAAAATTCAATGCCTCGAATATTGCAGCCTCGTCTTGATTACCATTATCATTAAACATTCCCTCGCGACTCTGCTGGTGCCAAGCGGGTGGTAAAGTCGTCATTCTGCGTGCAATTCATAATCAAAGAGGTGTGTATAGAGTTCCGGATGCGAGGCACGGTTGTAAAGTAGAAAGGCAGCATGAGCGTTCCTTTGGTCCATTATTTATTGCCCTGGGGGGCGAGAGAAATCTTCGGGAGCTAAAAGCCAGCATTAGCTCGTTTGGTTCAAAAACGTGCGGCAGAGATCACATACTGCTCTCCAGGAAAAGCATGGAGCTTTCCCGTCTCTTAGACTTGGCTGAACGAGTATCGTCCAAGTTAGGGTTCAACATTCCATTCAATGAATGGTATTGACTCGGGGCTCCTGGATGCTGGTTGTAGGCTTCATTCCTGTAACCCGGTTGTTCATAAGAGGGCTGCATTGGGATGAAGCCCGTCTCGTGTGGAGCCCGAGAATTGTCAACGTGACCACCGGAGCCATCTCCGGTGCCACGGAAGGACGTCTGATTATACGAAGGAGTCGGTATATCCGAGAACATCTGGTGGCGGGGAGAGCGAATATCTTCGGGAGAGAGACTGTGCTCCACAGTCAGCTCCACGGCCGCCGAGTTAGAACAGGCATCGCCAAAGATGCTATCAAAGTCGGTAAGGAACATCGAGAACACTGGCGCCGGGATGTTGAGTGTGGGGGCAAAGACGATGCCCACGTTTCGAACGGTCATCTTATTCACGTCCGAATTGTTGACAATCTCGATCAAGAACAGCGACAATGCTCGCAGCAGTGAAAGGTTCGGCTTCGGTAATCGGTGTACCAGAGCGTTGAAAGCGAGGACCTTCTTTTGCTTATCATCGAGTTCTGTGGGATCAGGTGAATTAGCTTTGGATGTATCATGGAGAGAAAAAGACAAGGACGGTGATCGTACCAAGAACACGAAGGAAATCCAGATGAAGCTCCCGAGTCAACACTGTCGTCGGAAGTTCGCGCAAGTATTGTTTGAAGAGTGATGCAACAGCATGTACATCGTAATATTGATCTCCAGTCAAGAAATCAACATCACCTTCATTGTTAAACCGCTCTTTCAATGCCTTGATCACGACATTGGAGCCGCTTAAGCGGAAGATGCCTTCTTCCAAGGCAGCGTCCTTGGAATGCAGGTATTCAATACAGCGATATACCACGGCAGGAAGATCCGACTCAACACCTTGAGGACCACAATCTTGCACAGCTTCCGCTAGAGGAATACCGAAAACGGGCTTGACATTCTCCCTCCGCTCGACTGGCGCGGCCGATGTCTCAGCCTGCGCAGCCAAATCGAACGAGGATCTTGTGCGGAAGCCCCAGATGCTGCGCTTCTTCTCCTTCACAGACGTGGTTGTCGCCGTGGGCTTGTTGCCCCAGGCCCCTACATCGTGGATTACCGTACCATTGGTAGGAGCCGAAATGATCTTGGGGGACTGCAAGGCTGGATCAGCAGGAGACTGGTTCAAGTCTCGGAAGTCGGTGGACAGAGCACCGGGCATGCGTGGAGATCGAGGAGCTTGTTCAAGAGAAGAACCGAGAATAGGAGGCTCGGCTGCAACAGTATCGTCGAAACTAAACCCTTGCACAGCGCCACCTTCCTGGTCAGGGCTATCAACTCCACGTCCTGGCCGCTTGCTTCCATCTTTGGATCCTTTGGACCTGGGTCCAGCACCCTTTGGTTGACCCTGCGGTTGTTGCTTCAAAGATGCATTTCCGCGGCTCTCCGTGTCCGAAGAATGCGGCTCCACGTATTCCATCAACGCATCCACCCACTGATCACGCTCTTCGTCTTTCTCGGCGCAGAGAACATGGCGGACAAGAGCCGATGAGTCCTTTTTCTTCGGTTCCAGGATGAGGAACGCATGGCGGTATTGATTCTCAGCGTCCTCTTCACCCCCAGGAGGCGAGCTGCTCTGGCTGGTGGAGTTCTGAGACTGCTTGCCAATTTGCGCATGAAGAAGCTTGATAGTTCCCATGTGAGCTCCACCGGGAGACTCAAAGTACTTCAACTCGGGCCCGTGCAGCACAAAGTAACGGGCCTTCCAGCCGCCAAAATTCTTGCCTCGCTTGGTCAAATAACCTTCCTTCCGGGGCTTGCCGTCCGGTCCCCGGGGTATGTCCGCTTTCCATTGGCCAGACCCCTTCACAAGGCTGGTCTCATCGTCACGAGGCTCAATGGCATCGTTGGTGAGGAATTGGCAAATGACCAACGCGGCTCTCTCATCCATGGGTGTATCTAGAAGGCTGTCAAAGTATGTATTTAGTGCAGCGCGACGCGCATCCACCTTGGCTGGGGAATGGCCGCCGAAAATACTGCGATCCGGCAATTTTCCAGTGAAGGTGGCCAGCTGTCGGATCTGGTGATCCAACTGAGGGAGTGATGCTATAACCTTTTCCACGCGCCAAAGCTCTGCATTCTCAGACCTAGAGATGACGCTCAGCGTGAAGACAGGTTCCTCATCCAATGGCTTGGATACCATATAGCTATTTCTGGAAGGTCGCAGTCTGGAGGACGACACTCGGACCTGAATGAGCGGAAGAGCATTCGGAGGGAGCAGAAGACCGGGGTATTCATCGGACACGAGTCCTTGATAGATGCTAGTATCAGGGAATCGTAGAGATCTTGGGCTGTCAATTTTGACCGTAGGATCAATCGACGGGATGGGGCCCCCAGGTCTCCCGCTCAGAGGGTGAGCATCTGCACTCGGACAGTTGGTTGGGTAGTTTACCGCTCTTGGAGATGTAGGCACACCCCCAATGCTATAGCCTGCCTGAGATGCGAAATCTCGGGGCATCCGCGGCAGCGGAGATCCAATAGGCCGGTCCTCTGGTCTTGGGCTCAATGGCAGGCCTGGGCTCTTCGGCATAGAAGCTATAGAACGCCCGTTCGAGACGGAGGGGTTGGATCGAGAGTTCAAAACCGATCCCAGGGACCCAGTTGCGCCCACATTCGGTGGCGATCTCGTAACTAGCTCACGAGGAACCGGGTTGCCACTAGCAGATACACCAGCATCCTGTGAGCCGTATGGGACCTCAAATTTGGCTGCACCCACGGAACCCTGTGCGCTTATCTCTCTCTGCAAGGCGGTCTCACGGTCCCGGTCATCATCTTCACGCGTTTTCCTCCTTCCGCGTTCCGAGCTCGATCTCTCCTCCGCGTCCTGTCCATTCTCGTAGTCCGAGTCGGAATCAGCGTCTACTATCTCCTCACGGGCATGGCCGCCTTGTTGCAGGTTCAATGGCGCTGGAGGTGGTTTGCGAATCGGATGCGGGAGCCTTTGGGAATCCGATCCAATGGGGGAGTAAAGGCTCCCGGCTGAGCGAGGGCTCGTATCGGTTCCTTCTCGAGGTAGCCCAGACGTCGCAATCGGGGGAACAGCCGTCACTTGTTCGAATCCTCGATCCCCATCCTTCTGCTCGTTACTCGGAACGATTGTGGTCTGGCTAGCACGAGCGTCCGCGTCAGCCAAGACCGTTCGCGGGACCGAGGGATCAACAACCGGCACCGGAGGCGCAGAGTCCTGTAGATCCTTAAGTTTCTTTTTATATTTTTCCTTCTCCTTGAAAGCGCGATCCAGATCCTTGTTGAGGCCCAGAATGAGCGTCCTCTGCTTGTCAACCAATTTCCATAGCTGTGAGTTCTGCGATGCAGCTTGGTGTTTCTCCTTCAGGAGATGCACGATCACTGCTTCTGCAGAGCCCGCAGCTGTGATAAGGTGGCTTATATCAGCTGGACTCAGAGACTTGGCATCGAAGGTCGATCGCTGGGAGGCAGAGGACAAGGAAGAGATGGCCGAGTCAATTGACGAGGTGCGAGGCATGGCGCGTGGAGTTGGACGCTCCCCGGGTGCCGACAGCACAGAGCTGACAGATGACGACGCGGAGCGATCGGGCTCGGACATACCGGGCGGTTTGGCAATATTCGCATCGCCATGCCTGCCGGTCATGTCCGCCTGGTCCGCGCTCATGCTTTCGGGGGATCGGAATATAAGGTGGTGGGCAGCGTTCGAAGGGGGTGCCGGGAAGGGCGCATTGGCTATACGAGATATAGGCGACCGGTTTTGGGAGGGAGACGGGTTGGCGCTCGATCGTGGAGAAAGCGGACTCTGAGAGATGGGGGATTCCTCGAGTCGATATGACTGGGGAGGTGAGTTGGTATGCAAAGGCGAAGGTGAGATATGGCGAGTCCCAGCAGGCTCGGATCGCGCGCCCAAGTAATCGCGAGGGATGAGACCACTGCCAGTATTTAGAGGCGGGTATACAGAGGGCTGAGGTTGATTTCTGGAGGGCCCCGGTGAGCCCTCTTCACTGCCTCGCCGCTGCGACATGATTCAGGGATCAGCATCCGAGGGGACTGGGGGGGGAGGGAGCAAAGGCCCAGGAGGGGGGCGTGACAGGGCGGGATGGCGGGTCCTCGGAGCTGAAGCTTCGGCCAGGGAAAGAAAGGGGGTGTCTCGGCCAGAAGAGGCAAAGGAATCAAACAGTCGAATACCCCAGGAATTTTGTTTCTCCCAGAGCGGCTGGTAGAGTAGAAGGAGAAGAAAAAGAAGGGAGAATGAGAAAAAAGGGGTGTGACATTGCAATTTTCATTTGGTTTTAATTATTCTGCTGTTTAGTTCGTCACTTTACGAGTGTTCCCCAGTGGAGCCCGACGATCCTGATGAAGCAGTGACAGTTAAGCCAGAAACGAACGGGACGGACGAGGAACGAGAAATGAGGGCTTCTGTGACGATCCGCTTTCCCTGTTTCCGAACCTGCTTCGGCTGCAAAAAAAATCCCGACTAAAATGAGCATTGAACAATAAGCGTTGCTCATAAAAGGGAACTACGAGGAGGAGTGGCAAGAAAGATACAAAGAGCAAACCTAGAAAGACCTAAGCTTTAGGTATCTCTAATCCTCCGGTCTGGATTTATTCGCGGATGGCGATTTCAGAGAGCCGTTCACATAGGCCTAATCATGGATTTACTCCTATAGGAGTGATATCTATCGAACAAGAAAATAGGCGTTTCATACAGGCCAGTGAAATTGTGTAGAGAGGAGCGAGTTTCCGCCCACAAGACGAGAAGAAGATGGATGAATCCATGATATGCTCCAAACTCCTCAAAATGCGAAAAGTTGCTATGATACAGAGTCCGTCAACGCCAAGATGTCTTCATCTGCACTAGATGCCGAAGAAGAGCCATGAGATAGGTATGAATGTACAGAATCATGCGATGTTGCCAGCCATGCCCATGAAGATGGCCTGCGCAGCGAGCTGAAGGGACCAAAATCCAACCTTCTTGAAACGCCGCTTACGGGCTTCGTCGTCTACGACGTCTCGCGCAAACGCATCATAGGTCTATCGAGAGGTATTAGTATGCCCGAACGATTAAAAGAGAAAACATATAGATGGGTCAAGATGCTTACCGCAGCTGACAGATCGTCCATCAAGCCACTGTCAAAGATAGTCCAGCTTCCATCGAAATCACTGGCACGTTTGACAAGACGACAGTTGATAGGGATAAAGGTGCGCTTGGAGTTGATGTATGCAACAATGGGTCGGATAAGAGCATTGTTGATATAGGAGAGGTCTCGAGTGAAAATTGGAACCACGGCGCGGACGTTATTAAGATGGACCCGCAGATCCATTGCAAGGAAGCGTTTGTCGGCTTCAGACAACGACTCGGGGTCTTTTTGAGATCGTTGAGACAGGGTCTCGGAGTATTGATTGGAGGTGACGGTGGCCTCAAGTCGGTCATAAAAGTCTGCCATTACCTTGGCAATGCTCTCATCATTTTCAGCAGGGAGCATAATGTCCGCAACAATATCTACGGTTCCTTCGTAAATCCATGAGAATGGACCCTGGACACCACGGTTGAGATGATCGATGTTCAATCCGTCGACCCGGATACGGTTGTGTTTCTTCCACGGGCTAGGTTTGCCATCTTCCATACCGTCCTCCACGCGAGCTCCGGTAAAGCCGTGGGTTTGGCGAGGGTGAATTGTGAAGAGCGAATTGTCAAATGACCCGGACATCATATTGGCAGAGAGGAAATCGTAGAAGAGCCACTGCTTTCGGAGCTGAGGGAGGTCGCAGGAGAAAATGCTGACCGAGAAAGGTCTAAAGTTATCAGGCTGGTATATTGAAACAAGCACGTCGTGCATCTTGAATGAATCAATCTCGAAATCTCCAGGGTTGTGTTCGTGGCGATAAGACAAAGGGTCTAGATCTTCGGCTGGCCACCAGACATGGCGGCGATCGACAACACCCCGAATGCCCTTGACCTCGACATCCCGGAGGGGACCCTTTCCATTGAGCCATTTCGTGAATGATAACGTCACATTGACGGTTTCGATAGATAGGTCGAACTGGGTGTAGTTCGTATCTTCTTCGTCCTCAAGTACAGCTGAAGAATCCTCGGACCCGTTTTCGCCGCGAGCCGCGGCGGCAGCAGCTGCAGCTGCCGTCGTGGGAGAACCTTTACTAACGTACCCAGAACCTTGGCCAGGCCTCCTCGACACAAACACATTTTTGAAAGAGATCACGCCACCACTCCATTTAGGAACGATGGCAGATTCGAAGACAACCTTTACTCCGGATGACTTGGTTAGGTAGTTACCCACCCACCCGGCGAGTGTTTCTATAGAATACAAGTTAGCACTCAGCTACATAGCGCTAGCCTCGTACATCGGTGACATACCTTGCGCAAAGACAGTATTGATGGCAAGGATGAGAAGTGAAAAGAACGTCGTAGTCCCAACCACTACCCAAACCACATGACCAAGAAGGACCCATGAGAAAAGCGCGGCGATCTCATCTAGACTGAAGGGTCGAACACTTCGAATAGAAAACCACTTGAATCGCACCCTTAGGCGCGACCAAAATCCGGTTGCTGCAGACAGAAGCTCCTCTTTCGTCGGTCGGTGTAAATGCGGCATATGCGGCAAACGATCCATCAAATGGTGGCGATGAAGGGGTGTAGATGAAGACGTAGCTGGGGGCGAATCTTGCGAGGCGTTTGAGCGAGAGGACTGAGAGGATTGAGAGGTGAGATCGTCAGTCTTTTGGACCTTTTGCGTATGTTCGTCATCTTTTGGAGATTTGGAGGCATTGGAGGAGGCTCCTTCGCGTAGACGGTCATTCGGAGTATGCAAAGCTCGCTTCCAGATATACTGAGAGGTCAACTTTTTCGATGGAATAATGCAGGCGGCGCTAGTTTCAGCCGCCGTCGAACTCGAAGAGACGAGGACTAGAAGCCCGCCTGAAGCAAATCGTCGCGTGAGTTGGGTAGGCTTTCCGGATGGTGCTGATAAGCGCCTATGGGCGAAAATCGAGTCAAAGGCATTTCTCGACGGGGAGTCGGGACCGGGCACCCGGGTCGGTCGTATACGGCCAAGGAATGGGTGTGCCGATTCCCAAATGTGGGCGTACAGCCGGCGTCCGAAATTGGCGGACATTTTGGGGACTTTACATCCTGTGACTGTTGAAGAAAACAGGAGAGCGAACGACAAGAGGTCGAGGCTCGGGCGGCGGCCAAAGCTTAGAATGGGGAAGCATGAAATCATCGGGCGTTTGTCTTGTTTGCACCGAAAAATCCAGCGGGCACCCACACTTCTTTTTTCGGCGAGGGGTCCGCCACTGATAATTTCTGCGATAACAGATTATTCTCGACTTTTTCTTTACTGTTGGAACTCCTGCCAATACATCAACAACAATGCCTGCCCCAACTGCCCTTCGCCAACCGGCGGAAGTTTCTGCCCTTCAGCAACCCGTTCAATCTATGGGTTAGTGGCTACACAAGACGCTCCGATCGAGTACTTTGCGCTAACTATTTTATTAGACGCGGATGATGAGGTCTTGATCGATGCTCAGGGAACGACAGAGCCCGATGTCACCAACCCCGTCGCAGATCCCACGGCAGACACCGAGATGCGCATCGACGAAGAGGGCCGCCCCGTCTTCACACCTGCAAAGGAAACCAGTACCGCTTATCGCATCGAGACTCGCAAGGTGCCCGTTCCCCCTCACCGCATGACGCCTCTTAAAGCCAACTGGACCAAAATCTGCCCTCCTATCGTCGAGCACCTCAAGCTTCAAGTGCGCATGAACATCAAGAGCCGCGCCGTGGAACTCCGAACCTCCAAGTTCACCGCGGACGTCGGTGCTCTCCAAAAGGGCGCAGACTTTATCCGGGCTTTCACTTACGGCTTCGATATCGACGATGCGATTGCTCTTCTCCGACTGGATGACCTGTATATCGAGACTTTCGAAATCAAGGATGTCAAGACCCTCAACGGAGAGCATCTTGGCCGTGCGATCGGTCGTATTGCTGGCAAGGACGGAAAGACCAAGTTTGCTATTGAGAATGCTAGTCGAACCCGTGTGGTGCTGGCCGACCAGAAGATCCACATTCTGGGTGGATTCAAGAACATTCACATTGCCCGTGAGGCTATCGTCAGCCTCATCCTCGGTAGCCCTCCCGTAAGTTTTCGCTGCGAAACGATATCCCGACTCCCTTCGGACTTATCTCTTCTAACAACAAAATAGGGCAAGGTCTATGGCAACCTCCGAACCGTTGCTTCTCGCATGAAGGAGCGATTCTGATTTATACACATCTATATCGATTCCCGGCATGGTATGGGCGTTCTGGAGCATTTTCAATTGGGCCTTTTTTTCACAAGATATCTTACACGCGTGACGACATCAAGATACGAATCTTGAATAAAAATTATTCAGTCTTTCTTTCAAATATACTTGAACAAAGTGATTCGCCCAAGTTAAAAAATTTCTTGCATTAGAAAACTATCGTAGACAGCAATGACACTCTCCCTCTAATCCTTCTTCAGAGGGTGATACACCTCTTCGATTCCAGCTTTGGTGATAATGACCATTTGCAAATTATCACCAACCTCAATGTGTCGCTCCACTGCACTCGTGAAGGCGTCCCGTACGAGACCCTTGACCGTTTCTAGAGGCAGAGGCTCGGCCTTCTTCGCCTCGAGAGCATGACCCTCCCCACTTCCTGGAATGTATTGGTTCTTGAAGTTGACCTGGTTGTCCAGGAAAGGCATGATCAAGCTCGCGGCAGCACCGGCAGCACGGCACTGCTCTCTCTCGTATGAACCAACGGGGTCATAGCTGTACAAAGCTCCCTTGCCCTCCTCGTCCAAACCGGCCAAGATAGCGTGTACGTAGTAAGGGAAGAAGCGCTTCCCGTATAGAATAGTCGACAAGCGCTGGGCACAGGCGGAGACGGACATGGGTTTCCCGTGCTGGTACTTGTACATCTTCACCACGGTATCGAGTCGTTCCTTAAGGGCATTACCGTCGGCAGCAAATCCCACCACGGAGAGGACGATGTTGGCCCCCTCGCCTGTCTCGTCGTCGCCGCCAATCTTGAAGACCTTGGGAACCATGCGAGAATTGATATTGTAGCCAGATGTGGAACGAGTGTCACCAGCCAGAATGGCGAAATCGGAACCTGTGATGCCCAGAGTGGAGCCACCATTGTCGGTGTAACTAGAGAGGAGCGACAGTGTAAGCCGGAGATTAGAAATCTGTTGAGTGGGAAGCTTCGTACGGGTAGAATCCATGTTGCTTGACACCAGCTGCGGACTCAGAGAAGGAGTATCCGACAGTCTCACGAGCTTGGTGATCCATGAGCGACGTCATCGTGGGGGTGGTAGATAGTTTCGGGTTTCTATGAAGCTTGATATAGGATTGGAGGAAAGGAAAAAAGAGGTTGGAGGGGAGAAGGGGGAGGTTTTCGTGGACGGAGGTAGTTAGCAATGGAGGCTGTCCGGGTGTCTGACGCGATGCTGTAGCTGCCTCGCTTATGTAATGCCGCGGCGGGCGGGAGCTGTTCCCTTGGCCTTCCCAGGAGCTGGAGGTTGATACACTTCCTAATTATACCATTTGAGCGACAAAGAACGATTGAGACGGTTTTTGGGTGATAACCCGATTCTTTGAGCTTTGATCCTGCGACTCGGGCTACGAACCTTCCAAAAATTCCGCGCCGAAGTACAGCACCATGCTCGGTCTTGACGCATACGGAAGCAGTAGCGAGGATGAAGTCGAGATCAAGCCTACTCCTCAGTCGCAATCAATGGTATGGCGATCCTGCATTATCCACAGGGTAGTACTGACTCTGGCCTCAGCAGCGCGAAAAACAGCCACCGGTTGTGCCCAAACAAGCCGTCCAGGACAATAGTCAGTTCCCTCCACTTTCTTACTCGGTTTCCAAAGTTGATGCGCTCCCAAGCTGACTCTACGTTACTCTTCTAGAGCCAGCTCCCGCCGCTCAGCCAGATCATCAACCGCAAAAACAATCTAACACAGCTATCAACGAAGCTCCCAATGGCCCGGTCCTCGGTCCCGCATCCGGCCCCGCGCCGGTGAACCAGACACAATTGCTAGAAGGCCCTTCGACGAGTGGCCGTTCGTCGCCCTTCTCGGCCACACGAGCTCTAGTGCATGACTTGACGCTTCCACCGGTCCCCAATTTGGATATTCCACCTTCGCCTCCAGGGTCACCAAACGCCGCAGCCAATGCCAAGTTTGAACATTTCCTCTCCTTGAAGAAACAGGGCATTCATTTCAATGCAAAGCTAGCCAGTTCCTCGTCCCTACGGAACCCTAGCTTGTTGATGAAAATGATGGAGCATGCGGGCATTGATGAGCAGTCACAATACAACACGGCTTTGCCCTTGGACCTTTGGGATGTCTCTAACCTTCCCAAATGGGCTTTCAAGGAGGAGCTTCTCAAGACTCAGCAAGAGGCTCGTCGGAAACAGGAGGAGAAGAATTCTGCCGGTCAGCGATCCTCCATCGAGTTTGTTTCTGGGACGGACGCAAAGAGAAAAGCCCCATGAATCGAAACTTGGGGGGTTGCAGATGTCCTCTTATTATCATAAGATGGCCACTTTCTCAGACACATCCGGGACTTGAAAGACCCGGAACAGCTCGCTAGCGACTACAAGCCCAATAGGTCAGTCAGTTCTTAGACCACGAGCCCAAGGGGATCCCTCCTTCGCCACACATCAGAGACTGCCTCCTTCACAGCCCTTTGGAGACGGATATCCAGCTCTCTCGGCGACGTTCAGCATGGGCCACACCCGGAGCTAGTTTCCTCCAAGAAACCGGAGGAACTTGGGCTTTGAGCTCCCTTGGGGGTAGCCTGAGACGGAGACCTTGCTTTCGCATTCGGCGCCTTGGCATGACGTTCAAACACACAGGTGTTCTAGTGGCACCTGCATTCGATCTCCACCGTCTCGTTTGCAAGATAAGATGCTAAGCCTGCAATGATAGTGTTAGCGAATTGAGAATCTAAAATCACGTTTACAAATATGAAAACTTGTACTCCGGCTACATCATAGTCCTTCATAGACGATGATCTTGTAACAAAACACTCTAGGGAATATCCCAGAGGGAACATTACGTACGTCAAGCCATAGCCAAACAGTGTACTAGTGACATGACCTTACGATCATGCTTTCAAGCCCCCGTATACCAGTTTCTCATGAAATCTGCCAGGGATACTTCATCAGCTCATCTGTCGATCCCCTGACTTCATCTGGTAGGCGCACGATGCCACAAGAGACGAAAAAAATATCTATTGGAAATTAGCAAAATCTGTCCCTTCGCGAGGGCGCCGGGTCGAACCCTCGACGTCTGGCTTCCCATACAAATCGACCATGATGCTTTTCAGAGCGCCCAAAATGTCGAGTGACTTCGCCCGGCGCGAGATTGATGCCGCCTCCAACATAACGCCCGGTTTTACACCGTCAATACGCTTCATATGCTTTTGAAAAATAACATCAAATTATTCCTCTATTCTCAAGGATCACATTGATATAAGAATCATTGCGTAAAATTGTGGAAAAAATTTTGATACCCCGGCCAATGCCGATCCCACCCACCCTCCCTCACCCCATACTGCCGTAGTCGCGCATCCGCAGCGCGTCCAATTGCATCTGGGTGCTTTGTGCAACATCCGGACTGCCGGTATTCCAATTCACCGGTAGTGGCGACTGTGTGGGGATATCCCACTGCACCACTGGGGGGTTCGGGCAATCGAATTTGGAGGAAGTGAATGTTAACACGTCGATGCATTGCATTTAGAGACCTGTTATTGCTTATGGCCTTTCCATGAGATACGGCTCTGAGGAGACTGACATTGATAGCTTCAACGTGCGGTATCTGAGGGTTCGAGCCTGCGATACTGACATACGTATCATTAATGTGAGTGATTCTTCAGCCATGGAGCAACAGACTTGATATTTAATGTCCCTTGGATCGACTTCTCGAGTATCTGCTCGAAGTGACTGCGCTCACCAACCAAGACCACAGCCCCAAATACTGACATCCCATCAACCTCCTCCTCCACCTCCACCCCCACCAGAAGCCTTCTCGAACACACTCAGGCCAGAAATCAACACCATCCGATCAAAGTCCTCGCCATACTCGGCCCGAATCTGCAATTGCCCACACTTTGAAACCGACCTCTCCCTCGAGAACACAGCCAAAACTTGCCCCGTCTTCTCATCAACCATCTTAAACGACCGCATACTCCACGGAAAGGGTCTCGTGTCCTCCACCTTGATGCTATGTGTGCGTTTCCAAAGAAACACCCGTCGCTCTCCATGATTATTTCCCTCCGCACTGGGAATAGTCATCTCGAGCCGGTATCTCGAGTGAATGGGCGACTCTCGGACCATATCTTCCCACTGGGTGGTTTTCAGGTCTTCCGGATCGCCAAGGGCCAGTTTACAGTCTGCAGAGAGCTTGAGGAATTTGGAGGCTGCTATTATGGGTCCTGTTTTGTTGGTGCCAACGTGGAGAGTGAGCTCGGGTTTGTTGTGTGTGAAGGACGAGATGTTGACATAGTAGAGTGGTTCATCTGAGGAAGATTTGATATCATAGTGTCTCCGGAAGGCAGGTTTGTAGATGTGGTATATGCGAGAGGAGCCGGTTTCATCGACCTGGAGCTCTGCCGGGACAGAGTCGATTGTGTCTGATCTTGTTGGTGGGGAGGACATACTGATGACTTGTCGTGTCCTGTAATATAGGTTGAGGATGATTGTATAGTATAGTACGAGTAGAGTAGAATATGGAGCTTCGTAGGGGAGGGAAATAGTTGATGGTATTTAAAGCTGCTATGTGCTGAGAATCAAAAGTCGTATTCAGACTTTGACGCATACTCTTGGAGCATTGAGGTTGTTCCAATGGACCATATGATCTGCGGATACGAAGCTGTCCATGGCCAAGAGGCTGAGCGTCGGGCAGCATCCTATGAGAAGCGCGCTCCCGTTTTCCACCGCATACCCGAATACGATGTGTTCCCGGATTTGGTTAATGGGGCAACGGGGCAAACGAGGTGCATCATCAAAGAGTCCAACATGCAAGACGCAAACTTTGATTCTAAAGTCGCTATATGTGATTAACGGGTTGATGCATCATATCATCAGACCTCCAGTCTTTGTCAGAGCATGTATTCGATAAAGGTTGCTTGTTCGGACTCCAACTTGCATTAACGATGGTTCATGTCATTGCAATTCTGAGAGGCCATTGTGTATTTTTTATATTTAGAATAAAATCCAACATCAAGGAGGGGGAAATATAGCTTAAGCCGATTATACATAGTCTGCTTTTCTGGCTTGTATAGAGAAATTCCTCGAAGCTCGGTGTGAGTATTAAGCAATGTAAAGATCAGAACATTTTTTTCGACAGTTATACTAGAGGGCCACTTTAGTATTGAAATGCTCCAAATACTGTATTTTCCAGTAGCAATAACGCAAATCATCGGTTTTTGTCCATTGATTATGATCAGTGAAGCGCCAAACGCGCGCGTAGAATCATATGCTGAGTCAGCCGGAGCTCCGTCAGCTCGCCTGCCTAAGCTCTCCAGTCTCCGGCGTATCGTCATCGCTTAACTCCATCTCCAGCTCTTCTCTACCTCATCGTCACGACTCTACCATCTCTCCATCACTGATCTCGTCTTCCACATACTCAATTCACAATGGACCACTTTCCAGGAACCTGGGGCCGGGTAAGCCTAGCCTTCTCCCACCTCAAACACCCCGTTATCCATCGCTAACAAAGACCCTACAGCCCAGGAACGATGTCTACGGAGCTTACGACCCTTCATATCTCCAGAGCACGGGTCCCAAAACACATACCACTTCACCGGCCGTGACCGGTACGTCGGTCATCGGTGTGAAATTTAACGGTGGTGTCGCCTTGGCCACCGATAACCTGGGTATGCTAGTAACCCTTTTCCCCTTCCACTCAGACATTAAGGCTACAAAAGTCTAACGTCATCTTCATCGGATTACAGCCTCCTATGGATCCCTCGCCCGCTTCACGGACACCAAGCGTCTGCGCGTGTTCGGCGACCAGGCCGTCGTCGGATTTGGCGGCGACGTGTCGGACATGCAATACCTTGACCGACTCCTCGAATCGATCGATATCCGCGAGAACTACTCCTCTCACGGCAACATGCTTAATGCCAAGAATCTGCATACCTACCTTGCCAAGGTCTTCTACAAGCGACGCTCCGAGTTCAACCCCCTGTGGAACCACGTGCTGGTAGCCGGCTTCGATGGCGAGGGCAAGCCGTTCCTCAGCTCTGCGGATCTGCTGGGTACCACGTTCTCTGCGCCGCATTTGGCGACTGGATTCGGTGCTCACTTGGCAGTTCCAATTCTGCGTCGGTTGTTCCCCGAGGAGAAGCCGATTGAAGAGATTAGCCGGGAGGAGGCGGTGGATGCGTTGAAGCAGTGTTTGAAGGTTCTGTTTTACCGTGATGCGCGGAGTCTGGATAAATACTCGATAGCGGTGATTACTAAGGAGGGTATTGACCTCAAGGAGGATGAGCAACTGGAGGGACAGAGCTGGGCGTTTGCCGAGAGGATCAAGGGATATGGAGCTCAGACGGTTTAGATCGGTGATGCTATAACCTCTACTTGTTCTGTTTTCCAGCTAATTTTCACCTACATGAAGAGCCTAATGGATCTCTGTCAGGGAGAATCATGAATTAATCGTATGAACTGATCGTATCGTATTGAGATTGAATGTAGACGAAGCATTGGATGTGAATGATAACTGTTATCAAGTGGGTATATATCGAGAGCATCGACTCCGACCTTCCTCGTTTTTGCTCCATTTCCCATCACAGCTTCGGGTTGGGCTTATCAAAGACCACACGGTTGGAGATCGATCCCACACCCTCGAGGGAGACCTCCACCTGATCGCCATCCTTCAGCCACAGCTGAGGCTTACGGCCCATACCCACACCTTGCGGACTACATAGCAAGTCAGTATTAAATCAAAACCACAGATTGACAAGAAGATTCCCGGCGCACTCACGTTCCAGTAAAGATCAAATCACCAGGTAACAAAGTCGTTCCCTGCGATAAGAAAGCAATCGTCTTGGCCACGCCAAAGATCATATCCTTCGTCGACGACGACTGCACGACTTTCCCGTTCAACTTCGTTCCAATCTGCAACGCATTCGGATCGCGAATAATCTTCGATGAAACAATTCCCGGCCCCAATGGCGCCCATCCATCGAATCCCTTGCCCAACCCCCACTGCCCACCGCCACGCTTGATCTGCCAGTCACGATGCGAAACATCATTGCCCACCGCATACCCAAGCACATAGTCCAACGCGTTCGCCTCAGAAACGTTCCTCGCCTCCTTCCCGATCACGATGACAAGTTCGCATTCATAATCCAGCCCCTCGCCTTCCTGCGCGATGGGCGCAACGGGGATATCGTCCGTGGGCCCGGAGATAGCGGTTACGGGCTTGAAGAAGAGGACGGGGTATTTGGGGATGGGCAGGTTGGATTCCTTGGCGTGTTGTTCGTAGTTGAGGCCCAGGCAGCGGACGGTGCGAATGTCTTTGCGGGCAAGAGGGGCGAGCAGCATGCGGACATCGGCGATTTGGTCGGTGATGCGGTGGGTGCCGAAGATATCGCCGGTGATGACGCGGGCTTGGGTTGCTTTGGCGATGTCGGATATGCCGGTTGGGAGGAGGGCGTCGCCGTAGTAGACGTGGCCGTCTTTGGCGAGGAAGCGGATAAGACGCTGGAAGGGGTTGTTAGCTGTGTAAACCATTGCAGGGGGTATGAGGTATGCTCACTGAGAACGTGGCCATGGTTGTGCAGTGGTGAGTTCGATGATTGTTCTTCAATGGATATTTGGGGAAGAGAGGTATATATAGCTAGACCTATAGATGTAATTGCAGGAAGACTCGGAAAAATCAGGAAGGATAGGAGAAAAGTAAAGAATGCCAAATAATCGCAGGAGATACGTTGATAAAGAATAACGATAGCTGGGGTAATTCTCCCGGGCTCGTCATTTACTAATTTTTCCCCCACGCTCCCGTAGGAGATTCCAGATTCCATCATTTTATTCGGCCGGGAAAATGACCAACGCCCCCATCCCGCCCCGGCGGAAAACGGAGGAGCTCCCCCAGCTTAACACGACTTACCTCTGGAGCTTGGACGACCACTCAATGAACTGCTAGTGACTACTCCTATCCCGTCCACTCGGTGATTACCATTCGCTCGATTCCCCGCAAAAAAAAAATAGCAAGTCCACCGAGTCCCCATGGCGCGGCTCTCCGGTCTACAGCGGGAGGTTCTATCCCTGTACCGGCAGTGCCTGCGTGAGGTCCGCAAGAAGCCTATCGTACGTGGATTATTTCTTTTCTATGCCAGACTATACGAACTATTTGAACCTCAGATCTCGTCGCAACCTCCGATCTCTATCTCTTCTAACATTATCCATTTCATCTTTTCCCACAGGACTCCCAGCCGAATTTCAAAAACTATGCCCGGTATGTCCTCTACTCTGCAGTCCTCATTCCCGTCCGTCTAGTGGTTCTAGTCGCCTAGGGCCTAGTCACCTACGTCTCTAGCCATCGGTGCATTCCGGCTGACGAGTATGCTCGGCGTAGTGCGGAATTCCAAAAGCATCTCTCGGTGAATAAGAAGGACTTTAGTGCCATTGAATATCTTCTACGAAAAGGTCATCGTCAGCTGGAGATGTATGCTTCTCCGGGCATTCGCAATATCCGATGAGGCCTTTCTCGGGGAATCCTGAGGCCTCTGGAGGATTACGATGACTATTATCAATCTCCTTTCCGCTTTTTTCTCGTATGGTTTTCGTCTCCTCGTCTTTCCCGTTTGCGAGTGCTCATGGATTTTTGTATAGCTTCTCGTCTGAATACCACCTTGGGTCGTCCGACTCTTTCCGACACGAGGTGTTGTCGGAGTTGAGATAGATGGTCAGGGTAGAAGGGGCCGTCTACTACTGTATTATAGCCTTTACTGGTCGAGGCGAGCTTGGCCCCAGCCTGTAGGATTCATTTTTCATGTTTTCTGTGAAAATGTACATTGAACTGATCGGGACTCTGCCTAACTACGGGCACGTCGTGGCAAATTGTATCATTCCATCGACGACCACACTACTGACAAATCTAAGATTTGTCTTCTTCTATAGCCGTCTACGCCTTGCCAGATATATATTGTAAGCAGTCCGGAGCTGTACAGTCATACTTTCCGAATCTAGCGAAGATTACTCATGCATGGGCTTCATGATTATAATATCCTCTTAGCATAGCATCCAGAATAATCATCCATACCCCATTCTACCATCTTTGTTGGTGATGGATGACACTGGACGCTTGGAGAAACTACCAGAATCACCTTGCCGTTTCGGGAATACGCCGCCCAATCAGTCAGCGTCCACCGCCACTCAAGTATATAACAAGCAACACGGTTATTCCAAACCCCCATCATTCATCTTTTCGATTAAATCACGATCTCCACAGATCAAAGTCAATCTGATCTTTTTCTATCTACAAATCCCAAACAAAATCCCAAGATCCACCACAATGGCCTTCCTTCAGTGCACGTCAGACTTCTCCCCACTCTTCCGCCTTCTGGACGACTTCGAGACCCACCGCTCCCGTCCCGCACCAACCAAATCCTCCAGATGTAAACCATCATCTCCATCTACATCTACTACCCCAACCCGCCGCACCGTCTTCATTCCAGCCTTCGACGTGCGCGAGTCAGATGATGCCTACCACCTGGACGGCGAACTCCCAGGTGTCGACCAAAGCAACATCGACATTGAATTCACAGACCCGCAAACTCTGATCGTCAAGGGCCGCACTGAACGCAACTACCCTTCCACAGCTCCATCTGCCTCGCCACAGATCAAGCCTCGTGGCCAAGACACTCCCACCACCAGTGCTAGTCGCACCCCGTCTCCATCATGGCATCAGCCCACCGTCGAAGACGACGATGAAGATGATGATGGAAACGTCTCCGATGCCCGCTCGTCAACTGCCAGCGTTCGCTCCGCGTCAAGCTCCCGGTCAACGTCAGCCGTGATCGTGGAGAAGCCTTCTACGTCTACCCCCGCGCCCGCCGAGGCTTCGACCCCCTCTACGGACCACTACTGGCTTGCAGAGCGGTCGGTCGGTGAATTCCAGCGCACATTCGCCTTTTCCGCGCGCGTGGATCAGGATGGTGTTCGTGCCGCGTTGAAGAATGGGATTTTGTCCATCGTTGTGCCCAAGGAGGCTGCGCCCATGACGAAGAAGATCCGCGTCTACTAAGAGGAAGTGGACTCTCGACGTTAATGGTTGATTTTGTCTTATGTCTATGAATATCCATTATTTTTGCATTGGATGGGATTGATGGATGACAATGCTAGCATCGTTTGGCGCGATACGGCTCGGACACGCTTTTGGATTTAAGACTTGGATTTAAGACTTGGATTTAATGTTTTGGGATTTGTATGATAATTTACTCATTTAATTGGAATACATTGTATGAAAATTGAATAACAGCCGTCTCTTAGTTATAAGCAAATGCCCATACCCTGCTCTGTAAGACCAGACCAGACCAATCTTAAAACAAAGCACTCAGCTTTCTTTGCCATTGCCTCTCAATAGAAAATGGCATGTGACATGTACAAGGATCTGTCAGCTTTCTCAGCAAGCTCAGCACTGTGAACATGACATGACGCTTCTAACGTCAAATTCAAATTCATAATTCCCCCCCCCCCCCTTGCGTCCCAGCCGCGCCGACGACGAACCCTGTAGAACAGTACAGAAAAGCAGACCCTGGCCTATCGACCGTCCACGCGGTGAAGAAAAAGAAATCCAAATTAAATCCAAAAAACGCCACATGGCAAGCGCCCCTCACTGCAGTTCGCTTCCCGGGTCTTGCAGATTGAATTCGGACGCAGGGCAGGGATAAGCTGGGGAGGTTGGGCGGTAGTCCGGTAGCATGTAGAACCTAAAATGCGATAATGAGTTGATTCTATTGACAATTTGACAGCACAGCACAGCATAGGAATATGCCGGTATACGTAGGTCGTGCAGTAAGTACTCCGTCCTTACTATAGGCGTCTGAACCGGGAGCTGAATTGAGTAACTGCAATGCCGTGAACTGCGCGATCGGCGCAGAAAGAGATAGTGTAAGATGTGAGACTCGGGAAGATCTTGATCATCCATTCAATTTCAAAAGGTTTAAATTTCAAATCAGAATTAGATCAGGATTCACATTCGAATTCGCAAAAGGAAGGATTGCCAAACACCGCGCCTCAGCCATGATGCTTGTGGATATGTTGTGGTTGGGAAGCAAAGAAAAACACCGTGAACGCAAGTGTGTAACGCCAGATAAATCATTTCAACGAGGGTATATATTGATGAAAATCAATCCGAGTACTCCGATTTCACCCAAAAAAAAACAGAGCATCCCAAAAACTGGTATTGTGAAATGGGAACCATGAAGAACGAAACCCGGCACAGCAACGCCGAGAGAGAAAAAAAAGACTTTTAGTGTATATGGGGCATATCACCCCAAAACCAAAAATGAGAATCCCGAAATGGAGCCAAGCCCACATCGAGCCACCAAGCCACTGAAATCAGGAGGGAAAAGAGCAAGGGAAAAAAATGACACTGTCACTCATATCCGTAACGGGAGAGGGGCATAACAAGAAGTAAAAAGATCGTCACATATAGAATTCCGCCTGAGGACGCGCCTTGATTAATTTGCGACGGCGAAAGTCCTGGCTTCGGCTGCGAGGTCGGCCACGAAAAGTCTCGGGTGCATACAGCTCAAGGTCATCCTCATCCCCGTGGAAGTGACCTGGGGACATGATCGTGGGGAGAGGAGGAATCTCGATCCCGGGTTTCTGGGACCACACCCGGCTGCCAGGGCGGCTTCGGGATCGTGATCGATGCATGGGGCTTTCGCGTTTCGCTTTGACATCGAGGTACCGCTCTGATGCAGACCGATGCACCTGGCTGCGGAAATTACTGCTACCGCGCTGCTCGTGGCTCAGCGGTGTGTCCGTCCCCGATGATGTGGACGAGCCCAGGCTGTGCGAAACCTCAAGCCCGCCAGTCGAGCAGCGATCCGCATACAATCGTCCCCGCGAGTAAACCTGCTCTTCGTGAACGGCCACTGCTGCCGTGGTAACCGTGGCATCGAGTTCGATCTTCTGCGCCGGATACTCGGTGTATCGGGGAGCACACAGAGTTGATCGCCGAGTCCGTAAGGCAGCAAGGGGTTTCTCGGTGGCTGGGCCGATCGAATCGTACCAGCGATCGAATTTGGGATGTAGCCGCGAGTAGTTCCCCGTCTTGGACTTAGCTTCATGCAAACTAAAATGCCGCTGTATCTCTTCGGTACGGTGATGGCTGCGGGACTGGTCACTTGTGACCCAGACGGTCTTGGCATGGCCGTCTGCAGTGCAGGAACCGGAGGTCTGCGAGTCGAAAGATGCGCGCGGGCGGCTGTGGTGGTAGGAGCTGACGGAAGCCGCTGAGCTGTAGCCGCTGTCGGATTTGTTGAGCGAACGAATGGTGCTTCGCTCGAGACAGGTGTCTGCTGCAACCTTGTCTGGCTGGCTAGTGCCGTCATCGAACATGGCGATTCCCTCATCTTCCAAATCGCCGGGGAAGGTCGACTTGAATGGTGGGGCAGCTGCAACGGTGGGGGACTTTTCAAATGAGAATGGACTGCCTGGGACATCATTGTATTTCTTTAGGTCAGGTACGGCAGGGATCTCCAGGGTAGACTTGATTCTGCCCATAGTATCGACGTTATCAAGGCCGAGACCGGGTTGACTGAGAGGGATCCGTTCGCTGGGACATGGAGACGCAGAGCCGTTCACGACTCGCAGAGATCCCAATTTTAAAGCTCCAAGTTGAGTGTATTGACTGTCTGGCGGACTCGTCGGTCGTATCGGGGGCGCCACAATAAGTTCTGGTCTCTGGCGCGGTGGCAATGGCCATTGTAAGACTGTAGAGTCGTTTGGATCATCTAGAAGGTCCGAAGGTTCGCCAATTGGAGATGGTACACGACGGACGGTACTGTTCGTTCGCCTTGTGGCCACTCCGGGTCGAGTCAGGAGAGAACGCCGGCGAGTCAAGGAGAAGCGCTGGTTGCCAACCAAGAAATGTGTATTGGAGGAAGTCGCATCTTCATATGTATTCTCGTAGATCACGCTGTTGTGTCTGGTGAGGGTGGTCTGGACAGAGTTGGCCCGTCTAGGATGTTGCGGCACGAACGATAGCTGCGAGGAGCCGCCATAATTCCCGGGCTGATAGGATGCTCTCCGGACAGAACGTCTAGCAGACATGGTGCAAGAGACTGGGGAAAGTGGCGAAATCGGTTCATCCTGGACCCCTGGTGATTGAATTGGGGACTCGATCACTTTCTCCTCATCTGACGGACCTGCTTCAGTTTCGAACAAGGTCGGAGGGATCTCTCTCGCCTTTCCATGACTACTAATTCGGACCTCCGTCGAGATATTAGACCCTACCCAGGGATTCTGCCACCCGATTAACCCAGTATTCAACTCTGGACCGTCTATCGAAGTACGAGCTGATTGAGGTGAACTCAGAGCAGACAGCTTCCTGGTGAACGGTTTGGAAAGCCGATTGGCACGGCGCGTCTCTTCCTTTGTCGGACTTGATTGTGAGTTGCCCATGGCTTCGCAGAGAGCGACCCAGCGCCAAGGTGAAATTGCGACGTTGCCACAGGCCTAAAAGTAAAGCATGCGCAGCATGAGTCGACAAAAAGGCCAAGCCCACGGATAAATATACAAAGATGTGCGAGCGGCTTGGACCTCTCGGGGCGAGTTCCAAGGGCCGGAATGGCCTGGTGCAGCCCTTTTGCTGGTAGGGTCAGATTAGATCGACTGGCAGAGTGTTGACGTCAAACCACGCCGCGTTTGCTGAGCGATCGATCCGGGCTCCAGGCCTGTACACCCGCGGGTTTCCAATTGGGCGTACGATTGGCGGCCGAAAGCTCCCCGTGCGGAGATGATGATGATGGAGTAAACAGGTGTTTCAGATTGGAGGAAGACACCGGTGATGGTTGGACGATGGCACGACAACGTGCGAGGGTTTGAGTAGGCGGGGAAGGTTACCTTTCCCAGCAAAGCAAATGGGAAGTGGAGGGACGAAGGTATTCACAGGAGGTGGGTTTTAGGTATTTGTCAAAAGGAGGAATGAAGTCATTCGACTGCATCCAGCACACGACGGGAGCCCTTGCAATGGACCCTGGTTAAGTTTTACTTGCCGAGTATGGTAGACGGAATCCGGAGAGAGGGCCAATTGATTGATTGTCAAGGCCAATGACGGGGTGGGAAATAAACATCAAACGGATTGGCAGTTATGGACAGGTTGAAACGAGAATTGAACTAGGAATAAATCAAGGAACGGTCGCCGAGGAAGGGTGGGATAATTCTCCCATTAAAGGAGTGGCAGGAAAAAAGAGACAGCAAAGACGGGGGATGGGGGATGATAGACGTACATAAAAGTCGAGTGGAGAGGGAGCGCGCGACAGGCCATGCATCAGCCCATGGCGTGGAAAGTCCAACGACTGACGAAAGCGTGATGGTCGCCACAACAGAAGCTCTTTCGCAGAATACCAAGGACGGGAATCGTTCCCGGAGAGCGAAGTGTAGATGGTGGATCCACGACCGCTGATTGGAGCAGAAGACGCTGGCGCTGCAAGCGGAACAGGGAAGTGCAGATTCATACCAAGAGGAACGAGAAAAGGAACAATGGACAGGTACGCGGTACATGAATGGTACCTACTGATTTCATTGTGGGATCATATTGTTGGCAAGTACCCTTTCTGTGTCTACCCGCCTTTGCCCACCGCCCTCCTCCCGCTTGCGGCTGCATCCATGGACTCTGGACTCGAGAGATCCTCTACTCTACTACCGTACGGACCAACTTCCTATCGTTCCCCGTTCCAGAGAGCATGACGGTACAAACAAAAGAACAAAAGCCAGTCACATCCGATCCTATCTTTTATGAACACGGTATCCAGTGCTCCCTTGGCCCACCCCTTGTACAGTAACCCCAATTGCCCGTCACTAGCTAAGCTAGTAAGCTAGTAAGCTCGTCAGCTAGCCAGCTAGCCAGCTAGTTGAGCCACAACTACCGTGTACCCAGTTCTCAGGCTTCGAGGTATCAGACCCAGTCGCTCACCTTTGCATCCTTGGATCCGCCCAGTCGTAAACCTGATGCGACATGGCCGATCCCTCCCGCCTCCCTCCCGAACAAACTCCATTGTCCTTCTCCGTTTCCGGCTACCTTTTCCACTACCCTATCCTGTCTTGGACCCGTTCATTGGATCTCACATGATAAGGCCGCAACCATTTACCGCCTCCAACATTCGCATTCGCAATCACCTGATCGATTGATATCTGCCACAGCAACGTTGACAGCCCGCTCCGCCCCTCCGGCTTTGGGGCCTGGGGCCTGGGTCCTGTCAGTCGGCAAAGCCTTGCCCCACTTAACATACCCGTAGCTGACTCGAGCTTACTACTAGCCTCCCGGTCTCTCACAGTCAGACAGACCATTCGGCTCCCCCACATTACACCACGTCGTCCGAGAGTTCTGGTGACCCCGACGCTTCCGTCGAACTTGGCTGACGGCACCACGTCGGAGAGCGAGAGCGAGAGCGAGAGAAGTGGGCGGGGACTGTTCGGCTCGACCGATCGATGATTGATGGCACAATGGCGGACACCACGCTGTCCCTGTCCGCCTTTCCGTTCCTCACGCCAGATGAGTTTGGCTCTGCATGTCGAGCTCTTGCCGAGCGAACCCGCAGCTGCACGGCCGCCCAAGTGGACGGCGGCTGGTCCTCGGTTCGACTGGTCACACAGGTATATCCCTGTCGGCGTCCTGCATGAACTTGACTTTATTCAATATTGCAAAGATGTGGCACTGACATCGATTGGGGCTGGCTGGCCCCCTCGCGCGATCGTTTAGAATACTATCAGCCTCAAAATTTCTAAACTCTTCGAGGTTCAGAGTCCGGTACTGGATGATGCTGATCTACGAGAAGTCTCGACTCTTACCGATGCTTCTAGGTCTATGCAGGCACAAGCAGAAGCGAGAGCAATGGAAGATGTAGATGAAGATCCGGTCTGCAGCCCGTCCTAGGGGGGTATCAATTGCCGATTTAAGGGAAAAAAAGAAAAACACAGTCCTAATCATTTTCAAAATCACAGGAAGCCCTTGTCCGCACCGATCTCTATCCCACTTTGCAGATAGATTATGATATCGTGTTCTCCCCCATATATCAAGTTCCCGTCTTGTATTTCGTGCTCCGGTGGCACAATCACCAAGGCCCCGTGGGGCTGGACGCGGTCTATCAATATGTAGTACCGGAGCAATACAGGCAGCAATTGCAGAGTGTCGGCGTGATGGGAGGGATCAGTTTCGGCGTAGGTGCACATTCGTTTTCTTTCTCTCTTCCTCTCTCCCTCGGATCGAAAAAAAGGGCAAGACTCGGGGGATTGTTGTTCTTTTTCAAGGGGCTCATGATGTCTTTCGTAGTATCATCCAGAATCTGGCGCTCCGGCCTTTTTTGTCCACCCGTGCAACACCGCGGATGCGATGGCGCATGTTGCAGACGGACAGAGCGTCACCACCGGAACATATCTCCTCATCTGGCTCGGTCTCGTAGGTCAATCGGTGAACCTGCACATTCCCTGCGAGATCGTCGTCTCCGATGGGGCCAGCCCATACTGAAGGGCAAAAGAAAAAGGGTACCTGGAATAAGGATACCCCGCAGAGAGAGATATTTCAAGCAAAAGAACGCCCCTCCTCACCCCCTCCCAAGAGCATCGGTCTTGGCCACCCTTTTGGTGCACGCAATTAATCTTCATCTGAGGAGGCTTCCATGGGTACATCGCTATCCTCTTCCATCGGTGCCTCTTCCTCATCACTCTCATCCTGGCGAGGTCGTTTGACACCATGCGCATCTCCGTTCGTCTCAGCAGCCGTTCGAGAGGGAATCGCGCCAGGTGGTCCACTGAAGATAGACTTTTGGAGATCCGTCGAAGCTCCGACTGGAGCCGCGCCGAGAGCGGGTGGGTTGTACGTGCCACGAAGCTTGGCCAGAATATCCGAGGAACCCTTAGCATAGACAATTTTCTGGAAACCAAAGGCAGACCGTGTTAGTCAATCAGAACCAATGAAATCAATGGAAGAAACGTACCATTTCCTTTCCGAAAAAGTCAAACCCTTGAAGGGCGCGCATGGCTTGTGTGCTGGCTTGGATGTCCTTGAAGACGATATGGGCCTGTCCGCGCATCTTGCTGGTTCTCATGGCCACGACGTCGAGGACGGTGCCATAAGTGGAGAAGAGGGTGTAGAGCGAAGAACGGAGATCATGCTTGTTGAGCTTGTCGGGTAGGTTGGTGCAGTACAATCTGGACAGCTGTCAGTTCTCAGGTGCTTGGTCAATTGCGGTCGAAACGAGCTCACGTTTGGTTGGGATGTCCAGCGGACTTGATATCGACTACTCGAGAGGGAGCGGTCTTGGAGGCCATGTTGTGTTGTGGAAGAGCTGTGTATGGTTGTTGGCTGGATATCACAGACTCAGAGGAAATTGCGCCGTGGAAATGGTGGAGACTGGAGCTTCGCTGAATACCGCGTCGAAGCCGATGTCCAAATCGCAAGAAAAGAAGACCCCCACACGTGACTAGCTGTTCGGTTACGGCGGTCTGGAGAGGCCACCAAGGAAACTCATCAATTAGACTGGCAGAATTGCGGATTGGATGGACTTACATTGCATACCGCCTTTAGAGCAGTAGAGGTGGAGTCATCCAAGCAGGGAAATGCGAGGAAGTTCACAGTCGGTCGATGTTAAATATTGTCTCAAGATGAATTAGAAGAGAAGACTCTCAAATTGGAGGTATATCAGGTGCATAGATTATTGTCTACATGAAAAAGAAAGTCCATGACTGTAAGAGCGACAGTAAACATGTAGCAACCAACAGATCGAGGATTGGACTGTTAAGACCACATTCAGAGTTAGTTAAAAGTGAAGGGCAGCCCCTAGGCTACTTGTACCTGCTACGTTCATGCTAGGCACTCCACAAGACAGTTTCAATAGCGGTAGTGTATCTTCTTTGGTGGCCTCTAGAGTGTTCAAGATGGGCCGCCTTCACGACCTTACCTAAGCGGTCAGCGTCATTGCGTAGCTTTCCCCATCTCCCGCTCTGCCACCCCCGTTCCCCTCGTTCATACCCCCTCATCGACGGTAGAGAGCTCCTCCTGTCGAATTCCTCCATCATGGCTGCTCCTAAAGTTCACCACCTCTTCCATGCCCCAATTGCAGACCACTCGTTCTCCTCGGACAGACAAACCCTCGCCGTTGCCCGGGATAACAATGTGGAGCTGTACCAAGCATCAGGCAGCAAGTTCACTCTGAGCGACGAGCTTAAGGGCCATGACAAGACTGTCACCAGTGTTGACATTGCTCCCAACAGTGGCCGTATTGTTACTTGCTCCCAGGGTTAGCCTTGTCCTCGCTCTATCTATCGAGTTTGTCAACTAATGCATCGCTATCTACTTTGCAGACCGCAATGCCTATGTCTGGGAGAAGACCGCTACTGGCTGGAAGCCTACTCTCGTCCTGCTCCGAATCAACCGTGCCGCCACCTTTGTCCGCTGGTCTCCCTCCGAGCAAAAGTTCGCCGTCGGTTCTGGAGCCCGTGTCATCGCTGTCTGCTACTTCGAGGAGGAGAATGACTGGTGGATCTCCAAGCACCTGAAGAAGCCGATCCGCAGTACCATCACCACCCTTGCCTGGCACCCCAACTCCGTGCTTCTGGCTGCCGGTTCCACCGACTCCCACGCTCGCGTCTTCTCCAGTTTCATCAAGGGCATTGATCAGCGCCCGGAGCCGAGCGCTTGGGGCGAGCGTCTCCCCTTCAACACCATCTGTGGTGAATACCTGAACGACACTGCTGGCTGGATCCAGGGTGTCTCCTTCTCCCCGAGCGGTAATGCTCTCGCTTTCTCCGGACACGACAGCAGCGTCACTGTTGTGTACCCTAGCGCACCCGAGCAGCCTCCCCGCGCGATGCTCAACATCTCTACCCGTCTGCTGCCTCTCAACAGTCTGATCTGGAACGGCGAGAACGAGATTATCGCTGCTGGGCACGTATGTCGCATTTTCCCACCTGTGATTGATCGCAATGAAATGCTAATTTTCTAAAATAGGACTGCGAGCCCTTCCGCTTCCGCGGTGACGAGAGCGGATGGCAGCTAGCCGGTTCCCTGGAGAAGAAGGGTGGTGCCGGAGCCGCCGGAGCTCGCGAGGAGTCTGCGCTGAACATGTTCCGGCAGATGGATCTCAAGGGCCAGACTGCAGTGGATACTAAGCTCAAGTCGACCCACCAGAACACCGTGAACACCATCCGTGTCTTTGAGGAGGCTAACGGACAGGTGAGCTCTTTCAGCAGTAAGTTTACCCCCTGACACTCGTCTGGGAGAATCTATGCTAATGATCTGAACTACAGCTAGCGGTGTCGATGGCCGTGTTGTTATCTGGTCTACCTAAGCATTATATCACCCATAGAATCAAACCTCTGACCGGGGTAGGAATTAAACACACTTTTTCAAACTGGTATACTTGACCTAACGACAGTAAAAGTCTGCAAAACTTGTAGGATGTGATCAGCTCCAATGTATGGATAATGCTACTTTGATGTGAGGAAAGGGTTCGAGACAAGTATGCTAATGTGGCCTCGCTATCTGGACTGAAGTCCCGACTGCCCCGTTCCTTGAAAGTGGTCTACAGGATATATTACAATTAAAGGATTCCCGACCTCAGTTCACGTACATATGCTCATGACGGGGAGAGCTGTACCCTAAGGAGCTAATCGTGACTTTCATATTATAGGTAAACTAAAACGTGTGCGAGACGCGTCTCGTGTACGTACTTTGGACACAGATGATCCGAGACAAAAATACATCGCAGTCCCATTTGTGCCATGTTGGCCTGCTTGGGATCAAGTTGTAACAACCCTTGCTTTAGGAATAGCACTGCCCAGAGTATTGTTAGGGGAATGTTCTTGTATTTGATTTGAATCGCGATATTTAGGCTGAAAGCGAGCGTAGTGTATTATTTGCTCGCAGCATGGATATATGATATATCGAAATTAACATCGCCCTTTCCATATACTTGGGCGGATCGCAGAGTCACCAAAGAGCAGGTGATACATGCCGTCTCTTAATCTTCAAGCTCAACTTCGTGTATCTTTTTAGCTTTAGGATTCGCTTCACCTTGGACTCGATTCAGGACTCGGTTCAGTAGCAAGGGCGCCGCCAAAGTGGTCCAAAATCTCAAAATATCTAGAATGATCGTTAGAAATAAGACACGTGAGAGTTGAAGACAGACATATAAAGACGTACACAAGGCTCTTCCATGTGTCAAGAGGGTGATCTGCGTCTATAATTGACCAATCAAATGATTGGTCTGCTACAGGTTCGTCGCTTGGATAGTGATATGGACTCAGATATGGGTGGGACAAAGCGGCTTCGGCTGTTATTCGTTTCTTTGGATCCCACACCAGTAGCTTTCCCAATATGTCGAGAGCTATGATGTAATTAGCACTTTATTTCCATCTGACGGTTGGCGGGACACACCTTCTGGAAAGGCCTTCTTGATTTTCTTCGCAAAAGGTATCTTCACCCGTTCAGGTAGCCCAGAAATATACTCAGATGTCTGCAGGAATATCAGTCTCCAGACGATGGCTTTTGGGAGGCGTGGCACTTACGCTTTTCGAGCATATAGCCTTGATCACATCATGGGGAATCGAGCCCAGAAGATCGGAAATAACCAGGAACTGGTCCGTGTGATTACGTCCCGGAAACAGAGGCGACCCTTCAATCATCTCTGCTAAGATACACCCAGCACTCCACATGTCGACCTCAACATTATACTTTTGCCAAGTGAGCATCGTCTCGGGGGCCCGGTAAAATCGAGTTGTGACATAGCCCGTCATCCTTGGATCGACAGTTCGTGCCAAGCCGAAATCGCAAATTTTGAGATCACAGTTTTCATCTATCAAGATGTTGCTCGGTTTGAGGTCCCGATGGACCACGCCGGCAGAGTGAATATATTTCAAGGCACGCTGACGAGACTAATCAGTTCGAGCTCTGTAGAATGTGAAGAACTATGCAAGGATGAAGGTACCATGATCTGATAAAAGAAGTACTGGACAAACTGATTTTCCATCGGTCTGGACCGGATGATTTGCGCGAGGTCGGTGGACAGAAGCTCAGTGACAATGTATCTGCCATTTAGTCAGTAGGTATCCGAGGTGGCTCAGATATGCGAGAAAATCTTAGGTCCACGAACATATCATCTAGAGGCGAGACAAAGATGTCACGCAATGATATTACCTTTCGCAACGGGGTTAGTCCATCGATGCATGAGCGTCGAACAGCGATCGACGTACATTTTCGTGTGAAAGATGTCTGAGAAGTTTCACCTCCCTCACAGTCTGTTTGGCATCGATTTTGGAGTTGAAGGGTTTAGAGATTTTCTTGATTGCTACGCCCTCCTTGGTCAGGATATCAGTACAGGCACTGCCGAGGAAGCATGGTCAGATATGGAGAATTATTCATCGCTAAAAGCTCAAAAATGCCTTACCACACGACGCTATGTGTTCCCATTCCCACCAGCTGTGGCTTCTCGTATCTACAAAGAGGGGTCAGTAAGTCCCACCAAAGAGCGTGAACTGCGCGATCTCGATAAACACACCTGCCCGTGAGATCAAAAGTACACCCGCTAACCTGATGGGCCTTTATGCCGGGATCGTACATGGCTTGATCGACCGGTGTAGAGATCCGGGATGCGGACACCTATTGCCACGAAGGTCTATATGTGTGAATAGGTGCTTTCCGTCTTTGGCAAAAACTTGAAGCGCAAGATCGATCGATATCAGGGGGGGTTTACCCCACGCATGGCGGTGATCGGCGTCGTGGTCCAGACCCTTCAAACAGGTTTCTGACCAGTCGTGGTTGGCAAAGTTTTCCGCCAATAATAGTAGGGCTCTACATAGATGCGACCCATGGCAGTCTAGCCCGTGGACAAGCTTCGATTCTGCCCGAGCCGTCAAACACAACCACATCCGGAGAGACAATAGCCCAGTGTTCTGCAGAGGCTCCGCTGACGTCATCAACGTCGTTGGCGCACCTGGGTCGAGGTCTGGAATGATCCAGTCCTCGAAGAATATCAGACTCTGAAGTATACCGAATAACGTTCCCCCTTTTACTATGTTTTAACAAACCCTCGCCTAGGAAGGGTTTGCCATCCAAACGACACTGCCCCCCGCCCTTCGGATATCTTTTGCTAGGGACATCAGACAAAAGATACATTACCTAAATTTCGAAGATTTCAACAGCAACAATCTTTAGGCCCCTGGAAATCACCATATGTAACATGATGAGCTATTCAAGTAACATAGCAAAATTTCAGCATGAATTTCATGGTCGTGAGATAGTCAATATTGGGTCAGTCCGAAAGGGATAGTAAATAATTCTCAAAAGGTGTGCTTGAAAATTGCCTTATAAAATAGAATATGATATTGGAATATTATATTAAGAATAAAATATAAAATAACAAGAGCGAATATTTTGTGGTTGTCGAGATACTTGAACTTCGGGTGATGTATTTTTTATATGGCTTCCCTAATAAAAGATACCCGACAAAACGTATCGTTTGGGTGGCCGACCGTTGCGGAGCCTGAATCCGTAAATTATGATAGAATTCGTTAGGGGCCGGTTCGGCAACAGGTATGAGTTCTATTAGTGCATAGTATCGACAGGCAATTCCTTTGTGATCTTCAGGTCTAAAGTCGGGGTCTCTGCGATCTTCAATGTTTTCGTGCAGAGAATACAACGCTCCTTAGCGACTAAGAGGTGACTGTGTGGCTATCGTCTCCACTCAAAATCTGCAGCATTTCCCACGCTCTAGTTTGTGCGCTTAGGAAGTGATTGCCACACTATGCAGACTTTGAAGAGGCAACGAATTGGCGTTTCGATAAAGTTGTGACAGTGCGCGGCTCAACGGTTCGGCCGGGAGTCATGAATCCTCCGCGGAGTTCAATTTCCGCTGAAGAAGCCCATCAGGCCAATTGTGTCCAATATCGTGGGTCTCGATCGTCATGATCATGAGATAGTGAAGGTGCACGGGGTTGGCGAAGTGGGGGTCGTGACGTCAGAGCCAGACCAAAGTCAGCCCTGTCCTGCCCACCATACAAACCCCGACTGACCAATCATCAACGAGAAAATACGCCCATTCTCTCGCGCCGGTCCGAAGCCCAAACTCGTGGCGCACGAAAGAACAAAGAAAGTCTTTATGCAGACTTCGAGAACTGTGGAGAATCCTCGCGAATGACTTCATGACCTTGGGCTACCCCCCGCCCTGAAGGTATATACTGACCGGCGTACTCCAGCCCCGCGTAGTCCGAAGATCGACACTCCAACTATCACCACCATATGTCAGACACCATCGACATTTCAAATACACGCACAACTTCCGACCGTTAAGGTCGCTACATCGCCGTTGGTCTCATCCGTGATTATTGTTCCAACCTTCAAACTTCTAAACGCTCGGATCGTACCGAGCAACGCACTCGGGCATGTGAGAAGATTGACGGCCCTTGAAGCTCTGTCATATTATGGGAAAGCAGACTTCAATGGCACAAAGAGACTCGTCTAGACAGCTAGAGCGACTGGGTGCGGATGATTTTGTCGCGACCAACTCATCAAAGGTTGCGCAATCCGGCTCGTCCGAACCACAAAGTGCCTGTTCAACCCCGAGCAGTCGCTCTGCCTGGTCTACCCGCTCTCTTCATGGGGTTGAAATGGTGAATAGGTTTCCCACTCCTCGTCCAGAGGAGTCGCCTTTGGCTGACTCTGTCCCAGTAGACAGTAGCAAGGCCAATATCTCTAGGGGACGCGCGCCTAATGCAAAGATTGCCATCCCGAGGGATGTCAACAGTCTGGGCCCGCCGGCTATAGGCCGGGTATCGCGCGCATGTTCGTCGTGTAGATCGCGAAAGGTAAAATGTAGTGGCGAACAGCCCATTTGTCGACAATGCCGTGAGCTCGATCTGACCTGTCACTATCCACTGGGTTGGAATGAGAGAATGAAAAAGTAGGTTTCCTCTTCGCCAATGCGACAAAAGGATTGTTCGTATTAACGAGATATTTAGGGAGGCCAATGATCTGTCCGCTTTGGTCCAAGATTACAGAAACTTCGTCCAAGACCTGCTCGGCACCGCGGAAAGTGCGAAGGCCCAATGGGCTCATTCTACTTTGCAAAAGGTAGGGTTGATAGGTGAACATTCCCCAAAACTCCTTTAAGGTTCGACTAACATAACTTTAGTATCAATCATTAATGGACGATCTACCCGAGACGATTCAACTTGCCACACCTGCGGCGCAAGACGAGAACGGTTCAGTGGAGAGTCCGACCGAGACTGGTCACAACGATCGGCAAAGCTTTGACGAGCAATTACTAGACTCAACGTCCAGCCAGGAAGAAACAGATGGGAAGGAGGAGGAGGCGCAGCAATTCACAGACGGAGTCATGACGGATTCCCTCGACTTTGCCCTTGGAAACTTCGCTACAAACTTACCTCAGCCGGTCAATAAATACGGCATGCCATCGCGGCAGCTTTCCGATCTTTTGTTCGAGGGGTATTGGAGCAATGTGCACCCTGGTTTCCCTATGATCAACCGACCGCTCTTCCGTACCCAGTACCACAGCTTTTGGGATCAAGGGCAGCAGCCAGGCGACAAATGGCTAGCAATTCTAAACATTATCTTCGCCATCGCCGCCAAATATGCCCACCTCACTCAGGCACCGTGGCGCGGCGAGGAGAATGATCACTTCCTATACTTCAATCGAGCAAGGTTACTGAGCTTGACAGGCGAAGAGGTGTTCAGTCCCCCAAACCTTCAACAAGTACAACTCGAGGGATTAGTTGCATTCTACCTGCTTGCAATTGATCAGATCGGCAGGGCTTGGAGAATTTCCGCACTGGCTGCCAGATCCGCCGTCACACTGGGTGTCAATCGAAGTCTCACGAAAAAGCTGCCACCAAGACTAAGAGAGGCACGCTTCCGACTTTGGTGGTGTCTTTACACCCTTGAGCAGACGCTGGGTCTGATTTCTGGTCACATCTCATCAATTCCCAAAGACAAATACGCCCCGCCCCTACCTATACCTTTTGAGGAGGAAGACTTCGAAACCGACTCTTCAGCTTCGGCTCTGCTTCAAAATCCCGCAGTTCGAAAACAATGGCTCCAGACAATCATGCCAAGTTCGAAGAGTTGGCCGAGCGATGGTTACAGCAAAAACAGCCTGCAGGAATCGTCTCCAAGAGATAATGCTTGGCTTAAATTCATGAAACCTAATGCCGGCCTCTTCTACCTTTTCTATTGCGACTTGGCCGTCATCATTGAAGATATCGTCAATCAGGTCCAGGTATCCTCCATTTGGACCGACAGCGAGAATCGTATTGATGGCCTCCGTTCTCGCATCGAGTTCTGGAAAAACAGTCTCCCGTCATCTCTGGACTTAACAACAGTCGACCCCCAAGGCAGCGTGAGCCAGATGCGGTACAAGCTGGGTCTAGAATTTCACTACCAAAGCGCTCGAATCGTACTAGGTCGACTCTGGCTTTGTCAACGAGACGAACTTGGTCTGGATCAATCACAAATGCTCAATCATAACATGGCAGTGATGACCCTGGATGCCGCGAAACAAATCCTCGACTTGCTACCCGACCAACCAAACACGATACAACTTTACCAGACGTTCCCATGGTGGAGTGTCCTTCACTATATCTCCCACGCAGCGAAGATCGTACTCTTCGAATTGTCGATTGGATGTAGGCACGTACAGAATAGCTCGCCGCATCTCGTCTGGCTCGCGAAAAAGGCTATTTGTTGGTTGCACGCTATGTCAACCCGCAGCCCGGGCGCGGAGCGAGCGTGGCGGCTTTGTGACTCGTTTTATCGTAAAGTTTCGAAACAGAACGGGTATTGTACGAATGATATCCCGCCGACGACCGAGACTGTCAATCCCTCCGAACGGAAACAGCAGTCCGCTGGTTCTAGCTCTGCGGAAGTTGGTGATTTGGAACAGTTTGACTTTCAAATTGATGATGTGGAGTTGACAGACTGGATAATATGATCAGTCAGTGGCGCTAGAGGTTGGGATTCAGGAAAGGGACTTGGGAAGCATTTTAGAGTTGCATGGGTTTATCTTGCATCTTATTCAACGATTCAAACTCCGCAGAAGCCTGTTCTACTTTACTACATTTTTAATGTTCGAACACTTCCGACTGTGCTAAAAGCCTGTCACAATAATGAAATGACAAAAAGCCAAAAATTCGAGGCAAAAGAATTATACAATCAACTAGCTACCTATTGAATGAGTCTTACTTGATAAAGTATTCGTGGTCCAGTCTCGTCCCAAACCGTAGATGATCTGTTCTTTAAATATCTACCATATCATGGCAGCACTCTACTCTTGATATCAGTAAGCGCTCAATGTTGTGTCTTTGTTCCTCGTTAGAGAAACGACATGCTGTAACGCAGCTTAAAAAAGCCCTAATTTCCCGCACGTCAGGGCATGCCAAGTTCCCCTGACAAAGCAAGTGAGCTGGACTATAAGTTGCTGCACTTGTAGAATCACGACGGCGATCAGACACATTGCACATCGCCCCGTGTTCCTCAGGGCTACTGTAAAATCTCCTCTCAATTATCCAGTCATTATACGCAGTGCCAAACCTCTTGGAATTCCTGGCGAAAGGGATGTTGGTAGTCAGACAAATGGTGGTGAATCACCAACAAGTGCACACCGCTCCGCATAGCACCGACCCCGATCGATCATTGTTCAAAGGCGCTGAAAGAAAGCACTACGTTGGCGGACAATCTAGAAGCTCTTAGCTGAAGATACAACAATGAGATGGCTGAATCCACAAGAAACCTCCAGCTCACTGCACGTTGAGCCCCAGGGAGGACCCCTCCGCTGAACTTCGGTCTCATTCATGTCCTTATCACTGGATGACCGCTTGCAATTTCTCTCTGAGCTATTTGAAAGTGTGTTATCACTTTGCATATCTGAAGCTTAATCAACAGCATGTGAAGGAGAGACACGGGTAACGCGTCGCTCGAGTCCCTTTACTGAGATTGAACAGAGTTTGGAGGTTTGCAGGAGAAGTCAAGTACGCTTAATGAAGGGCATACAATAGTCCACGGAAGAGAAGCGACCTTGGTCAGTGTTGACGAGAATATTCTCGAAGTAGTATCCAGGTAGGAGTCGAGGCGCGAAATAAAGTTTCTGGTGTATAATTATCAACAAGAAAGCGGGATGACGCTTTTAAGAAACAAAGACTTAGAACAATCATCCTCTATCTAATGTGCTAGAACAAACATGTATGGCGCATAAAATCTGGTATCTGGCAACCTAAGTCAACATGATCACACTATCTTCCTTTTCCATCCTCTCTATAACCGACTTCTTGCCGAAAGCAACAGCTCCTTGGACCCTAAGATCCTCGGCGCCTCCTCACATATGGTGTCATAGATGGATGGTCCAACTGACTTTGCAAACATATAGCCTCCCGATGGGAGACTCACTATCGAGAAAGCAATGAGCGCAACCGGTCCTGTAAAGAGGCCTAACCCAAAACCCAAAGCGGTAAGACCGCCAGGAATGCCCCAGAGACATACTGGCGCTCCTACGGCGACGCTAGTTCCTTGTGCTATTGCGTTCCAGTGGTTCGGGTCTAGAATATTCGCAACGTCATGTAAAAGAGTAGCAGGGGCTGCTGGTAGGTTCAGCTTGACCTGGGCAGCGCCCTTGTACGTCATACCCTCAACCTGGAGAGGGTAGAGGTCCTCGGGGAAATGCAGCGGCTCCTTGATCTGTAATTCCGAACACGAGGGAATAAGCAGATGGAAAACAATAGCCTTCGCCCTCTCTTGGTCTTTGTCCATTAACTTCTGTCTGACTTCACGCATGAACAAACAAATGTGGTCGAGGTTATTGCCAAGTTTATTCACAAACTCTGGTGGGAGCGGGTGCGCTGTGGTCAATCGGTCAAACGCCGGATGCCAGTCCGTGGAATTGTGGTACACGAAGAAAAGATGATTCTCTCGGTCTTTCACGTCAGTTTGATTGATCTTCATTTTGATAAAGTCGTAGACAGGTTGGGCGAACCCGTTAGGGCCACCGGCACCACATTCAGCGATGCAGTTACTATCTGCGAGATGACCGGCGATAACGTTCAATGCTTCGATTGCCTGCTGGGCTTGGGCGACCTGGATTATTTTAAGTGAAGCGTTCCAGCATTCGAGATAGTCGATGCGACTAAGGGATGATGGTTCAGGCACGGTGCTGCTCTTGGCTTGCGCTACAGAGCTATCCGTCATCGCCACCGGACCATTCTTCACATTATCACCCTTGAGGCTGGGCGCCACTGTCTCGGAGCCAACAGCAGCCGAGTTTGAAGGACCAGGAGAAACTAAGGATAAGTCCTTGAGTGTCCCTGCGCTGGACTGAGGCAAGACAGGACCGAGATTTGGGGCGAGAGCGTTGAGTAGAGGCTGGGCGTTGGCCGGGGGAGATTCAAGGACGTCCTTGAAGCGATGTGCTAGCTTCATACTAAGACGACCAACGCGGATCAGGCTAAGAATATCGCGCTTCGCTACGGCGAGATACAGCAGCTCTAAACCGTCCATGCCAACGGTTTTCGCCACTTCGGTAGGATACTTTATGAGCAGTTCGTGGTGAAGTGCAATGTAAGCTTCGTCAGGGGAGAGGGAGGGAAACCACTCCTGCGCCAGAATTTGAAGATCTGCTACCGGAAAACGGTATGCATCGACCATGTTGATAATAAACAAATGGACAAAGGTTGTAGATGCCCTTCTTGAGAGTTTAGCGAGCGAGGGCGGATTAGGTCGTCAGCGGGAATGGACAGGGTTGGTGATGTTTGACAAAAAGACGGCGTATGAAGGTTGAGAACACGCTTATAGGACCGTAAAGGTCAGTCCAAGAGCTTTGAAAGACAGATGATGGAATCCGGCAGTTCGAAGCAGCGGCGGGGGATGACCCATTTTATGTACCCCCAGGGCCACTGAGCCTGCCATGACATTCAGGAATGAGGCTATAGTGTGGCTGTTGCTTTGCTGTCCTCTCAAGCTATGTCCATTATATATTGGTAGGTAAGGCGCTTAAATGGTTGGTTAGGAGGACGGGGGCATTTCAGTGCGGCTCAGCCACGTATCGAGACTAGGGTGTACATATCCTTCGACTGGATGCAGTGATCCTAAATTAGTCTCTGTCTATTGTCGAGTGCTTTATCTGGACTTGATTGCGGTCGGAGTGAGGGGACATGCATACAAAACGATAGGTTCAGAGGTATTAGCTACTATAGCGTCCCCGTGACGAGTAACCCCGAGCTGCACTAGAAGGATCAAGCTCAAGACCCGTAGACTTCATTGCATGCCGTGTGTATGCAATTTTTCATTGAGCTGTTGAACCCAAGGGCATCGGTGCATGAGTATGGATGGAATGCGCGCTAGTGTGTACACTGGCCAGGCTCAGCCGTTCCCTCGCGGTTGGCGAGACGCCGACAGTTATCCGCCCGTATTGTCGTGGATGATCAAGATTGCATGGTTCATGGTGCTAGGTACACACCGATATACGGTTTAACACCACCGGCGACGAGATCGCGAATTATTTACGAGCGCCGCACAATTCGGGTGGACTGATTAAGCGACAGCCCGCAAGACGATAAGCAATATTTTAGGTCGTGGAGGTAGATGGTCACTCGGTATTCCCGAGCCTCCCAACCGTCCCCTATTATCTAGCAGTTTTGTTTTCGCAGCCCTAGCGGTATAGTCCCCGTCGGTCATTTACCGATCGATTTAGCCGTCAGGTCGATTCAGACAACTTATTCTATGTCATTAAAGTAGAAACTCAATTTGTACGTTCAAGTAAGCATAGGCAGGTGCGCCCATACTTCACCGGATCTCATGATGTCATCGCGTGGACTCATCACGTCGACACCCCACATGACCACTTACCTAATCGCATCAACTTCCCCGGATTCTTCAACGGCACGATCCTCACTCCCTTCCCCACCTCACCAACATGTTGCGCCTCGGGGGCCTCACACTCTGGTGTGCTGCCTACTTTTTGCTGGGACTCACAACGGCACAAAATGACACCAAGCCCATCTCCAATGAACTATTCAACTCCCTCGAGGAGTATTCCCGTCTGGTAGACATATCCTACTGCGTGGGTATGACGGGTGTCCAGAAACCATTCCAGTGTCTGAGCCACTGCGCAGAGTTTCCGAATCTGGAGTTAATAGAGGTAAGCCCAACACCCCTTTGTGTAACATCAAGAGATCTGAAGTCTAGCTAAATTACTAAAATACAATCCAGACATGGAACACGGGTATCCTGCTCTCCGACTCGTGCGGCTACATTGCACTTTCGCACGCGCCGGGACCAAAGCGCATCATCATTGCTTTCCGGGGTACATACTCGATCACGAATACGATAATAGACCTCTCCGCCTACCCACAATCCTACCTTCCCTACACCGGCGACGACGACGACAACAACAACAATAGCACCTCCCCGCTCACCCTCCACTGCGAAAACTGCACCGTCCACGCAGGCTTCATGAAATCCTGGCTAAACACCCGTCCCACAATCCTCCCTACAGTGCTAACAGCCCTCCAAAAACATCCCGACTACGAAGTAACACTCGTCGGCCACTCCCTCGGCGGCGCAGTCGCAACCCTAGCCGGTCTAGAAATGCGCCTGAAAGGCTGGGACCCGCTCGTAACGACCTTTGGCGCACCGATGGTCGGGAACGCCCCGTTCGCGGGCTTCCTAGATCAAGCTTTCCAGATTGGGACTTCTAGTCAGGACGGGATCGAGAATCCCGAGATAGCGCGTATTCGTCGCGTGACGCACGTCGATGACCCCGTGCCGTTATTGCCGTTGCGGGAATGGGGGTATGCGCCGCATGCCGGGGAAGTGTTTATTTCCAAAGCGGCCTTGCCGCCCGCGAGGGAGGATGTGTGGGCGTGTGCCGGTGACGAGGATGCGCGGTGTATTACCGGCGCGGAGGCGTCTTCGGCTTCGTTGTTTGACGTTTTGAGGGATTTGGATGTTTCGTTGGATCTCTTCGATACGCCGGTTGAGCCGTGTCTGGAGGAGGAGAAAGAGGGGTTGGAGGGAGAGGGGTTGGAGGTGGGTGCCCAGCAGCAGGTCCTGGGTAAGCAGAGGGGTACTGGGGGTGCAGAGTGTGTATCGAAGGCACAGGTTGAGACGGCTCCGTTGTATCCGCGGCACTGGAACTGGTCTCTTATTCCGGCGAGGTATAGACTGTGGGAACTTTTCTATGCGCATCGGGATTATTTCTGGCGAATTGGGTTGTGTGTACCTGGGGGTGATCTTTTTGGATGATTGGGATTTGGGTTTATAATAGAGCGGGCGTTTGGAGTCAAGGGTTTTATCAGGATGTTGTTCATATGGGATCTCCCATGTTTGTATAGATCTGATCTTCGCAACGGGGATATACCTAGTCTCTCAAGAATGGACATATTGAACTCGCTAATCCGAGGATGAGTAATCTTGCATCTGTAATTGTATAATTCCACAGAATGTCGAAACTTATGTCAAAGAATGCAAAAGGTCAATGGCAAGAACATGTCAACAGTCAAAATGTACGGAGATGAATATCTAGAACAGAACGCCCAAGAACAGATCAGGAAAAAGAAAACAATCCAAAGCTATGAACAAAACCAAGAACTCAAAAAAGAGAGTCATGACCAAATGCATAATCACAAGGTTCAACTCGAATCCAACCCCTCGCGTTTACTTCCCGTCCTCCAAACTGGGCACAATGACCGGCCCGAATTTAACAACATTCGCATAAGCCCCATCCCCCTGAACCATAAAGTCGGCCGCAAGACTCAACTTCGCCTTCTGCGCACTAAAGGCCTGATGCTGCATCCCGAACGCCGGCGTCGAAACCACATCCGGATCATACGCAACGATAGCAACGTAATTCCTCCTCGCCATGAGCTTTTTATGCTCACGCGGCTGGCCGTTGACGTCCGTCTGGAAGATCTCCATCATGTCTTCCTTTGTATCGGTGGGTTGGGCGGAGGAGCGGTGACCGTTGGCGGGGACGTAGAGGGGTTTGGAGCTGCTGTGGAGGAGTTTGACGACGTAGGAGGGGGGTGGGGTGTTGACGATGGGGGACGAGATGAGTTGGTACATTGTTTTATGGTCGGAGGGCTGAGAGGGGTCGTGGACTAGGCCGGCGCCGCAGACGTTGACAGCGCCAGAGAGGAAGGTCATTCGGAGGGATTTTTGGTGCGCGATTCCTTGGAGGGTGCGGATGAGGTATGTGCGTTCCAGGTCCTAAGATGCCTGTTATTGGGATGCAAAGATGGTGAGGAGAGGAACGAAGAGGGGATACATACCTTTGACTCATGTGTCCATTGATCGCGTAACTCATCCATGAGATCAAACTCGCCAAATGGACTCAAGATGCCCCCCATCAGTCCGGACTTTCCAACAGCCCGCTTGACAGAGTCAAAGCCCGAACCGACAAATTCTTTTGCACCAACCACGCCAGCAACCGAGCTAGTCACCTTACCCAGCACATTATACGCGCCAGTCACTGCTCTCTTACCAGTTGCGACGGTCTGCGCGATATGCTCCGCCGTCTCCAGACGGGGGTAGATCAACGGCATAGAGACCATCCACAGACAATGCTGGACACTCGGTGGCAGCATAGCAACCTTGGGGAAGAGGCCTTGGTACGTGGGACCGGCCATGACTTGGTGCGGGTTTCGCTCTGAGCGGCAGTCGGGTCCGACGACGACGACGCCAGGGCCGAGGTACTTGACAAAGTGCCAACCAGTTCCGGTGATGGTGAAAAGGTCAGTGTCGTTGTTGACATTGCGGAGGATATCGAGGGTAGTATGGTGTTGGAAAAGGAGATACATCTCGATACCAACGCGTCCGATGTTCTTGAACATATTAGAGAACTGCATATGCTCAGGATACGATCCAAAGCCATCGAAACTAACGAGATATGTTAGTATCAGCGACCCTCCCGATCCACAACCCAAAGGTACCCTCCCGTGGTTCAACACTCACATATCATGATCATCAATCTGGCAGATATAAGGAATCTGCGCAAAACTTTCCCTCAAATACGGCTGATCAAAATGACTCGTGTAGTAATGGAAATACGCATGCGAGACATCCTGTTGATTAGCCGCCGTCCACGGTGCATTCTTCCTCGCCTCCTTGCCACTAATCGTAAGCCACTGCTTCAAACAAGGAATCTCCTTCCACATTCGATCAGCATAGATCTGACCGCCCAAACAGAGCTGTGTATGGAAACCTCCAATCTCATTATGTTTCTGCATGATATCCTTCCACATGAAGCCGACGCCGCCGAGGCGTGCGCGCTCGTTCGCGTTCACATTCAATGAGAAATCGTTACCGGATGTTGCGATGAAGCGCCAGTTCGTCTCGTGTCGACCAGCGACGAGGAACTCGTATCGTGTGCAGCCGAGATGAGACGTGATGGCGTAGGTCCACTTCGCGGGGCCGGCGTCGTCCATTTGCAGGTCGATCTCATACTTGTAAAAGGTCCATCGCTGGTGTGCGGCGATATTGATTGCTTTGAGCTGGCGCGGGTTCGGGGATAGATCCACGCTTTGATGGAGGTGGATTGTTGGGGGCTGGGCTGCGTCGGTGACGAGGAGAATAGATCCTAGCCAGAGACCGCGCTCGAGGTCCATGTTCGTATATCGCAGATAGGGACCAAAGTAGACTCCGTTGGTTGGGGCAGTCTTGTAGATATCCATTCCACTGCTTGGTGGAGGGCCCGTGAATCCCGCCATTGGTGATTGCAAGCTCTCAAAGCCGGGAGTCAGAGGGACACCCGGAGAGGCCAAGGGTTTGCCAAATGCTGATAAACCGGGGGATGTCAGAGGGTGGCTACTGTATACACTTCCGACGGGAGAGAGAGGTGTCTCGTTCAGGTTCAGAGGCGTGGGGCCCTTGGGGAACTCCCACTGCGTTGATTGCGTCGGCAGATGGATATAATAGTACTGGCCAGAATTCGGATCCAGATGCGCAATCCAGCCCTCTGGCAAAGGCGGAGGAGATGCCGGAGGAGGACCAGAGGGTCCAGGAGAGGCAACTTGTGCCGGGTACTGTTGCGCTTGCTGTGCTTGCTGAGTAGGTTGTTGTGTTTGCTGCTGCTGCTGCTGTGGATATTGAGCCTGGCCATTAGCAACAGCACTCTGAGGCGACGGCCCCGCGCTAGATTGCTGCCGCGGGTCATTCGCAAAGGCAGGATGGCCCTCCGTCGAGGCCGTGGGCGCAGGAGAGGGCGCAGAAGCGATAGCAGGGTGAGCTTGGTTGGCAACAGCAGGATGACCAGCGATAGCTCCAGCCGCAGCTCCAGCCGCTATACCCGCTGCGACACCCGCTGCGGCAGCACCTGGCTTCTCATTTGGATACCCATTAGCAGTACCCGCGCCAGAGACACTCGAATAAGCAGGTGGAGGCTCATCGCTGATGCGCATCCGATCCATATCATGCTCCAGCGCATTCGCGTGGATTCTGGACTGCTGGTCCAACGGGATCGCTTGCGCATGCTGAGCCTGTGGTGTAGGAGTTCCATACTGGGAAGGATGCTGCGGCGGCGGGCTACTATATTGACCCGGATGTTGCTGCACCTGCGCCTGGCCAACCTGCCCAGCACTAACCACCTCAGCCCCTTGATATACCGTGGGCGGACCATGAGGCTGCGAGCCCGGCAATTCTGTCGGCGTCCACGGCCTCTGCGACTCCTGCGGACCAAAAGTCGGCTGCTGCCCAACATACTGTTCAGCCCTCCTCTGGGCCGCCGAGCTCTGCGACTGCAGACCCGCCAGCGTTCCGGTCCCCGCAATCCCCGCAGCCGCATACCGGGCCTCAATATCCGAGCCCGGTTGCTGACCGGGACCTACGATAGGTGTCTCCGGCGGCGGTGGAGATCCGCGCTGTGCGCGGGTCGTCGACGTCGACGCCGTTGAACTAATGCGATTAATACCGGATGAGGATGACGATGGCGGGGCTAGATTCGAGCCCGGTCGGGACGATGAGCTGACCGGTGGTGGATAGTACTGCTGGCGATAGTCGTATTGCTGTTCGCCCGAGTCAACGGGTGCCGATGCCGTGGGGGGCCGGGGGTATGGCCGTGCTGCGAGGGCAGCAGCGTCCGGGGCATCGGGGCCAGGCGATTCGGGGAGCGGCTTGGGCGCTGCACCGCGACGCTCTGCTAGAGTTGCGATTCTGGGTTCGCGGCCATCGCGGGGTCGCAGTGCGGGCGGATAATCTGCGGGGCTGACCGAGCCCGAGCCCGATCCTGAGCCTGCACTGGCCGGGGGCGGCGAGTTGTATCGCAAGCCATCCGTGGGACGGGTATCGTGTGAGCTGCTGGATGAGCGCAGTTGCGGACGTGGCCGGTCATCGGGGTAAGGGAGGGGGATGTTGGGTGGACTCGAGGCAGATTGCGGACTGGCCGAGTCCCGCTTGTTGATACGCAGAGGCTCAACGCGGTGGTTTCCGTCCGGCCTGCCGGAGGAAGAGGTGTTTGTGTTGACGGTTGAGCTGGTGAGGAACAGCTCGCCGTCCGGGTGGATGGCACGGCTCTCGCCTGGATTCATGATGCAGGCCGAGGCGAATGCGCTTCGAAGTTAGGGGGAAGTTGCAGGTTGCAGATCGTCCGGTAGTAAGGAGAAAAAAAAAAGTTGCAGAATGCACCGCAGCCACTTGAAGAACGAATGCAACGAGAGTACCAATCACGGAGCTAGATGTGCCGATCGGTGTGATCGGTGGTGAGTCTGGTCAGTGAGGGGCAGGGGCGGGCACTAGAGGCCCCGTGGCGGGGAGAAGATCACAGGAATAGGGGGTGGTGATAAAAATAAATTCGACAGGGGAGGGGGGGAAAGAGCAACGGGGGAGTATGTATGTAAAGTATCTGAGAAGGAAGAAGAAGAGAGAGAAGATGAGAGCGTCGAGAGTAATCTGGCAACCTGGACTTGAACTCCCAGTTTCGCGCCGTCTTCTAAGCGCCCAGCTGGGCGAGACGCCGACCCCGCAGGTGTGACAGCCCATCACGGCGTGTACTTGGGCAGAGAGTGACCGGTGGGGGGTGATATACTCACACAAGCGGGACCAGCTCATGACCGTGATTGGCTGTCGTCGAAATGATCATGGATTTATGTACCTGACTGTGAGATAGCACCCAATGACAGTCGATCGAGGGACGAGATCCTCGGATATACTTCGTGTTTACATCACATCGGAGGGAGTTGGGTACCTTGGTTCAGATTCACGCTGAACTAAGGTTAGCTTGACATGACTAAGGATCCGTACTAACTCAACTATGCAACTATGCAAATAACTACATCGACTCCTCAACGGTCGAGATCTCGATCAGACAATAATCAGACAAAAGAAATTGTAGTTCCATAAACACATTATTAACAAGTCGTGTTCGTTTCTATACATACATCCCATCCATCATCACTCATGCGAATAGTACATGCTCCCAAAAAAAGGTTCCAAAGCTCAAAAACAGGCAACAACAAAATAAAAGAGTCAGTCACACAGATGCCCCAAAAAATCAATATGCCCACGGAAAGAAAAACGCCAATGACCACCAACCCGAACAGATTCCGATCCTCCCAACACATTCCCGTGATTTGACTAGAACCCAAAATTGACCATTTGCAGGCCCTCCTGAGCCATCAAATCGGCCCAGTCCACATCGAGCGTATGGCCAACACGCATCAAACACTCCAGCTGTCGCTCATAGACAGTCTGCAAGATAGCCCGGGTGGTTGCCGCATTGCGACCCATCCCGTCTTCCTCGTCTTCCATGCTAGTCATCAATTCCATAGCCATCATCTTCAGGCCACTAGCGGACGCCGTAGCACCCGCGAGGAAGAGTGGAAAGACCAAAAAGTGCCGATCGGCACGACGAGTCTGCGTCGTCTGCTCGGCGATACGCAGAATCTCCGCTGCATGATGGTCAATCTCGCCATCGGGGGTGAACTCCGACTCGAGTCGTTGGCGAGGCCACATGCTGCTGTAGGTGAACAGCTGGCTGACGTGGAACAACGTGGCGGACTGCTGTAGGATCTCCTGTGATCGCCGCGGGAGGCTATCCTGGCGCTGATACCAATAGGCTACATCGGAGGCCTCCCACAGACGGTTCAGAGCCCGACGCAAGTCACTGATCTCCTTCGATCGCTGGTTGAAGTCGGCGAAGGGGACAGACACCTTTTCCTGGCGCAGTCGCGAACCCAGGAATCCAATCTGAGTCGCCAACGAAAAGGTATCGGCATAGAGGCGCATGAGAGTAGGCAAGCTTTCATGCTCCTCGGGATAAATCACGCTGTATCCTTCGGTCGCGGATGGGTAGAGAAGGCTTTCTGATCCCGGGAGCATCTGGTGATCCATGATAGCGCGCACAAATTCGCCGGTTCCTGCGCCACTGAATAGGGCGTAGAGGTCGATGTGGCAGATCCACCAAAGGATGAAGGGGTGTGGTTCGCGGCCGAATTTGGACTGGCGGAGGAGGGCGATGTGGAGGAGACGAGAGATGTGGTGAGACCAGAGGTTGGAGCCTTGTGGCTCGGCGGCTGCGACCTAGAGAAGGGAGGCAGATAATGTTAGTATGAGACAACTCCAACTTTGCGAGAATTGCATAGGAGTGTTGTACCTCGTAGATGAGTAGAAGGAAATGGGTCAGGAACAATCCATCCGAGACAAGATCGTCGTTGTTGCGGAGGCTGATCTGTAGAGAAGGAAATGCCTGCTGGTAATATTGCAGCGCATCCACGTTTTGTCCGGTTCCGCTGTGTGACAGACTGAGAGCCGAGACGGTCATAATGGCATGGGAGAGCTACACGTCATTAGTATACAGACACTCAAATGTTTGACGAAGAAGAGACATACTGGAGGGAAACGAGCCGCTTCTCGCTCCAGGAAGTCGACACTTAGAGTCATGCCATTGCGGTCAAATCCGTACGTGTCATCCAGACCACGGTCATGAGGAAACAATTGCTTCCAAACGACGTGTCGGAAATGAGCAAACAGCGTCGAATCTTGTTGCCTCTGTCGAGCCTGGTGATCCATGCGCGAGTCAACCAAGAAGGAAGAGGAGCCATGTTCCTCGCCCAAGACGGGAGATGGGAAGGAACCCATGATCGGAGATAGAGAGAGGGAGCAGAAGGGATCCGAAATCTCGGAGGTAGGTGACACTCGTGAGGTTCTGCCAGCCGAGGGCGAGCGGCGAGTGACGTCCTCAAACGTCTTCAAAATGACTACATTGGGATCATCGGCGGGATCGGTCTCGGTCTTGACCACGCTCACGGGACTACTCGCTACCGAGTATACGGACTCGGTGACGGTGGCCTTGGGCTTCTCCGCATCATCGGCGTACTCGGGAAGCGAGCTGAAGATGTCCGGGACCATGATCACATGGTATGTGCCTGGGGTTGTAGCTTCGGCCTTTCTTTCGCGCTCCTCATCCGAGGTCAATAGTGAAAAAGCCGGGAGAGCATCTCCGAGAGAGAAATAATCGCTTCCAGATCGGTCCTCGCTTGATCCTGGTGATGAGACTACACAGCCTGTCAGACCAAAAAATGCTACACTATACGGGGCCAGGAAAACGATAAAAGAAAAGGAAATCTTACGATCCCAGACCACGTTGCCCTCGGTCTTCACATCGGCCATACGGCCCATAATGCGCGGCGTATCATCGCGAAAGGCTAGCCGCGGTCGATAGTCGCAAATATGACCGAGTCGTGTACATTGCTAAGAGAGGAACGAATGGTAAGCCCAAGAACCCGAGAGCGAGCGCGATAGAAAAGAAGAAGTGCCGAAGCCGAAGAATGTGCCCTACATTACATTGCGGGTGTCCCTCATCGCATTTGACTGCAAGGAATGTTAGATTAGCCAAGGGAATCCGAACACGACGACAGGAATCTTTTCAGATTACTCACCTTTTCGACTCTGTAGCGCGCGAACCAAAGCAGCGGGTCAATTGAAATGGTTCATGGCTAAATGGTGGGAAGAAGAATGCAGGAAACTCACCCGACACGTCCTGTGTAGAGAGAAGGTTAGTAACTGAGCGTGTGCGGGTAGGACCCCGAGTGTTTCGTCGCGGGCGGGTAGAGAGCGGGAGGAACGGAGAACGTACCAGCAGCCGGTCCGAGATCGCGGCGGAAGACGGATACGCGGCGGTGCGATCATGCTCTTGTCTGATTTACCCTCGAGAACCTCCTCTTTCGGGGCGATAATTGGTAAACGGAGGGTGCGCTTGGCGGAGGCATGGCCTCGGCGGTTTTGCATCACCAAACTGGTGACCGTCATAAGGCTGACTGAGTGCCTGGCAAGACGGCTGGCAAAGGGGGTCCAATTGTTAGCGGGAGAGATCAGGGCGGGCGGGATCACAATTCGTACTTTGGAGGGTGTAAATGGTCGACCACGGACGGTCGATGACCGTTGGTAGAAGAATTAGACGGTGATCGATGCAGATCGTATCAAAGTCTCGGTGCCGCTAGGAAGTATAGAGTATAGAGTGTAGGATATAGCGACGATCGCGGGTAGTGCCTTAATGATCAGCGACTGGGGGGGGGTGGGAAGGGAGTGGGGGTGGAGAGGAGAGGGGAAAGGCTAAGGTTATGGTGGGAGAAGTCACGGAAGGAAGGGGAGGTGAAAAGGGAGGAGGAATTGAGCGGAAAGGTTATGGATTGCGGGAAAATAGGGAATGAAGGAAGAGGAGAAGAGGGAATGAAGTATGGGAGAGAAGGAGTGGTGGTGGTGGTGGTGATGATGAGGGCCTGGACTTTTGAAGAACTCGAGGCGGAGGGGGGTGGAAAAAAGGGAAGTTATGTAGGTTCACATCACGAGCAGGAAAATGCAAATCAACCTGCAGGAGAAAAAACCGGCGGAATGGCGAGACAACTGCATGGTTCGAGCGGGCGCAGCCTTGTTCCTTTCTGGCTTGACGGGTGGCGGGAATCTGGAGGGAAGAATCTCGGATGCGAAAGATGCAAGTACCGGGAGGTGGAGAGGAAAGGGAGAAAGCAAAGAGATGGATCGGACGAGAGCGTGTGTGATACAGTGAGAATGAGGGGGGGGGAAAAGGACGAACAGGTCAGATCGGACGACGCTGACTGGTCAGTGTATACTGGAAAAAAGGTGGGAAGGATGGGAAAACCGAAAAAAAAGGGACGAAGGATGTCCGGTTCGTCCGGGGATGGAATCGGGTTAGCTTGGGAGAGGAACGAGTAGCTGGACGAACCTGTGAAGAGAAAAAAAAAATAATAAATATCAAATCAATTCCAAAAACCAGTGAAAACCAAAAAACGCGGACCAAAAACGATCCCAACGCGAATGGACTAAGCCAAACCTAGAAAACGCTAAGACAGAAAACAATCCACACGCTAAAACACTAAAAAACACTAAAAAACCGGATGGCATGCAGGTGCCAACCATGTGGTCGACGTGTTGCTATTCTTACCCTCTTGCCTAAACGGGACAGGGTTCTGCATCTAGCGACAAACTTGCTCGACCCTACAAACTCCGATTACTAGTCATATTGGCTCGGTTACCGAAAAAAAAAACGAATTATACAAAACTCAAAGAACAAGGAATAGGCACTGGCCACGATTTCACTAATGATCTCCAAAATGGTTCCAAATCTCCACGTCTCCCAGAAATAGCAGAGAAAAAGAAACGGATCGACTGGTAGGCTATCAAAGCATAGTGACCGATCGACGTGACTGATTGGATCGACCGCCCCGGGGGACCGGGACTCGGGAATAAGAAAACGGGCCTGTCACTATACGCATGGGAAGAAAAAACTTGGCTGGGGAGACGAATGTGGGGACTGAAAGTGATCAGCTCTATAGCGACGAGTCGGGTAATGCAGTGCGTTTTCCGTATGTATGCAAAATTGCTATTAGTAACAGAAGTCATGGTTCATAGGTCATGGAGTCATAGATAGTGAAACTAGGCAATCGGGAGTCGTTTGATAGATTCAACGGGGGCTTGGGTTGGGGCTTGGGCTGGGGCTGGCTGAGGGACACGTCGAACCGGAGAGTCAAACCCGCACACGATTTCCAAGGACGGGGCAGAACCGGCGATATGGAAAGTGCAGCCCCCAAAAACCTTAGCGTAGGGGTGAGTGATGGTGGTGGGAAGCAGGGCAGGCGGGCAGAAAGACAGGGCTGAGGGTAGGGCAGGAAAATCAATCAGAGACTACGGTAATTGGACACGGAATCCAAGGAGCATGAGAAGGGCAATCATATTGGACATTCCCAGGGAAAAGGGAAAAAGAAAATAACATCCAGCAACGCAGAACCGCGCCACGGTCGGAGCCGAAGAATGCACATCTGGGGAAAAAAACTGGTGCGGCTGCTAGGCCCTCGATCGGCCCGTCTAGGCCGGTCTGGATCGGTTTTTCGATCGGTTAGGGCCCTTGCGACAAGTTCCACTTTTGCTGCACCATCGTCTCTTTCCATTGGATGTCCCTCTCTTTCTTTTTGGGGGTTTTTGGTTTGTTTTCTCGTCATGTTCTCTATCTCTTGACACTTTCATACTAGATTCCCCCTACCCTATCCCCCGGTCGGGTTTTGCAGATTTAGGGTTTTCCGGTCTTTACCTTCCCTTCGAAACAGATTCCTTGTATGAGAATTCTCCCTACGTATGTACCCCCCTTGCAAAATCTGTATCATGAACCCCTAGAATCTAGATCATGACCAGTCTGATCTAGACTGTCCAATGTCTAGACCTAGATCATAGTACATAGATAATTCCTCACTTATCATGTGAACACCCCCCCAACTCCCGGTCCTAAGATTCATGATCCGTACAGACACACTTCGCATACTTCGTACTAAGGCCCTAGTAAAGAAGTGCTGCGCATGGAAAACGGGGCACTTGGGTGATTAGGCAATGGGGGGGAGAGAATGCGGTTCTGCAAAGACGAACTAGTGAAACGCCACTCGCTTAACTCCCGGCCAAGTCCGTCTGCACGGTGACCAGCCCGTGACTAGCGATGCGGGTGGTGCCAAATAGGCGGGTCTAGTGCGAGTTGCTTCGGCCGTTCCCTGAGCACGACTGGACGACTGGACGACTGGACGACTCGGTGACTGGTGACCCCTACTTTGGGCTTAGATCTAAGACAATGGGCTGCCTCGATTGTTTTTTTTTTTCTCTCTCCTTTTGCTGCATTGCTTCTTTGTTCTCCGTGCAGCTCCCTTTTCCTTATTTTTCTTTTTCTTTTTTAACGTTCCTGGCTTTTTGCTAGGATCATCCTAGGAAAAAAAGCGAGGTTTTTGTCAAATAGTTGACGCCCAGTTACGAAACCCAATTGCACTTGCAGGTAACACATGGTTCCGTATACCATATTCGGTTAACGGTAGTCTTGGAAAAGGTTATACTAGCGGTATAAACCTCCGTATTTCCACGGAGAAAAAGACTATCCCATCTCCGTAGATCACACCATCTGCGCCGCGATCCGGGAACACCTCCCGTTCGCACTGTACGGTGGTCACATTTTGCCCACTAGTACCAGATAGGGAAGAGATTCGCGAAATAAACTAATTTAACCAACCTAGCTAAGAACCGAGCAAAAAATTGACAAGAGTGGAAAAAATGCAAATCAACAGACCCATGTCGATCTACCACGTGGCCAGCCGCTTGCGTGCTGACGCTGTTCGAGTGTGATGAACTAATGCCGTACAGAACTCGTGGTAAATACTCCGTTCGTTTGTTGTCCTTTCCCTAGCCGCTGGTACGCTAGTACCAGCTAAGTAGGTGACCCAGTAGGTTGACCATTCCCTCGGAAGAGGAACCAGACAAGCGTGACAGGATCGAAGTCATTCAGCTGAGATGGTGTGGATACCCATGACTCTCGTTCTCGCTTCCATCTCTTGATCCAATCGTTTTTCTCCAGTCTGTCATATGGGGGTTGTCACTCATAGCTTAATCACGAGAGTACATGTACAGAGCACACAACTTGTTTTGCCTCTTGGGGCTCCACCGTACGAGTCAAAAGTCCGATCCATTGCCGAGGTCGGAAACGCGAGTTGGTCGGAAGAAAGGAATGATGGGGTCAATGACTCCATCCTAATCGGTGAAACGGGGGATGGTTGAATACAGGAATCATGGGGTCAATGACTCAATACTGATGGGGAGTTCTGACTCTACTCCGTACATGTACGGCTCTTCCGTCCAATAGCTTTCAGGTAGAGAGAGAATCTAAATCTCACACACCCTATCTAACCGTGTGGTATGCCCGACCCACTATCCCCACGCCTCAGCCCACCACCGCCAACGCCTCGTCCAACGTACGCTGCACGGTACTCGATCGCTCAGCAGCCCTCCACGCACGTAAAGACTCACCCAATCGCGCCTCAGGCACACCCCGTAGTCCCGGCCGAAGTTTCAGGTACGACAGGATCGCTTCCGCGCGACCCTTGCGCACCGCCTCAACAGCGTCCCCGTCGCGCATGAGTAACGAAGCGAGCGATCGCAAAGGGCCAGCGAGCACCGACTCCTCCTGGGACTCGGGCGCGGGCTCCGACACGGCCTCCGTAAAGCCCGGCCACTGATCCATTCGGGTGAAAAACGCTTGGAGCTCCAAGGAGACCGTGCTGACGACCTGTCGGGCTCCGTGGGTCAAGGCCTTGTTCAACGGACCGATCACCTGTCGTAGGTATTCTCCCAGCACTATGGTTAGGCTTAGCAGATGAACGGACGCTAGGGGGTTCCCGCAGGAAGCAAAAGGGTCAAAGGCCCCATCGCTCGCTCTCATTTGTCCGACGGATTTCCTGGAATTTCTCCCAGGAAATTCCGAGGACTGGATAACGAGGACAGAGCGAAAGAGATCAAGGCAAAGATAAATTCGCAAATTGACCGAATCACCCAATTCACCGAGGGAACTAAGCAACGTACCTGTAGACTCGGCCGTAGCAGGGTTTAGACATTGCAGTAGGCACTGCACGCCTGCGGCCAGCGTTTCGGTCGCATCGGGCCCCTTGCCGTCTATCTCCATCTTGTCACCACCCTCATCTTGCTCCTCGATGACTTCCTCAAACACGGGGACAATGATCGCAAGGGCATGAGGCATCAAGTCTATCTCGCGAGCCTGCGAAATTTGCCCCAAGGCCCGGAGGCTATGCGGCCGGTAGTTTGCATTAGTCCGCTTCGCTTCGCGCACGGCGATAGTCTGGCAATGCGGGGTTAGTTTCCCGTTAGGCAAGTCGGTCCGGAGTCTCGTGAGCACCGAAAGAGAAAAAAAAAAAAAGAGGGTGAACGAAATATACTGAATCAAAAATAAAAAATAAATAAAAAACAAAAATCACAACTAAACGTACCTTGAGCAACTCTGCCAAATCCGTTCGTGTCGTCCATAGCGCCCGACCGGAGCGCGCGAACTTCACCAACGCTGTCAGCACTACTTCTTTCCCCTCCCAAGTCTTGCCGGACAGGGCCTTCTCCAGAACGGGCCAAACCAATTGCGCCGTCGGTAGGTCGATCTCTCCGTCCAGCGACAGCACTGCCTGGGCAATGGCCCGCGCAGCCGTGTGTTTGATAGCCCACCGTGCCGAATCCAGATTATCCTCCACCAGGCCCACGATCTCGCGGAGATAGAGAGACACGGCTCGGTTGCCACCCACATTATCCTGCCACGTCTTGTCGAACTCCTCCTTCACGTGCTCATCTGCGTCATGCTTACAGACAAAGACAAAGGGGAGGGCTGCCGTAGCGAAGGCCATGAATCGATCGTTGGACAGCTTCGAGGCCGAATACAGGATTTCGGCCGCAATGGTTCGTGTGGTTGCATCTTCGGCGTTGAGATAGAGCGTCTTGGCGTAATTGATGGTCTTCAGGACCTGGTCATCGGATGCAAGGCGCAGGAGGTACCCCATCGACGTGCAGTAGGACGCGCTGACGGTCTCGTTCCGGTCGACCACATACTTGCTGAGGAGCTGGATGAATCGGTCGGCGTAGGGGCGGAAGAGGAGGGTCTTCATACTCAAGAGAACGAGGACTCGACTGCAGCCCACTTTGGACGGAAGACCGACGGCCGACCGTAGGGTGTTCTCTAGCTTGGGTGCGAGCTCCTTCACGTTGTTCTCATCCAGATGGTCGATCAAGTATCGCTCAATGACTTCCATCATGGGGGATGTGCGAATACTAGAGAGACGCATCTTGTCAATCTCCTGACCGGTCAATCCGTACTTGTCGGCATTGAGATGGACATAATTAACAGCCTGAGGTTC